ACACAATTCACTAATTTCGTGTTATCCTAATTCCTATACACAAAAATTGGGTGGAAATAAATAAAAAGAAAGAATAATAAGAAAGAAAATTCTGACGAAATCAATAGGTGATCTGTCAAAGACGACAGACTACCTAATAATGACAAAAATGATAATGATAATAATGGTTATGATAATAATAACAATAATGATGGTAATAATTATATTAATAAAAATTATGATAATGATAATAATAGTAATGTTAACAAAAATAACATTGATAATAAGCTTAACAACTTATGCAAAGGAAAACCAACTACAGGGAAAAAGTGTCTATAATGGCTTCCTTTTCTTATTCTTAATGGCTACCCAGGGGAACTCAAAAAATGGCCTTTACAGCAGGTGGCTGCTGCATACAGGTTCTTAAAAACATAATTTATATCCATGGGAGCCGATTTTTAGTGGCCACTGATAGGAAGGTGTCTACTAAAGGGAGATGGCTGCTAAGACAGGGATGACTGTATTTTCACCATTAATAATCGCATGTGCGCCCGGCCAGATCGAGGAGAGAGAGGAAGAGACGGTCCCTGGTCATTATCTTCCGAAATACCCCAGGGTGTTTTGGAAAATGAAGACCGAAGTCAGGTGACCCTTATACTATCATGACTATTGGCGTGCAGTACTATGTAGAGCACCCGGGGGAGGAGAGAGAGGAAGAGATGGTCCCCGGTCTTCGATCTTCGTCTTTGCATTATTTACGTTCACATTCTTCCCTATTAATATTCTTCGTCTCCTCTTGTTTTCATCCGGAAATCACATTCGTTTTGCACATAGTGCTTGTTATTCCTATCTAGGTCCTTTCCTCTTACTCTACCGGCATTCATTTCAAACTTTGAAGGCATAGTCTCTAGCATCCCATCAAGGTCAGTGAGATCTTCGTTCTTTGGAATCACTAATGCTTGACCGTCTAGACGCCATTTCGTCCGTTTTCGGGCCGATTTTCGAGGCCTTTCTTTCGCCCTAGCTTTCTCCACTATCACAGAGGTACAGACTTTAAGTACAGGTACAAATTGCTCTGGAAAGTCTGAGAGAAGCTCTTTCGTTTGACATGTAGAAAGACGGGCATCATTGCATGCATATCCTTGTGACACGATTGCATTTCTAGTTATTATCAGTATTATTATCATCATTATGAATACGAACATAATGATATATGATGATGATGAATATTATTATCATATCATTGTTATCATCAGCATCATCAGCATACCCTTATAAAAAAGAACTGTACTCCATGGTAGATGGTAATTTGGACAAAAAACCATGGTTACCATGTTTCTTTTGTATGAGGGTACCAGGTAATCATCAAGTGTAGTATAGTACATGTAACAATAGGCCTAGTAGGAGTGGTATCATTCTGATCCTTATTATCCTGATTATCTTTTGCTATACGTTGTGTGCCCATGATTAATGTCTAAACTACATGTTCTGTACATCTATAAGATGTCTACCAAAACTCTCAATTCGTTGCTTAGGTATTTAAAGGAGAAAAGCCGATGCTGTTTTCATTGGTGCATTATCATAAACAGTTGTAATATTTCAAATTTACCAAAATAGGAAAAAGAAACAAGTAGAAATACAGTCATGACAAAAGACAATATTAATGTCTTTAAGTTTACCTTTGTTTGCATCTGGCTCGAGTGTTGCTTGGGTATTTGGTACTGGATGATGGTAATACAAAGTTTCGGTATGGGGTCATGAATTTGGTTCCAAGGAACATATTGGAAGCATATGCGATTTCAACCACCATCAGTGATCGTTGTTGCGATTGAAATTGGGTCTAAAGTTATGAAATTGTAAATAATAAACTATTTATGTTGTATAGCTCCCTCTCAAGGTCAAGATATTAATAAAGCTACAAAACAATGTTTCTTGACTAAAATCGACCAACTAACTTTTCCCATTTGGAAAATATATATCACAACTACACATTCTGAGATTTTTATGGTCGCAGCTACTATTGTGCGGCCGTAGGCGCTATTTGAAATTCATCAAGATTTACCGGGAGCACCGGTAAATTTTTATATTCAATATTTCTCGAAAGCAGAAGTGTTTTAGGGGCTAAATTTTCTAGTGCTTATAATACATCCACAGGGGCCTCCAAATATATCAAAATTGTAAATAATCACTATCCACCCAATTTTCAAATTTTCCCAAAACTTTGTATTACCTTTAACATGGACAAATTGCACTTGTTTACATGATCGCATTATCTCTTAATCATTCTAGTTCCAATGTTTTCTGTTTTCAAAACAATATCATGTTTGTTGATCATAGAGTAGTTCTGTACATGTATGTTGCTTGATATCTCATGGTAATTTTTAGGGAAAAGCAATCCAAACAACAATTTCTAAATTATAGTGAAAATCGTTCGCCATTGCTACTCTTTAATACTATGATGACAAGCAGTAGTAATCAATTTTTTCAAGGACTCATGACAAATTCATTTAACAGTTGATTCCCCTCGGTTGATTCCCCTCGATTGATTCTTTTGTTTTCAGATTGTTTGGCAGGAGAGATAGAAGAGAATGGTCTCATGCTTAACAACATTGTATTATTATTTGTATTTGAAAGAAATTTGAAGAATTTTTGATTGTATCCAATAGACTCTGCTGGTTTCAATGTTTTTGTCCGACTTGTTTTCAGTAACAAGATCGATCACATGATCATAGTCTACTGGATGCAAGTTTAATAATTTCTTTACAACAGTGAGGTGCTATTCGATGTAGCGTTACATGGCAATCGCATAATAGTATTAGATATTTTCGTCATAGAATAAGCACAATAGATTTTTATGGTCTGCAAAATTAAACGGCATTTTAGTTTTGTCATACCTTGGAAGTAGGCATAAAGTTCTACAAAACTTATTTGCCCCTCGGTGTCTGCTAGTGGGTTACTCTTGAATTTGGCTTATGGATGAATTACGGATGAACATGGACAGTTGAAAAATTCATCAAGATTAAACTTGTCTTTCTTCAGTGATCAGTTCATATCAAGATTTGATTTGAAAGAATTGAGTGATGGACTTTCTTGTACTTACGATGGGAGACCTTTCCATTCGTTTACTACTTTCTGTGAAAAAGAGCTCTGCCTCAATTTAGAGTTACATGTTTATTTTGTAGTTTGAACGAGTGACCTGCTCTTGTTACTGTGACAGTGGTATGATGAATGAAATTAGTTGACTGGAGGTCGTCGATTCCATGCATTATCTTATAGACCTGTAGCATGTCGCTTCTATGACGTATGTATGATAATAAAGGCAGACGTAGTTGCGCTAGCCGTATCTTGTACTGAAGACTTCTGAGAGGTTGAAGGAGTTTAGTAGCATGACGTTGAACTTTTACCACTTTGAGGATATGTTTCTTCTTTAAGGATGCCACATTGGGTCTCACAATTGTTTATATACATGTACCTGTGTGAGTCCCTTGTTGTCCATAGTTGAACAAGTACGCTTGATGATTCCTAATTTCTGGTTTGCAGCATTGCAAGCAGTGTCAATGTGATTTGAATAGGACATTTTATTATCAAATATTTCTCCCAGATCTTTTTCATGTTGAACTGCAGGTAATGGCTTGGTCACATCGTACAAATGTAGTCATACTAGGGATTACTACATCCATAGTGGATGACTTTGCATTTTAGTCATTTTATATGTTGGGATAGATGGGAAAGTAGTCCGGCACTGGGAAAGTAGTCCGGCACTACATCACATTGACATTGCCGCTTCAGCCAATTTAAAGTGCCCATATGTATAGTGATTGAAACTTTCATCAGTTTGCTTCTCTGATTTTCTGCTTTCTTTTAGAGTAGTTGTCTATTTGGGTTAGATTTCCCTTTAAGGATAAACTGTTAGCTGATGTTGTGAAAAACAGAAAAGAACACACCTCTTGCTTTTAATTTCTTCTACTGAGAACTAGATGGGTGTTAACTCTGTTAAATTGTATGAGTTAAATATCATCATCATTCTGGCTCTCAGCAGACAATTTATGTTCATCTTGTGGTTAAAAAACCTTTGTTGCTTTGGAGAAGAGAGGAAGCATGCATTTGTATTATAATTCCTAAGATCTTTGTGGGGGGAGGGGAGGGGGTTTATTACACTCAAGCAACCACCAAACTTGCAAAGAATAATGAAATGGTATCCAGCCCAAGTTGTAAGTTTGTTTTAAAGTTTGATACTAATTTTAACCCCTTTCAATCTGTTTCTTTGTGCACAAACATACAAGTATAATACAGAATATTAGGCCAATTGAGAGATGGCACATGGGCATACCAACACATGAAATAGTATCAACTGTTCTAGTCATCTTCAAGGGTAAAGGGTTTTTACATAAAACACTTAGAGATGGATTCATAATGGGTCAACTAAGTCTTGAAAACCTCAAAACATAACAAAGTAAAAGAAAATTGTGCTTCAAAGGATACCATTTAACTTACCAATGTAAACATGTAGGTAGGACAGGCCAGGCCATGTTCAAAATGCTTTATGCTTTATATTTTGGACTTAAATATGTAAATGAGAATATTCACATTAAAGAAGTCTTTCTTGAATTGGTGTGCATCTAAAATGACACAATAAAATAAAATTTTCTAATCACAAGCTCTTACTGCAGATTTACCTAATAACAATCACGTGATAGAGAGATCATATTTACTTTAGAACTTTAGACTTTGATGCTGTTGACTATATTTGCTATCTTAGAGTTCAGGACTCCAGCCATGGAGACCTTTATAGTATCAATGAAAGAAAACTTCTTATCAAAGTCTAACAGATTATGATAGGGCTGTATGAACATAATGAGGGTGAAGATTTGGTTTGGAGAGATTCTGTGGGGTTCAATATTTGTTAAATCTGTGTGTGTGTGGTGTGTGAGACTGTATTAGATCTGTAGTGTCCATGTGACTTAATTGTAAATAGATTCGACAAACTGTTTGGACAAATGCCCTGCAATGTTTGATCTAGGAAAGCGTATAATACTCTAGACACAAGCACACATGGCACAAATTGAAGTGGCCACTCGCCTATACCTTGACACTTTATACCTTGACACGTAGATATAGCTTAAATCACATACTGGTCTATGGGAAGTTGGTAACAGTCGTTCATGATCTGAATTTGCCTGCTTGTTTAAGTTTTCTTTTCACAGTTCATGTGTGCTCATTGTGAAATGAGGCATGCAGTGTGAATGGTGCACATTTCATTGTAAATGTCATATTATGAGTTGGCAACAGGTGTATCCAGTGGTTTGCATATTCTACTTTTAAACTATTGATTGCAGGCTCAATAATTTGCCAGTTTAAGTGGTATGGATACTTGCTGTTTTTCATACTTTGTTTGCCTTGAACTGTGATAGCTAAAGGTATCGTGTGATCATTACAAAGGAAAGGAAGACCAGCCGATGCTGTTTTCATTGGTGCATTATCATAAACAGTTGTAATATTTGGAGTATCAGATCATAGCCATTATGCCATTTGGACAGGACGGAGATGCCTATGCATCATTGCTTATGAACCAGGCAAGTCTGTAACAAATATGTAAAGGAATCATCAGTGTTAACTTAAATTAGCTTGAAGGATTGCTATATGGACAGCTATTTGCATTGAAAACACTTTTACTTGTGTAATTTCATAGTATTTGTATTTAATGTTGTCTGTCATCTTTGTTGGTTTATCACCTGCTGCCATCGTACTTAACATAAATTGATTCAAAGGGATTAATACATTTTAAAAGTGTACACAGTTTCCTGAGGAACTACTACTCTAATGTAGCAGTTGGAGTGTCTAATGTGCTAATAGGATCTTTCAGGAGAAAGCCTTTCTTTCATCATCCCCTCCCTCCCCCCCCCTCCCTTCCGCCCCCCCCTTCCCTCAAATTCTCCCCTCCCTTCCCCTCGAACCCTCCTCTCCCCTTCCCCTCGAACCCTCCTCTCCCCTTCCCCAATCATTCAAATATATTATCTGTGGAATAAAGGTAGCATTTTTTTTTTTGGATACATGGTCGTGACAGGATCTGACTACTGTAAAATGGCGACTGCCATGCATGAATGATCCCCAGTTAGTGTGGATTGTGCAGGATTGCCTTTTAATTCATTGAGTAGGTTGAAAGTACACATACACAGTATGGTGCTTTGATGATTAACCACACAAACAATGTAGTTATTGTAGTTTGAACATTTCTATTCTTGTATTTTCTAGGGAAGTGGACTGAAGCGTAGTCCAAGTCAGAAAGAGTTCCAGTCCCAGGCAAGGAGAGATGCAGAACGTCACTTAGCCCTGGAGATGGACAAGTTATTAGATACCTGTCCTGAAGAAAGTAGACCCGTAAGTAGACCTATGCCAGAAATTTTTGGTACGAATGTTCGATATGAAATAATTTGTTTCCTACAGAAATTAAAAATGGTGTGCTGTCTCTCTGTAGGTCTTGATTTTAATACCACCTTTAAGGCCGGCTCACACTATGAGCTACGTTAAGCTGCGAATTGCAATATTGAATTTCCCGCCAATCATCGTGTGTTGCCTTCAACCTCCACTAGCGACCACAGACGGTCAAAGTTATCAGTCCCGTCTGTCGGCAAATTTACAGCGTGTTGATAATTTTGTGCCGGCAAAACGTCCGTCGCCTTTTGCGGGGTCTTTGCCGCTACTATGTGAGCCGGCCTTTATCACGTGACTATTAAGGTATGTTGCCTTCTGGCTGAATAAATGTACAATTAAGAGGTGCAGGTCTGCGGTTTGAATACCCGTAGAAGGTTCTTGTCAAAGGTTATTAAGATAAATATTTGTATGCCTATCAACATTTGAGAGGTTCATATCAAAGTACTTAGCCAAGGCTTGACTGTTGAAAAGTTATTTTTAGCAAAGACAAATACACTGTAGTAGTAAAAAAAAAAAAAAAAAAAAAAAACTGTCTGGGTTTATAATTTCCAATGATGTACAACAATACTGTACTTGAACCTTGAACCTAGACAGATATTGACCAATACACGATAGATGGAATCTTTGGGATAAAAAAAAAAAGAGAGTTGTTCAATGCCACTCTAAATTGCTCTAATAATGGGTGTTGTAAATATCAGTGAAATCTGTATTTAAAGACTGCTCCTCAGTTATAAAAAAGTGGTCTTTTAGCCTAGTGATATTCCTTTACAGGTTGCTTTATCATGTTGAAATGTAAATCATCATTTGAGGGAAACAAAATAATGTGGTCTTACTGTACAGCAAGTTTGAGTATAATAGATGATGATGAATGCTATCAATAAAATTGTGTCTCTGAAATTCTCTCTCTCTCTCTCCCTCTCTCTCTCTTTCTCCCTCCCTTTCTCTTTCTCCCTCTCTCTTTCTCCCTCTCTCTTTCTCCCTCTCTCTTTCTCCCTCTCTTTCTCCCTCCCCCTTTATCCCTCCCTCCTCACTCCTCTCTCTCTCTCTCTCTCTTTCTCTCTTTCTCCCTCCCTTTCTCTTTCTCCCTCTCTCTTTCTCCCTCTCTCTTTCTCCCTCTCTCTTTCTCCCTCTCTCTTTCTCCCTCTCTCTTTCTCCCTCTCTTCATCTCCCTTTCCCCTTTTCTTTATGATAATCTAGGCGATAGGGAAACAGTTTGAGGGATACAAACAATTGTTTGCTCAGTTTCTTGAGGAGGCTGGTACAGCAGCAGCCGTTGATTGGGATGACATTCTACCACCACCAGCAGATGCTGTAAGTAGGTCAAATAGAAAGCCATTGCTTTTGCCAGGGATTGATTTTCACACAAACATTGTGAATTTTTTCAGGGGTGCGAATTGTAATGGCCTGCTAGAAGGAGTTCACAGTTCATCAATAAATGTTTATAGATTCTAAGTAGTCCTGTTTATTATATGGCAAACAAGAACTCAAGAAAATGTCCCTGTAATCCATGAAACAGTATAATGCATCTAAAAGTTTTACTGTCAGTTCAAATACAGTTTAATGCTCTTGATTGTACAGGTTCTGTCTAATTTATTGGGTATAGACCAGTTCTGGTTATGGGATTGCATTGTGAAAGAAACGTTGTGGAATCGATCAGAAAAGGTTGATCATCTAGCATATAAGTATTGGTGTGTACTGCAAGGTTCTGGAATCATTAAAATGATGAGAAATTTAGCCCACTCTTGGTAAAGTTACAAGCACTGTACACAGAAAGATGTATCTGGGACTACGCGATATCTATAGAGTCCGGATCGATATGATAATTTACCATAAATATCAATTAGTAGGCAGTTTCCCAGCAAAATTTGTACCATCACGTATTAGTCAAAGCATATTCTTACACATGGTTGGTGATAAGAGCTTCCATTTCATTTTTTGAGACATGGGCATTTCCAAAACTGGTCTATACCTGTAATAAACCATTTATTATGGTCTTCATACTTATACTGGTACCAGTCACCCCAAAACATTTCTACACTTTGTCCCATATTCACCAAGATGCTGAACCATCCCCTGATTTTACTGTGATGAGCTTTAAAAAAAAGGAGGCCAAAGGACAGAGATGTCAAAGAAATTTCCTTATCAATTATGCAATGTGAACCAAGATATTTGTTGTTTGTTTTGTGTGTGCATGTTTATTTTTGTTATTGTTATTTCTACCATTTTTACCAGCCATATAAAGTTGAGGTTTTAGACCATGATTTAAAAAAAAAACTAAATCACTGTGGTGAACTGGGCATGTACGTTAGGGTATTCCATACTGAATTTATCAGCATCTATGAGAAATCTATACCATGAAATATCTAAGTTTATTATTTGAATGTGTTCTAATAGTATGCCTATAATTAAAGTTGATCTGCATTAGTTAGTGTGAGTTACAGTAATTATAAAACAAATTGAAGAAGAAAAAAAGATTTAGCACTGTCTAATCTTTGCAGATATTGAGATCAAGTTGTCAGTTGAATATGTCATGTGTATACTATTATACTATTAAGACAGACAAATCATTAAAAAAAAGACACACATATAAATGTATTAAGGTAATGTGTATTGTATTGATTTTGCTGATATTCAGGTGATCCCGTACAATCAGCTTCCTAACTATGACCCTGCTCTGGCCCGTGAATACTTGGACAAACTGGTAGTGATCAAGCTGAATGGTGGTCTGGGTACCAGTATGGGATGCCAAGGTCCAAAGAGTGTCATCAGTGTCAGAAATGAACTTACCTTCCTGGACTTAACCGTCCGCCAAATTGAGGTATAGACAACTTCTGTTTACTCAAACATTCAAAGTATATACTGCTGGGAGGTGTGAGAAGCATGAGAGCTGAAATGACCAAGTTTAAGTCTTGGTTCATTCTAAATTGTAGAAGATTATGATAGCTGAGGGTACTAGATAACAGATACATATCTTTTGATATGGCTCATATTCTGCTTGTTTTATATTTTTTTCTACCAGGAGGTAGTTGTCCTAGAACCATTCTAAATCTCTATTTTCCCCATAGGTTTAGAGCATTGCAATACAGTGTGAGTCAAAAAAAGGTTTACACCTAGAAAATTGCTAATTATTTAAAAACTCATTGATGAACTTTAAACTGTCTTATGAAAGAGTGTTTTATCCCTACTCATTTGGTACTATTTTTGTGTAGTATGTGTTCACCCTTGGATGAAGAGGAGACATTTTTTGCGAGAGTGCAAAAATCAAATTGCGCCAAAGTTGCCTATGTGATGTTTGAATAAAACAATTGGAATTTGGGTATTAATTCGGTCTTTGCAGATCCAAATAACACCCCTAACAAAATTAATCATGCTACACATTTGTGCGTGTGTGTGTGGGTGTGTGTGACTTTGCCCTTTGCAAAAAAAATAAAAATATGCAATGCATTTCATTTGATACATTCAATCCATTCTCTCACTCCGTTAACCCCAACATAATACATACTGAAGGCATCACTTTGGCGCAAGTCGATTTTTGCACTCTCGCAAACAATGCCACCTGTTCATCCAAGCGTGAACACATACCACACAAAAATGGTACCAAATGATTTGGGATAAAACACTCTTTCATAAGATGTATAATAATTTACTGTTCATAGATGATTTTAAAAATAATTAGCAATTTTCTAGGTGTAAATTTTTGTTTGACTCACACGGTATACCAGTTACACTACATATTGTCTGTTTAAAGCCAGAAAGGGTGTTAACTCTGTGTAAAATTATATGAGTTAACACCCTTCTGGCTCCAAGCTGATGATCCAATCATGTAAGCACGTCTTCCTTGGGATAAGATAAAATCTTATGTGTTTTTTTAAGACATGAGAATATAGAATTGAAATTTTTGGCTGTGTCCTCTAGATGTCATGTGTGGTATCAAAATTGTGATTCATAACCATATCTTTCTCCTTATTATGTAATGATCTTCTTTATCTCCAGCATCACTATCATTATCATCATCTTCATTGTTATCACTACCATCACGGTCATCCTACCATCATCTTCTCCAGTTTAGTTACATTTTTCAACCTTGAAAGTAATTCAATTCAACTTTGCATTGAACTATACAGCACCTGAATAAAACATATGGCTGCGACGTACCATTAGTATTGATGAACTCCTTCAACACAGATGAGGACACAAGTAAGGTCTTGCGCAAGTACGGCAACATCAACATCAAAATCCATACCTTCCAACAAAGCAGGTAGGCATCTTTACTTTAGCTTTTCTATATAGTTTAAGAAATAACCTGTTTATGACTATAGGGAGGATGCAACATCCTTTTAGTCCCCCCCCCCCCCCCCTCCTCCTCCTACCAGAACCCTGTACACTGCCAGAACCTGCATCCTGCACTTGATTGGGTTCGTTTTGTGACCCAAGAAGAAGAGCTTCTAATAGCATCAAACATGGTTAACAAAGATTTTTCAAACAAATCAACATGTTGGTCAATATTAGTAGCCTAGTGCATCATCTATTGTAATTTGTGACCTTTACAATAACCTCTTACACACTCCCTAATTTCTTAGGAAATACAATGAGATTTTGAAGTTACCTTAGTGTTGATTTCTTGAAAAGGAAATCAAATTATTATGCAACACTGATATCACAGATACCACTTCATATCATTTGCTGTTGATAACACATTCTTAAAATAGTCATAAAATACAATACGGTTATTTCAAGGATCCATGGTAGATAAGAAGACTTAAAGGCAGTTTCAATGATTTATAAATGTCCAATCTATTCAAGAATAATCTCATGAGATATGGACTTGTATTGCACCAAAATTTGTTAGATGTAGTGATTATGTTAAAGTATTATTTGCTGAAAAATCATATAGATATCATGGAAAGGCATAAAATACAATTTTTTGGCTTGCTTTGTCTCGCATGTGACGTCACAAATCTTGACGCTCTACGGAGGACCGCTGAAGGCAGAAAATCTGCATCTCAAAATTAACCTTTTTAAGAGATAGTTACTGCGGGCTCCAAACATATTTTGAAGAGGGAAGTTGTTGTATTTGATCTTTAAGGCTTCCCCTTTGCAATGATATGAATTTCACATCAATTCAAAACACTTGACTCTTCGGGTGACTACTTTAACCATACTTCAGTTGAGCTGTCATGAAAAAACAGTTAGCCATTCATTTCATGTGGATTGATGTCTTGCCAAAGAGCATTTGTTCAAGGAAACTATTTATTTGCTCTACAGTTGATCAACAAGGTGACTTTGTATCCCATAGTTTGTCAACCTGACTTACATATATGAATAAATATTGACTCTTAGTTTACATCAGCAGTATTTGCATACAATCAAATGAGCTTTTCCACTCTTTAACCGGAAAGCAAATAAAATATGCAGCAAACATCATGAGTCCAATGTTGAACATTTTTCAAATTCTCCCTCAAAGCTAAGTGTATTTATTTGAAACAATTATTTAGGAGAAGAAAACAAACTTTTGATAGCAGTTTGCATTTTCTTGAAAACTATTTCTTTATGTCTCCGCCACTGAAGGTGGTGCCGGGGGCATTATGCGTTCGGTTTGTTCGTCTACCATTGTTCCACTTGAAATCTTAAAACAACATGTCTGTTGGTAATAAGAAATCTGCTCTCTTTTGCTTTATCAAGGTATCCAAGAATCAACAAAGAATCACTTCTACCCATCGCCAAAACTGCTGTGGTCAATGGAGACAATATTGAAAAGTAAGTATACAGACAATGTCTTTTGTGTGGGGATATTTTCATGATGTTTCTTTTTTCTCTCCGACTTAATTAACACAACAGTGAAACGTCATTTAAAGTGTCATAACTTTCATCCAACAGAATTGCCTTTAAATTAAACATGACACTATCTGTCTCTTCTTTGATTCAGTTGGTACCCTGATGGTTACAGTGGCATTTATGAGTGCTTCTAAAAGTCAGGCTTGTTGGACACCTTATCTAACAGAAACAAACTTGATAACATGACAATCTATTTCTTCTTTGATTCAGTTGGTACCCTCCTGGTCATGGGGATATCTACGAGTCCTTCTCTAACTCTGGCTTGCTGGACACCTTTATCAAACAGGGAAAGGAGTACCTTTTCCTTGCTAACATTGACAACCAGGGAGCAACCGTTGACCTTCGTATCCTTTTTATATGAAAAAAACATTGTGAAAAGGAATATGTTGCATTCAAATTTGTAGCATGGTGCATAGTTGTAATAATAAATGTGATTGCCAGCAAGTCTTTGTTAAAGGTAATACAAAGTTTTGGTATGAAGTCATGAATTTGGTTCAAATGAACATATTGGAAGCATGCGATCCTACAATATTCAGTGATCGTTGTCTTGGTTGAAATCGAGTCTAAAGTTATGAAATTGTTAATAATAAACTCTGTCTGTTGTATAGCTCCCTCTCAAGGTCAAGATATTAATTAAGCTATAAAACAACGTTTCTTGACTTAATTCGACCGATTAGCTATTCCCGTTTGGAAATTATATATCACAACTACACATTCTGAGACTATCATGGTCACAGCTACCATTGTACGGCCGTAGGAGCTATTTGAAATTCAATTTTTCTCAAAAGCAGAAGTGTTTTAGGGGCTAAATTTTCTAGTGCTTATAAAACATCCACAGGGGCATCCAAAAGAATGTAAAGAATCACTATCCACCCAATTTTCATGATTTCCCAAAACTTTGTATTACCTTTAATTGGTTTATAATAAGCTGGTCCAAACAGTCCATCTGCTGCATGATAAACAATTCAGAATTAATTAAAGTCAGTTTATCTCAATATTGAATTAGGTGACAAGAACCCAATGTTGGCTTTAATTGGTTAAATAAAAGCGAACTTAAAATGTTATGTAATTAAGGCTTTAACTAATATAACGACATATCATGTGCCAATGTGTCCCACCATGTGATCCTTAACCCTCCCTCTCTCAAAGGCATCCTAACATTATTGATGAATGAGAAGAACAGAGAAATGGTGATGGAAGTAACTGACAAGACGAGGGCTGATGTCAAGGTAAATCATCCTATCCTATTCTTCTTTTAAACATTCTTAATCATCTCAGTGAAATGTAATAGCATAACATACTGCATCTAAAATAGATTAAAGTGCACCAACCACCACAAATATTTTGCTCTGCTGTGTCAATTTAACATATTCAAATAATAATACTTCTATAATGAGATTTTGCAAGATTGAAGAAATTATGTAAAATCAACAGTAGTCAAGTTGACGCATCCATTCATGCTTATGTGGGAAAGGGCCCGTACGGAACCCACGTGTGACTAGAGTATTTATCATTATTATATTTCTTGCTGCTAGTTTTTTAAAGGGGATTAGTAACCTTTAAAGCGGGACTGCACTACTTGTAGCAATTTGCCCCCTCTATATAGCCAACAATGCCTAAGCGGTACCCATTGGTTCCCCCTGGTCCCCTTTTCTTATGTTAATTGAGAGCTGATTTGATGAGATAACCACCTGTCAGTGACCATGCAGGGAGGTCTAATCCCTCCTATAAACTAGTGTAGTTAGGCTTCAATGTCAAATCAATATTATTGAAGTATTAACTACTACAAGACTCATGCCTGATATTTACCTGATTTAAATCGGTTCCTGATTTTTGTATTTTTTCCGAATTTTTTTCTTCTTTCTTACGATTTAATCCCAATTTTCCCAATTTGTCCCTTATTTTCTCTATTCTTCCTGACTTTTCCCCAATTTGTCCCCAATTTTCTTACTCAAAAGGGAGGGGAGGGGGGAATTTTGTTAGATGCCATTCCCCCCCCCCCCACAATCCTCTTCCTTTTTTTTTTAGTGCTCACTATCACCCCGAAGACTCCTACTGCCCCGAAGGGCTTTAGAACATAAAACTGTCAGCCAAGTCTACTGATTTGATGTCAAATATGAGCTTAATTTTGATAATGGATCATGGTCATTCTAGGACAACTACCTCCCTGATACAGGTGTATCTGCTTTCTCTCCCCATCGCATAATGTAGTTTCATTTTTTTATGAGAGTAGTCATTGAGCTAAACCCCTTTGACATTCTTGAGGAATTTTGTTTTATGAGATATTATATAATTATGTATCTATATATGATATACACAGGTAGGGAAATGAGTTAATCTGCATTTGATGTTCTGAATATTAGTAAGACTGATTAGAAATCAGTTGTAGTTTGATATGTGAATCATTTTTAACCAAGTACTAGTAACATAAATGTCTGCAAACAGGTAACCTTTTAAACAGAAAGTTTTCATTTTATGTATCTATTTCCCTCTCTCTCTCTCTCCCTCCCCATCCCTTCCTCTCTCTCCCTCTCCGTCCCTCTTCCCATATATGTCTTTCCCATAATTATTTACAGTTTAATGTAATATAATTCTTATTCATCACCTTATGACAGGGAGGTACCTTGATCCAGTATCACGACAAATTGAGATTGCTTGAGATAGCCCAAGTACCAAAATGGCATGTAAGTATCAATGATTTCTCCCAATCAAATTAATGTTACATATTAAAGATAGTATATCTGCATTTGTTATAAAACAATAGTTGTGCTTAATAATAATAATAATATTTAATTTTTATATAGCGCTTAATACAAATGTCTCTAACCGCTTTACAAATATACTATGATTAATAATTAGAATTTAAGACATTCTGAGATGATTTTAGATTTTAGAATAGCACATTATATTGTAAATCTTTAAAGTGTTCTAATAAGTTTTTTTCATTAGCAAATTCAATCTTTCCTAAAAAAATGTAGAGTATTTTTTTAAAAGAAAAGAAAAAGGGAAACCCGATTTACCGTGCAAAATATATTTGTATAGCCATACCTAGATCTTTTTTAACATGTTACTAAAAGGAAAACTTCTTCCTCTTTCACATGACACCATATTCCTAAAGATATGACTTTGGATCATTAAACTATTTTATTTCCAGTAGATATTTTTGTAAATAAATAATTTATTTGGACATAAGAGGAAGATGTGTTGGTCAACACAATGGATGGCCTGTCATTCATTGAATCTTTTGGCTTTCATCAGTAAGGAGAATCATATTGGGATATCATCAAGTTTTCTATAGTCTGGAGAAGATCTCAAAAGATATCCATGCAAAAAGAGCTGCTGACATGAACTTGTGTGGCTATTAAGCTAAGATAACTTTGATGAAGGGAGAGGCTTCTTGAGTCATTATGAACAATTCACTGAATGCATCTCGATTAGGCATGAGGGGTCCTTTGTATATCATTCTGTTCTTCTGAGCACCAAATTTCACAGTACTTGTCATTACATGAGTGGTAGTTTGTGGACGATGCTTTATAATCGATATTTCACATAACATAAGTTTATCAGGACTATATTGTTTTTTGTTATAGTCTATATTAGGAAAAATTTGATTTTCTTTATTAAGATACACACTGTTATAGGATGGTAAAATACTAAACCACATACCGTAGTACATGTAAGTATACACCCTTTGTGGTTTCCATATTATGAAGAATTTCCATACCGCTTTTTTAAATACAAATTATTGTTTTAAATGTATTTTAGAGCAATTATGTCAAGACGTATGTTTATAATAACACAATATTTATTCTTATCCACAGGTTGACGATTTTAAATCCGTCTCCAAATTCAAGTGAGTGCAAGTTCTTGAATCTGTTAATTATTTTGAATATTTAATTTTGATTCATTTATTTAGTTACCTAGTCTCCATCTAGATTATACCTTCCTTTCCCTTCTTTTGTATCCATGATTCAATTTTACGCAGTTGAGGAGGTAAAATTTAGAGGGTTTTCAACCCCTTTTTAGCTTTTCTTTTTTTCCATTGTATTACCTTATACTTGACCTTTTAAGTTGAATTCAAAGAAAAATTGATTGTATAGTGATGTGGTGGAGAAGGAAAATACAATAATTGAAAGCCTGTTAGATTATTACTGGGCATAAGCTGAAATATAGGGTAAATTAGGTGCTTTGGTGAATTTAGTTCAACATATTGTAGGGAATGCAATTTTACTATTTTACCTTTATTCTAAAAATTATTTACTATGGTCTTCAAGTTTGAACATGTTTGATTTCTTCATTCCTCTTTGATTTGTAGGATCTTCAATACCAACAATCTATGGATCAAGCTGGATGCCATTAAACGTGTTGTTGAAAATAAATCCCTTTCAATGGAGATCATCGTCAATAATAAGGTTTGTGTCCCCACAATAGTATTTTTTTTTAAAGGGCTTTATATCAACAGCAACAGGGTTTGTTTGGTAATTTTTTTTTTCAATGATATTTTATTTTCTCCATTGCTTTTCACAAACAATAACAAAAATAACAAAATCAATACATAAAATAGTCTGCATGTTAATATTATTATATAGAATATGATTTTACATTCACATCTAAATGATACAAATTAAGTTTTACTATTTACATCAAATAAAGCATGAAACATGCATGCATGAAGAATGCATGAACATAAAAGACATTTAAAAAAGAAGAAAAGAAAAAAAATAGGAGAAAACGTGTAAAGATAAACAGATTTATGTTAGAGGGCTTTTATATGTGCCATAATAATCATTTCCTTTGACTGTTGGCATCAATGGAAAGAAAAGGAATTAACATTAGAGGGCTTTGGCATCCTCAGCAAAGTTGTCAAAGGGTTAAGGTAAAATTATTGATGTTCGATGTCCTTGCAAGGTCAGCAACATCGTGTGCTTGGCATAAAGTCATTGTAACAACTGCTAAAACAACTGAACTTATATGGCTTTATCAGGCTCAGTATCATTGTTGTTTTTGATATTAAAACGTTTCTAAGTTTAAAAGAACTGATATTAGAGGGGTTTATGTCTCATTTTAGTTGATGATAAAGAGATATTCCATTAATTGAGAATGATTAATGTTGTTCTGCATGGTCAGCGATCTCATTTATTTGAGATCAAAGGTTAATCAACTAGACTTGAAGGATTAACATTGTATGGTTTTAGCAAGATCAACATCATTATGTTTGATTTTGAACACCTATTGACTTTAAATTAATAGTGGGCAATCTCCTAGGTCAGTTCACCACATCCAGCCTTTCCTCTTTTTTTCTTTTTTACAGACCCTCGATAATGGCTTGAATGTAATCCAGCTAGAGAGAGCTGTCGGAGCTGCCATGCAAAACTTTGATAATCCACTTGGTAAGTTCTTTTTTCTCTCCAATATTACATATTGGCAGTGTTGATCTACCTTTAATAAGATTCACCCATGAAGATGGTGCGTTATGTAGGTGTCTCATTTACACAGACCAGGGCCCTGTTTCATAATGCATGTTTTCAGTAATAAATTACAGACCTGTTTAATATAAGCTAATAAATCAATGCATTTGATTGGCTGTGAGCATATTTTGTATAGAAACATTACACTTATTATTGATGATAATTTGAATGAAACAGGCCCTAGGCCCCGTTATCCATGCATCGTCTCCCCAAATTACAAATGAGACCTCCAGAATAAAGTTAATCATCCTAGAGTTGTTTGGAGCTCTATTTTTTATATAACATTCGTGTATGATGTTATCCAAATAAACTGGGATGAACCATTTTCTTGCACAATTCCATTTTCAGTGGTCTAGAAACACACAAATACATTTATGAACTGGCCCACTATATACAGAGATCCTCTGCTTGGATGAATTTGAGAATTAATTAAGAGATGGTATGTCTTTCTTTGACAGGTGTCAATGTTCCCAGGAGTCGTTTCCTGCCAGTCAAGAAGACTCAGGATCTTTTGCTGATCATGTCTAACCTCTACCTTCTCAAGTCTGGTACCCTGGGGATGAGTCCCTTGAGACAGTTCCCTAGCACACCCATCATCAAACTAGGCACCCATTTTGACAAGGTTTGTACCGGTAGTGTGTACCCATGCCCTCAAAGCTCCTCCTTCTTAATGCCATTGGTGTTTAACCGCAAAAGTAAGGGTCCAGATAATCATTCTATAAGCTGCTTCCTACAGTACAATATTTCTTGCAAAAACCCTATCAGCACCTAGCATGCAGAATCAAATTTTGGCTTGTGTTTATTTTGTGTTGTTATGACTATTTGATACATGACCATTAAACTTTTAAAGTAATCAGGTCTGAAAATCTCCCGATTTAAATTGGCTTCCCGATTATTATTTTTTCCCGATTTTTTTTCTCCTGATTTTTCCCCCAAGTTTTTATGTATATATTTTATCATGATTTTTTCTCTCCAAAAATGGATATTCCCAGATATCGATGTAAATCCAGTTTTAAATTAGGGGGTGAGGTGCCGTTTTTTCATGACTTCATGGCTTAAACGCCTCACGCCAATGCTTGGATTTCTAAAACCTATTTCTTTTTTAAACTTTCTCTAAAACCTTTTTTTTTAAACTATCACAATCACCCCTGAATAATGCGAAACATGAAATAATGAAAAACTTGTAATATTTGAAACATGAATAGTACAAATATTCCCTTCAGCATCTACAGATATCCTTGTGATCAGTTTTGCCCATGCTATCATTTGAAGTATTTCATGTTAAATGTCCTACATGTATGCTGAATTCCTGTGTTATACTCTTACTTCTTTGTAATGGATAACCTGTAAATAAAGCTTATTTTATGAAATTCAAACTGTGGAGGAGATAAGAATCAATTTTTATGCTCACTGGATACAGGTACGAGATTTCTTGAAGAGATTTGCAAGTATTCCCAACCTCTTAGAGTTGGATCACCTGACTGTATCAGGAGATGTCACCTTTGGTAAAGGTGTTGTGCTCAAAGTAAGTACAGATTTTCTTTCTTTTAATTCTTTCTTGCTTTCTTCTTCTTCTTCTTCTTCTTCTTCTTCTTCTTCTTCTTCTTCTTTTGTTATTATAATTAGTTTTTATGTTGTTGTGATTTTGGTTCTCGTGATCATCATCTTCATCACTTTCTTCACTTTTATTATTTGTATTATTCTAATTATAAAGGTATTGTGTACTTCCCACAAATCAAAGATAAACTTGAGTTCTGGTAAAAAAGAAAATGAATTTCCACAGAATCAAACGAAACTTACACTGAATGTTTAAGATTACAAATAAATGTCATTTGCCAAACAATTTTGGTAGAAAATGTATACTGACTGAGTAATGAGCATAGAAAGATAAGGAAATCAAGTTAAGTAGGCCTGACACCATTTGTGTAATCCCATATACATGTTTCTGTGTACAGTGCTTGTTACTTTACCAAGACTGGGCCAAATTTATTATGATTTTGATGACTCCAGAACCTTGTATTACACACCAATACTTACATGCCACATGATCAACTTTTCCTGATCCATTCCACACCTTTTCTTTCACAATGCAATCGCATCACCGGAACTCAACTTTATCTTTAATGTGAATTTAAAATCACACTAAAAGATAGTAGATGACATTTGGAAATGAAGTACACTTACACATCAATCCCCAAGCAGGAGAAACAAACCTTTTAAAGTATTAAATTAAGTTAAGCTAAGCATTGCCTGCACCCCAGCTCTTGAGTTCTGTCTATCCAGTTTCATGTGAAGGACTCAGACTCCGAGCCACACTGGCTTTATCTGTGTGTTGAATGATAGAAGTCAATACCTTTCTTGCATTGAGCAGACTTTATGTGGGAGTAACAGAAGTTACACTATTAAAGATAAACTTTAGTACTGGTAATGCGATTGCATTGTGAAAGAAAAGGTGTGGAAAGGATCAGAAACAGTTGATCATGTAGCATGTAAGTATTGGTGTGCACTGCAAGGTTCTGGAGTCATCAAAATCATAATAAATTTGACCGAGTCTTGGTAACGTAACAAGCACATACACAGAAAGCTATGTATGGGACAACACGAATGGTGTCGGGGTTGGTACTACCTTGATTCCTTGTCTTTCTATGCTCATTACTCAGCCAGTATACATTTTCTTCCAAAATTGTTTGGCACATGTCATTTATTTGTAATCTTGAACATTCAGTGTAAGTTTCGTTTGATTCTGTGAGAAATAATTTTCTTTTTTTTACCAGTACTCAACCTTCTCTTTAACCTCATTACATTTCAACCTTCAGTATCCCAAGTCTCTATTACAAGGCCCCTTTTTCGTTCATTCTGTCTTTAATACCTCAGCCCATTTACCTTTATCTGTCGATTTCAATTCCTAGGTTCCATGAAGAAGAAAAAAATGTTACTCTTGCAATAATGTGGACAAACATGTTTACTTCTTTTCTACCATGTGATGTAGATCTTGACCTTTGAAGTATTACTATAAATGGAATTAATCATGTCTTATTTCTGTTTAGAGATTGTTTGATTTCAATCCTTGCAAACCTGGAGAAAATTGTGTTGTCATGGTTATGCGAAATGTCACCAATTCAGTGATGGTCGTTGTTTGAAATACCAAGGATTCATATGACCGATCTTGCCCTACGTATAGTCATTCTGAACACTAATTATTACTTAATCAGCATGTCATGAAGTGAAGTATCAAAAAATGAGCTGAAGCTCTAAATTCTTGCTCAATTAATGTAATGAAACCATACAGGAAGCTTAAACTTTTCTAATAACTAAGTTTCATTGTAACCTATTTATTCTGCCAATGTCTAGAATATAGAACATTCATGAATTAATAGATTTTTGTAAATCAAAAAGCATAATGATGTTTTGTGCTAGGAAAGATCTTCCTGTAATATCATCTGAATGGACAGAATTGAGGACAAAACATTTCAACACAGTGATCTCTGAATTAATTTACCCCATTTCTATCCAAGACCACCGCTCCAACCAATGGGCCAAACCTCTCCTTAGTGTTTTTGTGGTTACATAATTATGTGTAAAACATTGCTCATTTTCTGTTGTTGTCTTCAAACAGGGGACAGTGATAATCATCGCCAATCATGGAGAGAGAATTGATATCCCACCAGGAGCCATACTGGAAAACAAGATAGTCTCTGGAAATCTAAGAATCTTAGATCATTGATGGAAAGGAACTCCATTGGAGATTATGTGTATTCTGAAATCATACTCTTCATTGTACTCCATTGATATCATAGCATAAGAGAGAATTGCAAAGTCAATTTAACAGATAGATATAGAGAAATATATATTATGTTTCATAAACAAAAGATTGTCTTGTAGGTATTTGGATTATCTGCTTGTCTGCTTAAACATGTGATTGTCTAATCATTCTAAATAGCCTGTCAGAGAAATATCCTGGAATACAGCATTAAATATTCTTATAGACAGGTAATTTAAGACATGTCACCACAAACCCAGACAAGCCTGCAGTTTGCAGATCACATTACACAGTTTAAACGTACAGCTGTTTGTGCCCCATTTCTTGGAATGTAAACATGAACAAATGCTGTTTCAGTAAACATCTCAAATGCCTAAACTGTGTCACAGGTCATGCATGCATCATGCAGTATAATACCGTTGATCAGTTAAAGATCTTAATCCGTTATAAATTTGCAAAGGGAGATCCAACTTTTAAAGCAAATTGCTGTTGAAGAAAGCAGAACAATCAGAGAAGCAGATTGCTGAAAGTTTTATCAACAGTCAACAAGAAAGTAATTAATTTTTTAATGTTGTAATCACTATACATACAGGAATTTCAAATTGGCTGAATTGTTAATGTCACTGTGAGAATGTGCCGGACAACTCTCTTCAATATTTCAACACAAACTGACTAAAACATCAATTTTTTCAAATGTATCATTCAGGAGGCTCTTTTCTTTTTGGAGGACGTGTAATAATGTGCTATCTATGTGGGTTAGTACCTGAAGGGAGAAGGTGATTGGTAGAAAATGGGAATTGATGATATTTTAGTAGTTAACAAATGAGAGAGTTGTCTGTGAATTTGTCACAGTCCACTGATCATTTTGCAAATAGAAATAAGCAAAGATTGATCTCATATTTTTCTCATAATACTTGCCTGGTTTATTTCAAATTCTTGACATTCTGTATCTCTTATTTTTCTACTTTCTCACAAATTAACTAGATGCATAGGTTGGATTGCCTCTTAAGTTGTGAAATTTTCCTGAAAGAAAGTTTGAGGAGAACAGATTTAATAGCTTGACAATTTACTTTGTCAAAATATATATTGATAATGTATAATATTGGAGATTTTTTAATTGATATTTTCTGGTATTTTTGCAGAAAAACAATTGAAGAGGTAGGTGGTTATTTGCTTGAAAAGTACATTTACAAAGTGCAGTGATTTATGATTGTAAAAATGTGCCGTTGATAAACTTGATATGCTAGGGTGTAGGAGGTGTTGAATTAAAGTGACATGAAATATTAGAGCAGAGCTGCTCCTGTGCCATAATAAGCCTCACAAAAGCTCCTGTCTAAAGCATATTTTTGCAAATAGAATTAGTGCTACTTTATGTTTGAGTTCTGTGTGAAATAGAAATACAACCTCTGCATGAAATGATTGACAAGTGATTTTCAAACACTGTTGCTGTTACTGCTATGCTTGATCATGAACAATACATTCATAGGGCTACTTGCATGGATGTGGCTACCTCATCAAGTAATTAAGTGCATGTGTCAAACTTTCTGAAAGATCACTTTGTGGGAGCTATTATCACATTTTGTTGTCAATGCTTATACGTAGTGGGCTGAAGAAGATAAATCAAGGAGCAGAGTTGTCTAAACGTGATATGGTCTGTATACATTAGTCTTCCTTACATGTGTGATTATATTTGTTTTGTTTTAAAAATAACTGTACTAAAGTGTCAGAAATTAATTACTGAATACTAATATAAAATTCTCATCTATTTTCTTGTATGTGTGACAATATTTGTGTATACATGTAGACTCGGTATACATCTAGCTTATGACAAAAATGTACAGAGAGATTTAATTCAGTATTCTATTTTATAGGACAAATGACCAAATATTATATAATCTGTTTATTCTTAGAAAAGATAGAATATTCAAATGGTTAATGACTAAAGAGCATAAAGAGAATATTATATCAATATAAGACTTGTACACAAAATAATTCTGAATTAGTATATGGGTGCGCATTAATTAATAGTAGTTTACTCCCTATTCTCATTTTCGTTCATTCATTAATACCATTGTACCATCTTGTATGTCATAAGAAGTTTGTGTATATAGACCCATTGTATATCAAATGTATTCACGTGTCCTAGGTGCAAATATCTGTATAAACAATGCTGCAGCATAGAGTGTACTAGGCATAGGCTATTCAGATGGACTATATTTTAAAAGAAAAAGAAAGCATCATTATTGAGGGCATTTTAGAACAATTTTACTTACATGACATATATTTGCATGTAATATATACCTTTAATTAGGGTAGCATTTAAAAGATGGCATACAACCAATTAAAGCCCCACTGCAGTACTAGCACCCTCATATAGCAAACAATGCCTAATTGGTGACCATGGGTCCCCCATGATCCCCTTTTCTTATTTTAGTTGAGAGCCGATTTGATGAGATAACCACCTGTCGGTGACCGTGCAGGGAGGTCTAATCCCTCTTGGCAAAACTAGTGCAGACGGGCTTTAAGCAATAAGAATCAATTTTTTTAATTGACCTGTAAAAGGGATTTATGATTTGTCAATGCTGATGGGGTTAAATTTAAAGTAATAGTGCAGTGGGAAGATCCTCTATAAATAGAGATTTGTTGTACATGTCATGTTATGTTATCGTTATCATGTTCGATACCTGTCAGTAAATGTAAGCCTGTTATCACTGTTCCTATGCTAATGTTCAGATAAGCTTTAAGTGAGACATTGCTTAATTATGAGAACATTTTCACTTTCCTGTCCAAAGATATATCATTGTTGTTCTATCTACTCCTGACAACATTCGCTTACATGAAAATGTAATGAGTTATCTTGGGGACTATGATATTTAAGGATTTTCCTGTTTTGATTTACAGGAGTTTTTATATTACTTATTTTATTATATCCCTATATCAAAGAGTATTTTTGTATGCTAGAAGATCGTGTTTCCCTTTTGAAGGACTTGGATATAACACAACTATAAGAGTAATATTAACAAATAACCGTTTCAGAACTGCCCTTTGACTTAGACAAGATATATTAACCTTTGAATTAACTATGTGAGTCATTAAATGTTCCTGAAAGTGTGGTATACAAACACAAGTTAAGTTCACCTTTTTAGAAGTTATGAAAGGTATTTAAATAAAAATGTCATGTTATTGTTATAATCCCATCTTTACCACCTGTTATGAAACTTCATGTTTTAAAAAGATATATTAACTTTATTCATAATCATTATAAAAAATCATCTTATATTCCTAAAGTTGGAATTAAGATATTTTGATTTGTTATTAATGCTTTAGATGGCTGTTGATTTGAAATGGCCATTGATAAAGTTACTCTTTGAATTAATAAACAAATTATACTAAAGCTCTACATATACCAAGTGAAGTTGTCTATTTTCTAGATGTATCTGAAACTACCAAAATATCATCCCAACACCCATCCATACATTCTTTTACCAATGTCCAATCATATTACAACTCTTACTTGATAAAATCCAGTTGAACACAGTCTCTATTATGCTTTTAGATGAATTAAAAATGAAACAAGTTTCCTGCATGATAAATTTATATGACAAGGTAGAGAATGTAATTTTGACAGATGGACCATGAAAGTAGAAATTACGCTCATTTGCTATGAAACATCGCTTTTTTAAAGAAGTGATGCTTCTTGATATCAGCATTTTTACTCCGAGAGAAGTTTCTAACAAGTTTTTCAGGATGAGAGAATCTAACATTAACATAATTTAGTTACATGAATAACATTGCTCCATCTATTTTACTGTCCCTCAATAGAATAAATAAGGTTCAAACCACATAAATTCATCATTAGTGGAGTGAAACAATATACAGAGTTTCATTTAATCATTTTACTTCATCAATTGACTAATAAAATAGCATTTATGATAAAAAGCGATGTTAATTTAATGTGTGTGTATTTTTTGTTAACATTGTTTATTGCCTTTTCCCTTTGATTACCAAGGTAAAACCCTGTGAGTAAATGTTATATAGCATTATGTTCTATTAGAGCACAATGTCAATTTTAATTAAATAATACAAGTCGTCATTCTCATTTTTTGTTGTTATATCGTTTTGATTTGCAAAATAGTGAAGGAAAAAGAGAAAACAAAGGGGGGGGGGGTATCACTTGCAGGAAATTATGTACATTGGAAAAGCACTAACAGGCATGATTTGCTCATATAGGTGTCTTTTTGTATGTAGTTTCTTAAATTGGAGAGGGTCGGCCCAATTGACATAATAATTTGCCTAGAAAGTTATACTGACTTTTAAGATGAATAAAGCAAGGTCAAACCGATCATGTTATAGTTACTTTGTATTCATTTTCAGTCAAAAGAGTTAGCAACTTCCAAGATGTCAAATAACATTTGATTCGTAAATAATTCTAATGATACACGGCTTGATGCGAGCAGAAACCACGAAATTTATAATTAGAATACAATATCCTTTTTTTTAAAACCAATTTTCACTTATGGATGAAAAGAAATAATGAGATAAATTCCATATAAATACATGAAGTAAAATAATTGGCCAATATTCCTCACCTCCAGTATTAATCTATTTCTTTATCTTAAAAGTGACGGTTAACCCCCCCCCCCCCCCCCCCCCCCCCCCCCCACACTCTGTGATCGGAGGGATACCATGCGTGCTAGCAAAATGTCCGGTAAAGGGGTACTTTTCACGCACCATAGTCCGGCTCGTAGTACTAAAAAGCCCGTTTTACACACCGGACTTATGGGGTGTTTTCAAAAGGAGGGAACATGTATATGCGTACCCTAAATAACACTGAGTTGGGGGGGGGGGGGGGGCAGTTAACATTGTCATATTAAATGCCATTTTTTGTGGACACACTCAGGTAAGATATCATATTTTGCGGATTCTTCATCTGAAATATGCATTGTATCACGTACAAATAATTAATGATTTTAAATGTTTTTAATAAGACATGACACGAAACCCACCTATATCAAATTAAATCCAGTCGATTCAAAATCATATAAGTTAATATGGCACAAAATAAGCGTAAAACTCATCTTACAAATTTAATCTAGCCGGCGTCTTTCCTTCGATTGTCAACTAGATGTATAAAATCGGGGCACTTGTGTTCTGAAGGTTCTTAATTCCATAAGTGGAATAGTGTTCTCATCTACTTTTCGGAATGAAAACTGTTATTCGGAAAAAGAAGGAAAAAAAATGTTCAGATTATTCAACCTTCGAAGTAACAAATGTTTGTAAAGGCAATATAACAATATAACCAGTACATTGATTTTAAGTATAAATGAATCTCCAAATAATTTTCGGACAATATGAATGATTATTATTTATTATCTATTTAATCATTTTTTTTTCTAAAGCAGGGTAGTCTTATTCAAGGGCCACGGAGGGTGTGCTTTACAATGGAGCCCTGCTGCACACACTAAAATGAACATTAAAGGGAGACTACATCATTACATTTTCGAATATATGTACAGTTGTACCAACAATTTCTACATAAATTATAAATTGTGCTGACAGAAAATTTGAAAGGGGCCGAATGTCTCCTATAATCCCCTTTAGCGACACCTTCCACGTTCTACATCATCGGGGCCTGCTGCAATACATGTATCACCAATAACTCGATAGGGCATACCATCCAGCCAAGACAATGTCTGGATACGCATTCAAAGTATATTTGCACACTAAATACTGTTACAAAAATAAAATTGACCTAACATTCTTTATATCTTAAACGAAATCGAAGAGTTTGCTTTGTTTGTAAATTAATGATAAAAGACATTTTTTTTAAATGGAAAAGACAGTGTAAAGCCGCAAAAAAAGCTTATATTAAAACAAACCTCCCTCTTCTGTTTGCCAATCTAATACTGCTAAATTTAAATATGAACTATCACCTATGACATGTGATCGAAAATAATTGTCTATAAATTTCATTTTCTTAGAAATAATCCCTTGCTGTGTTTCTTTTCTTTGATCTTATATATATATATATATATATATATATATATTCTAAATAAAGTTCCGACACATGCATACAAGTGAGGAGTTCGATTTTAGGAACACTAATTACACGTCCTTGCATTAGGGCAGGTTTACCTTCTAAATCACGTAGCAATGTTAATCTACTGTGTATTTCTTGCTAATTGAATTTTATAACAGGCTGGTAGCCTAGAAGAAGCTTTACACGCAGATCATATCGATTTCTAGTACACTACCAGCAAGATTAGTTGTAAAAGGGTTTGATATATAGAAAGACACTATGTGGTAACAATATGAACAAAAGCAACCAGGAAGAAGCAAGAAAGACTGACCGAGCTTTGGAAAGTTTGTAGATCATGAGAAAACAGCTTTGAATAGTGTATAATAATAGTTCTGAAAAGTATGACGGTATTCCACATGAGAGTAGATCAGAACTATACGTTTCAAAGGGTCAGCTTAAAAAAATATGTGGATATATATAGGTCTATTAATAATCTGTTCGGTTAAAATTCACAAATATAATGACTGATGGACTATTATGTGGGAGAAGGGTGAAATACAAAGTTTGTTATAAGCCTAAGTGTGGAAAACAATGGACGTCGATTAGGCCATGAATATGTATACCGTGCATCTCCCAAAAAAAAATATACACTTTTGAAATGGCAGCCATTTCAAAAGTGTATAGTTTTTTTGGGGAAGCAAGGTGTGATCGTGCCCGTGTTTGGACGAAAAGCATTCGAGAGAGGGAGAGGGAGAGGAAGAGGGATAGAGAGAGAGAGAGAGAGAGAAAAGGGGGGGGGGGAGGAAATGGGAGGGGGAGAAATCAGTGCTTTTAGCTTTTAACGTAAGGCTTATGGCGCATAATATTCATTAAAGGGAAAGTCCACCCCCAAAATAAGTTTGTTTCGATAGAGGCAGAATAATAAGAAAATCAGGTGAGTGAAAGTTTGAGCAAATTCTGAATGAAAATAAGAAAGTTATGAATTATTGAAGTTGTGATCAATCAAACACAAATTGGCAACTCTATGACGTATCATGCGAGCTCAACTTCCATTTTGCTCAGTACTAAAAAAATCTAAAATTTTCATTTTCCCTCAAGAAAAATTTCAACCATACATGCACCCTAAATATAATAATTGCAAATATGTTTCTATACTCCCCCTGCAAGGAACAATTATATATTCCGTCATCAATAACGAAGAAAACATGATTTTATGGAATATTATGCACAAAGCAAATGAAGGAGAGCTCGTATAATAAGTCACAGAGTTGCCAATTTGTATTTGATTGATCACAACTTCAATAATTCATAACTTTCTTATTTTCATTCAGAATTTGCTCAAACTTTCACTCACCTGATTTTCTTATTATTCTGCCTCTATCGAAACAAACTTATTTTGGGGGTGGACTTTCCCTTTAATACTATTATCATTATATTATCATTATCATTTTCATTATAAATATTATTATGATTGTCATGGTTCTTATGATTATTAAAAACAACTTATTATTATCATTATTTGAATATTTATATATATCATTTTTAAAATTATTGTTATTATTATTTTTTATTATTGTTATCATTATTAAGAGAGAGAGAGAGATAGAGAGATAGAGAGAGAGAGAGAGAGAAAGAGAGAAAGAGAGAGAGAGAGAGAGAGAACGAGAGAGAGAGAGAGAGAGAGAAAGATCTAAAGGGAAGGAATGAGTCGGATAGGATCTGATTAGAATATAATAATAATAAATATCATAAAAGTATGTCTTCTTCACCCAGGATAGCCTCATCAGTAGGCCCTATTAAACATGTTCTCTCTGAGGGCCCATTACATTGGTTACTGGAGTAATGTGTTGTCGGTGTATATAATTAATATGCATGTATGCCTCAAAATATTCAACCCTGATATTCAGTCATGATAAAACGCGACGACCAAAGCCTATATTACATCGATTCTGTGTTGTTTTGCATCCTTTCTGGCAATATTTAAATACACTCCTGCTAACATTCAAATAACATTTAAAAGGGGCATGTAATTACTTGCCCTCAAACACCCAGAGCGCCAAGGGCGACCCCAGGTTTTTGTATTTAAAAAAAGAGCTGGGGCACAATTCCGAATGAAATATGATGACCACTGTCATCGCATCAGATATCTAGGTTACTTTTATTCAACCCGAAATTTGAAATGGGGAGCACAAGTTTCTATTTGTGTGTGTGCTTGAGGGACACAGCATTGGTAGAAACATAAAGGACAGGGGAAGGTTAGGCCTATATCTCCATAATCCGTTGGTGATAAACAGCCCCCTTATCTACCGGCCAAGGTGAAGTTCGGACACCTCTTTTATTACGTATAGGGCATATAGGCTAGACTAATCACTGCTTTGTATCTTCCCTCTATGACACTGAAAGAAAATCAGGCGATTTTTTTAAATTTGGAAAGTAGAATAATAAAAATAAATATTAAATGGATCGAGTTCTGATGGACTGTGGGTTGATGAACTCAAGATCGCAGACAGCGCAATGGTAAAGACAGAGCATATCATTATGATTATATTCAACATGTAAAGAGGAAGAGGGTAAAGCCCTCCATCTTTTGCACGAGATAATGCCGCGCGAAACGGGCGTATATATTGACAGGCTGCAATATCTTGGTACACTCGGTGTACCGAACCCTCGGCTTTGCTGCCTCTCGCTCCGTTCTCTATCATAGACGATACGTGTTTATAGGTATGGCCGTGAAAAGTACGGAATTCACTGTGCACGGTTGGAAAGGGAGTGGAATTAATTCCATGTACAAGGTACAATGACTTGTCATGATGCATTGGAAGCACAAGTGGACCCTGAACGGACCGGGATTATGTTTTTAGATGTATTTTAGTGCCTGTTAACGAGTTGATTTGTGGTTCAATCCCGGCTTGTCGACCAGCTGTCATATTGAAGTTCGCGTATTGTCGTACCAGTTTATCGGCTTGGATTCACGTTCACAGTATTTCTACACATAGTGCATGGAGAAACGGAGAGACCGCCCGTGCAAACGGTGCATAAACGCTTACGCTTTCTACGTACGATAGTAACGTAGCGCCAGCGATCGCTGGTTTCGCGATTATATTGTTTTTGCCTTAGAGGTAAAAGTATTAAAACATAAATTGTTGCGAAGCGTAGTTCGAGACTTCATACATGGAATATATTATGCATATATATTTATGAATATATATCTATATATAAGGACACTATAATGTAATTCTCTTGAAGTTAGAGGAAGACATGTTTTTATAAGGAGACACGGCTCATTCTTCGCGCTTCCACGGAATGAACCTGGTATATCCAGAGAGCCTCTTTCTCATGGAAATGATTCTATCGATTGTGAAGTGGTTTCAAGATGAGAAATATGTCGAACTTGACGTAATTTGTGTTAGCGCAGTTTAATTGGAAACATTGGATACATTATCCCTGTGATTGTACTCTTGGAGTTAAGGTGTATGCAAGAGTGGAAAGAGTTTGTTGACGTAGTGACAATCCGGGGGTTGCAGCAGCTACGGCCGTGTGGACTCGGTAGCAAAGAGAGGGACAGGTGTAAATTATGCAGAAAATGGCACACTGGCGGCGGGTCAACGGTGCTGGTGATGAGGAATGCTCACACCCGAATCTTATCGTCTATCGAAAGGTAATTGATGTGGGATCTAAAACTAGGGAATGGAATAGGGTACAGTGGTGGTGGTGGTTGGTTTATCATTTAGTTAATATCAACATTTTACTTCAAACGCATAGAGTAATAATTATTAGTAATTGCAATTTTTTTTGGATTGATTACTGTTTTAATACAAAATGTATATATCCCTAATTATATATGTCCCTAGAATTAGATGTACCATTTATGGTAAAAATTGGCCGATCACTCTGCTTGAAAGTAGTTTGACTAAATTGATGATTGAGGTCGTAGCATGATATAGTGCATGTGTTCTAGTGTAGATTATGATTAAAACATGTGATCTTATTTAAATTCATAGGGACCAGTGTAAAAATGAAATGTGATTAAAATGCATAGGAAGTAGGCTGCAGCATTGCAAAACAGAATGGCCCGTAGGAAATGCTGTTATCCGGCTCATCATGACACAATTCTCGATAACAGGATGTAAGTGTTCTTTTCTCCCTTAGTATAATAAAGGTATTGTTTACTGTGGCATAATATTGGTAACATATCAGAAATTACATATCAAGTTCCTGAAAAAATGAAATCTTATTCATATCTTTAATAATACTTTGCCGTTAATTATAGAATTAAAATGTCTTCCACCTTGATTAACTAACTGACACACCTTGCTGTTTTAAATAATTACCCTGATCAAGATTATTTTAATTTTGCTTGTAAAGAATTTTGGGTCTTGTGTTTCTCAAAATCTGCAAGAGAATCATGAATCTGTCAATGAATATGATATTTTTCTTTCCTAAACCTTATTTCTTTTTATCTTCGGTTTTTGTCAAATTAAAGAAAAGCAATCGCTAAGGTGGAAGATCCAGATTGTCCTGACATATTATATTATGGTATATATTGGCCCATCTACCCAGACAGTTTTGAGAAATCATGATGTAGGAGTTTCATCATAAACTGTTATGCTCTCCATTTTTATATTCTAATGTTTTATTCATAAAAGATTAGCAGGCATCAATGTATTGCTGGGAAGTTTTGTTCTGCCTAAATGGTTATGCAATATGTGTTTTAGTAAACACTTTCATAATGGCTTTCTCAGCGACTTTACTGCACTATAAATATATTTACTGTCAGAACTTTCTCCATTATAAATATTTTTATTCATTCTGCAAATTCAAATATATTATCAATCAGCATGAACATAGTAACATGCACATTTTAATGCATAAAGACAAAAGAATATCCTGAGTTGATTACAAGGAAATATTTATTTTGTAGCTCTGCATGTACAATCATGTTGTACAAGGAAGTTTAATATCATTGTAATGAAAAGTATGATAATAATAATGAACATTACTTGTATAGCGCATATCACTCACACAAAGGAAGTCCCTATGTGCTTTAATAGGGAAGAAGGAAATAGAGATAGGGCAGAATAGAAATGAACAGTATATAATTTAAAAAAATAATAATAATAATAAAATAACAGAATAATGATGATAGTGCATTACGGACTGAAGAATACAGCCTTCTTGTGAGCAATATCCATGCCCTGTTACACCCTTTTAATCTCAATACCAGCACATTTATTACTGATGGGCTGTGCATGGTGACCGGGTGATAACATGCTGGTGATAAGAACAAAAATGCCCTTATAATTTACTTTAGACTTTTAGGCTTGATATAAGAATTTTACAGGCTGGTAATCTTTATTTCTGATTTTAAAATACAGAGAGAACCCTCCCTGTCAAAGTTTGATCTTGTAATCCTCAAACATTATGGAGAACACAACTGTATAAGTAGGAGGTAGTAGTACTAGTAGTAGTAGTAGTAGTATAGTAGTAGTAGTAGTAGTAGTAGTAGTAGTAGTAACAGAAGTAGTAGTAGTAGCAGTATTGTCAGTAGTAGTAGTTGTTGGTGTTCATGTTGTACACTTTATCAGATAAAACTTGTTTAGCAGAGGGCTAATCTACCATAAAGTCCCTGGGACATAGTATTGTAATCCTGATACATTCAGATTGATTATACTCAACGTTCATACATTTCTATTATCAATTGTTCTGTGAAAATCTGTGAGAATTTCATTAGTCAGGTAGGGACCAATTTCAGGTTACAAATTTGACTTAATGCACTTACTGCAATTTATTATTTAGTTAAATGTGACCTCTGCAGTAGCTACATGCAAAAAAGGAGCTTTTTCTTTCTATTGAAATGTTGTAGAACCATGTGTGCAAATATCCACAGCTGTTTGCACTTCAACCTTGGAGCATATTCCTAGTAAAATCAATGATTGCAATTAATTTACAGACGGTTTTGACATGTTTTCCTATATCCACTTCAAATGTAATGTATATGACATGCAGTTCAACAAGTCAAACTACATGTATTGTAATACCAGTATTGGAGATTTATTGTATTTTTACATGCATGCATTTGATACACTGTATTTGACTCACTCACAAAGGATTCTCTATGTCATGCACTTTCAATCACATATCATATTTTGGATTTCATTTTCATATGGATATCAAATAACATGTAGCTTTGATTCCAATATAAACCTATACAAATTACTGCCTTGTATTTGGCATGTATATGAGTAGTAGAATATAAACAATGGCAGAATCTGTATCTGTAACGGCCTGACTGATAGTGTCCTAGATATTCTGCAGGTACATACTTTTCCTCATGATAATATGTTCTTCAATTTGTATGAAACTTAAAAGAAAAATCAGACTTGCTCCTGTACTTGGTAAGAGATTATATAAAAAGTAATTCAGAATGAATATAATTTTATTTTTCAATGTTCTTTACATCACTGAAAGTAGTTACAGGTCAGAGCTAAGCAAATAATTTGAGCAAGCTATACTACAGAAACACAATAAACATAATACCTGGAATTTAGTAATGAGTGTAAACTGAGAAGAGAGGAGTTATTAGTGTTGAAAGGCAGCCTATCAAATGTGTTTATTCTCCAGTGTATATCTGTAGATCATCACTCTAACTAGGATGCATGGAATCTGTCACCTGTTTGCTATTTGAAGATCTTGTTTACACTGCGGTAATTGTTGTCATGAGGGCTCTGAGTCATGTCAATATTTACCATCAATTGTCTTTAGCATTACTAGTCTGTATAAACTTGGGTGTCTCAAAGCATTACTCACTTGTGATACCATTGTGAAATATTCTTAATGATTGATTTCTTGTAGCATTGTAACATTACAACATGACAAACCATCATAACTATTGGTTGTCTTCCAAATTACTAACCTGGCAAACCTCCATAACCATTGGATGTCTTCAGTATTTCCATCCTTGCAAATCTTCATAACAGTTGATTGTTTTCAGTATTGCTAACCTGGCAAACCTCCATAACCGATGATTGACTTCAGCATTACCAGCCTGGGAATTCTGCAAAAGCTTTCGTTGTCTCCACCCTTTCCTGCCCTGCAAACAAAAGTTGAATTTAGTTGATTGTGCAGCCCATGCTCTTGTGACAATAGCTCAGTGCCTAATTTTCTACACTAACTGAATTACTAATCTTAACCCTGGACCAAAAATTATTCCCAACCCTAACGTATTAACTGAAAGTGCAATCCTAACCCAGGGCTCCAAGGTCCAGATTAAATTTTTGTACAGTCTGCATGCAGGAGCCATATGTAAAAATTGTATTTTGAAAAATGTGTGTGTGTGTGGGGGGGGGGGGAGGGGGGAGGGGGGGGGGGTCTGGACTTAAATGTTGGGTGCCCCTGTGTCATGGGTGCCTGTTAGTGTTAATCTTTGCCTAACCCTACAAAAGCTAACAATAAAGGGCTACTGGGCCGCGTGGTCTGAGCCAACCTTCACAATATTATGATTAAAGAATTCAATGTGATCCTGAACAGTTCCAAACATGGGCCATATTCAAGGCTAGACATAAAACACACATTCAGGATTGTTGATATGATGAAGTCGATTAGAAATTTGTATTGAATCTGAGCTAGACACAAAGTTAATTGCTGAAGTAATGGGACAACTCATCAAGTAAAGAGCACTGACTGAATGGAAAGGTCATTGTTTTTCAAAATCACCTTCAATGTTGACTTCAAACAAAGTAGCGCTGATCATTGAAGGTTAAATCAGTGTGGTGAAGTGATTGATAGGAAGGACATGCAATAGGATTTCATGTGCAGAATGATACTGACTAATAACTCAAAATTAGAGAATGTGAATATTAATTGATTCAAATGTCACTTTGGGTTTGGAATTATTCCTACAATTTACCTTACAACAAAAAATTTAGCCATGAACTATAGTTTAATTTCGTATTCTCTATTGATTCCAGCAAAAATTATTTCAGGCACTGAATTCAAAGAGTTAACATATGGTACACATATCAATATATATTTAACATGATAATGAAGGATAAAGTAGCATTATATTCTATTTTGTGTAGTTTTTCAAGGCCCTCTAATAATCAAAATCAATATTTTAAAAAGGTGACATCAGAGTTATCACATTTGAATATTGTTCAAAAATGATATCAGCACATCCAATCAAGCAGTTTAATAATCCAAATGTTAAGGACAATTAAATTAGCAGGCAAGGTAGCATTGAATTATATCAGGGTTGATGTTTTTATATTGCCGAGTTGCCATTTCACGTCCTCATTGACAATACTATAAACATGTATATAAATGGTTAGACAATTTTATGCTCAATACTTTTAGAAGCAATTTTTTTTTTTTTTCTTTTTTTACAAACTGAGGTTTAGGGCGGAATGGGTTTTTCAATTACTTCAGCTGATGCGTGAAAGGTGTAAATCATAATGTGTATTTGTACAAACTGACCAATGTGTGAAGCACAGCTGTTCAAGTATAATCTATTGATTTGATTTTGTATAAACAACCTGTAAAAATGATGGAGTAATTGGTTTTCATGACATAACGATTAGACAAGCTGAGAATTCGACAAAGAGAGTAGAAGGTTGAACAAATGTTAGTGGCACTTGTACGCTTCATTATAGACAAAGGGAACTAAAACACTCGTGTGATTTAGGAGTTCTACATTATTTGGATGCCAATGTTTGTATCTTGTGTAAACTCCATGATTGACGGTAAATTGAACAGTAACATATAGAAACAGAACTCTGGTTAAAATGCATTTTGAAAATGCATTTTGAAAGTGTAAAATCACTTGGGATATCCAGAGATGAATATGCTTAGTAAAGGAAATTAAAGGGACAATTATTTGAGATGTGTTAGTAGATGAAACAGTTTAAGGATAATGTTTTATGATTTGAGTAGATGTTGCTTTATATGATTTGGTACACAATCATTAAAAAAACAATCACAATTTAGTTTTTGTGACTGCGAAGATATTTTGAATCGATGAGACATATCAAATCCAATGAAATCAAAGCCAAGCTTGCACATTTATTCACATGAATATGTCTGAAATTGTTTTCATAATCGTGGTTGAGTCAAAAATAAATTATACTTTGATCATCTTTTTGCTATATTGAAGTGATAACATTGACTATCTGTACACTAAATTTGCTATCCAGGGGGTAGATAATTATTTTTAAAGGTCAAAATGATTATTTCAGGGGGAGAATTTGCCATATTCCATGTATCTTAATGCTAATTTTGGGGGAGGATTTTAACTTAGTTTTAATGTAATTAGATTTATATGTTAACAACTGCACACTACAGTCAAGAGGCTCAAAGCTTCAATACATAACAAATGATATCAGTGAATCACATGAAAAGAACATATTTTGATCATCATGATTTAATTAAGGTTCACTAACTTAAATGATCTATCGTTGAATACTTGATTTGAATGGTGATATATTTATCAAATCAAATGTACTCATCTAATTCCCAATGAAGATTGCTTTGATTGGGGTGCTACAGTTGTGTCACAGATTCAGACAGCTGCCCTCCTGAAAAAAAATATCAGATGAAATATAAAATGCATCCAGTATTCATGATTCCTCTTAGAATTTAGATAAAACAGAGAAACCTAAAACAAGTATATGGAAATTCATGTAAGTTACATGGGTTATGGAGCAGTTGTAGAGCTGAAACCAGACACAAGTTCTAAAGACTATATTGCAAGCATGACATATCTATCCTGTGGTGCTTTGTGCTGATAGAGCTTTGTAGAATGGTTGTTGTTTTCCTACATCATGACGTACATAGTCTATCTGGTGTACACATGGTGCCACCTCTATCCCTTGTCCAGTTGGCACCGTTTGTATCAGGTAGAATGTGATAATTAGATACCAGACTTGCACTTCCAGTGGCCTAAACATTTTATTTTATTGTAAAGTCCCTACGTTTATTACACATTGTGGCAATTATTTTAGGGACTCTTAATGATAACCATGTCGGTTCTACCTTCTTCATTCATCTTATTTAGATGTGAACGTATCATTATAGTGATGCATTATATCACATTCTGTCTCTATAGTCAACTAGACGTTGCTTTGTTATTGCAGTAATATTGAAGTAATTTACTACTTGAAACTATAATGTTGATACGGCAATGAGTATCATCTCTCTTCATAAACTTTATCTTTTTTCATATAATTTTAAGTTTATAAGCAGTGCTGAGTTCTCCGTTTTTATTTCGAAGGGTTTGCCTATTGTAGTGTAAGGCTTGAAATATTCTTTGCTTTGAATTTATATGTTGATCATCCAATGTACATGAATCTGAGTAGATGATATTGCAATTATTATCACATTATTATCAAAATTGACTTTGCCTGAATATGTCAAATCAATTAATACCAAAATGCCTCACTTGAAATCTCCCTGTTCACATGAACAGTGTATGAAGGAGTCGGAATTGGAATATACCAAGAATTCTACATCTACATGATATTTGTTGTGTTTATATATTTCCTGGAAGTTGAAACTGATAGAAGGTTCAATGTTTTCTGTCCAGAATCCACAAGTTTGTGTAAGTGTAGTGTCTGAGCTAGTAATTTTATTGTACCTGTAATAACTGTGCTAGACTGGGACCAATGATAAACCCCCTTTCACCTAAACTAGAAGTTCTTTTAATTTTCCCCCCACTTTTATTATCTTTATATTTTATGAATCAGTGGATTAACAAATCAACTAAATCACCTTAATTTATTGGTATACAAAAATTGAGGAAATCATGAAATTTATGTTTACCCCTTTTCAAATTTTAAAACCTTTATGCCCATAATTACACCTCCTTGTGTATTTTTTACAGACAAATGCAGATGTAGTATAGGCACATGCATAGATAAAAGATGAAACTGTAAGAAGACATTTCAAAGTCAATTTGTAAGCATTGAACAAAAACATTTAATTAAATATGATGTTTACACTTCCTTATTGGTATATTAATTTATTTAGTGGAATAAAAGTGATAGAAATAATGTAGAAAGTTCCAAAACTGCCAGATTTAAAATGATAGTGAAAATAGATGAAGATTAATGTGAGATATATCAAGATACTGGAGAATAGCTTTGTTCCTAGACAGGAGCACTTGAATGCATGAAAAGAAACATGTTTACAACCAGGGAGGACATAGACATGAAAAGGTGGAGACTTTGAGAGAGAGAGAGAGGGAGAGGGAGAGGGAGAGAGAGTGAGTGATAAAAGAGAAAGAAAAGAAGGGGCAAAAGGAAAAAATGCAATGTAAGAGCCGAAAATGGCAGTGTAATCAATGCAGTGACGCACATAGGCAAATTTGTATCACAAAGCCACAGCGCTGCCAAGAGAAGAAGCCTGGTACACTGTATGCAGTGACAAGCAAATGATGTATTTAGTCTGAATGCTGGGTATGTGCGTACAGACTGTACTCGTATTTCAGCAGCTCAGACACAGTGCTGTACAAGGTGTGTGTGTGTGTGTGTGTAAGTGTGTGTGGGAGTGGGTGGTTTTGCTGCTGCTACTGCGGCCGGTGGTAGTGGTGGTGGAAGAGGGTGTGTGTTTGTGTGTGTCGTTTGGTGCTATGGAGCTAAGGGTAGCGTCTTGTGCATATGTGTATTGTCATTATAGCGTATGGGGTGTGCGTTTGTTACTGTAATTGTATGTATGCATGTTAGTGGAAGTATCACTCTGTGTGTTATTGAAGAAGCAGTAGTGTTACCATTTTCAGGCATGCAGAAACCATATAATATTCCATGTGTGTCTCAAAATAATTAATCTCCTTATTTTACCAGTTTTGAACAACACCTAATTGCCGCAGTGTAATTCTAGTCTCAATAAAATGGTATATTATGAAATATTTCCTGTCTTCCCTTTCATGTAAAGTGTAAAGACTGTTATCTTTTTAACTTGATATCTTGGCTCCCAGACATGATATTATTGAACATCCTTACGCTTAGTAATCACTTTTATTCAGATTTGTTTGTATATTCTTATTTCATTTTGTAGATATCTTAAACATTGGGTTCAGTTTTGACCAAGTATCATGGTTTTTACTATCTCATGAAGATATAGACTCATTAATAGAGGAATGTTATCTGTAATTGGTGTTGTAGTTTAATGCTCCAGTGCTTTGACTAAAACTGCCTTATATGAATACTTTCAGTATGATGGTATATTTATCACATATAAAGGAATTATATCGTTATTTATAGTGTATATGTAAGAGTATGTAAAAGATTTAAAACAATTTCATTATGCTCATCAGAATTTTGCAAATAGCAAAGAAAATTAATGCTTTCTGGTATATTACTTCATCAAGTGAAGAGAGAGTAAATATACAACAGATGAGACTAAATATTGTTTACTCAGTTGTGTTTGATGTATTATATTTGATTATTTTCATGCTGGTTCAGCAAGCTTTTTAAGTATGTTGTCACATATATTTTGTCATTGTCTAAAATAACCTGCCAAACTTGTCCTATATATATTTTTTGACATCAATACCATACAAGATACAATTTTATTTTATGTGTAATCCAGCCTTGTGAAGAATTTCAAAAATAGCAATTGATGCAATTGTGTGGGTACTGTTGAAATGTCATTTTATGTGCAATTTAGCCCTGTGAGGGGAATTTCAAAAATAGCATTTGATGCAATTGTGTGGGTTGCCTTACTTGTGTATATGTGCATTTTTATGTATATAAAATGTTTATTCTAGTTCACAATATCTATAAACCTTGAAAATATGATAATTTAGTTGTGGTACAAGGTTGTATACCTATATACAGAATATTTGTGCTTGAGAAAATGAAGCATTAAGAATGGTTTATCAGAAATAATTGCAGACAAATTCTTAGTGCTATCTCTGTAAAACAATGCATATTCACACTTTTTTACACTGTAAAAGTATAAAAGATCAAAAGTACATAAAGTGTATTTGAAAGATATTGACAATTAGAACTATTATTTTTTTCACAGCTTTCACACTTTGTGACCAATGTGACTACAAGGTGAATAAGCATTGTTTATGTGATCACATAGCTGATTTGGAACGAATTTATCAGAAAAGTGTTCCATCGTTTTTAAACAATGTTGTTTTTAAACAATGATACAGAGTAAATACTCTGCACATAGAAGATATCCCATACTTGTATTTGAAACATAGTTATAGATGACCACAGTGCGTACATTGCTGTATGATTCCAAAGTTTTGATTTATAGTATTGCAAAATGTAAACAATACATTCACAGTTTTCCATATTTTATGACACATTTCCTTCCAATGTGGATTATTCTGATACAAGATACATTCAGTATGGTAAAATGATTTAATACTTTCTTATTTTCACTCTTGCAGATCGAAAGATTGATTCAGCGAATGCAAGATGAAAGGAACGGTGTACCTGTCCGGACTGTCAAAAGTTTCATGTCAAAAGTTCCTAGTGTTTTTACAGGTAAGATACCCTCTAATTTACAACATTTAATATCATGTCATGAGTGCCTGTAGTACTGTTGACTGGAGGGTCAAATCTGACTGACATGAGCGCTATACAAGAACCAACTATTATTATTATTATTATTATTATTATTATCTGACAAAGGCCCACAGAGTTGAATTGTGTAATTTCAAATTTGGTAATCTAATGTAATTAGCGTTAGATTACCCCTCCCCATCAATGACATAATAAGCTGCAAGTGTAAACTCTAATTCGGACAGCTATTAATTCTATTGGATGGTTTCTCATACATATAAGTAGTCTTAAAGCTTTTTAATAATTCATTGATTTCTAAAGACAGAAGATAATCCTCATAGTAATCAATGAAATTATTCTATCGTAGAATATCAAGCTGACAATGCTGAAAACAAAATATTTGGTATTGATCTGGGATAGGCCTACAGACTTTCAATTTTCAATTAAGTTGGTCATCTGAAGTAATAAGTGTTGCATTTATTTCCAAACAATGACGTAATAGGCTGCAAGTGGAAACTCTAATGCTGACAGCTATTAATTCACACTTATATATGTAGTTAACAACTAAATCATTCATACCTCCTGAAAATGTGATGTTTTTTTGTTTTGGGGGTAACTCCAGAATAAAAGGTGGAATGGTTGAATTAGGGCATTTGTTGAATACTTTTTGATGCAAGCTTTAAAATGTCACATTCTCAAGAAACAAAAAAATGGGACAAAGTCAATTTCTCACATACATACAAAATTACAGAACTTGGTAAGGGTATGAGTAATTTAGTTGTTAACTACACATATATTTCTGGGTCAAGTTGTTTATTTAGTGGTTTCTTGTATATTTCAGTAGTCTGAAACTTGTTACTTAAGCTGATAGAAAATGACCTTCACAGTAATCAATGAAATCATTCTGTTATAAAAATGTCAAGCTGACAATGGTAAGTATAAGTCTAAGGTGTATTATACTACTGTTTTCATAATCTCACAATCTGACATCAAGACTTTCACAGCAGAAGTAGTGTATTGCTCAAGTTTGTTTAATCATTAATAATGATAAGAATATTATACAGTAGGCTTGAATATAATATATCCACATCCATTAAAAGATGTGGGTACCATTTCCAGTTGATTTATTTGAGAATGTTTAATATTTTGAACATACAAAAAGAAATAAGCTCCAAAGGATTTTCCCCCTTAATTTGTATATATTTGATATGTAATTAATTGCTGTTTTATTCATTTCCTTCCGACTACTTTTTACTATCCAACCTCTTCTTCTATCGCTTCCCCATCCTTACCATTTCCTACATATTTCCACCTCTCCTCTACCCCTCTTTCCTCCACCACCCCTACCTCTTCCTCTCCCTTCTCCCCACTTTCTCTCTCTCTCTTTTGTCTTACGCACACACACCCTCACTCTCTCCCACTATTACTCACCAACTCTTTTTTATCTCTTATTCCCTCTCTTTCTCCTCTCTGTCTTCGTCTTTCCCTCTCTCTCATCCAACACACCCGCTCTCTTCCTTTCCCCCTCTCTCTCTCTCTCTCTCTCTCTCTCTCTCTTGTACAGGAGCTGATCTGGTTCAATGGTTGATGAAGACATTAGATATTGATCAAGGTAATGACACTAGATCGTCAGGTAATCTCTTTTTGTTTTACATGGACTGGGTGATACAAGCTACATGTTTCCTCATGGCGAAATGTTGTAAACCAATAAGGCAAAATGCACTTATTACATAAGCATATTAGAAGATTTAACTGTAAGGAATTTATATACCTAAATAGAGTGTGGTTGTTAATGAAAAAAACTAATGTGGTAAGGAGATTGATAGGGAATTGGAGCACCACTTAATTTTTTTAAGGTTTCAAAGCTGGCCGTACTTTCCATTTACCAAATTGCAATGTCATTGGAACTATTTTTGTTTTTAATCCAGCTTTCAGATACAAAATTTGTCATGTTAATGAGTGTAAGTTTCTGACCTCAATTTTTTTTAAGTTGATCATTTGCACCAACTCTGTCATTTTAAATCAAATTAATATGTAACATAATGCTACATGCTGCTTTGCATGTAAAGATATGTTTACATTTTTCTTTTGAATTGTTTGTTGTAAAAGAAAGATGAATCATATGGTCTAATATCTTGTTTTTGTATTTATTCTCTTCAGCGAATTCAATACATTTAGGGTCATTGCTAGCAGCACATGGCTATTTCTTCCCCATAACGGATCACGTACTAACACTGAAGGATGACAACACATTCTATAGGTTTCAAACACCTTACTTCTGGCCCTCAAATTGTTGGGAACCGGAAAACACAGATTATGGTAAGTCACAGTTCATTTTTGTATACAAATTGTAATGAAATGAGATTATGCTCATCACTGTTTGAGCATCTATTGATTAACATCATGAAAACTAACTCCTTGCCATCTTTTTATTGGGAGCTACAAGAAACAGAATATAAAATAGCTCTTCTGTTATAGCTCCAAATGAAAGAAATATACTCCAATATTACTGTGTGACCAAAATATGATTATATTAATTTTGATTATCTATTTGAAAACACCTAAATTCTTACCTTGAAATTGTTGGGAGGTGGAAAATCATGACACACTTAACATTTTTATGGTACCTTAACATAAATCATCAATAATCATTTCAGAGACATTCAAGAGGGATTCCTCAATCCTCATTATATTTGCAAATTTTGGAGCTCATTTAATTTAGAAGGATGCATTCATGATGGTGTGATTTGGCCTAATAAGTCAATTACACTGCTGCATCCCCAAAAAATGTAATATTCAAATAGTTGAACAATAAACATGTATGCATGTTCTAAATTAATACAAGTGAATCAGTATTACCCCCTTTATAACAGCGTATGTTTATAACTACTTCAATTACTGATATATAAAATAAGCCATTGAATCAGCAGTCAACCATTAAAATCATTCAATATTTCAAAATAACATACATAGCATTAGAATAGTTCTTCACACAATTTAATAAAGCAAATAAGTCACAATTGTCATTGTGGTTGCTGAGATTAAATATAATTTAATAACAATCATTACATACAACATATTATAATACATATATATATATATATATATATATGCTTTGTAAATTATGATTGAGTGAACGGATCAACTTTATTTGGGGAAGTCAGGATGCATTCTTTTCTTTAATAACAAGGTCATAATGTTTTTCATATTGTAATGTCAAACTTCCAATTATTTCATCTCCACATGTTCTTTGTGCTGGTATGCTACATATACATCCAAATAGCACTGCCAAACTACCTGCTCTCCATGCTTTAATAAATTAAAGATAACCTTGCCTATATCATAATACAACCTTACAGATACCATGTGTAGCTAATACTGTCAGTCAAGCTGATTACTTTGTTTGATTAGAAAGATTAAATGGTATGCAGCCTTTTGCCCAGTCACTGACAGAATTGAGGGTGGGGATGGGGGGGGGGGGGGTAGGAACCTCTCTCTGGTCCCTGACTCACAATCGTGCCTCTATCTGCTCATCTTCATGATGTGTTTGTTGATACCCTGAACCTCTAAATGCTGATTAGCCTGATATGCCTGCCTGTGATGATGAGTGATCTATTATCAGATGAAAGACCTATTATAGATGGGTTATCAGTATCAATAGGTAGGTTGCTGCATTGGGAATGGATATTTGTAATTATCTTATGATCGTTATCAGGATGATTGCACATCATTAATAATGCATCAATAGGCTTCATCCATTCTTCATGATACTGTATAATATGCTAACAGCTAGCTAATAATAGCTGGTTTTATAGTTCCCTTTTTTGTAGCTAATGCTGACTTCTATGTACAATAAAGTTTTCAAGGAGTCTTAAAGGTAGTTTAGACCTAATTTTGCAGACACTTAAGGACCTTTCTAGCTTATTTCTGTCAAAATATATTGATTAGATTAAAAATAATCTGCTTCAATTGTCTAGTCTGCAGTATAATTTAAAAAGATGATATTGTTAGTATACTATTGAGTATTCAGAATAACAAGAAACATTACTTTTGCATCAAATAATCAGCTCTTATGACCTTAATAAACAAGGCATCTATCTTTAAATATACCATGCAGATAGTGAGTAATGAGTAATTCACAAATATAACACTACTTTATACATTAGTGTTTTAGTACAATTTGAATGACATATATGTCAAAGCAAATCCACCACACTATTTCATGAACGATTCACATTGTCCCTGATATTTGCCTTGTGGAAGTTGCACATGTATCTCAATGCCATTAACCGACATATACTACAAGGTCTTTCTACGTCATTACATGGCCATTAAATCATAAAGCATCTCAGGAGGTGGGGTTAATGAAATAATGTATGGAAGCATGCTCGGAATGCAATGTATTTCAGCCAGGCTACCAACATCCCTGTGGTTTCTTTATTGTGTGAAGTATATTTCATCATAACAGGTGTATATATGCCACGTTAACACAGTCCATTGAAAGCTGTTAGAAATCCTGCCACTGAAATAAATAATCTTGTTACGTATAAATGAATTGCAAATAAAGAATAGCTGCTCGCATTTCCGTGTTTAATGATTTAAAGAACATTCTTTCATGTCATTAATGACTATATGATTCAGGATCATTTACCACTATATTACTTAAAGAAAATGTTAATGTTTTGTCAAATGTATAATGATTTTTTAATTTTGCATGGAATATATGAATAAAAGCAACTAATCCAAAGCCCCAATGCATAACTTATGATCTGTGTGTTATAATAAACATTTTTGGCACACATACACATATTTTAATTTGTTTTGACCTGGCAATTCTTTTTAGATGTTTTTCTGGCAAGTGTGAACAAAGCTAAAGTTGCTGTGTCTGGACTGGTAATTGCGGGTCGATAGCGTGCTACTGGTAGTCAATACAATGGAGACACCAAGCTGGTAGAGGTTGCTCAGGAAGGATTGAGCCGCTCTTGTACCTGAAATGAAAGATAATTAATTTTAGTAGGCGCTATCTTTGACCAGGTCATTCAGCGTGAATATTGAAGAAAAACATCCATTTTTATATCTAAAAAACAGGAAAAGCTTTTGTTCCATTTCAGCAGTGAGCCTTACTCCTTCAAGATTAGCAGAGAGTAAAATGAATAGAAGTCATTATTGATTAGGATCATCATTGATCTAGGTACGATTCATGTTGCTATGGCAACTCCAAACTTCCTCCCTTTTATATCTAAATTCAAAAGGTTTCATAGATCAAAGGGCATCTTATTGAATGCGAGCAGATTTAGCCTACAGTATCAGGTATGGTTTGAATTCTCTTTGAATTTATTTCATTGCTGTTTCTGGGGATTGGTCAGATAAGTTACAACTACAGTGAAAACCATTAAATAAAAGAAGTTAGCTGAAGTCATATCAAAGAAAAACAAAGGGTTCTGGCTTAAGAGCTTCATAAATCAAAATAATCTTGATTACTGATAAACTTTTTAAAACCAAGAATATGAAACCAGGCTGCTGAAAAACAAGGTTAGATCAAGGACTTTACTATTGTAAGTCCTATCTTTAGGACTAGGTAATTGATGATTCATATAAAACCACACCATTTTGCTAGCTAAGTCTCTCATGAAGTGGTAATGACTACCTTTTTTGCAGTAAAAAATCCTCCGGGTTTACACTCACTGAGCAAAAACCTGATATTTTGCAGCCTCATACAAAAAAAAATCAATTACACAAGAAATCTCAAATTCGCTAATTATATATAGCATGGAATGAAGAAATACTAGGGTAATTTATTACATGAGGTCATATGATTCTCATAACCAGAGTTCATTTAATTTAAAAAATATCAAGATTGAATTCAGAAGTGAATAAGAATATGTATGATAGTACAAAATTCTACATCTATTCTAATATACAAAATGAATATTTGTAACAGGTTTCCTGATTGTGTATTCAAATATTCATAAGTGGGGAGGCAGATTGCAACCAGAAATAAGACATTTTGTTTGTTAGGTATTTCTGTATGTCTAAGGAAATACAGATAATACACACCCACATCCAAAAACCCACACATACATGTACATCCAAAATGATATCATAGTATTGACTTAATATGAAGCTGCTATAATTGAGGTGAAACAACATCAGTTTGCTTAATTTTTGTGCTTAGTACAGGCATTAACCTCTTTACAATGTACTCTTAATACTGTAACCCAACAAAGGGTCTAGACTCTAAAGTCAAGTTTTAATCCCCCCTCCCCCCCCCCCCCCCCCAATCAGAACTCAGACTAACTTGCTTAAAATGTTCGTTGAGTACAGGTTTAAGTGTTGTGAAACACTACTAAAACTAGGATAACGACATGAGATGGTATATTGCTCTCATAACATTGACATGTTTATCACAATTTATGAATTTAATTGCACATGTAGGATAGAGTTTTCAGGTGTAATGCCTCGTGGAACAGAGCAATTAAATCTACTGTTTATTTCAGCTTCCACCTGCTCTCTGAATATACCAGTCATAATATTGCTATCAAGCCATTCCATGAATTACTAATTAAAATGGAAAACTTCTCGTATTCAAAGCTAGTTCCTGGATTCCCTTGCTTTCTTATTTTGCTTCATTAACAGCAGCTAGCTATCACATATTACACCTTTAAGTGCATATTTAGTCCAAATATCTCTGGCAAGCGAATTCTCCCTCCAGAAGATTGGTTATCGCATCATTCAGGTGCTGTTTTGGTCCAAAATACAATGTTAAGCACATTTGTTATTTACTTTTCACTTCTGTTATGTCAGATTTACTTTGTTGGAGTATGTACCCCAAATGCCTCCCCTCCGAGACGCAGCCATTATATACCTCTTCTTTATATTTTAACTTATTGATTTTTTTTGTATCATTCAGTTATTATAGGTGTGCTTTATTCTAATTCCTTTGAAAAACATTTATAGTATGAAGTTACATCAACTGCCATTAATTATAATTTCTCAACACATTACAAAATTTAGCATTCCATATACTTTCATAATTGAGTATACAGGTCAAAATTATGAATAATATTTTTCACATAAATTTCTGTGTACCACGAAAACCAAAACATGCAATCCGATATTAATTTGCAAGAAATCGCACTAAGTCACTTCACAATTTGAACAGCAAAATGATGTTTAGATTTTGAAGGAATGTGACAAAGTTGTCCTTGGTTCATTAGATATGATCTTATATTATTTGCTCATTAAATGTGATCTATATTTGCCACTCTTGACCAAGGTGAGGTAAATGCAACCCTGGAAAGAATTTAATTAAATCCTTGGCTAATGTAAGGGTAATATTTGTTTCCACCACTTTTTTCCTAAGAAATAAGAATCTTATGAAGTCAACTATCGTCAAAATCATCTTCATTATCATCTATTGCTAATTAATGAATGTTTGCTTCTAAACCCCCTTTGAAAGATTTATGCTATAACTATAGCATTAAAAATGATATTCATTGTAATACATTCCCTTTTGGAATTCATTAAAGAATGTCTGTTCGCTTGGTTCCAAGTGCTTCATAGTAATCCAGCAAAGTCTTCAGAATATTAGTGGGAATTCATTCAAAAAAATACATTATATATTGTATTGCTTTAGTCTAAAGAGTTTGTTTGATAGCATTGTATTAATTGGAAAAAATATTTCATTTTGGATTTAGCTTCATTACATTATACTCTAAAGATCTCTCTGTATATAGGAGAGTATTTCATATTGAATTAATTGGAGTGGGAATCTCTCCCTTATATCTTGAGATAATGATACCAAGAATCTCTATGTCCGACCTGAAGCTTAGCTTAGCATCAGTCAAAACCTGAGACATCTGCTTAACATGGCTGAATCCATGCATGCATGCAGCCAGCCAGCCAGCTAGCCAAGCCAAGAAACCTGCAGGCAATTTTAGGATGACGAGTAATGCATGCATGCTGATTAGGCTATACAGAGTTAAGATGAGGCTAGCACACAGTTCCTACTTAAGAAGCATCTATCTCACCCACTCCTTCATCTCCTCCTATGATATACACCTTCCATACTAGCTAGGCGATGGGATACTGAGCCCCTCACCCTATGAAAGCTATTAGTAACCCTGTGTACATGTGGGTCTCTACGTGACCAACCATCCCAACAAAACCAGCACCCAAACTGACCTACAATGTATCTCTCTGTTTACTGCCTGGTAAAAGCTGTGACCAATCTGTATAAAATATGCTCTATAAACAGGCAGACTGCTCGAAATATGCAGCAATTTGAATCAAGCGATGAAGCTAGTGAACAGAATAGAGCAGAAATGAAGCAACAAGTGTGGGGGTGGGCAAATAGCTCATCATTTTCCACCCCCTGTTTACAAGTATGGATAGGCCTAAGTCATAATCATCATATCAAATTCATAGGTAAACTGGTTGTTACAATGCAATTGAGCTTCTGCCAAAGCATTGTGTGTCAAGTTGTATTTGACATTTGACAATATGATATTTGTTTGATTAATAAAAGTAATAACATTAAACAGAGAGAAAAAATGGTCAGAAATGTCAGGTTTTGAGGGGGAGAAACGTTTACTTCACTCATGTTTGTGGTGCTGATTTTGCTACCCACATCAATTTATTTTGCTGTCCAAGCCCAATATTTGTATCATAAAAAAAACAGTGAACAATGAAGTCTCATTATTCATTTAGATATGTATCTGAGAGAGTCAGAACTATAAAGAGAAAGGAGGACAGAGAATTAGAGGATGAGGAAGTTTTTAAACGAGACAAGGAATGAAGGGAAAATGAGGGAGGAGTGTGGGTGGGTGCATGTGTGTGTGTGTGTTGTAAAGGTAGAGACTGAGAGTTGAGAAAGAGTATTTGGGTTAATGAAAGTTACACAAGTAGAGAGAGAGAGAGAGAGAGAGAGATGTTGAGAGTATATTATTATGTGAAAGAGGCAGAGGAAGGAAGGTCAACAGAGAGGGAGCAATAGAGAAATAAAGAGCTTGAGTCAGGTTAGTACGAGGCAAACAGAAACTATAACAAACAATAGGTGAGGAGAAAATCAGAAGATGTTATGGTGTCAATGACGTTGAAGAAAACAAAACATGTTGTTAAAATTTTGAAGATGAACAAAACAACTGCTGAAAAACATCCTTCAAAGCTGCTGTGCTCTAAAAAGCTGAGAAATTGATTATTTCTCATTATGAAGTTGTATTTTACACCATGCGTCGGTCTCATTCTCTCTTTTTATAGCAGTAATGGAGGAGAAAGTGATATATAATTAGAAAGAGTAATAGATGAGAGTGTGAAGGAGGTAGACAAAAAGAGAGAGGGGGAGGTGTATGCGTGTAGATATGTGAGTATATTTGTGTGGATTGAGGAGAGGGAGAAAAGGAGAGAGAGAGAGAGAGAGAGAGAGGAGTAAATATTTACAGAATTATTTCAAATAATAGATTAAAAAGCATTGAACAGGAAAAAGAGATATTGCAAGGAAGCTAGGTATTGCAGTTTGAATCAAAGTAGTACAGAGATGTTAAAAATACGGACATTTAGATGTGCTGGAAAATCAAGGAAGAAAAGTTAACATGATTGCAACTATTTTAGACAAGACAAACTTAGCCGATTCCTTTGACCTTGTATGTCACCTTCTGAAATGTGCAAACATTACTATGGTACAAACATGATTTCAACCCTTCAGTTGATTTCTTACGTGTCTTTTTGGGCATGTGAATTATTGAATGCTCAAAACATGAATGAATCCCCAAAAATCTGATGTTATGAAAATGTGCAGCGGAATAGTGAAAATATGATATTACTCTCAATGTCCCATTACTCTATGGACTCTAGTCTTTACAATAATAAAGCGGGGTATGAAGATCTAAGATTAATTATCCAGGAACATAAGACTATTTCCTATATTTTCCATAACATAATTTTGTGTAATGCTCCTTTAACAGATGGATAACCATTGAATACAAAGTGTCATTACCAAATTTAGAAATTCTACAATACACACACACAAATTAAAGAAAATGTATAAGTGTAGAAGTGAATTATCAACGTTTGCTAAAATGTAATCACTGTGGTTCCCATTCTCACTGGTCTGTGAAGGCTTCAATAGATACAGATCATTAATTTTCAAATAACCTGTGGCAATGTTATCCTAGTCATAGCTTGTGATTACAACATTGAAAGGAGAGCACAAAAAACCTGTGCCGGTGTCAATGGCCCCCTCTGGGCAAAGTAAACCGGCAAATTAATTTTCTGCCACCTTCCCCCCTCCCCAAAAGGTACCACAGTGCTGTATCTTAATTAATTTCAAGCCGAGCACATCATCTTAGGCTAGATTAATAAATCCTTAGCCTATATAGCATCTTTACTCAGTTTGATCCTCATGTATGTCAGTCTGTAGGTTCATTCTAACCAGGGTATATCCACGTTCACCTTTAAAAAAGACACCCACCTAATGGTTCTCTCAGAATAAGCTAGTGTATATTGTGTTTGAATAAGTAAGGTTTTACCAGCATGGTGGGCGTCAAGACCAGAGTAACAAGGGTTCTTGATATACGGAAATGCTGTGCATGTATGGATTGTATTCGAACAGACAGAAGTAGTATGAGTAGTAGGAGGAGGAGGAGGAGTAGCAGTAGTAATAATAGCAGCAGCAGTAGTAGTAAAAGAAGTAGTTGTAGTAGAAGTAGTAGTATTAATAGTAGTAGTAGTAGAAGTGTTGGTAGAAGTAGCAGTAGTAGTTGCAGTAGTAGAAGTAGCAGTAAATAGTGTTAATTAATAGCAGTTCCAAAATTGAAAAGAATAATTTACTTCATAACATTATCAAAACATCTCAGTCTTTTAAAAAGAAATAGAGGTCAACCTTTAAACCTTTAATATTACTACTTCAAGCAGTATTCCAGCAAGAACATTCCATGATGTTTAAGAATGATAAAAACAACAACATAATAACTGTGAATATTCATCATTTGCTTGTTCATTTCAAAATCATTCTTAAAAAAGAAGCAAATAGTGCTGTAAAGCTATCACCATTTCCAGAAGATCATTTTAATATCTTGATCATATATCCTGCATTTCTAAGCATAATTGAAGTATTCTGACAATTCCATTCATATTTTTCACTAAAAGTGCCTAGAAAAATTGTTGGTGTCATCATGTGTATAATGATATATTAGGTTTATATTAACAAAATAGAATCATTGTTTCAAGTAGGGTAATAGTGGAGGGTTGGTAATTATTGAGAATGTTGATATAAAAAAGAAAACTGATTTAGAAGTGATGAAAAAAATCAGTACTTTTTACACAATGATACATATATTATGGACATATCATCCTTGGCTTTTAATTCCAAAAATACATTTTCGTCATGAAATAGTGAAGTATTTTTTATTGTGTGCATCTATGTATTCAATAAATTTATTATTTTGTAAGTAAAGTTGTATCCTTTGGCCTAGATGTTGTAAGTCACTAATGTTCACTCATATAGAGTTCTTTTGTTTGTATCTCTAAAGTTGTCTTTATATAAAGACATGTAATCTTGTTGGCCTCTAATACTTAGGTCTCAATGCTAACCATTATTTTGACATAAGAATCCATTAGGTATATGTCTCTCTGTGGATTAAATAAAATGATATTTTTAATGGTGTAGTTGTTTTTGTGAGTACATTTTCTGACTAAAAAAATATTTTGTTCATTACTCAAAGCTTTGTTGATGTAAGGTCATTTCAAGAGCATTGTTTAAAAGCTATTTTTTATCTTCTCCTTTTGATATATTTAATTACATTACAGCGGTATACTTGTGCAAACGAACTATGCAAAACAAATCAAGGCTAGAACTGGCAGATTATGAAGCAGTAAGTATGCACGTAGTTCATTATCAAGTTTTCTGTTTAACCTATGTGCTTTTTAAATGATACGAGTGAGCACGCAGTGATAATATCAAATAGTTTTGGATTGAAGATGATAACTTAAATAAAAGGTTCTAACATACTGTACATCCATGTATTACCAAATGAAAAGCTGTCCAAAATACTGTTGCAGTTTGTGTATATGCTACTCAAGATCACAAACATTTTATGTGAGATTAAGTTGCAGAGATAAAATAAACATATTATAGGATTTTAACATCTGTCAAAAAGTATGAAACTAGCATTGTAAAAAAAAATCATTGCATAGTCATATTTACATGAACTATTTAGATGTGTTATCACAAGCACATCCAAGTAACGGACCATGAGGAAATTTTAATGAAATCGACCCTTTGTATTAAGATATCAAATGATTGGATAATGATGAATTTTACTTAAAATATGTTGTTTCCATGATTCTCATTGGTTATTTAATTTTGATATTCATAGTGTTCCACATTTTGATGAATGAACATGTAAACGAAAATGCACAGTACTTACTCTTTCCCTTGATTTGTATTTTTTTTCTTGGATTTTGAATCCTGTCTTATTTTGGAATTAATTTTTAAAAAGCTTTTCTTTTCTCTCTTCCTCAAGGAAAATCTGGCCAAACTGCAGCGGATGTTTTCTCGAAAATGGGAGTTCATCTTCATGCAAGCAGAGGCACAAGCAAAGTAAGTGTTACACGTTACAAATATTATTGATTTCAAGCTTATTTTTAATACTTCATTTCCTGTACGTTATTTTTATAACAAGTCACATAGACATATGTATTTTTCTTCTTTTACACAAAAGTGATATTGAAAAAACATGGTGTATCAAACCCTTAAGTTTCTTGTATATTTCGGTTGTCTTCTCTAAACTTGTTCTGCAAACAGGTGATAGATAACCATCAAATTAGACTAACCAATTTTCTAGGAGTTTTTTCCACTTGAGCACTGACAACATTACATTAATAGATTGAACAGTTATTTTGAATGACAGAACTGTTTATTTGCAAATCTTGCCATGAATCTACTTTTAGACTTGCAGACATTAGGGATAGTTACTGTTTGAGGGTAAACAAGCCCCTAAAGATAAACAAGAAAGTACACTCAAGGACATTTCCGAGCAATCAACGTAGTCTCCTGTATTGAAGAGAATTCTTTTTTGGGTTCATTACCAGGTTTCTGTTTGTTCAATTTTCCTGTTTTAGAGGAGTTGGGTACTATATTTAGGTTAGCTATCCATTCTTCAAGAAGCCTTGAAGAGTGAGGTAAAATCTTAGTTAGTAAAGAGTACTGTCGTCATAATGGCTCCTGAAGCATCTACAGTTTTTTTTACAAACAATCCAAATCTGCTTTACAAATTGGAACAAACAATTGGTTAATATATGAATGAGGATGTTTGGAGAATGTCGCTAAATAGATGCCATGGTAATGAACTATGAGATTCAACATCAGTAGCAAGACCATCTCTTATCTTCATACAAGACAACTACGTCACATGACCCTACGCCATTGCTGCGGCTTCTCGTCTTCATAATGGAAATGCTAGGCAAGAGCTTGAGGGCATCACACGCATACATGTAGACTACAGCACACACACACACACACGCAATGTATGAGACACTCGCATTTATACACTTACTCATTCCCACTTGCATGCTAATGCTAACACACACTCACACTCTCTCTCTCTCCCACACACACACACACACTCTAAGCCGACCAGACCTGGCTGATGATGTAGGCATACTGTAGTTCAATACACAGACATACATACAGTCTACCGTAGCTTGCTTTGCCGGCCGCAAGGAGACCCTGAATGTAATTTTAAATGCGTGAGACACATGCTACTGAATGCCATGGCAAGCTGTACTCACTAACCAACACAACCTTCCCTCCTTTTCCATACACCCTTGCGCAATTTAAGATCGAACCTTACATGTCTAATGGTATATGTCTGATAACATATATGCAAATGTATATAACTACAAATTACAGAACAAAAAGAAGAGTTACGGCTAAATGGAGATCTCTTCAAGACATAAGAAATTTGCATCTATGCATGGAGATATAATACTAACTGGAATCTATTGTAGCTCATTCTTTCTTGACCTTGATTGTGAACATCACTGATTAGGTAAGGTCTCATTAAATTCATGAAAATATGTCTTAGTAAAGACTTGCCAATCATCATCAACTGTCAGCTTGAAGCTGTTTTTCTCATGAAAACAATGTAGTAATGATATAAAAAACTTCCACGTAAAGTCAGACACAGACCTGACTCATGCAAGCTGTTTTCCTTTACAGACACATCATTTTCTTTTTAATTTGTTCAATATGAAAGAAGATAATGTATGCAGGAATTAAAAAGAAAAATGAGCTCAAATACAAGAAAAGAAACAACTTTTGTTCAGCCCAATCATTTGACTCAAATGTCATAAGATTTTCCCATGAATTTCATGACATTTCTTTTGTAATACTTTCATGCTGTGATATGGATGAAGTATAACCTCCAAATAGTAAGAGATAATAAAGATCCTGAAAATGTAGTCTTTGAGATATATGTGCAAGTTCTCCAAAATATTGTTTTTATAAGAAAATATCATGAGTTCATCGCTGCATCCTGCAGTAAAAAGGTAATGGTAAATTGCATTTCACTTTGTGATCTCACACTACGATATGTATTTTCTACAATCGCATTCGGACTATTATAAGTATAAAACCATGCAATCTATTTATTCCAATTCTCTGAAACATGTACCCAGGTGCCTGGGGTTAACTAAATTGTCAACTGTACAACCAAATCAAAAAGGAAGATAACAAAATTTGCCCTTCCAGACCAAGCAGTAGTAATATGTTATGGTTGTAATAAATATGTTACGAAATGACCTCATTAGTATGATAGTTGCATAGAGTGATATCATATGGTGCTTTGTACTACATGTATGACCAGAAGATAGGATAAATTAATATTTGTGTGATATGTGTATTATCCTTTTTCATGAGTAGGCCATTACGGTTATAGTCAATCCCACAAATATATTTATTATTCTGCAAGGAACCATATTTCCATTACCAGTAACATCACATTTAAAATACAGGAATCATTGGATGCCTTGCAAGGCAATAATAACTTCTATTTTTTCAGGAATCATGTAGATATTGATGAAAGTTTTGTAAAAAATGTTCATGTTCATGTATTTACATTTCATATCAATAATTTTAGAAACAATAGCAATATCTTGTTCAATGATTTGATTTAATTTGATATGGTTTGTTATCAAAAACATTCAAAATATCAGCCATAAGGCTGAAACAAGCTGAATTTACAATTGTAAACAGAAAAAAATCCATGCAAGTAGAATACATTGAAACTTGATTCAATAAAACACAATAATATATAAATAGAAATATGTTGTATAATAACATCAACATGAAAAGAAAAAAGGAAAACAAACAAGGAAATATAAAGGATAGAATGAAGAAAGAATATGAATAAGAATGATTGATATGGAGAAATGGAAATAGATTTATTTATAGCAATTGCATAAAAACATGAGGATTAAAATTAGAACTCTTGTTTTCTAATTCAGACATTGTCACTATTTATATAGAGATGAGTTCACACAAATTTAGATTTAGAATGGTAGGTTAATCTTGACAGTGATAAGGAATATTAGTGAAAGTAAAAATTTACGCAAGACAGATAAAGCAATTATAAGTATGGCACACCATCATAATTATTATTAATATCATCATTAGTATTATTTCTTTTATTATGATTACATTTTGTGTATTATCATCATTATTATTATTATTATGAATAAAGAAATATCATTACAATTATTTCAATTACGTGATTTTGGGGATCTAAAGAAGATGTGAATATCATTCAGAAAAAAAATGTTTATTTTCTAAGACAACACTGCCACATCATATCATAACTGCAGTGACCAAACCCTATTGGGAAATTACAGTATCACCAAAGAAACAATTTTCTTTACTTTTGTGACAAGACAAAGTAATGTCATAGAAAGAGCACAGAGTTTCAATACGACAGTGTGACTGTTTGGAACACAATGATTCTGTATTCATTCTGTGTGACACAGTTTAGTTGTACATGTAGAACACATAACACAGGGTGACCAGTGAGGGTTTTTTTTTTAAACATGAGAGTGTGTACAGAAAAACGTGTGACCAAAAAGACTATTTGGAACACAATGAGACTACATTCATGCTGCCACAAAAGTGTACACACTGTGACATACAACCAGAAATTATACATCATTGTGTGATCACAGATAATTTTCTTTTAGCAAATGAAACTGAGTCTACACGGCATGAAAAAGTTTGACACATTATGTATGCAACAATGTGTGACCATTGATAGAATTTTTTGACCACAATGAGACTTTCTTTACACTGTGACTTAATGTTACACACTGTGGCATGGGACCAGTAAAAAGAACCAGGGTATACACAGGCATCACAGTGTGACAATAGAGATGAATTATATTTTTGACACACCAATATTTTGTTAAGATGGAGTGACACACTCTGGCCAAAGGGAGAGTATTGCATATTTTCAGTGTGACCATAAGTACAATGTTGAAACACAAGACTGTGATCACAGTGTGTGGCACACTATGACCACACTGTGGCAAGGAGAACAATGCTTCCACATCTCAGTGTGATCAGAAAGATTAGTTGGAACACAATGAAACTGTATTCACCCTGTGTAAACAATTGTGAAAAGATATGGTCTTAGATATAACACAGTGTGTGTACAAGAAAGTGTGGCTGATGAGATGATTTGTATTACAATGAGACAATTCACACAGTTTAAAAAAGTATGACTCACTGTTATTATGGACGCTGTTCTTTCCAGAAAGTCAATTCCGTTTTCCAGCAAGCCTGGTGTTAAACATTAGATTCATATTTATATTTCTAATTTTTGTTTTGTACACTTATCACATGACTTATCACATGACTTATCACATGACCGTGTTGTGGTACTCCTTTCCAGGGTGGATAAGAAGAGAGATAAGATGGAGAGGAAAGTGTTGGATAGTCAAGAAAGAGCGTTCTGGGACGTCCATCGGCCTGTACCAGGCTGCGTCAACACTACTGAAATGGACATCAAGAAACTCAGCAGAATCAACAGAACATTCAAGAAGAAAAAGGTGAGTGCAAAGAAAAGAAAATGCTCCGTTCATTTGTTTACCTGTTTGAAAACTTTTGTCTGCTGAGAGCCAGAATGGCAGATACAGTTATTCATTGTGAAACTTTAACATGCTATCTATTGCCTACTTTATAAAAAAAAATCAGTCAAAGAAAACAGAATGTATGATTAAGTGATGAGTGAATTACCTTGATAATTTGATGAATAGACTTTGAAAGATGGGTTCTTGAAACCACACAATTATGAATTGTACCCCTGGAAATTTATAATCTACTAAGTTTCCTTAAATATTTTGAAAGAATATTCTGACTATTCTATGGCCAAAGTGACATTTAATCACATCTTTCAACGCATTGCTCATTCTCTTCTGGGCTAACAAATGAGCTTTGTCTTGAGTTTCAGAGGTTTAATGTTTTTCAGAGGTTTAATGTTTTTTTACAGAGGAGATTAATCTGAAAAGAAATATTGAGGTTATGATTATGTGAGATACCTCTGGTTAATTGTGAACATACTGATCAAAATTATGTCAAATCAAGTCATACATTTCCTATGGCTACAAAGCCTTACATACTTCAATGTATTATACTACTGATTCAATTGAAGGGTACCTCTGCAGTGAAACATGAACGATGAAACAGTAATATCACATTCAATTTAGCAAAATAACTAAAACTATGACTGCAATTGCCCATGGATCATTGATCTGACTTTCAATCACAATTCATTGATAAACATTTTACCCAGGTGTGTATGGGTACAGGATCTGATATGCTTAAGCTAGTTAGTAAGATGGCTTGGCTATAGCTGCTGTTAGTGTTAAAGTGACAAGGGTGTCACAGTGTGGTGATAATAAGCACTTTTATATAAGAAGCCATTATCATTATTATTACTAGTATGCTGATGCTGCTGCTGCTACTACTACTTCTACTGCTTCTACTACTACTGTTACTACTTCTACAACAACTACTTCTACTACTACTACAACTACTACTACTACTACTACTGCTACTACTTCTACTTCTACTACTGTTACTACTACAACTATTACTACTACAACTATTACTACTACTACTACTACTACTACCACTTCTACTTCCACTACATATGCTACTGCTACTGCTGCTGATATTGATATTACCATGTCTGCTTTCTTTGCATACCATAGGTATGTCGGTAATATTTCATCTCTTTTTATAGATATTTGCCTGCAATCAGTAATTTACATATTAACATAAATCTCAAGCATGCTTGCGTTATTTTCTGATTTGTAATAATATGTATCAGTGGTCATTTCTCACATGATGAAAATGACAATGAATTTGTATGTCAATAACATATTGTTGTATTTAGCTTTATAATGGTGTTTGTCATAAATACAATACATGTAATCTGTGCATTCAATAATGGTATAGAGAAACCTTGAATTATTAGTACAAACAAATTGTGACAGCCCTAAAAATACTCTACTTAAATTCTTGTTGACTACCATGTCAAGAAATGGCTGGAGGCTGCATTTGTTTTCTCAGCTATATGAATTAAAGGCTTAACCAAAACCCAGGTTAATGATTCATTCATCCTTCTTCTTTTGTCTATTCATTGAAATCAACTTTTCAGATCAACTCACCTGAAGATGGTGATAGATGTCCGTCAGATTCAGACATACAATCAGCTTCAGAAGAAAGCAAGAGACAGGTAAAATCTTCTACATTTTCTATTTTTCCTATCATTCATCAAAACAGATCAATATTTTCTTTACTCATTTTATAACCATTTCAAATTTCTGTTACAACTCTTTATTTTCTTTATTTGGTTAATAATAATAATAAACTAGGCTTCCATAGCGCATTTCATCTTCAGAGAAAATAAAAATGCAAATGCGCTTTACAATAATAAAATGACAAAATCACACGTATAAATACTAACTCCTGAACTAAAGAACTATCAAAATAAGGACAAGATCAATCATCATCAATCATTGGTTGCCATCTTGTCATCAGGAACTTCTTTCTTTCATTATTATATTACTGAACCTTTCACTATTCTGTATTGACTCAACCATTCATAACATAACATTGATTGCAAATAAATTTCAATTGTACATCGATCAAAATTTGCATACATTCCAATAATCTGCTTTGAAGATGATGTTCGTTATTTGCACACAGGGATCTTTACACTTATTTACAATGATACGTTTGCAGTAAAGTTATTCTTACTTTTGACCATATTTTCCTACATAACTATGGTAGAAAATTAATATGAAATACCACAGAACAGGAAGTGATGATATAGAGCTCAAATTGGCATCACACGTTGTGCTTTGTTTAAAAGAAAACTCTTCTGAGAGGTTTCAGGTTATGAGAGGTTTCAGATTATGATAAATATCTTCATCTTTGTGATTTCATGTGACTTTGTCCATGGCTCAGAGGAGTAATGAAATCCATTAAAGCTTGATATGTTCGGTTACTATGGTTACTTACACCTGACTAGTGATTGAAGGATTTTACTAAGATTCTATCCTACATGATGCATTATCAATCTTGACATGACTTTCAATACATAAGGTGGTGAATATTAAAAGAGAAGAAAATCAAATCTTTGCATCCAGATTATGTATGGCTACAGCTTTAAAATATGCAACTGCGCTACTATATGTTTTTAAAATTGCTATTTTTTTAAATGCCCAGCAAATAAAATGATAAATGCACTTGTGCTTGATAGCCATACCTCAAAAGATATGGATTACATGTGAGGGGGTAAAAGCAGGAAAAAAGCAATTAAAGGGCTGGATATGCTTGATAAGCATGCTTGGGCAGTGTTCATTGTGATATTGGTGATGGTTGCAACATTTGTTTTTGTTCAATATGTCACATAAAATAAAAGTTGGAATATCATTATTGGCAACAACAAAAAAGAAATGTCATCCCTCTGATTTTCCATGAAGTAATTCTATACTACAGGATTAAATTCCAAAATTGTTTAAATTGTTCTAGAGACTTTGAGCTTCTTTCCTTTAAATCATTCCATTTGTGAATGACTGAGTTTAAAATGCAAATGAAATGCTTCTTTCATGAAATCAGAAAAACCATATCCTTTATTTTCGTATCAATGGGATGTTTAAAAAAGAAATTTTAAAAGTCAATCAAAATTTGGATGGGTAAGACCTAATAATCTTAAATACTTAATTTATGCTACTTCTGTCAAGTTTTGTTCTCACAATTTTTATTACATTGTTTATGATAATCTATATTTTTAAAGGTTTACATCTTCATAAGATAATCATGGAATAAACATAATTCTTCATAAACTATGTGGTTTGAATGAATGGTTACTTTATTTCCGGTGCATTGATCTCTGTTTTTTCTCTCTATTTCACCTTTTCTTCCCTTTTCTCTAATTCTGCTTTGTTCACCATTGGGTAATCCTTGTCCTTTGTTGCTACTCTTATCCTTCTCTATTCTTCATCGTACCTTTACCCTACTTTATCTACTCTACTCTTTCTCAATGTGATACAACCTTCATCCATAATCTGTTCCTGTTTCTCTCACTTTGGTTTCTTGGAAATACTTCATGAATTATTCACATCTTTTTGTTCGAACATCCTTCAATTTCTGGAAATGATCCATGTTTTTGTCTATGTCTCTCTGTTTATGGACATGTTTCTTTATGGTTCTGTGTTATATGTTGTGTAAATCACTCTTCCATATTGTAACACATTTTTACACCTTCTCTCTATCTCTGTTCCTCTCTCCTTTCTTGAATTTCCCTTTTCCTTGTTATTCTTCTCCTTTTTTTAATCTGCACCTCATCTATTTCCTTATCATTCTATCATTCTAACCCATTACTCTCCGTTATAATTTGTTTTCCTTTCTTATTCTTTCAATCTCCTCTCTCTATCTCTCTCTCTCTCTCTTTATCTCTCCCTCTCCCCCTATCTCTCTCTCTCTCTCTGACTGTCTCTGGTTCTCTCTCTCTCTCTCTCTCTATCTCATTCTGTCAATCCCTGATATCCTTCTTTCGTCCTCTGTGATTTTATATATCTCTCTCTCTCCCGCCATTCCTTTGTTTTAACTCTGTCATTTTCGTCATCCCCAATCTCATTGACTCTCCCTCGCTTTCTCTCTGACTGTCTACCACTGTCTCTGTCTCTCTTTGTCATTTTTCCCTCTCTCTCTTGTTCTGTCCATCCCTTTCATCATCTATTCCATCCTGCCATTGGTCTCCAACAGGAGTCTTCTCATCATCATCATCTGCACTTTGCATGTTGTTCACCAATTCTCTTCCTCACTCGTAAGGTATGTATAACTGAGTCATCATCAGTGGCATGCATGCTGCTGCACCTAGCTCAGGGCAGTGCATGGTACCACTAGACTGGATGATGGTGGGTTCATATCATCCTCATTCATTGGGATTCTACACTCATTTCAACAATTTCATGTTACTTCAAACACAGTCACAAACATTGAAGAAAAAAAAATCCATTTATGTGCAATTGCAATACAAAAATCATCAGTTATGGTTATTTAGTTGCCTACCATATTCAATAGACCAGTTTTGGAAACGCCCCCTCTCAAAAAATGAAATGGAAGCTCTTATTACCAATCCTGTGAAAGAATATGTTTTGACTAATACGTGATGATACAAATTTTGAAGGGAAACCGCCTACTAATTGATATATTTGGTAAATTATAATATCTATTCGGAGCAGATAGATAACGTGCATGTGTCACGTAGTCCCAAATACATCTTCCTGTGTATGGTGCTTGTAACTTTACCAAGACTGGGCCAAATTTCTTATCATTTTGATGATTCCAAAACCTTGCAGTACACAACAATACTTATATGCTAGATGATCAACCTTTTCTGATCGATTCCACAACGTTCCTTCGCAATGCAATCGCATGACCAGAACTGGTCTTTACCTTTAAAAGTCTATCATAACATTTGCATATTTCACCAGGCCATGTATATCAGATGATTGGATATTTTCTGAATATGTTCATGACTGTTTGCATGTATCACTCACAAATTACATTCAATTTTATGAATTAAGGAAAGCATGAGGTAACAATAATTGTCAATTTGCAGTGATATTGCTGTGGTGTGTATTGTAGTGAATTGTAGTTTCAAATATCTGATAGAGTACTAAATTAATTAGTTTTAATTGAATAGTAGCTTATTGCTTCTTTTGCTTTAAAATTTGCCAGTATAGATGTGAGAAAAATATATAAGTAGGAATCATTATGTATGCTTATGTAAATCACAAACCTTATTTTCTCTTTCAGTTCAAGAAGTCAACAACCCGTATTTCTTGATTTGAAGTCACTACTTAATATATATGCTAAATAGTAATATAGTAATAGTGGTATATTCATTCAGTATTTGTGCCATGAACAGTTTGCCCTTTAACCTACTCAACAGTATCATATGCTTTTCATTTCAATTAATAACACAATAGTATTATCATTTTACTTGCTCTTACATTTCAACATGAAGAGAAGTTTGAGTTCTCTGAAAAATGACAAATAATTATGAATTTTGTCATACCTTTTTATGTCAGCTCAGAAGGATAATGTCCCCTAAAAAAGATTTCTCTTCAACTACCTCATTTTCGAGAACAAAATAATAAAAAGAGAAAAAATGAAAAGCTTAGACCATATTTCCTGCAACAAATGTTTAGTCCTAGGTACATGTTTCTGTGTGCAGTAGCTATCACTATTAGCTAGACTGAATCAATTTCTTATTGTTTTGATAATTTCATAACCCTCACAGTGTACTACATAATCAACATCTTAAATACGTTGCTTCATCCAAATGCTTCAACCTTTGAGAGTAACCTGAATCAATATTTTTTAGGGAGTTTCAATGTCTGCTCCATTCAATGGACCTTACCCCTTCCAAACACACAAGCTGTTTTTACAAAATCATTCCTCCCCATTTTCATCTAATTTTGTATGTGCTGTCATATGAAACAAGCTTCCATGTAGAAAGCATAATACTAATGAAATGGCTTTGTAGATGATCATAGCATTAGTTTTCTCTGACCATTTAATGCATTCAATTGAATACTTTCACCAAATTCTTGCAGTGATTTAGACTTAGACATTATTTCTTTCTTTTCAGCATAGAGATCAGGACTTGTAATTCATCATAAATATTTGATTTCTGCTTTTGATTTGTGTCCATTATACATATCGTTGGCACTATTTTTAACCGATCAATCCGTTCAGTAAAATATACGACAGATTTGTAGGTTCAAAATAACGCAAACGATACTATTATTGCATATTTGTCTACTTTTATTCAAAAACAAATCAAATATTGTTAATAATATTAGGCTTAATTATATGTATTAGAATTTTATTCTTTGAAAAATTAAATCAAAACAAACCTCTTTGTAAGTGTTATAAGTAAATGGAAAATAGAAGCTTTTTCAACCTATATTTCTTATCAAAATTGTCCCAAGGATAGAAGGAGTTAAATAGTTTGCTGGTGAATTTAACTTTCATAACACCTTTATTAATAATAATAAGAAGAAGATGAATAGAAATAATAATAATTATCATTTCTAAGCAATTTACATAACATGAAATAAACATCTTATACCCCAAAAAAAATTATATCAATAAACATGGTAATGATTCAATTCTAATATCCAGTATTACTATGAAGACATTAAAACGAAAACCATTTCTATATTTTTAAGAATTTTGCTTATTAAATTTTGTACTAATATAAATTATGACCGATTGCCTACTTTAGGTGGAGATGCTGAAAGCAAGATTAGAAAAGAGGCAGTACAAGACGTCTAAGGTGGCAGAACTGTAAGTATATATTACTTTGCATCATTATAATGGTATTGTTAATATAGGCAAGAGATAATGGTTGCTTATCATATGAAAGATATGTTCAAAACTGAACAATTTCTGCTCTGAGCTAGGAGGGTACAAACTGATATACTTTTACACAAAGTTAATACCCTCAACAGACACTATTGCATATCTGTTTTGCAGTGTACCTCTCTTCTGTCTTATCTTCATGAATGAAATGATCTGAATACTGTGTAAAACAAGTCATGGACTTACTAAAGTTCTGCTCATTAAAGCTCCTGTTGATATGTGTTTGTATAAATAGGTTAAAATGATTGAAGCCAGAATGAGAGAAATGTCAGATAGTGAAGTTTTCCCTGCATAAATCATTCTAGAAATGTGTATTCAACTGCATGAAACATTCAAGCAGGTTGTAAGTTATCTTTTATTATTATCACCATTAATGTATATATACTCATTTCAAATGTTTTTTATTTGATGTCATTTTCCTGGAAATTAAAAGAAAGTTACAAATAAAATACAATCATATCTTAGAATGATTATAGCGCAAATTGGATATGTCATTAATAATAGTACTTTCTCCTTCTAGACATATACACTTGTTTGAGTTGTTTCCCTGAAATGATTGTAAAACCATGTACTTCACGCTCATTTCATATAAAAGCTCTCTCTCTCTCTCTGTGGTTTGACATTATGAATTAGATTAAGTTTATCAAGGCAGTAAAACTTTGTAATGAAACCCTTCCTTTGTAATATAATGAAAGGTTCAATGGGGAATCATATGGTCCTTCATATACCAGCATGTTAGAGATATACAGGTATTATATCACCTAGCTTGTATCTATATACCCTTTACTTGATGAACATGTAACAAATCTCCCTCCAGAGGGCAGCATGGATGTATGACTTGACATAATATTTTACCTGTTCTCTGATGAAGAAAGAATTCATGATAGCTTTACATTTTTGGATACATACATATGTATATCTGGCTTGATATCGGTATTCTCTCTTATCATCTATGTTTTATCTTCTCTCTTTTATCTTGAAATGATTTACTTGCTTTAACTGGACTATTTATTTACACATGAAAGTAGGCACTGATCTTTCATGAATGACTTTAATGATATACGATGTCTGCCATTTTGCATGTCAATTCCTAACTCTGTGATTGATTGCTTTCATGTTTATCCAACCCACTGTGCTGGTAACCCACTTCATACTTCTATCAGAAACTACTTGTATTTCCTAAGATTCATTATTGAATACCACTATAGCAAGGGGTGTCTTCTGTGTCTTGTTTTCCCCTTTATGAATGTTATCTTAAAGCACTGAGACAATAAATATGAAGGTATGAAAACATTGCATAGCTATAGTACACAATAAAATAATTGGATAGCTTTGTGTTTTGCAATAATTGGTCATTTAAGGTAAATGAAATAAAGTATAAATTGACTCCTGCCAAAGGAACACAGCTGCAGAAAAGAACCTCTATATAACAATACCATAAAGGGGCTGCAAGTTCAAATAAATTAGGTTATTAAGTTTTTCAAACTTGTACAGACCCTCTGCCCAGACATATGGTAATACAAAAAAAATAGAAACAATTTTCATAACTTATATTTATGCTGTCTTGCTTAAAGTTCATTCACTAAAATCCATTTGCAGGATTTTAAATAAATAGTACATTGTCAAATTTCAAGAGAAGGTCAGAACACGATTCCTGAGAAGAATCTTATAAACAGCTATTAAATGATACACCATATGTCGGAAGTTGAAGGGCATTCATATTGAATTGTGGAAATGGTACTTGGGACCGAGAGAAAATTGTGTCTGGGCAAGGATAATTATCAGCTGGTTCTGAATGGGAATGGCAGGAACTCCTTGATACATGCAACCCTACCTAGATATAATTAATGCAGTTGATTGATGTCTTAAGTACAGAGAATAACAACCTATGGTTTTCATGACTTTTGTTGAAGTTGAGAAGGGAGTGGTAATTAACTTTCACTAATTACCCAGGAAGTATGTGATAAGTAGAAACTCGACACGGGGAGATATTGACAGCATGTGGAAAGAAATGTACCATATCATAATAAATAGCAGAAATAGAAGAGTGCATTGCCAAAACAAGGAAATGGTAAATACCGGTATGGTTTTATGCAACTAAACTAGATTAATATCACTCTTGTAATCGTTACCCATTGATTTAATTACAGTAAAGGATTCATCTGTTAAACTTGTCTAATATTTGCTTTATTGGCCTGTACTTACATTTCCTGCTTTGTGGTATTTTTGGTGTCTGGTAAATCAGCAGACAGCTGTTATATTAGGCCTAGCACCAGACATATATTTTTGTTCAGTTGAGGTATACTTTTTAGAAGCAATTCTGTGAAAGATATCTTATTTTAAAGGTAATACAAAGTTTGGGTATGGGGTCATGAATTTGGTTCAAATGAAAATATTGGAAGCATATGCGATCCTACAATATTCAGTGATCGTTGTCGCGGTTGAAATGGAGTCTAAAATTATGAAATTGTAATTGATAAACTCTTTGTTGTATAGCTCCCTCTCAGGGTCAAGATATTAATTAAGCTATAAAACAATGGTTCTTGACTAAAATTGACCGATTAGCTATTCCCGTTTGTAAATTATATATCACAACTACATATTCTGAAATTTTCATGGCCACAGCTACTATTGTTTGGCCATAGGCACTATTTGAAATTTATCAAAATTTACCAGGAGCACCGGTAAATTTTTATATTCAATTTTTCTCGAAAGCAGAAGTATTTTAGGGGCTAAATTTTCTAGTGCTTATAAAACATCCACAGGGGCATCCAAATATCTCAAAATTGTAAAGAATCGCTATCCACCCAATTTTCAAAATTTCCCAAAACTTTGTATTACCTTTAATAGAGACATATAGAATGAACATGCCATATGATACAAAAATACACATTTCATCAAAGGTGCAACTCATTTTATATATCTGTATGAAATCACAGAAATTAGGTAATCTGAAGAATAACAAAATCTGAACTAATAATGAAATGGGAAGAAAAAAAAACACAAGCCAGCATTATTGATGAAGTATATTCAGTCAAAATGTTTGAGAAAATTCCCCTATTTGTATATCATGCTGTGGGAATACCATACAAAATCTGGAAAAAATGAACAAAGGTAAATGATAGCTTGATTTGACTTGCATACAGCCTTTCACAACACTCAGAAGAAACCCACTCGAGGGTCTATAAAGCAGCCATAATACTAAAAACAATTGTTAATGGGTAATGACTCATATACAATATCTATTCATTCTACGGATTTCATTCACAGAAAGATGAAAATCCCCCTTCTGATAAAAAGAGGTGCATACGTAACTTGAATAACAGAGAGGGAAAGGGTGAGGAAATATCCTTGACGGAGTAGCTACTATATGTTTTGCGGTGACCAAAACTATTAGTCACGCTACTGTCCTGATGATTGCATTTATTTATCCAGCAATTCTGCACACACGTAGTACACACAAACACGTGTACCTGTGTATCCCCATGATCACATTCGTTCACATACTGAAGGTAGAATGGTGTTATAAGTGGAAAGAGGAAGCAGGAAATAGTTCACAATGATTCCCTCCCTCTCTCACTCCCTCCCTCCCTCCCTCCCTCTCTCTGTCTGATTTAACCCCAATAATCTAAGCCACGCACACATGGCAATTGAACCAGTCCTGATTCCATCAAACTTCCTGCGGTTAACTCTTTGTTTGATCACTGGTTGGATTTGGTTTCTGTACAAGCAGCTGTCCTCACTTTACAGAGCTAGTTCTCACTTTCATGTCAGCTTGGTTCACATACAGTACATATATATCTTGGTTTCACAAGTATTCTAGGAAGATATGACTGCATGGTACTGGTAGCGTCTCTGGTAATGGTTGGAAGACCTAGCTTGCTTTGATTCGTGTTGTAAGAGATGCATTTTTGCCAAGCCCATGTGATGTTTTGATTCGTTGAGGAACAGAAACTACTGTTGGAAAATGTTATTTGGACAGCATGCATGGAAGGAAATCAAATAAATTAAAGATCATGTTCAGATGAAGCAAGATATTACTATTGCCGAGTGTTGCGATGATCGAGGGGTGGTTCCTAATGGATTAAAGATCAACCTTGACTTGGAGACTATAGTTGGTGAACTCGTCTCAATCCAATCGATAAAACAGATCTGAAGCGAGACAAGAGCTTGCATGTACGTGGGATCCATGGCCTAGCTGTGTATATCCAAATAGTGCTTATTTAGATATTTTCTGTGGATTGTAAAATGAAAGGAGTGTGCTGAGAGTCTGGAAGTCTCACGAGGAAATCTACATACATGTGTCTGTGGACCAGATATTACTTGTCACGTACAAATGATGATGCAGTTGGTGCCCGGGATTGATAATATCATAACCAATGCTGACTGAATTATGGTAAGATTTGTAATTAATCAATGACCAGGCTGAGATTTATGTTAAATGTAAAAGTTGTCTTTTTATTCTATATTATAAAGGACACCTTTTATCTGGAGTAAAGAAAAGTTGTTATTCAATCTTTTGTAGTATCAAACAAGCTGTATGGCTGTAGTTCATGAATGTACCTTTTCCTATTCTCATCACTGTATAGAGTCTGAATTCAATTGATATAATAATATCTACAGAGATTGCAGGGTGATTTCTGAAGCTATATATCCACTGAAGTATAACATGCTTTTTATTTATACTACTTTAATAGAAATTAGAAAGAAAGAGCATTGATGCAAAAAGGGGTTACTATAAATATTGAAATGTGTTTTGAACACATTGTAGTTTATAGTATCTATGGTCTGTCCTACTTAACGGTACCCAAATATACCAGTGACTTTAATGCATGGATATGTTCACAGGTTGAGAGGATGTACTTAAGAGTACTTAAGAAAAATAATGATATGGAGAAGTGATATGAAATATATAGAGGAAAATACACATAAAAAGAATCATGAGAGAAAGATCAAGAGGAAAAGAGAGAAAAAGAAAAAGAAAGTGGGAGGGAGAGAGAGAAAGAAAGAAAGACAAAGAGAATAGAAGGGATAAAGAAAAGAAAAGAGGAAGAGGGGAAAAGAGAGAGAGATGCATGATCAGCTTAACTATGAAAACATGCATCCCAAAACTAAACTTACAATATGTTTGTACATCTGGTATCTAAATGATAGTGTGCAGACAGCTAGAGAGAAAGGAAAACATTTCCTCAAAAATGAATCATAATGTCCTCAACTAGAAACATATAGATTGGCATGTACTCATGAAAAATTAAACAATGTCCCTTGGGGCCATTCTTTCATGACTAATCCAAGCATATCAGTGATTCACAAAATAATATTATTCATGGCTTCATAGGAATTACAAAACTAGAATGTCACTGAAGTTTGAGATAATGTACCTCTCTTTGCAAAGGAAAAGAACATGCTAAACAGAACTCATCAAAAGGTTATTCAGCCAGTTTCAGTTCATCATTTTTTGTCTCCATTTCGAAACTAGTTTGATTTCCTTCCAATAATACTCAAATAGATATAAAATGCTTGAATGGTTGAGTATCTGAATATTATTATCTAAATATTTTTCATCTACATAATCAAATAGGAGGACTATATCTTTTATTCTTTCATTTGGTAACATACAAAATGGATATTTGGGAAAAGAGGAAGAGGTAATGATACCATTGTTACTTCACAAATCCTTGGTCTTCTCTTAATTGCCAACAACCTAATACTAATGGATAATACTTCCTATTATCATAATAAAAATCCTGTTTGTATGAGGAAAAAGGTTTCAGTTTCGTCTGATTTCTATGACTTCTCAGTGTATTAACTTCTTCAGTAGCCATTTTGGTGCATATTATCTATAGCGCTAATGAGCTAGGGCATTCTGTATGTGTGATCAAGTTCAGCAGAAGTACAGAACACATACCAGCAACTTTTGTTCAACTTTCCCGTTACTGTGACCAGCATGTCATCAATTTGTTGTTTGTGGGACATACGAACACACAGAACACGTTGAAGTAGACGGGATAAGATTATAGTCGATCTTCATCATATGCATCTGTGAATATACTTGTAATGGTATTTGAACTAGATATGTGATTAACCAGTGGTAAGAATATAGTTTCAATGGTACAGCATCATTGTAGGCTGAAGTTATCATCTTTTGGACAATTGACGTTTGAAACTTCTTTGTTCTACAGTATTGTATGAGGATTTATCATGAAATGAGATGGTATGTTTTCTTCTTGTGCTATTCATTAACATGTCTGTGAAGTGTTTTTTGTTGTAAATTTCAGGAATAAGTTGTTGTCTGGCGGAGCTAAAAAAAAATGTCTTCCATTAAATTTTCATTTATTTGCAGTGTTTGGAAGTTAAAGTCAACATATTTTGTGATTCTGTTTGTTAAATCAACATTCTCTTTTTCATATTTCCTCTCACAAATTTGCATATGTTCACAGATTAATAGCATACTGTCAGCAGTATCGAGACTACGACTCGTTTCTCTCGACGGAGCTGGGTCCAAATCCTTGGATAACGGACGACACAGCATTGTGGGAAGCTGCCTCAACTATGTGAGTGTTCGATATTAATACATTATTTTATCTGAAAAGAAAGGCATTAATTATACTGTCTGTTTGGAGCCAGAAGGGCGGTAACTTATAAACTTTTACACAGAGTTACCCCCTTCTGGCTCTCAAGAGACGATATGTAAAGGTGAATTGGTCGATGCCCTTTTTACTTTCATTTCATACTTTCAAGGATGTATAAAATTTGTTGCAACTAAACAGGATGCGATGTGATTAAAATGAATAATACAAGAATAATTTTTTTTTCTTTTTTTCAGGAAGAGATAAAGTTAGAATAATATCACTAGGAATAATACAGCGTGTCCACACACAAAACAATTTATCCCGAAACTCTATAACGAAACGTTGTATAAAGAATCATCGTATAAATTTCAGAGTGTCCACACAAAAGAAACGTCGTATAAATAATCATTGTATGAATTCCAGGATGTCCACACACAGAAGAAAGTAATCCTGAAACTCTACAGCGAAATGTCGTATAGGTGCGCAGTTTGCTACTGCAGTCATGAAATGGAAGCGAAAATGAGAGGTATGGTCTCCTTTCGCTCGAGGTCACGTTAAGCCCCGCCCAGTTAGTTACACTAGTTACACTCCCCCTGTCCACACACAACATTTTCCGTGATCGAAATGATGCCCAAACCTGCGTTTCGTTAGACTAGTTTCGTTATACGACGTATCGTTAGTGAGCGTCCCCACAGACAATTTCATCATAAAACTATCGCGAAACGGTATCACTATTGCGAAACGGTATAGCTAATCACGCCTAATCACGGAAAATGTTGTGTGCGGACAGGGGGATATATGTGCAAAATCACAAATTTATCAGCATCTTGATAAATACTTGTGTAATAACAAGCAAATATTACATCTCATATTGAAATGTATTTTACCTGTGCATTGATGTCTATTTAGTCCAGACTAGAGAATAAATTATAGGAATAGATTCTATGACGACAGGTACAAATTTCATTCTAGCTAGTAGCTATCATCACTCTGTCTCTCATCACCATGTCCTGTTTAGTTTGTAACTCCCTCTGTTATGGTCAGCTGAGCTTTGGACTGACTTCAATAGGTTCAAACAAACATCTATAAAGCCTCTAGAAGGTTGACTTTAATATTATTTGAATCTGTTTTATGTTCCTTTGGGGCCAGTAGGGTTGAATGGGGCACTTTGCTGAACATATAATATAAGACAAAAAGGACTGCCAACTGGAGCTATTATCAAATTCACAAACTTTTGAGTTTACCGGTATGATGACAGAAATCAAAATGTTTGCACCTTTATTTACAACTATGAGAACAGAATTACTGAAAAATTGAGTTAAAATCGAGCTATAAAAAATAAACCCTCCAAAGTTGCTCGTTTGCATAATTTGGTTAAATACATGTCTGGTGTATTACCTCGTTAAGGTGCCAAGACCAAGAATAAAGCCATACTTCATTGCCCCTTTGGGCCAGACAATTGGCTGATTACATGATGAGTAAAAGGGAAATGATGTGTCACCTAAAATTAGTGGTGATGATTGGTTAAGCAGGGCTGTATTCAGACTGGCCTCTCTGTAGGGGTCATCATTGTCCTTACAATCTACCCCTTCACACATGCTTCATGTCATTCACTGGATCTACTTGGAATTTAGTTGGATATCTATCAGTTTTTGAAGCTATGTTGGCATTAGCCCAATTAACAGAAGTAGGACAGTGATCAGCTGCTACTCTGATTACTTTTCATAGAAGATAAGGTTATAATCTACAGCTGATCTGCTTTGATGTTTTATGCATGGACCATCAAACCTGAGATTATAACATGTCAGTCTGTTTGACAAATTCCTGCTATTTGTGAAAAGACTCATTTTTCATGGTTCAAAGTTGTGAATACTACTTTATAACGATTACTCATGATCTGCAAGGTGTTTTGTCCAAGGACATATGTGTTAGTCTCAAATGGATTTGTGTAGAGGCTTGTTTTTCTTCCTTCTGAACATGCGATATATCCTGTAGTGTTTAGTATGAGCTTGAGTTTCTCTACAGCAGCCACATAATTCCTACTGTTTTGAAACAGAATGAGACGGATATATACTTGATATCAACTCTTTGTAGTAAACATTACCAGGATGCAGCACCTGCAATAGAGTTCTAAAAGCAGGTTTAGTTCAGGAATCATTGTGAAAGACTTAACGTATGATACCAACTCTATGACATCATGTATATTAATATCAAAGATAATTCGATGTAATCGATGCAAAACCGGACATAGACCATTTAATGCATAACAGGTGAACATTATTAGTAAAGTGAATTGACAGAGGCAAAGAGTATATTTGTGATGGTGTATAGACCAGATGAAATGGAAAGGTTTGTAATTTTTTATTATTTTTATCTCTTTTAGTTGATTCTGTTGTTTTTCAAGTTAAAGTTGAGATGTATTCATGAACAAATTAAACAGTGTTCCTTGGGGCCATTCTTTTATGACTAATCCAAGCATTTCAGTGATTCACAACATAATATTATTCCTGGCTTCATAGGAAGATGTTTTCACTTTATTTACTTTATACTTGATGAAATATACCGGAGTGTTGGCTCAGTCAGTAGAGCGTCCGCCTCACAGCCAGGAGGCCGTGGGTTCGAACCCCGGCCCCGTCATACCAAAAGACGTTAAAAGATGGGAGTTGTTGCTACCTTGTTTGGCGTTCCAACAATAAGGGATAGAGCAACGTCGATCTGGCGCTGCTCAGTGGCTGCCGGGCTCACGATCAATTGGGCAAAATAAATTTCCGTTTCGGTTTAATAAGACTTGGAGTGGTCCATTAAAGATTATTATTATTATTATTATTATTATTATTATTAGCTTATATTATGATTATTAAATATACTCAAAATTCTTATGGAGTATCATACTGTCCTGTAGACTATTGTGTACAAAAAGAGAGAACATTTAAAGAGAATACTTGTTCTAAAATAATGTGGTAAACCACACTTTGTTGATTTAATGACATAATTCTTTAAAAGAATTTGTGATATATTGATATTTGTTAATTAAAATTATAATGATGTATAGTTATTTTTAGTTAATGTTGGCGCTTTGTATCTACTTGTAGAAAAGCGCTATACAAATGTTCATTATTATTATTATTAAAATATATTTTCTGTTACATATTTCTTTCAATTTTTCTACAATATAACCACTATCATGTACCGGTATCAACTTTATTAGGAACAGAGATATAAAGTGACATCACTACCTTTCATTTCATTTCCTCAGGAGTTTGAAGGAGGTACCAGTGTACAGGGTCAAAAAATGGGGTTTCTCCTTCGATGATCTCCTGAAGGACTCCCTAGGGAGAGATCAGCTCTCAAAGTTCCTGGCTAAGGAGTTCAGTGATGAAAACCTGAGGTAACCCAGCAACTAACAAGGAATAATGGAATACCAATAATAATATTCCAAATAAAGCCCAGAGTTGAAATTGATATGTTATCATCATTCTGTCTCCAGACAGATATATCTCAAGATGCTATAATGTCCCACTTACTCAGTGGTTTCTAACAAAGAAAACCTCGATTTGATTTGTTACCTATTTGACTTAAATAATCTTACAGCCTTTTCACACAGGGGTAAAATTCTTTAAGCTGATTAGTTTAAAGAGCTTTAGACTTATCAGCTTTAGATGAAACACCATTCACACACAGAAAATTTTGGTTCACTGCTCTTTAAACGCTCAGTAGGGCCATACGAGCAGTGACTCACTGCTCGTAAATGTGCAATGGCCCTACTGAGTGTTTAAAGAGCAGTGCCCGGTCTTAGCTCCGCCCAGTTAAGGACATATATTCGTTCACACACAAAATGTCCTGCTCTCTAGATACGGACTTCGTATCTGCAGCCTGCTCTGACCGGCTTATAGACTGCGACTTCATATCTGTCCGAACCTCGTATAAACGACGTTCACACAAGGAAAATTGACTTTAAAGCTGTTTAGTTAAAGAGCTTCAACTTAACAGCTTTCGATACAATGAATTTTACCTGTGTGTGAAAAGGCTGCATGAATTACTAACTTCTTTAAGAAGTTAAAGAAGTTTCCCTCATCAGTGTTTCGTTTGATGCATTTTACATGGAGTAACTTTTCTTTTGGATTTTGTGAACCCCTACAATATTTCAGTTGTTCAAAAAAAATTCTTCCAGAAATAACATCATTATGTCCTATCTAATTATTTGTTTTCCTTTCATATACAACTTCACCATCTTAATCTGTTATTTCTTGAATTGGGTATGACCTTTTGAAAGGAAATTTCAATGCATTTTTCCCCACAAATACTGTCAAATGCTATCTAATTGTTCTCTTTAACTCTTTGCTCCCTGGTAAAAGTAATGCAGAAAATGTTTATATCTCTGACTTTTACAGGTTTTGGATTGCATGTCAAGACCTCAAAAAGATGACTTTCAGTCAAGTACCAGCAAAAGTGCAGCAAATATACAGGTATGTACACCATAGTACAATAACACTTCAGAGTTAAGTTTGAGAGTTTTCTGAGAAACATCGACAGTAACATAACTTATGGATCTTCACAATAATTGTTAGCTGTTTTTCATAGTTTAATTACATTAACTAGCGATAAATAAATTCATTCACCAGTTTCAATCACGATATTGAACTGTGGTTTCTATTTGGCCCTAGAGATAAATGAATATCATTATTTATACAGGGTAATTAATAGCTTGATTAGAATAGCTGCCTCCCACCCACATTTGAAACCCATTTCTTTATTATGGTTGGTAACATTATCTTCTCTTTTTGTGCACAGTGAATTCTTGTCAGACAGTTCACACAGTCCCATCAACGTGGATTCAAAGATCCTGGACACTACACGCAAAAACATGAAGAACCCCAACCGCTACACCTTTGATGCCGCCCAGGAACATATATACACGCTAATGCGCAGCGATAGTTACCCCCGTTTTCTCAGGTCGGAACAGTACAAGGAGCTGCTTAACCCAAAGAAAAAGGTGGGTACCATGGCAACCAAAACATGACTTGAAGATAGCATTATACAGATTGGACATCATTATGCTTCTAGAATTCATCAGAAGATTTATTATGTCTCTTTAAAGTGTAGACTGGCTGCCATTCCACAGTTATTAGCAAGTTCTCAATCATGATATTGACTCAAATTAGTTTGCTCAGCTTTTCTTTTCATGTAATACACATACTCCAAATTTACGCCTTAATTGATTTGCATTAGATTATTTTAGGAAGTGCTAGGCAAAATATCTCACTTAAAATTTTAACAATTTTTGCGCTGGCTTTGCAAATATGTTTTTAATTTTAGTTTTTCACTGTTAGATGATTTATTATTTCTGTCAAATAGAAGGACAAAAATTAAGCACTTATAGATCTATTGTTATAGTATATATTTGCAAAAAGCACTTTTTTAAATTTGAAAATGTCTTAAATCTTGTCACACTTTTCATGCAAAAGATAGTTTTAACAGAAGAATCTCCATTTTCATTCCATACTCTAATTTAGATAATGTATACATATATATATACGTATTTCCAAATGTATTTCTCTGAGTGAAGAAGTTAAGTTCCTTTTGCTATGACTGTTCAAAATGTTAAGGGAGGAAAGTACACTCAATCATAATCTGAAAATGGTGAGTTGTACAGTAATGCATGGAAATGATAGTTTGGATAATAATTTGTTTTCAAAGAAGCAAACTTAACCAACTTCCAAATGGATAATAAATACAAATCAGTTTCACTTTCAATACTAATTAATTTCAATTTCAATTTTAGTTTCAAATCTAGCTGAGAGTACAACAACAGTCACCAATTTTTAGTCTGTAATTTTTTCAGGTAGAAAGAGGAGGATACAAAAATTATGATTTCTGTAATGAACTTCAACAGGTTGTAATATGAAGAATAGTTCATATACAAAAATTCCCACTATATCTTCTATGATAATACATTAGAACACAAGAAGTTTAAAATATTCAGGATTTTGTCTTCCATCATTCTTAGGGGGAGCAATAATATAATCTTTAAGAAAATTTGATTACTAAATGGATAAAGTTGAATATGGTTTTGTAGTGCAATTTTCTATAGAAACATTACATTTGGGACAGTTTACATGTGGGAGCACACCTTTTAAAAGTGTATTGTTTTGTGTGTATTGATACTAACAACTATCCTTGCTTTCACTTAAGGCTCAAAGGAATAAGAAATATGGGTGTTGGAGTTAAAGAGTTAGTTATAAATCACATACCCTCTGAAAATATAAGCAGTTTAGCTTCAAACATTCATAACTACAACCCTCTTTCTCCCTGTACTCTGAAATACTACCTATTGTCTTATATTTGGCTCATTTCATGAAAATTTACATATTTTGAGAAAAAACTACTTTCAAAAGCAAGCAAACCCTCCACATTAATAGGAATGAGATAGAGATGAACAATATAACATGACTTAAGACTAAACTGGAAATAGATAAAGAAGCAATACAGTTTTTTGTGGTTTATTTAGAGTGAAAGCAAGGACTAGTTTTCTCAAAGTTTTTATGTTGTTTGCACTCTACATTGTTTGGCCATCTCTATAATTTGAATGAAAAGAAAAGATTGCCACTGGTTTGCTGTGTTTCTTTCTCTGCACTGATTTCATTCATAGACTTATGATGATTATTCACGCGTGTGTTTCTCACTCACGAATGCAATTATCATTTCACTTTCAGCTGTCTTTGAAGTTTTTCAAACACACCATTTCCAAGTGTTTGCTTTATTTCCATCTTATAATCATTTTGTTTTCAGAATCTCTTTTCACTATCATGTTGTACACTATCCTGTAAGGTTACATATCTCTTATGTACATGTATGTATGTATATATCTATAATATTCTTGTTTCTTGTAAACTAGAATATTACACTTGATTAAAATTGTTTCTTTCTTTTACCCTTATATATATTCTAATGATTAATTGTCTATATTCATTTTGTACTGTAGGAAAAGAATATGAAAGATTATGACACATTTATTATATTTTTGGAAAACTTTTCCCATCCATAGAGTTGATATGGGCAGTATAGAAAATGGTAAATTGGTATTATAGTGGGCATTTTTAAATATATAGGTAATATAAACTATCAAAGGACTAAATACAGATTTAGTTTAGCAGTTTGACTAATCAATTTAAGGATTCTGAATAAATGAATTCTGATAGTTTCAAAGATGCTTTAGAGTGTCCTGCATAACTGAGTGATATTACTGTTCCAAAATGAATGTGACTTTAATAAACACAGAATGGATTTACATAGAAAAGTTTTTATGAGGTACTTTCCTGCAGATTCATCATAAAGAAATTTTGCATAAAGAAATGTATATCATAGATTTATGTAGATACATGGTTCTCTTTTTGTAAGGAGTCATAAAATTGGATTGAAGGAGTATAAAGTAAATATTATATATTAAAAAATTCTTCAAGAACTTTTCTGCTAGTTGGGTTCTGTTTAGACAAATTGTTCAGATAAGAATTTATAGGGAACATTCATAAAAAAGGGGAAATATGTCAATCATCTGAATTATCAATAATGATATGTAATTTTCACCATTCTGAAATACTGCCTGTAACAGCTTTACTTTGGAAAGGAGAGTGGAAAGTTATTTTTAAAAACAGGCAATGTCCATCTTCTTTTCATTCTTCATGTTGTTCTCACTCATGTCACTTTTTACTTGTTCTCTTTCCTTTCTAATTTACCCACCCTTTAATGACTCCTTCCTTCTACACACATACATACCTACAATCTGATTCATGATTACTGACTACAACATTTAAACAAAATTCTGCTTCTGCATGTACCATCTTTGGAATGTATCGTGAATGTTAATCTGGGAATGAACATGCTGCAATTAATCATACATCCATTATGATGAATGTGGGCGTCATTTATATGGAATGTCCATCAATGCATTACTAACATAAAACATCAATCTCCCTTCCACTTGCATATATCCATTGCATGTATCTTATTCTTTTCTTGATGTTTTTTCTTCTTCTTGAATATTTCTTGAACTACTATTGGAATACTCACTCATTTCCCATCTTTATTGATAATCTTTTGTGTTTCTTATATGTTTTTAAAACCAATTGGCATATTGTCAATTCTCTACTTGACATCTCTTCATTCTTTTGTTTGTGTCTTTCTCAATTCTGTTTACGTTGTGTGATTCTTTGCTTTCTCTGTCTTTCTTGCAAATCTGTATTGTTCAACTTGTATTTTTTTCATGATATTCTTCCTTTATGCTCTTCTCTAAACTTGTCTTTCTTGTTATCCTTGATACCATTCATCTCACAATGCTTGATCATATGCTATCATCATTTTATGATGAATCTTGACATCATTTCTTTCACATGGCTGATACCATACTTCGCTTTCTCTCTCTAACTGTATACTCAACACGCAATCACTCAACTGTGCATACCATCTCATCTTGCATCTTGTGACACGAAAATGAATAACTTTAATCTTATTACCATCCTCTTCCACTCTCTTAATCCCAATCTTCTTTGTTCTTCTCAAAACACTTCTGTCTCATGGTTTATTCTTGCCTATATGCTTGTATGCCATCATATGGATAATGCTTCTTGTCCTATCATTCGACCTCTTTTGCATGTTTTACCTGCTATGACCCCCCCCCCTCCCCCCTCCAACCCCTCCCCTATCTCTCACTTCCTTTCTCTCTTTCATGACTGCAATTACGTTGTGACCATCCCACTTTTAATCTCCTACCCACTTCTGATACACATAAAATCCACTCAAAATTTGCCCTGGCTCTGTTTCTTTACATACTATTTACAATTCTACTGTTGTTAATAAATCACTGTAATTCCCCTTCTAAATATGCAACATGTAATACCACTCTCTGCAATCACATTGCTTTATCAACGTTGTCTAAAAACACATCACTTCAATCACCTCTATTACCACTAAAACCACCACCACTACCACTGCCACTGCCACTACCACAACCACAACCACTTCTGCCTCAAACACCCACCCACTTTTTACCATCTTTTGCGGTGTGTGTTTCCGGCACAGTGCCTCAGCAACTGGGAGAAGGTAATTCATCTATTTTCGGAGTCCCCCTTTTAACACTTTCAAGAGACAGTTGCTTTTTTTTTCTTATTTTGATGATAATTTTTTTAATCTTTTCACCTAGCTGTTCACTTTGTCTTCATTTCATTCATATTTCACTATAATTCAATGTTTCTCACATCTACCTTACTTGGCTTCATCTTGTTCTGTGCTATATTCATCTAGTACTGGTATGCTGCAATACAGAGTGGTATTCATCTCTCATTTATCACACATTTATTCCAATCTTCATCAGCTGGGTTTCGGCTGAGTTATCACAATCTTATTTGTGTTCAGGATTCATCTTATCTTACTTTCTAGTGACTTCCCGGAAATTCTATTCTAAATTATCAGCTATCTTGGCTATTTTGGTACCTGTTCAGACACAATATCACTTCAGAAAATATTAGTGCAGCCACCCATATATATATCCCCTTGCATTGATTGTTTAATAGCTTTGAATATGATTAAGATATGGTATTACAAAGCAAATGTCATCTCAGAACATCACATCTTGGATAATAATTGCTTTTTAAGAAATTCTTACAAAGAAGAACCAGACGCCCTTGGAAAATTGATGTGACTATTCAATGACATGATTTATTGATGCAAATTCATCCAAATATGCATAGATTGACAAATGTATGCAATTGACTTTATACCAAAAAAGGGGTCAGTGAAGAATATGGAAAATGAAAATTATGCCTGCCAGTGTTATAAATGGAGAGATGCTTGCCTGCATTCTATATATCTTGCACATCACTATCAATAGCTAACACCATTCTCTTTTTAGCAGTATTGTAGCATCTATACAGCTTTGCAATCACAGTCATTTGTTCAATGATGTCGAACATCTCAAGTTGTAGTATAACACCATCTTCTCATGCCTAACATGTTTCATTTTAGCATTCTATATCCTTGAAATATTGTGGCATTAGATGTTACCTTGAAGCATGTCCCATCCTACTAGGTGCTCATTTTCTATTCTACAACAGAGCCGATTTAATATTTGGTGTTTACATGTAGTTTAGATCAAACTTACAGATGTAGAGCTTAAATGAAACAGTGCTTCAGGATTATTTCTTTTAAAGACAGGCCACACTATAATGTTTACTAATTCATTATAGAATTACATTGTTGTAAGTGTTGAGCATTTATTGATATTTTGGAATAGTTGACTTTACACTTTGTTAAAAAAAAACATAAAAATACACTCTCCGTTTGGTCTCGTAAAATATCCATGGTAATGAAACCATATGAAATGTTAGTATAAATATCTCAAAGATAGGTTTATTTCAAAACTTGATTGTATTGTATAGCCTGAATATTCCTGTAATTCAATTTGCTTTCCCTGTGTTTCTATAAGGACAAGACAATCCGATGCAATTCCTTGCTTCCTCTTTATCCTCAGCCATGAAAACATAAAGAAGCAATAAACAAGAGCCATGGCATGCTGTACCACTCAGAAAACTTCTTTCTTTTGTATTCTTTTTTTCCATTCATTATGTGTATATCATCTATGCATCTACTAACCATCTCATCATCTATTTAGCTTGTGTTCTTGTTCCATGTGTTCTTGTGTCGTTGTTTGGGAGCAGTCACTTACTTACACAGACAGTAGCCAAGTCTATTGGGTAGTAGTCATCTGTCACAGATCTTAGAATATTACATACATTAGATCTTTAATCAGATTTTGTTAACCTAAGTGTATTGTTGATTAACACAATGTGTTCATGTTGTAGGTATAACACTTAACTCATTTTCCCTCTTAGTAAACTAATGCACTAACAATAACATGTTACTTTTAAAAGACAATAAATGTCTACAGGTCTTTTTTTCCTTTTAACAAAAATTAATTTATTATAGATTTGGGTAATTCCCCCCCCCCCCCAATTCATGGTTTAGAAGTGTTGTCTGTTCAGTGAGAACCCCTATAAGCAGAGAGGAATTAACTCTCAGAGCTAAAAAGCACAGACTCACCTTATTATAATCATAGCATTTGTAACCAGTTCATTTAAATAGATAAGGAATAAAACTATGGGGACCAAAAATTCAGAAGATATACTACAAAAAGTTTGGGAATTCTTTTTTTTTTAGGGGGGGGGGGGGGGAGAAAGATTTTCTTGGTTCAGATAGTTGATAACCTGATATTCATGTTAGTAAATTTGTTTCAATCATCTTAGTGGTTAACATCAACGTTTTCTTTGAGTCACAATTTTTCCAGGGGGATGGGTTGAATAACAAGTGGTACTATTGTATTCCTCTATATTTATCAAGTGAAGAGAAAATTGAAAATGAACAAGACATTTGATTTTACAACCAAGTTTACAAATCATAAATGATATATCGTGAGATAATTTTTTAATAATCATGGTCCAACTTTTCATTGAACATCTTAAAACAAAGAGTGGTATCAAACCTTATGATTCATCACTTGGTTTGGAAATCCATGAAGAAATGCAAGCCATTCATTTACCATGAATATTAAGATATGATATTGAAATTAGGAGAGAATTAAGGTTGAAAATAAATTATAACAGAGATTGAAAATGTAGATCTTTAAACTGTTCTTAGAATATGAGGTTATGTTTATTTTCACATTTTCATTTTTATCTTAATGTTTCATTATCAATCAGTTCTTTTTAGCAATTAGTTCATTTATGATTTCTGTTAAAGCTAGAATTTTTTTGCTCTCTGACTTTTTGTTGACATTTATATTTATTTCCTATAATCTTGGGTATATCTAATCAAAATTTAATTTTTCATATTTCATAGTAAAGCTCTATTTTCCTTATCCTCTCTTTGTCTTAATTTTCTTATGTTTGCACTCATTTATTATTAAGAGATATTATATAAAACAATGCACAAATAGCCCTCCAGTTCTTGACTATAAATTGGGATGCCATATAGAGGCAATGTGTTCTCAAACTATCATACCATCTTTCTATCAATAAATAGACACCATTCACTATTAACAGTGTGATAGTTTAGTCAGCGAGTGTGGCATCAAAAGATATACTGGGTCATCGAACATCCTATCATACATAGCATCTCTAGAATTTTCAATTTCTTTCACTTTTTGTGTAAATCTTTCATTTTATACGTTGTTGAGTACTATGTAATCTTCATCTGTTTCATTTATATGTTCTTTTTTTTCCTTCATTTTTTTATGCATTTGTTTTTACTCATCTCAGACCAAGTCTCTGATCCCTAAATTGCCCAGTCTGGCAACCAAGGCCGAAGTCTTGGATAAATGATGCCGCTTTGCAGACGCTTCACCTCAACACTAATCATGGTACTAAAACTTTCTTTTTCTAAAAGGAAAAATGAAAGAAAGATCCTCATTCATGTAGCATCCATTCCTCTACTACAAGGCCTTTACACATCAAATTTAAAAAAATGAACAAATCAACTACTGAAATGTGCATGGGGAAAAGTTTCACTTTGTCAGGCGTGAATTATCTTTTTAATCTAAGCCAATGTTTTTGCTTTACGTGCTAATGTCTCATGGCAGATCAGTCTACTAACCATGATATTTTTTACCTTTCACCTTAAAACCTGATAATCTTCTGCATATTCTGCCTAGACAAATTATCCTAGCAAACATTTGCATGATGAATATTCTTTTAGAAATGTATACAAAGATTTGCACATTATGTACAAAAATAATATGAAATATATTTCAATTATTTTTGCTGATTCTGTTATTGTAAACACCAATTTGAATATTTAACTGTCATTTTTAGTGTTGGAATGTCCAAAAGTTTACAAATTACCGGTAGACAGTTCATATTATTAACAATAGGTAAACCCAAATTCACCATTTTCATGTGCAAAGGCCTAAAAGTGTAGTTTTATATTGATTCAGTAAAAAAGATGGACAAACAAAATGGATTAGGAATAATCATCTCATGATCTTCAGATATTTATGTAATGGAGTATTTTATTACTTTGTTTGTCAATGTTTTAAGTGCAGATCATTTTCACATTAAAATATTTTGTTGTCTCTGAAAGGATATCAGCAGTTGTACAAATCTGCCAGTGGTCCAACCTGGTTAGATTTTTGCAAACTGTTAAAATAAGAGCCAAATACATTCAATGTTAATCAGGACTCTCCTTTGAGCTACTGGAAAAAAAATTGCTTAGTGAAATTCCCAACATTTCTGTGACTTTCACATAGAGCATGAGACGAGACATATTAGTATTTCCTGTCTTATCTATACTTGACATTTACAGAAAACGGTCTGCACTTTCTAACTTTCTCATCTATGATTGTTATTTGTTGTATCTTGTGTATATGTTTTGTATGTGAAGTATTGTGAATAGTAAAGTAGCCCTTGTTTGCGTAACACTATGTAACTCTATGTCACCACTATCTTACCCTAAATCCTATACATGCATGCATGTGCACTAATATATCTGTATGTGAGCTGCATGTGTTGCTGACCTGACCCGATTGCGCATCCCTCTTCCACTGCTCCTATGTTAGTTTATACTGCCAAATACTGGCTTCAACCGGTTTAGACTAGTATAAACCTGTTTGTATGATGTAATGGGTAAGACCAGCACTACACTATGTATTCTACAGAATTGTTAAATTATGTTATATTCAAATCCATCTCACCAAATTTAAACTAGAAGTTTAATGGAAAGTGCTCACTACACGGAGGCAAACCCATTTCTAACTTTTATTGAAGGTGCACAAACTATAAGTATGATATGTGTTCCTTAAGATCTTGTCATCCCTGTACCACCCCCTGATCCCCTTTGTTTTTATTTTTTATTTTATCGTTTATTTTATGTCTTGTTTTAATGGTATCATGTTATGTGGATATATTATTATATTGTAAAATTAAGACAAGAATAGTATAGTCTGAGATCCTACTTGTTCAGTATCAGAGCATTGAATATATACCGGTACTCAAATCATGATAAAATGAAGTTATCTCTATTTTTATAAACATTTTCTCCTTAATGGAGGAGAAAATGACAGTAAAAATAAAATGTTCATGTTTTGTCTTCCAATAAATCAATGATTTATTCAAAAAGTACAGGATTGTATGCATACCAGAAAACAAAATGAACTATTTAGTACCATAGTTATTCTCTGAAGAGATTTTGTATGACTGTTAGAAATGTGAATTCCTGGGTCATCCGTTGTTTCCCCAGCTCTTCAAAGAAATATTTATAGACAAAATGTTGAGTTGGCTTTCTTCATGTTGGTATACAACTTTGTAAGCTTGCTTCTGATTGAGATAAACTCAGAAACCCAGAAAAATGATTTGAAAGTGCAGTTGTCCAAAGTACTTACAATGTGTCAGATGCATCAATTCTACTAAGTATCACCAGCATGATTTTCTTTATTCCTATTAAAAAATCTTAAAATGGCAGTCTGGCTTAAGGATTTTTTTAAATTTCTATTTTATACCATTTCCAGAAAGTGGAAAGGATAATTCCAAAATATGCTCACAATTCAGTACTAAATCCATTTTACAAACTTATACCAAATACAGGAAAAGCAAAATTAAAACTTTGTAATCAATTGTAAATTTTGTATTGTCCTTTGAAGGACTCATGAGAGAAGCATATGATATGACTGATTTGCTTGCTTTCTGTTTGGAGTAGAGGCCCACTTAATTGAAATTAATAAGATTTGAGGGTAATATTTTGCTCTATAGCAGTGTCCAAAATGGGCATACTCCAATACCTGCCCACACCCAAGAAGTCCCTGTGCTGATCATTTAGATGTATCAAGAGTCCATTTACTGTGGTATATACTATACCATGTAGTACTGAATGAGTAGGTATCTGATATAACAAAGCTTTTTTAGCTACTACTGTCAGTCAATCTTAGTAAGGCCTGAGAAAGACTTGTCTCATGGACAACAGACAGGACTATATCATTTGTTATATCCCTCCACATCCACATTCAACCCCTTCCCTTTCCTTTGATATGCTGTATGTACTTGTATAGTATTATGCATCTCAGTGGTGTGATCCAAATACATATGCCTTGTAAAAAGTTGTTAGTTATAGTGCGAAAGTGACATGAATATTTCATATTTTTGTTGTTTCTTTGTGACTGGCATGACTATTCATCCCATGAAAAAAAAATCATGTTATGAGTAATTCATGATATTTTGTGCCATTTGAATGTTACAATATATAAGAATTGATTAGCTGGTAAAATGTATTTTAATAGCCCCTCGTAATATAGAATAAATAGTCAATTGCCTGAAAGGGTTAGATGCAGGCAACTTTTTGTAAAATTATTTAAACTAGTTACGTACATCACTTTAAAAAGTAAAAGTGACAACTTTATTTTTATTAGATTTCATCCTGCCATATCAGGCATACTCTTGCAAAATGGTTCAGTAAAATAAACAGTTTTGGCGACCAATAAAGCTTACAAATAACTTTGCTTTGACATTTCAAATTCTTCAGATATGCAAAAAATGCCTAATATAAAGATGCTTTTCCCAAAAGCTAACATGAACAATATTTGATAAGTTTTTCTGCACCTATTAATAATCAGGGTACCTCAAAGGAATAATAAAATCTTCCAAAGATTGGATGAAATTGTTTTTTGGAAAATTTGAATCTTAAAGAAATTTGTTTTTCTTTGAAACTATACTTCTGCCATTTCATTGCTGTGCATTTTGGTCATAAATCGTGAACATGATGAAAAAGTTGAAAAGATCAAATTGCACCTTACCTTACATCCTTTACCATGCTTCTATGAATATCACCTTTCATTTCATCCATGCTTGTTTGTTCTTGATTGTGTTTTTTTTTTATCTGCTCTTGTTTTCAGCACCCTAACAAGTTAATGCAGCATCTTACGAATCTACACATAGTCTAACCAAGCCTGTCTGAGCATCTAATGAACCTACACGTAGTCTAACCAAGCCTATGCCGGCTGGATAAGGCTATTTTCTATGGATCCTGGCTCTTATAGAGCATTGTGACTACTGCATGTGGCATTGTGGATGATGATGATGACAATCAAAATACCATCAAAATCTTAATGAGAGGACCCTAGCTCCCATCCAACAATCACATACACCCACCCTTAGAATGGTGGTCTGACATGCTAAGTCACCTAACATGAAAACACCTTGCAACTAAGCATCGACTACCCGACCTACACCAGCCTGACCTACTCCAGGACCTACCCGGCCGAGTGGCTTTTTACTAGCACTGCTTCTTGAGAAACAAAACTACTTCTAAACCTGACATGTAAAGGCGTGCAATGACATGCTAGGCATTAATAATGACAAATTAACAGCTCGCAAGAGACTTCAGAGACGTGTAATTGTGTCTCTCTGTTTCATTAATGTGTGTGTTCTTCAACGGACCATCTTCTACAAAGGAGAAGAGACAAAGATACTCTTGCACAGATTTTTGCATATTCTCTGGTCCTTCAATTTTTTTTAAAGACTTTTATATGAGATTGAAGTAGAGTATGAATTGTTTCTTTCCCTTTTGCCAATCAGAAGCTGAGATTATTCTCTCATAACCCTTGCCTATTTAATCTTTCTTCTTGCTTCTCTCCTCTTTGGATACGCTCATTTGAATAGATGGGTGTTAACTCGCGATGGCAACGAGCAGCGCTGCTTGTTCGCTCCCACCTTAATACGAGGGCACCGATGGCTTCAAACGAGGAAACAATGAGCCCTGCACGCAAAGTTCAAACCTTGTGATCATTGTGTCATGTAGGCACACAACGCGTCACCAAGCGTTAGCCAGGAAGCCATACCCTAAAGTGTTGTTTTTTAACTTGGAACACCAAAGGTTTGATGCGGGCAGCCATCGTGAGTGGTACGTTTTTATAGCAAGACGTGATAGCTGTAGTATGCGTCAACAGAGAAGTCTTTGTGTGTGAAGAAATGTAAGACTAGTCTATGAAGGCAGGAATATTTCTCTGTGATGGAATCATAGCTCGATCGACCTGCACATGCTATGTATGTATCAATACCAAGGATCCCTTCTCAACTCCCAGGCACGTCTGATGTCTTCAACAGAAATAGCATGCAATTACAAGTCTGGAACTGAAAAAAACACTTTTACGCTTAAATTGTAGGTTTGAGATAAAAGTTTGAACTAAATTGTGTTCCAATAACTACTCCAATATTGAGTTATCAATGAAATGCATTGTGCCCACAGAATAGTATATCACATTTTGAGTGGTCTTCAACTGTATGCTTGATCCTCCAGTAAAGTAAAGATACACATGTACATGATTTACAAAGTAGTATTTTGCACAAATTATTAGAGTACATAGTTAACCTGCCAGCCAGCATCACAGTTTATTTGTCTCTGTTTTCTTGAATGGATGGTCATGGATTATAACATGTTTGTTAGCTCATTAGTCATACCCTAAATGACCAAACTCGAGATGAATATGGTTCAAATAAGATTCATAGGTGAAATTACAATTATAATCAAGGAATCTTCATTTAAAACAAGATATCTATCATTTTGTGCTTCAAACAAGATAACTGTCAAGGGTCAGCTTTTTAATCGCAAATGGATGCGTACATATCAATCAGCATGTTGCTACAGGATATCCAGAAAGTTATGGCATTGTATACCCAGGATAGACCAGTAAAGTTACCCCCATGGGAATGTAAACAATCGGTCTCTGCAGAAGCATATTTAAAGGAATTGAGTAGACTTTAGCAGACTTAAGAGGGTGTCAAGAAGGTGGATATTGCGCACAGTAATGCATTGTGTCACGTTAGTGGCATTACCACAAATACCTTAACTCTAAAGTTTCAACAGAACTGAGAAGGCAAACGAACCCAGATGGGTAAGCTATTTGGTAAGCGTCTGCTGAAGCAGGTACATGGAAAAGTCAGGAAATTAATGATATTTTGAAATCCTGTAGAAACATGCTGAATGACAATCTAGTCAAAAAATGTTACGTATATTGTTATTTGGGTTATTACCCAATGAATTCAGCCTAGTGAAGTTTAAGATTGTTGTTCATGTAGTTCTTTGTATTCCTTTTATTTCATTCCAGTGGGTTTTTAGTAATAAAACTGCTGTAATAAAACATTTTATTATGATTTTTAAGTGTTACGAGAAGAGTATACCCCATTTTTATATATTATTAAAAAAAATCATGTTTATTGCAATATTGGGTATACAAGTTTTAAGAACTGCTGGTTAGTTCAAGTAAACAATGATTTTATTATTGGTGTTATTACTATTGGACGTATTAAGCAGCAGTTTTCCATCTAACTGTTATTATTGACCAGATATGTAAAGTAACCAATATCCCACTGATCAGATTTAAATTTGTCTGATTAAATATTGAATAAAAGTCATAACTGACTTTTACAAAAACACCTTCCATGTTTTGAATGTGAAATCAAACAAGATTATGATTTCGTTGGTTTCATTGAGGTCCAAAAAGTCTTTTGAAATCTACTCCTTTCCTCTTTAAGTTTCTTGCCATTACATTGAAACAGTAAACAGATGTGCAATTAGTCTACTAGACTACCAAAGGTTAAGGTTTGTACTTACAAGTGTATAAATATGAAGGCTGCAGAAATATATCCTATGGGATTGAATACCTCATTTAATTTGGTGTGATAATAGGTACAATCTATCATTCTATGGTATTGGCTTTACAAACATGAATACAGCTCTTTGCATATGGTTCTTCAAGGTACTATTTAACTATTGAAAAAATACAAAATGAAAGTTCAGTCCAAAACGTTTCAAACAAGAAATCGAAATACATCCCAAAGAATGTTATTCTTAGTTTCGTTGATGATATAAATTTTAAAAATGAATGAAGAATACAGATGAACCAAAATTCTCTTTTAATCCATAAATGATAATCACTTTCTTGAAATATCCAATCTGTACTTTTTCCAAAATATCAACAATGGCAGAACATAAAAAGCTAAATGGTACTGCAAAGCTGTTCAAGGTGAATTTTGAAAGCTAATTTGTTGTTGTTGTTCATATGGGTGAAAAATGATTGAAGAAAACAATAACAATTGTGTGCATTTGAAAGTTATATCATATTTTTATTCATAACTCTATTGTGATTATGTTAAGCTATAATTTCATAATCATTTTTATTAACATTAACTTATTGAAAGAAATATTTTCTCTTTTAGGGATCAGTGGAAACTATGTTGCCATGAAATTATATTTTTTAATCCTTTAAATAATAATACCAACTTGTCAATCAACACCCATATCACAATACCTTTTAGGATCAAATACAATTCCCATGGAAATGATGATTGGATAATTTTTCTATAATGGGGGATTGCTCTCTTTATACAGGGATTTATTGTACAAAAGATGACATTGTTCTGATACAGCTTTCTCAAGCCTTGTTCACACACGACTCTGTAAAATGCCTTCAGAAAAAAAAATTGTTTCAACAAAATTTTTAAATATTAATCATTTTATGTGTAAATGAATAAAAATTCAAAATGAAAACAAAGTAGCTGGATGACACAAAAGCCCCTTGGTGTACTCACTTATCAGTGTGCTGTTACAAGATACATTACTGTAAAGTGCAATGTTTAAATATCAGTCCATTTTACTTTGGCCATGTTTAGGTAGTTTAGATGCCATGTGTGAAGAGGGCTTAAATGAGCTGCTAATGGGGTTATTTCCACAACGTTATAAGAGAAAAATTCACTTTCCTTTTTCATATATATTTTTGAACAGTCACTGCTTTAACATTTTTTGTTGCTGTATGTATTAAAGCAGTCCATAGTGAGTTCTTCAGCTGTAGTAATAGAATTTTTAAAGGTATCAAATTTGAAGAAGAAAAAATCCATGGCTGTCCTACACAGCTTTAGAGAACTAAATTCCCAAATGTTGTTAGGCACTCTGTACACAAACAGGGTATAAAACAGAAATGAATTGCACCACAAAGTTGCATTATATTGCACATTTTATGTAAGATCATTCTTGTTTTATTTATCTCAAAAAAAGTTTTTGTATTGGAAGCTTATCTTGTATTCTGGTAATGGTTGAGGTAATTCTGGAACTGTTCATCTTGCGGTAGATCAGTTGTTTAGATCAGCAAAACAAACCAAATTAACAAAAGTTTCCTGGAAATCAAATTGACTAAAACTACAGGGCCTAGTACTCTACATGCAGTTGGGACATCGAGCTTAACTATCTTATCTTTCTGAGCTTACGAATCAGCTCCCATAATCATTTAGCAGTTAACATTTATGAGCAATCACAGATATATAGTTTAAATTTGTATTGCATATTTGAAATTTTAATTTCTGACATTACCAGGACTCAAGATAAGATTCAAAATGCAGAAATTTCTTTTCATTTTTTTCATTGATTTGACAAAGTTAGTGGTGCCTAAATATAAATATCATGAAAAGGAAATGTATCATAAAAACTTGCTTATTTATTAAAAATGTGTGCTACACAGTGGAAAAGTTTATACTAAGGTTGATATTAACACACACATAAAGAAGAAGCATTAGGACCTAACAGGGTGTTGGTATGTTCCTTCTCTCATAATGGCATAACTGAGAGTTTAGATATGTCTTGTTTATTTATTTTTCTTCAGAATGTATGTGTTGTGAGAGCTCTTATGGGAAGATTACTTTAATTGATGAGTGTTTGACCCCTTAGCAATGATATTCTGTGCAGTGATATATAGAAGTTTTAAATTCATTTTACATCTTGAATATTAATGAAATCACCAGTGCTACTAGATACATTTGACTGGTTCTTGCAACACTCTCATTCAATTAATGTCTTAAAATCCATTCCTAAGCCTTGATTTTGAAACCATATTTGCATCACCTTTTAAAAAGTCTATTTTGGGTTTAATATTGTCATGAAAATCAAGCAATGAACTTCAAAACCTTGGTCTAGAAAAGAATGACTAACTCAAAAGATATTATTTATACTGCTTTTATTTATTGCATGATAATCTCATCTTGAATTGAATAGTTATTTCTGCCAAAAGCTCACCCAAGAGATGTTGTGAGATAAAAAATACTTGAAACCCCAACAACATTGTGATATTGAATATAAAAGATTACTTAAATACATCTGGCTCATACAAAGATACTTTGCTCAATAAAAGATACAAATATCCATATGAAGTATATCATGACACTCTTAAAACCGCCATTAATATTTATAAGTCAAATATCTGGTATACCTCTAAACTTTGAATTCCTTTCTAGAAATATGTTATCTCCATTCCGTCATTGTCTTTATACGCCTTGTAGTACGAGTGTCATCTAGTGTGGCTTCATTTTGTTGACGACGATAGTAACGGGGAAATTAAGGTATCTTGTACTGTGTAGCGCCTGATTGATTTCTTCATTTAAAAAAAAATTGTGAGCATATTGATAGCAAGGTGTAGATTTCTTTCATATTTGAATTTTACAATTGCATTCTAACCAAAGCTATGGAGATCTTGTTCATCATTTACATTTATAGCTATACATGATTATAATGCATACAAGAAAATACTTGTGATTTATATTGCAAAGAAATACTATTGAGATAGGTTGGGGATTTTAATATAGGGACACATGGATTGGTTAGACATTTGTTTATATATCTACATAAAATTGAGAGGATTTAATGAGAAAAATATTGAATGGTTTGTATGAAATAAATATTCAAAAAGCATTGTTATTTACACTGTATATATTAGGTTATGTGTTCCAACCAAAATTTGCACACAGCAAGATGCTTTTTAGTATAATATGAAACAAAAATGCTGTGCATTGTTGGAAATCTATGTAATCGTACTTCTAAGGTTGTTTTAAAGATCAGAATACAAGATGCTGAAATGCTCTGGTTTTCAAAAAATCAGGTCATTTTATTCTTTCTTTTTATTTTATCTTTTCTTTTATAAAGACATGCAAAGGATGGAGTGTACATCCGTGTGTCTTTTGTAGATTTACAGGAAAATACAAAGTACGGACTATAAGAAATGGATGTGATGCACCCGTATGGTATCCGCACATTTACAGGTTTCTTGACATAATGTACATAATCATCTCAGACTAATTTTCTATTATCTGCCCTAGGAGATTTAGTTTGCACTTGTGCAATAAAACGGCTTTATTTCCTACCTCTGGAACTACTGATTTGCCCATTTATTACACTATCTTGGTCTATTGGAGTTATGCAGTCTGAGGTGTGTGTGTGGGTGTGAGTGTGTGGCTGAGTATTAAGATTATTATATACGAATGAAGCATTCATAAGTCGCAGAATTTCAAATTCACTTCCAAGATTAAACAAAACATCTATGAACTTGTAGATGGCATGTAAACATACATGTTCTTTTATTAGCATAACAAAAATAATGAATTGCACAAAATGGAAAGACTCCTCGACAAAACAAATATGCTCATACAAATCATCATGTACTTGTAAGCAAATCATTCACAGACAAAATAACATGGTTTTCTTGCATAGGATCTTACTTTTAACTAAAGGGGTAGCACATAATTAAATATAGTTTGAGATTCTCATTCATACTAAAGGAAAGCATGTGAGTTGATTAGAGAGGGTTCAGTGCTTGTCTACAAATTACCATACTCTGCAAGGTAATAGGTTATCATTACCTAAACATGTGTGGAAGTAATATAAGTATTTTGAGCCTATTTGCCCTTCAGCTTGCTTAAATTTAGCCTACAGCCCTTAAAAGTAAGTATGTGTTCTGTAAGATAAGAAAGAAGACAATGTTGCAGGTAGGTGAGGTGTAAAATATGAGGGTAGTATTAAGATCTTAGGATGAAAACTGCTGATGGCAGTCATGCATAAAATGCATTGTTTGCTAGATATCTAAAGGAAAGAAGCCAAGTAGTTATCCTCTTGTGTGTTTTTCTATCGCCTTTCATCATCTAATTCCACTTTTAAGGGTATGCACAGTGTCTAAAAAGGTAGAATTCCAATATCAATTTCTTGATTTGGGATACAAAAATATGAAGAAATCATAACTTCATAAGCGTACTTTGGAAAGTCAGCATTCTTGAAGATGAAGATAAATATTAGAAGTGTTGACTTTTCAAAACTCATTAAATGCTTTACTGTGGTAAGGCTAATATGCTAAATAATATGTTTTTCTGAGCACAAAGATTTTACTGATGATTAAACAGCATTTCCAATACTTCCATGACAATTTAAAAAATGATATAAAAAGAATACCTACACCAATAGAAAAAAAAAAGATTTAAAGTCCCACAACACTAGTTTGGCCAGGAGGGATTAGACCTCCCTGCATGGTCACTGACAGGTGGTTAACTCGTCAACTCGGCTCTCAATTAACATAAGAAAAAGAGGATCATGGGGGACAAATTAATGGTCACCGATTAGGCATTGTTAGCTTTATAGGGGGCACAAGTAGCTATAAGTAGTGCAGTGGGGCTTAAAGAGATTGTTTTAAAAGACCATTTTAATGTAACAAGTCAATTAGCAAAACATATATTCACCACTCCTGTAAATATCTTGTATGACCATCACCTATCCCAAAGGTAATAATCCAGAAAAGGTAGCACTAAGCAGTGACTGCAAAAGTTTTGCATGATAGTTCGATCATCAGTGGAACCCTATATTTTTTTTTTAACTCCTTGGGACCAATATACAATTGCTACATTGAAACCTCGTTCGTCAGGGCTATAAAAAAACATGGAATACGTAGAAATGAGACCAGCAATATTGCAATGCTATAACAGAAAGATTCCACTGTATAAGCCTTTACCAAAGCATTGCAACATAATCAATTGATATTGATCTGAAACTATATTCACTCCTGTTAGTGATATAGTTTGAACAGGGCATAATCCTATCAAAATTTGTTTATTCTCTCTAAATAATAGAGAAGTAGATATTTGCTCTTCAATAAGTCATTGTGATCAGGAAATGTCAATATTAGTTCATCAACTCTTGCATGCAAATCACAACATATGGTAGTAGTATATGTAGGTGTTATATAATACAACTGAAGAGGGATTGGAAACAGTTTGTTAGAGATTAGTGATCATGCATAGGGGAATGAAATATTTCTTCCTTGATGTATGGAGGCATATTGCAAAAAAACTTCTCACCACAACTCGCTCATGGTTTCTGGGAATCTTCAGCATGCAGGGTGCTTCAATGTTATATTGCAGGATCATCAAATAAATGGCTCAGCATGGCATTCCAATTCTCCACAGGAATGATTCACAGGAGTCCTCACTTTGAATGTAGAGTGTCCGGGTGTTATCTGAGTCTGATGACGTAGGAATCGCTGAGGGTTGCATAACGAACCCAACGGAATGGTACGTACGAGTTGTGCCTGTCAAAGACTTTGAGGAAACGGATCTGAAGCTTAGAAGAAGTGAAGTCTTTGAGTTCAAACTCTAAACTAGCTGGGCCGATCTCTATCAAGGTACTGCTGCTTAGATGGTCCAAATGAATCTGAAATTTAAGATAACAATCAAGCAGAGTTAATATCACTTTTAACGCATGTGAAACCAATACTGCACATGAGAAAAAAGTGAAAAAAAGACAAACAATTATTTTTTACCTATTATGCTATATGCTTTTGAGTTCCATTGGACGAGGCATGTATTTTTTTCTTAATGACTCAGCCCCATTTCTTCAGTAATAATACAAATAATTACTCGGTTTGATTTTAGGGCTATGAATAAGACTTATTAGGGTTGAGGTTACATTTGGTCCAAAGTTGAAGTTAGGGATTTGGTTAGTGTAGGAAATTGACCATAGAACTCTCATCATCAGAGCATGTGTTGTAGATCCAACTATTGAGATGAGGTACAAGGTCAGTGAAGACTCACCCTCAGTTTAGCTGTATGTTTAGAACCACCCATCATCTTCTTGATACACCATACTGCTGATCTATCTCCTCGTTTATACTCCATGGTGTGCGTCTGTGATGGTAGGCTGGGGGAGACACTGTCAAACAAAACAAAATAGACGAGGGTTTTTATTTCCATTTAAAAAAAACAAAAATGTGCTGGATTATGAGAAAAAGAAAATGGAAACAAGACATACTGTTATTTTAAGGCAAAAATGGACCCATGCAAATAAAGGATAAGAAAAGTAATGATAGTGTATTACACCCATTTCATGTACCTAGCTCCATTTCAACAATCTCGTCAACTATTCACACAACAAAACTTAACAGACTTGTCTTTTAAAAAAACATGTCATCAAGCAACATGAATAAATATGCAGTAAAAGTAGTGCTTGGTGCAGGAGATACACAAGTTTTATGATTTTCAAACATTCAGAATCTATGATATTTAATCCTCTGACTGATTCTTCAATCATGTTTAAGCTAGAAATTTATACCTGACATCAATACCCATTCAAAGGCAAACTTTTTGCACAAAATCGAATTCACATCTTCTTTCTTCACACATTACATTGTCTGAGTTAATTGCATGTTTGACATGCTTTCCGGATGAAATGTAAAGGTGTTGATGACTTACTCTGTGGTAGCTTTAGGTAGTGGCAAGTTGAGCTTGACGTTGACTGCATGGTGCCTTTGATCAATATGACATGTTATATGAAGCTCTACTTCTACAATCCTAAACAAACAAAATAAGGTCAAATAGATTACATAAAGGATAGTTAAGTAGAAAAGATGTAGACTGAACAATCCATTTTTCTAAAGACATTGATGCTTTATTGAAATAATTCATAATTGACATTGTATCTTAAAATGCATTACGATCTATTACTGTCATAATAAAAGAACATTGGTATAAATAATACAATTCATTTGTAACTTAATCACTAGAAGAAAAAAGGAATGATTAGATGAATGTTTATGACTCAGTTGCTCTATGAATGGATAACTGATGGAAATATGATTTAATGATGACACAATAATCAGATGAATACATCACTCAGTGACCGGATCATTAAATCAATATTAGATAAATGAGAAGGTAAAAACAAATAAAGATTTCATGCAAGTGAGAGGATAACATCAAATCTTACTGTTTTTCTGTGATCTCTGTCATAGATGCTTCTACTTGGAATGGAAGATTGTTGGATAGATGATTTGATATGCCATACTTCATTAGGGTAGTCTGTAAAACCAAAGAACAACTGAAAATTACTTAGCAGAAATCACACCATGTCCTTTGGATGTTCAGTTCTTACAAATCCCCACATGAATTGTACAAAGTGAGTTAACAAGTGGCTTGGAAAGTTATATTGAAATGTTGGTAAGCATTAGCCTACGTGGTTTTGCTCTTCCAATAAATATCACAATAACTAAGACTGTTGCCTCACTAAATTGCCTTTTGAACACAACATAATCTTCCACAAGCATACTCTATTCAACGGGTAGTGCCCAAATCTAATATCCAAGAATCACTATCGATATTGTACAAATTTTTGTTTATTTCCATTTCAAATCATTGATAGAATGCTGGATTTATATAAGTCAAATTTTCTGGTATGATATTCAAGCGTTAAGTTTTGGTCTTTGCACCAGAAGAAGCCAGGTTTGAAACCAAGACAGCATGCTCCTTACGCTGTACATTCCCTTAGGTAAGGCATGACTCCTCAATAACCCTGATCCTCTGATAGAAATTCAGAATAATGGTCCCCTGTTAGCTTAAATAACTTGTTTTGTTTTTTTGTTCATATTCCAATGACATTGATCAATCACACAGAATTGGTATAAAGAGACTGTTTTGCTGAACTTCACACTGTTTTGCATCAGCAGCACCATCGGCATATTATTGAAAAACAAGTGGAAAAATCTTTGATCCTGGAGGGATTTGAACCTGCAGGATCTAATGCTATCCTGGCGGTGACTATACCACTAGGCCATTTCTTGGCCAAGGCATAGAGAATCAGAACTGTTTTCAGATGAAAGATAAGATGATTGACAGTACCTCTCCTTCTTGACTCTGAGTTCTAAGGACCCTCTGCTGCTCAAACTCGGCTAGACTAATGGCAGGATGGAACTGAACATGGTCTAGTCTTACTCCTGGTCCAGAGCTGACTGGGCTTCCTCTCCCAATCATAAGGTCTTCACTTAAACCAATCACAAGTTCTGTAATTGTATAATCATATGTATACAAGTGAAAAACCATCAAAACAAAATCTGTATTTATCATGATATCAATACCTTTTTTTCCTAAATTGTAACCTCCTTCTTTATTTATTATAATGTGTTTTGTTCTGTTCACTTATGACATATGAAAAACTACATTCAAAACGATGTTGATATGATATTCATGAGGCATAACATGGGTTTTTGAAAGAAGAAATTGGCCTTTTGGAAGAAATGGAATTGACAAACTCCTCCTATTATTACTTGGAGGAGAAGTATTTGCATACACTTCTGTCTATTACTAACATGATGTACAGTATTTGTGAGCTAATATCGGTCTTGATTAAAGCGGTCAAAATCTCACTTACCAGGATTTCCTATAAGGAAGCTTCTCAAATGCACTGTACCATTCAGTTCACTCTGGATAACAGAACCCTGCAAAAATTTAAAAAAGAGTCCACTTTAGCGCACATCCAACGTAACGATCTTGCATGAAAGACAGCAACCTTGCTTTTTATACAGTAAATCACCTCCATTCTTACCAATTCATGCATTGGCAACAAACAAACATATTATTTCCTCTCTTAGGATCTATTTGCTACAAGGAACACTATCTAAGAATATCACCATGAATAAGTCGATGAATTGTTTGCAGAGAGGCAAATCGGTTTGTATAATTTTACACTCACTTCCATGGTATGTATTTTACTGTTAATAATTTAGGTACATCAACTTTTTAACAAAACTTTGTAGGGTAAAGATAAATATAATCTTGTCACATCACATCACATTATAAGAAACTCACATTGGATGATACTAGTACTGTTATTCTTTCAATGATGTCCAAATAAACTTCATTTTTCTGACTGCCAAGTGCCTGAAAATTAAATGAAAACAAAACGAAAGAAATACGACTGATAAAACTTATATCGTATACAACAGAACATCAGTAACAAATATTCAATCAACTGTCACGACTTCAGGCCTAAGGTGTGTTTGATTGCAATTCTTTGTGAGACACTTGTGAATATATTCCAATGCTGTTACTCGTCATTGTAATCATAGGAGCAATATACTACTGTCAATAACTCAAGAGGTAGTGTTCTTTCTCTTTGGGTAATTTCTATAAAAAACACAATAATTTGTAAGTAACATAAATCATGGAGGCCTTGCTCCCTTATTCCTCAAAGTATTTCCTATAATTTGATTTAAATCTGAAGCAAATCTTATGTTGTGGTTGTTTGGACTCAGAACAATTAAATGTGTAAATGTCTCAGGAAATATATTTTTAATGACTTATGAGGTTTGCTGGGATAAAAGTGACAGTGAAAAGGATATTCTTTCATACTCCTACTGTTAACATCCCCCCACACACACAAGCAAACAAGCACACACACACTAAATAACAATAACTACCTGTGAATGTTGACTGAGAGCCAGTGGTTTATCAGGAGAATTACTTGGAGCAATCTGGAAATCGGAACCAAACTAATGGAAGAAAAAAAAAGTACTGAAAAGTTCATCAAAGTAAAACAACAATAAATTAAATAATGGCTTGAGCAATTTATTATGGCAGTGTCATCTAAAAGTGTTCTCAGCATGCACATGATATTAGCGATCTCTATGATGACACATATTCGTTCATGTTTGAACCCATGCAAAAGATGGGTTTAGTTATCCCATTTTATATTCAGACAGTAATATGTATACTAGAAAACTTTCATTCAGATGAGGGAACGGTCATGGTAAAAAAAAAATGGATTTCATAGTATAATCATCATGGTCATCAAATATTGAATGCTTATATTCAGGTATCAACTATTCAAACAATTTTTTTATTTGTGTATTTATCAATGAACACAAATGAAAGCAACTGTGCTGGTTCGAGTTGTCATGGTTTAGTAATACTGTAGAATAGTGAGAAAGTAGTGCAGTATGAGTACCAGTTGTTAATAATTTATAGAAAGCAATGTCATACCAATCCCGGTGCAATGCCTAAGATGCCCTCAATCTGTCTATCTGCTTTCACTGGTACAGGTTCAGTCTGGATATAAGGCTTCAAACTACGTGTTGAAGTTGTGAGCACTATCCCATAATCCTGCCAAAAAATAACATTCATAATATATTAAACGCAATTGTAGTATCACAGAAATTATTGTGATGTGATTGGCACAAGGGCATTGGCAATTCCTATTTCACTTCAAAGTTATATATATCAATATAGTTGTGAATGCTAAGCTAATAATTAAGTTCCTCACACTAACAAAGCATCGTTTGTAACAATTCAAGTGATTTAATAATCTAAAACAAACTAACATTAGAGACAGATTTAATGCTTTAATACATTTTTTAAAGAACTATTCCATTAAAAATAGTCAACCATCGGTATTTGGCTACACAGATCTATATCAAAAGCAAAACATTATAAAAAATAAAAATAAAATTGTTGCCTACTATGCTCACGATTTCTTGACATGATTTTACTTCTTTAATTTAGAGAATAATAGCTTCACATTTTAGATATATATATATATATATATATATATGTATTTCACATTTAAAACAAGTGAATATTACACAAGATATGGACTTTGTAGATCTAAATGATTTTCAATATTTACATCTAATAAGCATGGAACTGAGTCTACTGAGATGAGCCGCTTACCATGATTTCATCTAATAGTTCATAGACCAATGCAGTGTTCTGAACAATGGCTTCTTCAGATATTATACCACAAAAGTCTTTCACAAGACCACTCAATCTATTGAAGACAACAACAAAAAAGAAAGAAAAAACAATGATGATAAAGTTCAATTTGATAAATTTCCAGCAGGTTTCATTTAGAAATCCATTATATCCGTATGCAAATCAAAAATTGACGACCAGCCGATTGCTGGGGAGCGATTCAGCATCCCTCAAAAATAAAGAGAAATGTATATGTAAAAAAATAATGTATATGTAATAAAATTATAAATAAATAACATAGATTGGAGACTGCATAGTGTGGACAATGCCAAGCATTATGAAGGATATATTCTGATTAGCCGACACAACATATCGCATGAATTCCAAGCACATGGTTGAAAATAATGCAAAATTTATTCATGAATCAGGAAGTTAAACTTATTTAGAAGGAAATGATTTTCAGTGACGAATACCAGTAAATTTACATTCATGGATAATTCAGACAAAATCTTGAATGTTCCAGCCAGTAAATATCTAAGTCGTGAAACGTTCTCATAAACCAAGGATACATTTTTAGCAAAGAAATAATGTCATTGCAAAAAATCAATGAAAATGCATGTAGAATTTTTATGGAACATCAGAGAATCAATGCTTTTTTACTTTGATGATTTTTACAGAACCTCCCAAGATATCAATACAAAAAAATAGAAAATAGTTGTTTGAAATATAGTAAAAATTGTGATGGATCTTTGTTTGTTATTATTTCTGTGAATACTAGACTACAAGATAATATTTCTGGTAAGATGTTTTTCCTAAAATATGATTCATCAAGCTTAGGTGATCAAATTAATTCATGTTTACTCAAACCACAAAGAATTCAAAGTCCACATTACTTTACCTTTCTAATAACTCCAAAGCTGCAAAGGGGGGTTCATCTTGTGATGCAGAACATATAAAATACAAGCCATTGCATTTTATGTGAATGATGTATTTGCCTCCCACTTCCTATAAAATGGGACAAAAACAGATAGATTGAAATTGAAATTAGTAATCAAAATAAATTATATAGCATGACAATATGCAGACCGATTTTAGAAGCTGTATTCTGAAATAACTAAATTGTGTTCTAATCTAGTTTCATTCAAATTGACTAAATAATTAAAAAATAGTCTTTCACAGGGAAAAATATAATGCTCTAAAATAATCATTGAACAGCTAGTATGATAATGAAATAAATCTAAAATAATTAATCATTTGAGAATATCAAGATATACTGGCTAGAATTTAGTATTTAGAACTTATTTTATTGGAAAGATAGATTATATTGAATTTAAGGTTAATTGTGAATATAGCATCCAGGATACTTTTCCTGAATACAAGTTTTTGAGACACATGTCTACATAGGTAAATACAAAACTTACTAACACAGTGATGATTATGGTTTACATCAACGAATTACATTTTCATTGATTCTATACCTAGAATATTTTGAATTGCTGGTGAAAAAAAAAAAAAGTTATTCATTTTTACCATAACTGGAAGCAAGTCATTCTCTTCATGGTTCTTTTTCAGCAAGGACCTGAAAACTTCTCCAACTTTTGGAATCCCATCTTCACGATCTGAGCAATTAACACCATCAAGAAAATAACAGTAGGATTAGAGTAATGACTATATTGGATATCATCTCATATGTTGAAATTAAAATGAGGTATTTTTTTCTCAATAATTACATTTTTCAATAGATACATACATGCACATTCGTAACTTGAAAGTAAAAGAATCTACAATTCTGCCATCTGGCACCTGGCCACGAATGATTTCTTACCAATAAACCTTTTACATAAAATTAAAAATCATATGAAAAATTGGTTTCATTGCTGATAAATTCCTGATTCTGTGACTTGACATTGGTTTTATCCCGCCCCCCCCCCCCACTCCGAGAACGGACGGACCCCATGCGTGTTGCCAAAATGTCCTTTTCGTAACAAAAGAAAAAGGTCGACCCGTATTGACTTTACACACCGGACTTTTGCTGAAAAGGGGGGGGGGGGGGTCCGTTAGAACACGCATATGCGTACCCTAAATAACACTGAGTGGGGGGGCCGGGGGTTTTATTTCCCCACTTTCAGTCACTGGGTTGAAAGTTTGTGAATATTGTTTATTTGTTTATTAATGCAGAATCTTTTGAAAGACCATATAAAAAAATGCATGAATCTTTTTTAATGTATTTCCGATATTCCAATTCATATTTTTCATTTTAGATTGTATTAACCTTATATTCTTCATTGTAACTGAACTCGGTACTCTGCATAAAGATATGAAATAGCTAAATGGAAGAAGCAGGAATGAACCAGAGGAAATTCCCTAAAGGAGGAAGATTAAATGGGGATTTGAGGGCAATGCCCCTTAGGGGGTAAAAGGGGGCCATTCCGCAGAAAACTTAAGAATATATTTATGTAAAAGGACACGTTTTCTTTGAAGGGACTCTATAAGTAATTGTTCAGATGAGAGCATATAAAAAAATCTCCCCCCCCCCCCCCCCCCCCCGTCTTGAAATCTCGAAATTGGCGGATCAGGAATCTCAACCCTGAAGAAGGAAAAGAACATGTTTGTGTGTCTGGAAGTTGCACATTTGGTATGTTTGCAGTTGCAAGGTTTTAGATACATGTGTTATGTGTACAAGGTTATGTTTATATAATTCCTTCTCACATATTCACACACAACATGCATCTTGTTTTGTTTTAAATGAACGTCATTTGAGTTTGTAAACATTACATTTACACATGATGTTGACATAAATTATCAATCAAAACATCCACACATATCATCTACTCTAATTCATAAACCAATTTAAATCTTCAATTCATTTTTCGTAAGAAACTACATAGCCTTCTGATATTTTCATCAAAGTTTGTTACAAAAAAAAGAGGACTCAATTACTCAAACACTTCAGAAATCGAAGTTTACCCGAAATCAATTCAACTCAGTGCACATTGAAGTTTATTATTAGACCTCTATGGAGTTCACCTACACACATTTCAACGGATGGGACAGTGTTGTATTACATCCGTATCAAAACCTTCTCTGCGATACAGGACTACGAGTTCATAAGTAAAAAAATCATACAAAGCAATTTATTTCTAAGGATACATTCTTTCATTAGAAGATCGCTGCCTCTTGATGATTGCACCAGAATCTGATAAAACATCCTTTATTTTGGCCATTCACAGTTTCTCTTTCACACATATGAATTCTATAAGACAAATAGAAAAGGAAAAAAATAATTAGACGGTGGTGGACTTTGAGCTAATATTTCTGTCTATTATCTTTCAATGGATAGTTTAGATTCATACATTTAAAACAAGAAATATAAAAGATATGAACAAATAATTAAATAACACAGAAATTTAACAAACTCTATGGCACAAAATAAAGATATTTAAGATTAAAGATGTCATATACATATCTGGGATATAAGTATAGATCTAGGTCTTACTTATTTCTATCAATTTAGATGGGCTTTAGGTAGTTTACACTTTACAATTCAAATAACATTTCTAGTTTCTTCAGTTCTGTTTGATTAAACTCAATAATGATCTGTAGATACAAGATGACTTTGCAGCCATTTGCTGAATTGTGCATTTTTTTTAAAACCCTGTGATGGAACTTTGACAGACATTATTATCATTTTGTATCATTATTGTTAATAGTATGTATTGTTGTGTATCTAAGTGATTGATTTCGATATGCTAACGTTCTTGCATCGAAATATCACCTAGTTAATATGTTTTTTCTAACAGAATTTTGATATTCCTCTCAGCATGTATATTAATTTTTTCATCTGTAAATTCAAGGTGCATCAACTTGTAGCTTCGATGTAGAATATATTTCTCAGGAAACTTGATCAATACAATACAATACAATTCAAAATCCTCTTTTATGCAACAAAAGGCATATTGCCAGTATTCACCCCCCCCCCCCTCCTCCATGATGAGCCTGAATCGGACAGGTCTGCATCTAGAGAGTTTATTTTCTAAATATTTTGCCAAAAGTAATGCGCATAATCTTTTTATGGGAAGGGGTCATCGATCGCGACAAAGACAAATTTAAATCTAGTGGATTCAAGCTTCCACTTGGCGTTACTTGTATCAGTGGCGGATCCAGGGGGACCGGGACCCCTCCCCTTGGAAATAACCCCAGCTAAAACACGTTAATTTTACCTTTATTTGAAGACGGGTCCCCTCCCCTGGTGCTTAAAGGGGGGGGGGGTGCAATTTTCAAATTTCCGAGGGCAAACAAAAAAAAAAATTAGTGTTCCTTACCCCGGCTGGCTGTTTTGCCGCTAAATATTTTCTCACGAATTGGGCCCCCTCTTTGTCCCCCTCCCCTGCCGCCGGCTGGATCCGCCCCTGCGTTGTCAGTATCATGAAGTTTGTTTTGTCGAGATTCAAGGAAAGTGCGTTAGCTTCAAAACCTCATTTATATTCACAATTAGGTTATCATCAACAATCAGACGAACCTGTTCCGTGATAATCGCAAGCCGAGAGATAGAATGTGTATGTGGGCACAAGAAAGAAAAGAATATATTGTATTCGTTGGCATAAACGGGTTATTGACGACAGGCGCAGCTAGTTTTGTAACCCCCGACCCCCATTCAGTGTTATTTAGGGTACGCGTATATAATGCATATTCCCTCTTTTTGAAACACCCCCCCCCCCCCTATCTCTGGTGTGAAAGTCAAACTTTCCATCCCTTTACAATTATGACCCAATTATCATTATTTTTTTAATTTCCCGCCTGACTAATTGAAACGGTTCCTTCCCACAAACTCCCCGTAAGGAGCAATATTGGAACACACAAACCCTGCCCCATCCCAAACCTCATATTCTACACCAACAGACGTCAGCTAGGACCCACCCCAACCCAAGCATCCCTATTACCCAAAATGTTAATTATTTAAAAAAGAAACATCTTCGAACTTGAGATGACTCCTTCCCACAAACTCCCATATAGCAATTAATGTATAATGAAACGCCAATGGAAATAATGCAGCTCTTGTTGCTTTGCTCTTTATAGTTTCATCCGCTTCTTATTAGATATTTTGCCCCCACTAAATAATACGATTTGCAAAGATTCAGCATTCAAAAAATATATCCTAACTTTGAGTTTGTTAAATTTCTCGATTATGCTTTTTCATGCACAGTTTATGCGGGGTTTATGTTATTTTGGCGCCCAATTAAAAAAAAAAAAAAATTTAAAAACGTTTATCAATTTGCATCTTATAGGCCCCTTTTCAAAATTCAACACTGCTAATTTGTCCAGCCTCCATTCGTTACATCTCTGATATTACTTTGTTTAGATCCAAATTAAAAACCAATTTAATGGAAAATGCATATTCAACCTAGTTCTTAAATTGTAACCTTACCTTGTTATTTTAATATGTTTGATAATTTCACTTATGTTCTTTTGTCATTTCCCCTTTTAGTTTTACTTGCATCAATAATATAATATTGTAAAGTGCTTTGATATAAATCTCATATGAAAAGCGCTATATAAGTAGAAGTTATTTTCATGGGTAAATGCGAAAAGAAATTACAATAGATTTGTTCCGGGATTTGTCCACCATCTTTTTGAAATGTGTAAACAGAAAATATATTTAATACTTAATCCGAATGTGATATCTACCAGCAATACAGCTGCGTATTGAAATGAGCTTCGAGTTGATTTCTTCAAACTTTAAAAGACTACATTTCTACATTTCGTTATCCAATTGACTTGAAACTTCATCTATAATAATGCCATGATTATATAATTTAGACCTATGTAAATGATACAAAATAATTGTGTGCTCTGTTGGAGACCTTGGAGGAGAGATTGGTGTTTTTAACTGTTTACGACACCATTTATTGTTGCGAGTTTGTTTGAAAAAGTTGTTAGGAGAGACATTAATCAATCATGAGTTCGTCCATGAACCGACTGAATACCCTATTTCAGTGCCATCCCCTGTTAAAAGAGTTAAGTTTATATGTGTATGGTACGCAATGGCGGATTCAGGGGGGTACAGGGGGCATGTGCCCACCTCCCCCCGGTAAAAAAAAATGGGGAGAAAGAGGGAAGGGGGGAAAGAAAAAGAGAGAAAAGGAGAAAAAGGAGGGGGAAAGAAAAAGGAGGGTAAAAAGAAAGAAAAGGGAAGAGAGAAAGAAGAAGAAAAGAGGGAAGAGAGAAAGGGGAAGAGAGAGGAGAGAAAAAAAGGGGGGGGGGGAGGAGAATAATGAGAAGGGAAAAGAAAGAAAGGGGGATGATAATTTAGAAGGTGTGTTTTTTTTTACCGGGAAAGGCAGGGGGCACGCAATTTGGCAGTGCGCATAATATGGGGTCCCTCTTGCCAGGCGTGTAGGCCCCCCCTCCCCCCCAAAAAAAGTACAAGGAGAACAACAAAAAAAGAGATGGAAAAGGGGGGAAGAGAGAATGAAATAGAATCAAATAACGATAGAAAAGAGGTGCGAGAGCATGAGGAATTGCTTTTATTTTAAAAGAATAATGGAATAACAACCAGAGGCGTCGCTAAAGCGGGGGGGGGGGGGGGGGGGGGGGGGGGGGGGGGGGGGGTAAGGAGCAATAATTGTTTTGCCCCCCCCTCTACACCCCACTGAAAAAGGTCTAGCGACTCCCCTGGTAACAACACAGTTTATACACTCGAGATATTTTTTTACAAATACTACTGGTGAAGTACCAGACCACCGTCTTTGTGCATAGTACAGATCACTTTTCTCTAACTTTTAACCATCAGAAGGCATCGTTATTTCCAGGAAGTGCCGGTGGACATTAATGCACCAAATGTTAAAAAAATGCAAATGCTTCCTACTCTGATAAGGGGTTCTGACCCCCTCCCAGACCCACCCCCGCTTGGTCGCTCCACTTCCTCGCCGCTGTTGCTTCGCTCCATCTTTTTTCATTTATTTCACCCAAGCGTATGTGCACCTCCCCCCCCCCCTCCCCCCGATAAGAAATTCCTGGATCCGCCACTTGTACGAGAAAAAAAATCGGGGGGGGGGGGGGGGAAATCTTGCCCAGAACTGTTTCTCCCCATGAAAAACTAAACAATATCGCTTATTTCATTGAGACACTGGAACGATGGGGGGGGGGGGGGGGGGGCGGGCTGAACTGATTTTTCGTCCGGGTACCTTGAGGACATGCATGGACTTTATGCAATCTTAAAATGTGGTACACGTTCTCAGGCGCGTACGCAGAGGGGGGGGGGGGGGGGGGGGGGGGGGGGGGGGGGTTTAGGGGTTAAACCCCCCCCCCCCCTCAATTTTTTTTTTTTTTTGCTCAAGGGGAGGGGGTTGCTGAGTAAGTCTGTCTTAAACCCCCCCCCCCCCCACTGAGCGAAATATTGGTCGACGCGATTTTCCCATTTCCGGGGGCAAGAAAAACAAATTATAGCTCGCTCTACCCCCCCCCCCCCCCTCCACTGAGTGAAATATCAGTCGGCGCGATTTTCAATTTTCAATCAACCTCCTTGAAAAAATCCTGCATACGCCACTGCATGTACTATGGACCCCTATAAGAAAAGAGGATAGGGCTACTAAATGTATTTTAATGGATAGACGGTATAAATCTTGATGGATCCAATTGAATTATTACGAAATTAAATATGTAGCTATTGTAAACTTAAGGCGTAGACTTGCTTGATAATTCCTTCCCTTCTTTCCTCTTTTTCTTTTTCCCACTTAGTTTGTTTTTCTTCTTGTTTTTTCTTTCTTTCTTACTTACTTTCTTACCTTCTGTTTTCCTTCTCTTTTTTTTTGGGGGGGGGGGGGTGGGGTGGGGTCAGCGCACAGCGCCCACCCCAGTGGCGGATCCAGGGGGAGGGGCGGGGGGCCCGCCCCCCTCCCTCCCTAGGAAAAAAAATGTGAAAAACATGTGATTTGTACCTTTTGGGGGGATGCCCCCCCCCCTGGTGCCCAATGGGGGGGGGGGGGGGGGGTGCAAATTTTTAAATTTTTGAAGGCTCAAAATTGCTCACGATTTTTTTGGGTGATTTTTCTTTGGGGGATGGGGTTTCCTCTGGCGGGGAACGCTACTGCCGCGCCCGTGCCCCTTTATCTACGCCACTTGATTCTCTCACATAAAACTAACAAGTAAAAACAGGGGGAAAAATGCATAGGCCTACAACAACACCAACAAAGAAAAAAAATTTGTTTTCACATTTCTTCAGAGCTCTAACATCGATATTAATATTAACATTATACATTTTGAATGGCTTAGAATGAATAACCCCGGGAATAACCCACATGTTATATCTTTTCATGGGTTTATGGGCTGGGCTGTATAATTATTCGGAACTTCCTTGTCGATCATTACCGGTAATAAGGGAAAGTGTTAAGCCCTCATTAACATAACAAATAAAGAAGCAAACAAATCAAAAGAAAACAAAATAAAACAAAAAGATGAAGGACTGAAGAAGAAAAAGAAAAGAACAAGAACAAGAAGAAGAACGACTTGAAGAACAAGCAGAAGAACAAGAAGATCGAAGAACAAGAACAGAACAAGAACAAGAACAAGAACAAGAACACGAACAAGAACGGAACAAGAACAAGAACAAGAAGAGGACGAAGAACAAGAGCAAGAAAGACAATAACCAGCTAGAACAAAAACAACAAGAAGAAGAAGGAGAAAAATGAAAACTGGAAGAAAAAAACTGGTGATGAACTTAAAGAGACGCCTCATATAATTATAACCAGGGATCCCTGTTATAACGAAACAAAACACAACAAAACGAAGACAAAAATAATAACCTCCCGTTTTTTCACAGAGCGGAAATTTCACCCTCGGAATATTAACATTTTACACCTAAACGCTTGATCGATCAATGTAATGAATAAGTTTGTTGTATTTCTTTTCAATGCCCTTGCTTGCATGGGTTGTTATTTTGGGCAGGGTTTTTCTTTTGTTCAGATTTGTTCTATTATTTAGGGTCAGTAGTTTTCAAGGTGCGACCACTCCCTACGACTCCCTCTCACACCGATCCGAGCGGGTGATTTTTGGAGCCAGTGCAGCTGCAGTTGCATGCAGTGTAGAACAGTTGAGATCATGTGAAATTAGCTGAGACGTTCGTACTAAGGGAAAAGGCCGAACCAAGCAAATTGAGAGGTATTTATTGACATTATTTGGCTGTTGTTGCACATTTTACAGATGAAATGAATGCTTACATTTTGGTTATTTTATTTTTACTACATTTTGTATAGTGTGTCCCACATGTTGAGTTTGGTGTAGGCCTAGCGGTAAATGAGACATACGGCCGTGAATAAGAACATAAAAATGTAATTCATTGAATCTCCTTAAAAATAGTACCATTCGAAAGAGCATAAAAAATACATCTAAAATAATTCCAGATCATCACACAAGGTCAACAAATAGTGAAATAACGATAGTTTAATGTAAAATCACACACCCATTTTTGGGTCCCCCCCCCCCCCCCCGAAGGAAAAACTGTGCACGAGCTACGAGTTCGTAATGACATGCCCAGTTTTTCCGTTATAATCATTTTGCCTTCGGCATAGACTAGAAGGGATGAGATTTAGATAACGTCATGCACAGCGAGAGTTTAAACAACTGCTGCAAGTTTTTTATGATGGATGTCGATTTTGACCCATAATTTCCTAAAAAAGGGACCATTAGTTACACGGATTATTTCAGTCAAGTTGGTAAGTAGAACCGAAGTAGGTAAGCCTAGACCTAATTGTCAAAATAAGATGTACCGGATATGCATCCTGTGAAATATGGAATTTGGCCGGCAGTTTTGCCAAGTTTGGTGTAATGTTTCTTTACACAAAGCGTGAACACTAAAGCGTATAGGGCTGTTCTGTCTCTAAAGAGAGAGCCGACCCTACCCAAATCAGAGGCTAACAAACGAAAGAGACAGAAAAATTTGGTCTACCCCCCCCCCCCCCCCCCCCCCCCCACTTGTGAACTTTTAAACCCGAATCGCCTAGCAGCAAGATGCACACAAATAGCATTGGGCTTGAATTGAAAGAACAAAACTTAGCCGCAAGCATACAGCATGAATGCAAAGAAATGATGAACACCGTGGACTCTCTATACTTTTATAGCCTACTCAGTACTCGTTTACTAGTTTGTGTTCTAAAGGAAACTGACGCCAGGCTGACAAGAACGCGCCCGCAAATATTGAAAGGGCTGTGGTTAGAGTCTAAGCTAAAATCGTCTGCTCACGACTTCTCGGGGAAAAAGAGGGTGATTTAGACATTAGAATGTCTTTAAAAAATGCAACCTATGATATAAATTGGAGAAAAGAGAGACATTCATCCGACACATAATATGCCATCAATAATCCCAGAATGTTTCTGGCCATTTTGTCATTCCTAATTATGAATTACAATGAGATTGTAAGATCCTTAGTTTTCGGACAGTTACAAGGAAATTCCTGCAATGACGTCAAATGCATCATCAGGCCATGTGACCGTATTTACCTTTTTTTGAGGGGCTGGAGCTTAGCAAGCTTGAGATCTGTGAAAAATGGATGGTTATTATCATTGTTTGCTCAATACAGAGAGCTTTTGAACAATTTTAGGCTGGAATATTAATAAGTAGAGGTGTATTCATGTTTTGAAAGGCTAAGTTTATAGTTGGGTTGGAGGGGCCCTTTAACATGTAGGCCTAGATCTACACGGAATGGGATATTTGAAAATTATACAGAAATAATCGTCTGGTCTCTGCCCTAGTGTCTGGTATGAGGAATTCTTCAATAAAACTGACTTGTTAAACTTGGTGAGAGATAAGGATATGGTGTGACCGTATGCCAAGATATCATCTTGCAAGGCACAAGTAAAAACTTGCAATATTCATGTGCTCAGTAAGTCAGTATGGACCAAGATTCCAGTGCTTATGTTTTTTCTTGGTCGAGTTGGAACTAATTAAAACTAGAAAATTTTCAAACAATTGAGAAACAGGTCCAAAAATAAGGATATTGGAATATTGGTGCACCACCACCCAAATAGTAGAACTATTAAAATGGGGGGGGGGGTGGCTACCCCCCTCTCATATGCCTATGACAATTATGCTTTCAGAATTAAAAAAAGCTTCACTTACTTTTCACTTGTACTAGTAGACTAAGATCTATATCTACTACTACCTATTACCTAAACTAGCCTGCAAACTTATTTGAAATGATTTGCTTTGTTTTATGTCCTTATTAAATACAAGTGAGTTAGTTAGGGCTTCATATAAGTATAATACGTGTTGTGTGGATTACCAGGGATTTGTCTGCAGTGGATCATACATTGTTTGAAGAAAACAAAAATCAATTCTCAAATCATTTTCAATTAATACTTTGATCATATGTGACCCGGCACCACAAAACCACCAAAAAGTCGCAAAAAATTATTTTCCTGATTTCATCTGATTATGAAAGAAGAAGTTCTCCTCATTAAAATGGTATATTACTTGTCCAAATTGAAGCTTCCTAACCCTTTCAATTTAGTGAATGAAAAGAGCTGGTGAGGGAGGTTACTGGTATTAAATTGTGAGAAAGAGAGCTTTAAAGTTTGGGGCTATTCAAGCATGCGGAGCAAGCAAACCACAGGGAAATCAATAGAAGGGTGAATCAAAAGGCCATAGCAACCACTATGAAGAGATTTTCAGATTAGGCTGAGATTTGGCCTGATGGTCAAACATAGTCTGTTCATTATGTTTCTGAGGTTTCAATGTGTGGACTTAAGTCTTTCAAAAGTTATTAGGTTGTAAATGTATAGAGTTGTAATTGGACAGATTAAGTGAACTGCAACATAGTGCCGAGCCACCTGCACTAGACAATGCCTATTCATGGTGGACCCGGATTCTTTTTGTTCCCCCTTACATAACACTGCTTGTCACCTATCTTGTTTTGTATACATCTGGGCAATTATTTGTAACCACATTATCAGGAATTCTCTCGTCGCTGTCTTGCCCGAAGTGTTCAGTAAGCAAAGCTGTAAGGTTGGCCTGATCCCCCGCAGCTAGCCCCCGCATCATCGCTTCGTTGACCGCCCGAGCTACCCGGGCATCTGCGTTGGTGCACCCCGGTACCATCCCACGGCTCTGCTCACGTACAAAACCTGGCATTGTAACGACGTTGTAGACTTTTTCGCAACTTGTCACTCTCAAATGTATAAAATATAATAATGTTCTTCCTCTTGATCAACAAATTCTGGATATGTGATGTACAATCAAGCTACTCGAAGTCGTTAACGGAGAATATAAGACGAACGCAAATCTGTAACTCGGATGTGAAAGCGGATACAAACAAAATGGCGCGCCGCACTGATTGCTATAACGGACCAATCACAGCCCGCGTAGCACGACCCGTTAGCAACGACCGACCATTTCCGGACTACAATAATTTCGCTCGGGAAAAGTGATCAAATTTTGGAAGAGACCGAAGGCTGTGCGAAAAAAACTGGTCTAGAAAAACCGTTTAAAACACATCTTCTACTATGTTTTAGACTTCCAAATTTTGATACTAGGTACAGAAAAGACCACTCTTTCAGAAAATGCAAAAAAACAAAAATCTATTTTTTTCACCTAAATTGACATTTTAGCTGATTACGGAGAATCGCTGGTTGCGACTTTTTGTTGGTTTTGTGGTGCCGGGTCACATATGTTGAAATGCCTTCAAATCATTTTCTTTTTCTTTCATGCAGAATTTGAATTGAGATGTTCTGCTTAGAGGTGTACTTCATGAATCAAGATGCGTTGCACACTGCTGCAGTACTCAATCTGTGCCCTTGTGGTGGTACTGACACTATTACAACTCATACAACTTACTATGGTCTCATGGCTGGATAACAGAAACCCCAACAGCATCCTAACAGGGGCAAGAGAAGCGTTGCCAATGTCAGACAAGCAGAACCAGAACCAGAACCAGACACATCAACAAAGGGACAAACTCATCCATATTACTTTGCCGCCAGCAAAGCTCAACACGTATGGCTCATACCAGATATTTTATGATTTTGCAAAGGCTCGAAGCAGACTCAAATCAGTCAAGAGAAGAGACATCACTCTCATCACGCACTGCTCCATGAATAACTTACATCACGTACCAGACTTAGTAGACAGATGGAAAGGACCAATTTCTCTAGCTGTGTTTGGGAGTTTATCCGATGTAAAAACTATTGTCAGTTATATCATGTCACTCAAAGAGTGCATCTTAGGAGTGAGAAGAAATGTGACATTCCATTTGGTTCATCCAGTTAACTCGGTATCAGAAGAGGCTGAAATATTTGGTTCTGTCAACAATAAACGTTCCATTAGGGTACCTTTAATACATTGCAGTAAACTCATGGAGGCAATCAAGGCATCATATAGCAGTGTAAGCAATTATGCTGCAGATGGCATCTTGTACCCAAACAATCTGCTGAGGAATGTTGGCCGTGCAAACATATTAACAGAGTTTCATTTTGTGCTGGATATTGATATGCTTCCAAGTGTTGGGCTGCGAGAGAATTTTCTAAACTTTGTGAAGGGTTCATCGTCTCTATGGCTGGATGAAGATATGGTGCAACAGATGGTGTTTGTATTACCAGCGTTTGAGATGGATGACAGAGCAGTCTCTAAAGTGCCTGGTGATAAGAAGGAACTGCTGAGTTACTTGGAGAAGGATAGAGTGCGACAGTTTTATGTGAAGGCTTGTCTCTATTGCCAGAACCATACAGACTATAGACGATGGACTAGTCTTCAGGTAAGCCACTCAAAGAGGATAATAATCAGGTCCATTTAAGTTACTGGACCACAGTGTTTCAACATCTTCTCAAAGGAACTGTATGATTTTTCAGTACAAGCAAACAGTCTTAAAACACTAGGGCCAAGTCCAAAAAAGTGTCTACTTGGCCCGGACTATTGCATCACCATTTGGGTGTGTAATTTAGATTTTCCAATATTAAAGTGATGTATGGCCAGTATTTAGTTGCAAAACATAATCATTAATATTTGGCATATTTAGAGTTAGCTTTTAAAAATGCATTTGGTAAAATTTCAGTGCAGCCAACAATCCTACAGCGCTTTGAGACTAGAAGTGTTCTTAGTTATTACTAAAGGAGTAATACTCCTTTTGGAATTATGACTTTTTTGTGATGGAATTTAAATCTTTTCTGAAGTATTTTGAAGGTTTTTGTCTCCTGGCTTTTGGTATGTATGCACATTTCTAGACTTATTCTTTGGAAATGTTTTGTCTCAGAAAACTATGCATCTTAGACCAGGTCCAAGTAGTTTGAGCCATGAATTAAATCAGATCCTTTATCTGTATGATACATTTTGCCACAGAGCTTTACGGGTCAGCTAGGAGTGGCATATACTGTGGAGTGGAAGCCCATGTGGGAACCTTTCTACATCAGCAGGAGTGATGCACCCCTCTATGATGAGCGGTTCAGGCAGTATGGCTACAATCGCATCAGTCAGGTAATGTTCAGTCAGTTTCAAGTACCGATAAAAAGGCTATTATCGAAATCAGCAAAAGCAATCTCTGTTCCTCGGACTCCCTCCACATATATTTTTGTTGTTGTTGTTATCTGGTCATAGCGTTCAATAAGACGTTGGATTCATAAATAATTATGAGGCCTTTATATTGCAATATCTATCTAGAACTTCTATTCCAAGGCGCAAAAAGAAAATTAGATGAGAGATAAGGGTCCTAAGTACTTTGTGTGCCCAGCATTGTTAGAAAAAAGGCAGGATTTCAAATTAAATTACAGAAAGGATGTTGCGACCAAGAGAGTTCTTTGGCGGCAGGCACTTATTGTTCTTGGGATCCGAAGGATCAGAAGATTTATTTCTACCGTACCAACTTTTTTATTCTAGATCCTTTTAATTGCAGAATTTCCAGAAAATCTGTATTTCTTTAATCTCTATCCATTTTGCCATGTACTTCCTTTGAATAATTACAAATTGATCACGGACAAGATGTAGAATATTTTATATAAAAACCCTGTTTATAATTTAGAGTATAAATGAGACCACAGCATTTAAAAAGAACCATACAATAAGATGCATGATCATTTGCTTAAGATTTTAGTAAAATGTTTTCTGAATGTTTTCATAAGGTTCAGGTAAATGTTTTGTATAAATATATTCAAGAGGACCTCAAAAACAAACTTTTATTGGGGACCATAGTAGTGTAGTGTGAAAAATAAGTTTGGCTTTTTTGCGCTTACTTTCAAATTTTCATATCTTGGTGTAATTCTCATGTTTGAATTAGTTGGACATAATCTGTTACTCCACATTCGTACTGTTTTCTTCTATGCAGGTATGTGAGCTGTATATGGCAGGTTTCAACTTTGCAGTGCTCGATAAGGCATTTGTTGTTCACAAGGGCTTCAAAGAGACAACAGAATTCCATCAGCAGAAAGACGAGGAGAATCGTAATAATTACTACCTCTTCCTTCAGTTTCATACAGCGCTAGAATATCAATATCCAGAGACCAAAAGAAGGTGTATCAAGTAAAACTCCCTTCATGATGTCAATTGTCAATCAAACAGTGAGTGAATGTCATATATTTTTATCAGCCTCGTGTTGAGCTTCTGCGTATGGTGCTGATGACATGTGTTTAGCTTTTGATGGCTATCACACAAATCAGTCGAAAGTGCTGTAGGCAGCAAGATAAAAACCACAAAACCATAGTAGAGTGACTTTTCATTCATTTTCTAGTTGCATAATTGCACCCTTATTCCCTAGCTTCTTTGCCAAATTGACATAGAATGCAAAGAAAACAGCAATTACTAAATAAATGAAGTTATGCTTAAAACTTTTTATTTTTCTACTTCATAAGTGCATAGATGTACGCAATCAGTTTTATTTTAAATTAAACAACTATAAGTTTTTTTAAATATTTTTATATTTGTTACAAGGTGTGTATTTATCCATTTTGATTTGCCCAGTGTTGAAAAGTAGAAACTTTTAAGCAAATTTATTTTGAATCAATAGTTGTTTTCTTTGATATCTTGCTGTCTCTAATACTGGGGAATCAATCATTTTTTTAATGTAACCACACATTATTTTACATAGTACTTTGTTCTGGAATGCTGTTGCAAATCTGACATACTTTGACTTTAAAACATTGTGATCTTGAATTCATTATTTTGGTTATGGTTAGCTTGTTAATCTTATCTAGTATTTCTATCTTGAATTGCCAAAAGACTGCTTCAGCTGAAACGTAGTTAGTACCGATTTTAGTAGTGATTTTAGTCTAGCAAGTATGAATTGAATATTAGTTGGAGAAATTTTAAAGAGCTTAATACCCTGTTAACTGTTTTGTTGTTGTTGTTTTTGTACAAGTGCAAGACTATAAATACAGTGACTAATCACTGAAATATCAATTAAAACTGAAAAATCTTTATAGATTCAGGTTGGAAATGAAGTTTGCTATTTCTGATATCAGATTTCAGAGGTACTTAAATGAATATCATTTCCCTATATGAAGAAGAAATTAGTCTTTTAAAGCTTATCTGCCGTAGTTTACAGGAGGGATTAGAGCGCACTGCAAGGTCACTGGACAGGTGGTTATCTCATCAACTCAGCTCTCAGTTAACATAAGAAAAAGAGGATCATGGAGGTGCAATGGTCACCGATTAGGCATTGTTTGTTATATAGAGGGCGGAAGTAGCTACAAGTAGTGCAGTGGGACTTTAATAGCACTTTTTAACAGAAAATATCATTTATTTACATGAACTACAAAAGAGAGACAATTATGTAAGACTCATAATTTCTAACATTTTTATACCTAAAATGAATATTGGACCATCACGTACATTCTTGCTTCTCTTTCTATGTTTTTTTTAAAAATCTTTCTTTCATATAATTGTTTCAAAAGAGAAATCCTGAACTAACCTTATTTTAGAAGTATTTAGTGGATTTTTTTTTAATTTCACACAATCTTTTGATGATATTTTTTCCAGGCAGTACAGTAATCTCTAGAATTTTTGTTCTTATCTTGGTCATATAAAATTCTTGTACTGCTATATGTATGTTATTTTAACCAGATCTTCACATACAGGGTCTTAATGTATGCTGATGACAAATTTTAGTTTATTTTTCATCACATATATTTCAACTTTTGAGAACTAATGAAGACTGGGATATATATATGGATGATTCTGCAAAATGTATATATAAACATTTTTACATCTCTTGCTTCACATTTGTATTAAAATGTAACTATTTATTTTATATTTCCATTTTTATCTCAAAATAATATATCCTGATGAAATGTATGATGAATGTACATGTATATCTTTCTTCTCAGTCGTTTTCTGTCAGTCGTTTTCTTTACTGGCTTCTTCGCTTTTTTGGTTTATGTTTATGTTTGCTAATGGTTTATTTTGCTTTAACGTGTGACCTACAACATACAGTGTATGTGTAAGATAAATTAAATATAAATATTGTACAATTTACATTGGTAATATCATACAAATGCTTGAAACTACCTTTAATTCTAGTTCAGATCATTCAGAAATATGTACCTGTGCATGTACTCAAGGAAGAAAAAATAATACAATAGAAAATGGGAAAAGAGAGATATTTGAATTCTGACCAATCATTTTATGTTTGATAGCAATAGGTAACATCTTTCATTGTGTTTTGCTTTCAAACTAGCAATAGAGTATTTACAAATTTGCTATGCATGTAAGCTTATTTCAAGTACAATCTGCTGATGGTTATTTCCACTAATCATGTATGACAGTGTAAATGGTTCCATTCATGGCTAGGCATATTTTGGATGAAATGTTTCTGTTGAATTGTATGTTTTATTTTGTACATCATTCATATCGTTGCTTTGTCTTTGATAGTATTCATGTGGATTTATATTTGCTCAACACTAAACAAAGACAATTTTAAGTACATGCAACTCTTATCACAAACCTTTTTGCAAAAAAGGGGAGAAAATAGATATACCTTCAAGTTTTGAGAGTATGATTTTGCAAAATGTATATATCAACATTTTTACATCTCGTGCTTCATATTTGTATTCAAATGTAATTATCTTTTTCATATTTTCATTATTATCTGTAAATCAGATATCCTGATTTAAGTTTATGTTGACTGTATGTTTGTTTGCTGATGGTTACTTTTGCTATGTAACCAACATTGTAGCTGTAAGTAAAATTGATTTACGTACTTCTAGTTCTGAAAAGCTCTTAATAGTACAGTTCCTTTGAGATTGATGCTAGCATGCAAATGGATGTAAGTTAAAACTACCTTTTATTGGACTTTAAGATTATTCAGAAATGTATACCTGTACATGTGTGTAACTAGGAGGGAAAAAAGGAAAATGGGGGGAGGGGGGGGGGGTAAAGAGATCTGGATATATGACTACTGACCGATCGTTTTAGTTTAGATAGCAATACATAATATTATTTGCTTTTGAAATAGCAATATATATGTTAGCAGTAAGCTTATATTTGATAATTTATGTATTCTCATCCTTACATTTTGAAATATGCTTCCACCACAAATAACAGGCAATACAAGAAATCAATACAAGAAATCAATGCATGAAAATCAAGTATAATAGAAACACATGTACACATACAAAGAACCAAACCAATATCATATACGGTACACTGTATTCACATAACAAAAGTGGTGTTACACTACTCTGCATTGTTATTCATGTTCTCAGACTTTTGTCCCTCTTTCCTTATTTTAAGTACAATATGTTGATGACTATTTCCACTGATGAATGATAGTATAAATGGTTGCAGTGTATGGCTACACATATTTTAAATGAAACTTTCCTATACTATGTTTCTGTTGAATTGTATGTTTTCTTTTGTACATGATTAATATTTTTGCTTTGTCTTTGATAGTATTCATGTAGATAAATCAGGTTTGCTCAAAACTAAACAGCAAAAATCAGGAACATTCAACTCAAATCTCCATTTATTGCGCAAAAGGAAAAAGAGGAATACTTTCTCATATTTTACTTTAATATCATCTTTACGAAAACATGTCTAAGAATGCACTTTTGCAAAGAGGCTTACTTGTAAGTAACATTATTCAATGATTTATGGCGTACAAGTTGTGCTATTTTTAATAACAACAATTTATGTATCCTCAAGGAGATAACTCCTTTGTATGCTCTATTCTAGTATTCAGACTATTATGTAGTAGTTCTCTCGGTCTTTCAGTTAGGAATTGTAATTTGCAATGTGGAGTGTTCATAGTCTACCAGGGCAAACCATTCTAAAGCTCTTAGAATGATATAATGAAGCACTGTACAACTATTAGGGTTTTTTTAATTTTTGGATGGTGTCTGGGTATTATTCAATTGGTGCAATCAGAAATGCTTCTAGTTATTTTACTTGTACTCTTTTTGGCTGTCTTTTGTGTATCTTTCAGTTTAGCTAAGATCTTGTGGTGCATTGAAGACGATATGTAATATATTCTATAAAAACTGGAATAAATTTTGCTGTAAATTGCCATTTTTTTAAAGAAAAAAATGTGAAGTATTGACTTGTTTTTGTTATTGTGTCCTACTAAGATTTTGTGTTTTATTTTGATGGAATGATAACCTAGTGGAAGGCTAAACTATAACGGACAAACAAGCATATTGATATAAACAAGTCACAAAGGATTCAAAACTCTGTTGCACGTCAGGGCCCCGTTGCATAAAACTTACGATCGATGGTAAGTATCGTGCAACGGGGCTCTGGTCTCCCTGCAAAAGAAATGACAACACATAACGCCCATCCTCAAAGATTTACATTGGCTCCTATATATTTAAATTCTGCAAAACTCATCTTTTCAAATGAGTATATCAATAGTACTAAAGGATAAGTAATGCTATAATTTTTCTCTTTGTCAGAACTTCATTGTTTTCTATGTATGATTTTGTTTCTTTTATGATCTTGATATATTATATTTTAAAGCGCATTGAAACGTCAACAGACATGACATGCGCTATAAAAAAAACAAAGTATTATTATTATTATTACTAGATGAGCTGGTAGTCTGCTTTAATTCTGGTATATACCATGACATAGAATCCAATCCTGAATTGCGTCTTTCGGAAAGAGAGATCAAGGTAAGGTGAAGAATGGGAGATAAATTGATGAAGTATTTGTGTGTGTTGGGTGGTAAGGAGAGAGAGAGAGAGAGAGAGGCAGAACTGAACAGAGAGAGAGAGAGTGGGGGGGGGGGGGTAAATGAAGGGAAAGCTATATTGGCAATGAGAGAGTTATGATAAACGACTGTGGCAATAATAATGATAATGGTGATGAAGATGATAGTAATAACACTAATAATAATAACAATGATTACTCTGATGATGACGATGATGATAACGATATATAATATAAAGAAATGAATTGTAAAGCCTTTTTAAGCTCACATGCATAATGACCATTTCAAGATATTGCGCCCTCTAATGACAAAATATATCCATCCAAAGCATATGGAACATAATTATATTGTGAGAAAAATAGCTAAAAAGTTGTTTTAGGTGTTAACTGTTATTTGCACCCATGCACACAGCAACAACAAAAAATACAATAAAGACAAATGTTTTTGTTGTACCATACTTGTGTGTGTACCTCGTACACAGAAAGTTACATGAATGAAATTAAGTCGTTTGAGACGGATGCATATATATATATATATATTAACATTTTAAAAATCTCTCTTTTTAAATAAATAAACAAATGATAAGACGTAGTATGTTATGTATGTCCATCAGTTTCGAAATGCCTTTTGCGAATAAATAATCATCATGACAATTATCAAGAAATTATATCTAACCCCAATATTTATGCATTATTTTTCCGACCTCTTCTTGGTCATTTCAATCACATTAAAATGGCTCCGGAAAAGAAAAGTAAAACTAACAAACACCCAAACTAACAAGTATTATCCAAGGTATTCAACATTGTAAGTTTATAGCATTCGTTTCCTTGAACATAATGTTTAACCCTATCACAATTAAGCGTGCACGTCCAGGTGTGGGGCGCTTTGGGAGTTGAAGCCTACATAATTTTGAAAACCCGTGCTGTACATTGGCCTAAATGGTGCAAATTTTCAAAAAAATGTGCTTACTACCCCCCTCACTCCCCCCCCCCCTCACTCCCCCCCCCCCCCCACTGAGCGTACTTTCGGCCGGCGCGATTTTAAAATTTTCGGGAGCAAAAAGGAAAAAAATGGGCCCCACCCCTAAGAAATCCTCCCCCTCCCCCTCTTCTCCTCGAGAGGGCCGAGTTCTAAATGTTATTTCATGTGGAATTAGACAATATTGTCTATGAAACAGTAAGGTAAGATTGATAGGATTTTAGATACTGGCGATCCTTTGGAATTCCATTCCCATAAAAAAAAAATTTGAATAGTCTTCAACCTTTTAAACGAAAATATAAAAATGCATTTAATCTAAGTTTACGTGCAATAACTCACCAGGCTCTTTGCCCTCCCCCTTGTTTTTATTTTCATGATTCCAATAGTACGACATTTAATTCGAATATCATTAATATTATTTATGAGGGATGGACGCTTCCATTTAGGACTTTACTCCTTTTTAGCTCATCCCTTTACTCTCATTATGTTATGTTAAGTTTTTGTTTGGATGTATGATATTTATGTATGTTTATATTTGTACATGTGTAAATGTGACTATATATTCTGTATTTTTAATGATGAGTGTATATAAACGAACTTGAACTTGAACTTGATCCAAGGCCGGGACCGTAAAATTACATTGCATTGCGTATCAAATGACAAGTAAGTAAGCACAATACCAGATTACAAAAATCGAAGTACACAACTCTAAAATAGATATGGCCGAAATCTAAAAAGAAGGAATAAATCAATTGCTTTCCGTCGTCGTTTCATATAATAGCGAGCGAGAGTAAATTGTGTCAATTTTATATTTTATATATAAATAGCTCACTCTTATCTTCGTGACTTCAAGTGATATGAGATGGTGGAATACAATAATGTTGACTGCTCTGTGCACCACATTTATTTTCTTCATTGATTTAACGTGTCATAGTATTAGCTGCACAACATGTTAAATAACATTATTGTTATTATAGGATTTGTTATCCTATTATAACATTTCCTAAATTTATACAAATCAACGCCAACAACTCGGCCGAATCGGATGATCGGATGCAGAACTTACTAGATACTAGAGTACCGGAGTTTGACCGTATCATTATAGAACTCCCATCAGAAGTATAATGTCCGGATTACGTAATATGCCTTTGTAATGTTCGCACATTTTAAAGGTGGCGTACAAGACTATCGCATTAGGTTAATTTTCCGAAAGTAGTTTGCGATCATGATGATTTAAGATGATTTGCATTAAAAGCGAATGCATTTAATGAAGAAGAAAAAACTAGGACCACGCACCCATGATGAGCACTGCTTAGGATGAGATGGGCGTGGTCGAGGCGTAAATGACTGGATACCGCTAATAATGGTACCGGTATGTTACGTCATGCCTATTGGCTTCAGGAACCACCCCAAAAAAAATATGTTGATGTTCTGTGTTCCGTTAAAATTCCGTATGTTTACACATAACAGAAGGTTGAAGCATACTCATCAGTCTAAAGGAATGTTGGATTGAGGAGATACCACGCGCCACTATCAATTCCGGTTTTGCGGTTTCGGAGTACACAGAGCTAGACCCCCGACAATGAAACTTTTTAGCATTACTTTGAACGAATGTACATATTCTTTAAACAGTTTACATATTCTTTCTTATATGATTTCCTTATTCACAAGAAATACAAAACTCTATTTTTAGGATAAATATTTTTATTTCATTTCGTACCAATGATTATTTTCTTTAAAAAATGTAATTCAAGGAACAAAATTGGAAAAAACCAACAAGACAAAAAATTGAACAGAGGGAGTGTGTTGTAGTGATAGCACGACAGGTACAGTTAAATGATTGAGGTCACAGGTCAAGATGCGGCCATGTTTACTACTACGACTTTGACGTGTTTTATAATTTAGATCGCGTTGGAGGTCTACAAACTTCATCGTTGAATTGTAAACCTTTCTGTTTCCATTTTCATCTGATTACCACGTACGTGAGTAAATATGTTATTTCTTTTTATGTACTGTTTTCTGCTTGGATTAAATGGGTATTTCGATCTTTATTTCAATGTTGGAATCTAGCGCTACAAACTTAAGATTTCAAAATATGGCAATCCGTTGCGCTCAGCAGTGCTGAGACTCACTGAGTGGCCGAAAATCTGGCGAGTGAAGCGGCTGAGTCGGGCTGTTGAAAGGAGAGTGCTTGGTGCATGGTGCTCGTGTAATGACAGTGTAGACTAGGGTCTATGTGATAGGAACCCAATGTAAAGTGCACCAAAGATTTTACTTGAAATTGGCATGAATTTTGTAGTAGACGTTCTAGATTCTAGGCCTAGGTCTATATTCAGTAGGGGCGCTGGTCCGAGAATGAGGATCGTCCTCATTTTGCAAGGATATCCTCATAAACGAGGACAAAATGCGTCCTCAAAAATAAGGGTTGTCTGCATTTTTGAGGACGATGCCAAAAATGGATTCCCCGGGGGAAAATAACCCTAGTTCACTGTCTACGTTTATGGGTTGTCCGTCTTCCCAAGGATTTATTGCTAAAAATGTGAATGTCTCTGTACAATGTCAATGTAAAATGCATCAAGAAAATCATTGCAGAATCCGTTTTTTGCATCGCCAATGTGCCGATCTGAAACGTCTGCACAAATGCAGACGGTCCTTATTTTTGAGGACGCATCGGTCCGTGTTTACGAAGACGATCCTTGTTTATGAAGACGATCCTTATTCTTGGACCAGCGCCCCTACTGATATTCTTCCAATGCTTGATCTGGTATTATTAGGCTAGACTAGATCTAATCCTTATGTCTAACTAGACCTCTAGACCTAGATCTAGATGTTAATTATATTAATTTATAAAGATAAAATTAAAACTAGAGTTAGCATGCTAAAACCTCGGCTTCAGCATCAAAAGGTGGCCATGTTTTCAAGTTTTGAACCGTAAAATGCATAGATAATCACCCATTTCTGTCTACCTTTCAGAGTGGACTCTACTTTCTACTCGTACAATACTACAAAGGTCAAAGCTCTTTCAAATTAGTCGAGAATTTAACAAAATATGTTAAATTTGGTACAGGAAGTGTCAAGTGATAGTGCAGTGATTTGCTTACCTTCCAGAAGTTCCATCTTCCATGTGTATTTGATGATAATGAGTTAACATGCGATTTACATCACATAAAACATTGACCTCTCATGAGAGTTTCGGTGTTGGTTTTCCTGGAAACGAAAATGGCTGTTTTTATTTTTGTAAATAGCCTAGGGAGTAGGGTAACCAATTTGATACTTACTTTTACGATAATAGCGATTTAACTTATTATAAAAAAGGAGTTCGCTAAATTTAGTTATAGATCTAATTCTGCTGTGCGTGTTCCTGCCTTACATTAAATATAAAATAATAAATAAAAAGAGAAAAAAGATATGAAGATCTGGTACAATTTACTGAAACAGAATTGGAACACTTTATTTCCTTTTTTGTAATTTTTACGAGATGGCACATAACTTTATTAATTATAGTGAATTATGTGCAGAAGGTTGGTACTTAGTAATCAAGACTCATTCAGACAGGATTTTGTTGTATTAGTATTGGTCCTTTATGCTTTACAGGACTATTTATACATGCACAGTACCGGTATGTACTAGACTATGTAATATGACACCCCAGACATAAATTAAAGGTAATGTTTATTTTCCCATATCTTTTGCAGATATCAGCATGAAACAGTGACCATAAGGCCCAACCTAAAGTTGCCTGAGGAAAATTCATCATGACAGAAAAGATACACAACGTGAGTGCAGCGAAGTCAATATAACTATAAGAGATAGAGACAACAAGTTCAAGACATTGAGGTAAAGATGGCAGTCAAATCTGGACCAAGGTTCACTACAGATGAAGAGTTAAAGAAGTTGAGCTGGGAAGATGTAGTCAAACGCTTACGATGGTGTGAAAAGGAGCGAATGAAGTTGCTGTCTAATCAAGGGGGTAGCGTAAAGGAAATCGAACATCTGTTGATGCTCAAAACAAATGAGATACAAGCTCTCAAGATTGAAAATCAGAAACTTCATGGAGACAATGTAGAGCTTCGTGAGCTATGTTGCTTTCTGGATGATGACAGACAGAAAGGTAAAAAAGTTTCAACTGAGTGGCAGCGCTTTGGTCAATATACAACAAACGTGATGCGCAATGGAGTTTCCACGTATCAGGACAAATTACGAGAGTTGGAGGAACGGCAAGAAAAGCTATGTCAGGAGAATGTTGAATTGAGAGAGCTGTGCTTTCTCCTGGACCAGGAAAGAACTGGCAATCAGAGTACTCTCCTTAGTCTAGGCAATGGAATTGATTTAAGAGAAAAGACAAATATGAGTAATGGACCTTCCTCAGTGTTGAATGATGGACATTTATCAAAAGAAGGGTCTTCCAAAATGTGGGGGAATGGTGGTGATATTTCAGCCTTGCAAAACAATGGTAAGTACATTGTTTAGCATATATTATATTTCCTTAAATGTAAGCAAACTTTTTAAAATGAAATACTGTATTGTCCATGCATTCCTATTTTGGTTTAGGTTTGACCAAAATATGTGAAAGTTCACTCACTTACATACATCAGTGTATGTGTAGGTTGTGTCTGGTAAACTACCGTATGCATGACAGTCAGGCCTAAAAAAAAAAAAGATGTTGTATCACCCTTTGCGACCGACCCAAAAATCTTGAAATCTATGGTCGGCTTTTAAAAAAAGATTTTTTTAAAGCATTCAAAACTGAGAAATGTCAGCCCAAAGAGGGAGAAGGAAAAAAAAAAAGATTTTTGACCAACCGCCCATGTTTTGCCACCTAAAGGGCAATACAAAATCTTTTTTTTTTAGGCCTAAGTAATGGCATGTGAGTGTGTGTAAGCATGCTGACATGTCATGGGCTTAACTGATTGATATATGGTATCAGTAATGAAATTAAAACATACATGGTATTCCACATTTTTTTTCTTCAAAATTTGTCTCTAAAGAGAAATTTATCAAATTATCAATATTTTACCTGTAATGTGTTTTCTTCTAACATGTCTACCGCTATGTAGCGCAGTCATGTCAACACTCAACACAAGTAAAGTATTGATAACATTCTATAGTGAGCAGCTGGAAATCATTCACAATAGACATGCATTTTGTTTTGAAATGTTCATTGTGCCTTTGATGTCATCTTCAGGTGAATCTTTCCACTCGGAAGATTACCCTGAAGCACTACATGTACATTGATCATGTACCCATTTAATTTCATTTATGTATTTTTTACATACAATTAAAAAAGAATACACAAAGAAACAAATATACAAACAAACAAGTAATTGTCAAAAGGGGGAAAATAAGTAAACATGGTAAGCTAGCATGTGGATGGGGGAAAAAACAAAAGCAAAAGTTGCTTGTCAATTGTCAGGGTTAATCCCTGTATTAAAGTAACAAATTGTTAACAAACTATGCCTTCCTGATGACCTTTCTATTGCAGTGAGTGATCATTGAAATGCAGCATTCCAGGGAGATTTTTTGTGTTATCTTTGAATTGAATCATCCTTCTTTGATCTGATTTTTATTAGAACCATTCAGCTCTTCAACACTCACAGAAATCTAGGAGTACTACCATTTAACATGTACAAACTGTATAAGTAATAGTTAGGATGAAACCATGAACAGTTTCAGTTTGGAACAGTAGATTTTTGTTGTAAATATAAATTTATTTTTCCTACACATCTATGACCGGTACATGTATGATGTATATCTACTAGAATTCTAGGAAATTTATTAGCATGTACATGTACAGTATATGTACATGTTTACATGTATGCACATGTCTATATTTTCGGCAGTTTAAAGAAAATGCATTTTATAGTTTTACTGTTATAGAATTAAAAAAAAAAAATCAGTTCATTGTACTTTATGTTTAGATTTTTAGAGTGATTTGTAAATTGGAGGTGATCTTCTAGTTTGACCCGACCTGTACAGTCTTGGTCTGTTACTATCTTAGTAGACTCATCATATTCTGTGTCAAAAACTTACATGTGTTACAATTCAACTTTTCTCTTTCGTAAACTAGGAAGACTGTAAATTCAGAGGTTCAAGATATACAAATGAATTCCATGGATGAGTGTTGTTTTTTGGGGGGCATTAAACAGATCAACCTCCATTAATGTATTTTCCAACAAATTAAGAAACAAATTCTACTCTAAAATATGATATATTTATGCACCAGTTATTTTCTGAAATGCCTGGGATGTGTGTACAGTGTACATATACATGTAGATGTGGAGGATGGATTGAAGTTATCTACCTGTAGGCTGTAGTTTTGACCTTTGGCCTGAGGTCATGCTGGGCGAGGACACGGAACATCACTCTCCCAGTTGGGAGTATCTTTCAACAAATTTATTTCACATTTTCTTTCCAGAATGGATTATTTCATTTGATATTCACTGCACCTATATTTTTACATGTACATTTCTTGAAGGGATTTGTTTTCTTTCTCTTTCTTCTTCCTTCCCCCCCCCCCCCCCCCTTCTTGGGGAGGGAAAAGGGAGGGTTAACTACTTGACTTAATTATTTGCCTATTGGGACCAGATTGTCCCATTAAGCCTAGATGTCATTTGATATTCATTAAAAAAAAAATGATTCACTGGTTAAATGTTGCACAATGCCACTTGTAGATTTAAATAAAAAATATGAATTACGATAACTACTTATGAATGGGCACAATAATTCCTTGAATTACCAGAAGTTAAAACTTATCTTCACATTTCAAATTGAACTTTTGACATACAAGTACAGTACTTGCAAATCAACTTTCAAGGTTTGAATACTTTAAATACTGTATATGCAGGCTACAGTATGTACATATGTCAGATCAACCAGCTGTGGATTGTACATTGTGTAAATAATGCAATCATCCAGACACTAAACATAAAGTTCAAGTTCAAAAGTATCTGATGTACATGTACAGTAGATGTGCATTTCATGCAAGTTGCTTTATTGTAAATAATAGACATGTAGGCACAATGTGTACATATCATTGACATGACAGTTGAAAAAATGTATGTACATTTGTATGAATGTACTTTAATTCCTGGCAAAAACATTTGTATCAATGTTAGGACATATCCAAATATCCACCAAAAGTCAATATATATGACTACAATGTAGTACATGTATATGAGAGTGATCGACTGTGATACCTGTAGGATTTTTATTGTGTGTTCACGTCATGAATCTGTTTGGATAGTAGTGGTCTGAGCCTAATAGCAGGGATCATGACCAAATATGGTGTTGACTTGAGGCGAGCGTCCTCAGCCATTTTTACCAATTGATCTACATGTACATGTACAATATACATACATGTACATTTATATACATGTAGATTTACACTGTATGGTACAATATACTGAACATATTTACCGGTATCTACATGTGCATGTATGTATCGTACACTACATGAACAACAAGTACATTCATTTAGTACATGTACTGTACACTTACCAGTATGTTGGCTGCATGCCGACATGTGGGCATGCACATATGTAACTGGTAGTTACAAGAATATTTCTATTGTACATGTAGATTGTACTATGTAGTAATGTACAGTGAGATGAATTGTACATGTACATGTAGGCCTATATAATTGTACCTACATGTAGATTTAACTGCTTTACTGTCTACAAATCTGTCACAAGCAGTAAGAAGTCAAGCTTATAATCTGATCAATAGTCATTTATTCCATTGTGTCTGGCATTCCAATAGAATCCTGTACAATGTACTGTACAGTGTACATTTGTCATTGTCAGTAAATTGAATAGTTTCCTTCATGACAAACAAAATGTAGGGGAATGCGGATAAATCACAAATTCCATCAGGTGTGACTTAATTTTTTTCCTGTACCAGAAAGAGATTTTCTTTGAATTCCATAGAAACACAGAAATACCGATGGCGTCATTGCCAATTTATCAAGAAAGATGATAAACTTTGAAATTTAAATTGTAATATTTGTAAAAAGAAAAGAAAAAAACAGATAAAACAATGCATACACCTGTACCCATTTCATTTTTTGAAATTGGGGCGTTTTCAATACTGGTCTTTACCTTTAATATAATTCTAATGTACATTGTACATACATGTACATGTACATGTAGCAGTATGTACACTGTACTCTGTATCTGTGTGAGCTATTGTCTGTAAATATACTTGTACATGTACATGTACATGTATGTAATGAATATCATGATGTTTTTAGAATATCAAGTTTTAAAAACATAACAATGATAATTACAGCTACGGTACTACCTGTTAGAGGCTTACAACTACATGTACACTGTATTTAAGAACAACAAATGTTTTCCTGCATCTGCATGTACATGTACACTGTATACAGTATGTACACCTGTAATGTCAAATAATTATTTTGTCACTCAAAATGTTGCATAATAATTGCAGAATCATGTAGGTGTATTATAGAAACAAATGTGCAAGACTACAGTACATATACTGTACATGTACATCATGTAGATCATTATTGCAAACATCCTCTTGCAAATTGAAACTGCATTATATTTTGTTCTTTATTCCATTTACATGTACATGTACTGTACATGTATAATTGTATACACTGTGTACCAAGATCATTTCTATTGTTTTAAACTTACCATTTTTAAAATCTCATCACAAAGATGTAATATAAAATAATTATTGTTTTATCAAAACAGCTTTCATACATTGTTTTTCCCTTTGTTGCTTGATTATCACAGTGTAAGTATTTAGACAAATTAGTGTCAGGAATGTGCGTGACATGTAATTCCAGCTCATTATTTATGTACACATGCTTCTTGGTTAGTCAGTTTCTTTGTCATTATTTTAAACAAAGTACACAATATCAATCTAGTCTTTCACATTCCAAACTTTACATGTTATTCATTCTAGAGATATTTTCTCTGACAATTGAACTTTGTACCTTAAATAATTGGAACTTTGGAAGTACATTTTTGTAATATATGTACATGTAGCTACCAATGAAGCTATTTTATATACATGTACATATACCGGTATATATAAACAGTATATACACCTGTATACTATATTGAAACAAACAAGATTTTGCACGGTAGAAAGAAACTGCAATTAAAAGTCCCCCCCCCCTTTCCCTTTTTCATCAATTTTTCAAGAGCATATACATGTATAATTATGTATTAGTTGTGTTCATATTTGTGCAACAGCTTTTACATACCGGTATACACTCTTAAATATAATGTATGTCATCATTTTGTTTTCATCTGCACTATGTCTATGACATGACATCTCACATTTTTCTATCTTCATTTCCTTTCTCAGATCACATGCCTTTCACAGAGGATAGAATCCGCTCTTTTGATGAAAAGAGGCAATTTTCTCAACCAGAGGTAACTTGTTATTAATTTTTTTATTTTTCCATCCATTTTTGATTCATTGTGCATTTATTATATCTCAATTGCCAAAAATGGTCTCTATCTACATGTTATCTTTATCTCTCTCTTCTTTTGCTAAAAATTGCTTTCGCAAAATAAGATTTACATAGTTGTACAGTGTATTTTTCAGAAGTTTTCAAGAATGATAAAAGAATTCAAATTTGATTACAATGTTTTAGGGACAGAGTCCTGATGTCGAAATTCTGACTGGCAATAGTGTACTTGTACATGTACAGGTACCTGCATGCATCCATTAGCAAGATTGAAAACAAGATGGGTTGTTTACGAAAAAAGACACTAGAATTAATGCACAGTTAATGCCCTCTCGACTGTCCGTCATTGTATTAAATACCCTCCATTTAACCTTTATATTCAAACCTACAATGTATGATACCCCAAGTGACTTCTTTTCTTTCCTGTTTAATAATGGTTCATCCATGCAGTCATTTAGTTCTGCCTCATCTATTCTTGCATTCTTTTGATCATACTCCTTGTGTATTTCCTTTTTCCAGACAAGGAGGAATGGGTCAGAGGATAAGGTAGATGGCCCTACACCCAATCATGTCACAAGCGCTTCCAACCCAAACCATGTAAATTCATTTCTTGTATACGGGTCATTGGATTTCAACTCGCTGTAGTCTCAATGATTAATACTCGGCTCTTTCTAATCATAAATACATTTTGCTATGTTATTTCAGTTTTCTCTGGTGTGGGCAATAAAGTAAAGACCTGCTATCTGTAAAAGGGAAAACATGTTTCGAGATTTCTTTTTATTTATTTAACAATCATATAGAACAGGCAACATCTCATGTACAAAATAGCCATCATACAGAAGTTTGCTGACATCCCATTGAAAGCCATGTTAGTTTTATTTAAAAATTCAATGAAACATTGAAGAACTTAGGGATTTGTGAAACAATGCCTAATACATGTGAGTTTTCACTGAAGTTTGTAAGGAAGTAATTATAAATAGACGATCAGGGTGGGGTTTCGTACTACATTTCTTTTAGTGCAATAGTTGGTGAAATCTTATTTTAATTTATTTTGCCTGTATGGATGGAATATGGGCGGAAAGGTAACAACTTAAATGTACATGTACCTACAGATTTCATTTTTAAACAAGTAATGGTATGAGCACAAGCACAAGCACAAGCACAAGCGTTTTGTTTTTATTATCTCAGTGTCCCAAACATTTGAAATTTATTTTGTTGTCACAGCCCCTAGTATGTAAAATTATAGTGTAGTGTTGAGCCCTACATTTATAGCTTAAGTGTTTTGATTGTAAAGAATTTTAAAGTGCATGTTTAAAAGGACACTGCTTACATTTAAATTTCACAGATAGGACATATACAGGATGTATGACATATTCCTGCAAAGTTCTACAGAATTTGATGTTGGCTGCAAAAGGGACATAGTATCTTTAAGGAACAAAATACTAGAAAGCAATACACCAGGGATCACAGACTGTAACATCACTTAAGCTCATGTTTCATCTCTCTTTTTTTCTTTTTGTCGCATTTGCAGTCATCATACTCATCCAGGAATTATGGTTCGAGCATAGAGAATGGTAACAGGGCTCCTAACTCACCCAAAGCTATAGTGAATGCACTCAAGGTATGGTTACATTCATTCACCCTCCCTGACATCTAATCTCTCATCTGAGCTTTGTGTATAAAATAAAAGCAGTGTGTGCGTTAATCAGTGTAATGTACAGCTAGTGTTATTGCCACATACATGTAGTGGTTTTGGTGTTTGTTTGTTCATCTTTTTCGTCTTTAACAACAAATTTTTTACCATTTTCTCATGTTTGTTTTATGGCTTCAATATTTGCGTCATCTATTCAAGCATGAAAATTCAGTGCCGATGCCTTTCAATTACAAACACTTTAAATATGTAGTACCGTACTTGGGGTTCAAAGAATGCTCTGAATATGCACATACTGTATGTATGTTCACATACATGTACTTGCTACAAATTTAGTGTTAACCTGTGCAAACCAGTACTGGTAATAATACCAATGCAAATGACAAACCTACCGAATGGATGCGAATGTTATTGAGCAGATGGTCGTCTGTGTTTTAAGGCAGTCAAGATCAAGTCAAGTGTGTGCTTTCTTCTGCCATTGTCATGAGGGAGTAATCTGTTCATTCAGTCTACTGATCTAATTACTCTATTCATAACATGCCTCAAGATACTTGCATAATTAAGATGACTCACTCGCTGCTTGGCTGCAATCAGTGTGATTACATGTAGACAGATCTAAAGTGTGATCATCATAATGGATAGTACCTTCCACACAGCAATGTGGAATGTCAATTATTTCTTGATGATAAGATATTGGTGGAGTTTTCCACATTAAAAGAATGATGAGAATAGCAATGTTATGAAAAGGGAAAAGGGTTTGAAGGTTTTATCTTTTCCCTCTTTTCTTGATATTAACAAACAGTATACATACAGACAGTGAACCGGTACTTGTACCGGTAGATGTATGATCACTTTCTGCAAAGTGGCGTTAATTTTCTATAATTCTGTGATAAATGGGGGAGAAAAGAAATCAAACTCAAATTTGTACATCTAGTCATTACCGTTTTGTGTTTTGTGTACAAATGTTGATCAGTAATACAGTGTAGACCGCATGGGGGTAGGAGGATACAGTAACATCTCTTTACAATAAGTACATCAACCCACAAAGTATTGAGTATGGATGCTTTGGTAATTTGAGTAAATATTAGAGCAGTTTGGGCTAGGATGCATGAAACTAACTATTCAATTATAGATAGTGGCAAAACAATATACTCTGCCCACAATATTTACCCGATAAACTGATAAGTCAATATGTTGACATCAAAATATATGTATTGATTCTTCTGTGATTAGATGAACGGAACAGGGAACGTAATTATGCAGAGTTTTTATACACAAAAGATTGTATCTTGAATAAGACGTATAAAGTATTTGCCTTGTACATGTCGTTGTAATTAACTCAGTATTGTAATTACTTTTGATTTATAGCTAGCCAGATATAAATTAGTACAGTGTAGGTTGCAAAATATAATTGTGAACCATCTCTTAACATGAATACCAGCATACATGTATGTTCCAGTCACTTGGGAGGAATGTTACCCTGGCATCTACCTGTATTTTATACATAAACCAGGATCCCACCCAAACCTTTTGGGGAGGGGGTCCTGAATGAAATCTTGGATGCCCATGTGTCCCAGGCGCCTGATAGCCTGGTTGAGCCTTGCATAACCATATCAGAGTGGTGCAGAGGTTAGCAAGTACATGTATGTTAGATAACATTAGTATATTTACCTTAGCCAGTGATATTGGTAATGACATTACACCTGTCTCACAAAATAATGATAAGAATACACAAGTGTCTGTCATATGTAACCAAGAGAATTGTTTGTAACAGTTGCCTTCATTCAACATTCTTTACATTTTTCAGTAAATGTCATCCATAATACATGTACTGTACATGTACATACACACATGTAGTTTTACTAATAAAAAACATGGAGTAGTGAAAAAAGAAGGTGAAGAAGAAAAGAAGGAGGAGGAGAAGGATAAAAAGAAGTAACAAAATAAGAAGAAAAAGGAGGAGGAGGGGGAGGAGAAGAAGAGCAGCAAGAACATGGAGAAGAAAATCAACAAGGAGGTGAAGAACAAAGATGAGGAGGAAATAACACATTTTTAATGCACATAATGATTCTTTAGGAAAAGGGTGAATGAGGGGTGAAAGAAAACATCACATTTTCAGGTGCATGTACCTGTACATTACAGTATGTAGGTTATCCTCCCAAATTAATAATCGGTACAAATACATGTAGGCATAAATCATGCAACACTTCCAATTTGTTTTCAAGTATGTCCTTCACTTTTATTTGGACAAGAATTTCAGGTCATTTTTTTATAGAAATTGTAAGTTATGTCTCAAACTGCTGATTATAATGCAATAATGAAGCACTCTAGATTTTAGACACGAGTATAGAAATTGTTGATACTGATCTTTCAAATCTAGTACAATAACTCTTTGGTGTGAGGAAAAGGAGTAGAAATTAAATTGTAAAACTACATGTAAATTACAAATGCATTCATCCAAATCCAATTCCACTGTGAGAAAAAATAAAATCAGCTGTATGGTCATATTTTGTTGTTAACCATAGGAGGTCAGGCATGGTATTGTAATTTCTATGTACAGACATTTTATTGTCAAGCTGGAATGCAGAGTTTATGGAACTAATTTTGATCAACCTTTTACTACAGAAAGTCACCAGTATTGTAGATTGGCTTGATTACAGTGTTATTGTATTTGTAAAGTTTGGTGAATACTCTCCTCAGACCAGACATACAATTGAAATTTCTGTGATAAATAAAGAAGCACGTTGATGTGTGTTGTTGGCCTTGACTCAAGAGCTTGCCCAAAACACAAGTCCTTATGCAGTACATGTAGGCCAGTGTCAAGTCATAGCTTGGAATTCTGTTTGGATAAAACAAATCTACCCTGGGTTGTTATCGCTACATGCCATATAATTGACTGATTAGCCCTGTTAAACTGCAATTAGACTGTAATGCAGATTCATGGTACTGGTATGCCAGTCTTTCATTCAGATTTTAAAGATAAATCAAATGTGAACTGTTGTATTTAGTTCACCATTTTCTGTTCATGCAAGTTAACTTTTTGAATGTTTTTTTCTTCTTCAACAACTGATATGCAATGTAATTAACACACCTGCATTTACAGGATTATATTGTGGCAAATGGATGTTGATAGGAGTATAGTGCTAACATGCTTGTATAATGTATTTTAAAAATACAACCTCTGAAATAATTTTTGTGGGTTTGTGCTATTTTTTTCATTCTGAGGACATTTGAAATGTAGAAAATATAACAATACATTCATGAATCTTTAATTATTTGATTGCGACTCTTTAATGTACAGCACTACAGCGTAGTTAAAATGTCTTGTGTAAATTTGCCAAAATGGAGCTGTAGATTAATTCGTTTATGGAAACAAGCGATTTCCAAATATCAAACAGTATTTGACAGCTCTCTGATCCAATTTGGAGATCTAATGAGTTGTGTGAATACTTCTTTTGTGAGCGATCATGTGATAATTTTTGTTTCTTGTTGAATCCTTGTCAAGTGCTTTTTTTTATGGTATTCACAATTTGTTATTGACATACATATACATGTACCGGTATTTGAATAAATTCGTACTAATAATATATAAATCTGTTTTGTATTTTCTTTGCAGGTATTGGAGGTTCATGACATGTTGGAGCGAGACACAACACCAAACCACCTTGAGAATGACCATATGAACACCAATGAGAAAGCTATTGTCAGGGAGATGTGTAACGTGAGTGTATAATACATGCAGTCATTATCATGGACAACTCCATGCTTTTCAAGAAAATTCCCCATCATTGAATTATACCACTGGACTCTGCCATTTATAGAGTATTTTGTCTTCAACTGTTATGCATAAGTGTTTCAGTTTCTGCACCCTCGTAAAATGTATTCTTTTCATATCACTTCCTTTTCTGCATCCTGTTCCATTTAATTTCTGTCCAGTATAATATGAATTGGAAATTAATATTTTTAAGAAAGGAGTTTTAGTTGATGAGCCACTGCTCATTCAAACAAAAACAAAAACTCTTTGTGTTGAGTATTTTTCATTTGTATATTTTTGTGTCTGTTTGTTGATGAATCTTTTCAATTTATGGTGTTGCATTGCTTTTCTACGTGCTTACATGGAAGTGCATGGAATCATTCAGTAATGTTATTACTATTCCATTGGTTTTTACATTGTAGGTGGTGTGGCGTAAATTAGGAGACAACCCAAACAACCCCAATGGAACTGGCCCTAATGGCACCAACGGCACTAACGGTAGTAGCAACGGCAGTGGCAGTAACCAATCACAGCGCCCCCAAGCTCCGACCAGGTACTCTAACAGTACTGTCAACCCTCCAGCTAAACCTGCTGGTTACAGCACTCCTCCATACAGTAGCGGTAGTACAGGCAGTCTTGAAAGGAAGGGTATCTAGTTTCCGTCAGCCCCAATCTGGTACTCTTAATAGTACTGTCATCCTTCAAGATACCGGCTATAGAAAACCTCCATATAGATGAGGTAGATGAGGCTGTCTGGAAAGAAAAAGTATTCAGTCAGTGCCCCCCCCCCCCCCCCCCCCTTGCCATACTCTGCTCTGGTCCCCTAACAGTACTGTCATCCCTCCGAGTCAGACTGACTGGTTAATACAGTACACCTGAATCTTGTCACAACATTCTGTATTCTTACTGTGATCTACTAGCAGTACTGTCAACTATCAAGTCAGAAGTTGTAGTAATGGCTGTTAAGGGGTATGTGGCCTGCCTGGCCTGGTGACAAGACCTTCCATGTCTACTCTCAGCAGATGAATGTGGAAGTTTTACATCTAAATGGAATAAACTAAATGCTGTGTATTAATTTCATGTAATTGATAAACATATTTATATGATAAATGCACCCAATGAAAGAATCGGTCATGATTCTACAACAGTGAGAAGTGTATTTAAGGAAACTACTGCATGATCTTTATTTGTTGTAATAAAAACCATCAAGTATTAATTATAGTGTTATTTATGGTGAAGGAGAATGAATGAGATATCAGATCATAGATGCCAGTCACTCTTCAAACATGAATGCATAATGTTTTTAATGAAGTGTTGTATAACCAGGTTATCACTTTGTATGGCTCTTCTTTAAGAACATGCCCTCAATCATGTAAATGAAAAGAAAGAGAAAATTATATTTTTAAGATATAGGATCGAATAACATCAACATGAAATGCCTGGAAAACACAACAGGTGTATGTAGATTTGAAATATGAAGAAAGGCTTTTATATATTCAAATTGCAAATCTGATTTCTCTTGATTTCTATTTCATATGGTTGTAATTTCACTTTGAATATTTCTCAACCGGGTAGATTAAAAGACATAAAATATCAGTAGATACTATAGAGTTAGGGCAAATGCAGATTGCTTTTCTGGTGAGGCTAAAGTTCACTGTTGAAGTTAGAATCCAACTACCATAGTTTTTATATAGGTCAGTTTTTGCCAGACCATACATGTATACACTACAGAATACATGTAAATATATGATAAATTAAGCATCCCACCGCAAACTGGGATGATGGTAGTTTATATTGGAAAGGTATGGATTTAAGTCATATAAATGTGTTTGTATTGGAGAATCTGATGATTTCAATAGGGTATCAATATCTTTATACAGCTTCTTACTTGTTCCATAACACTGTACATTATGCAGTGATATTTCACTTAGCTAGGTCCAGATTCTTTGACACTCCTTGAGGTGGAAGGCCATAATCTCTGCATTGTTGAGGGATTTAAGAGCTGAATGGCTGTTGTTCAGCCAGGGTCATCCATCTATTCAAATGCTTATCTGCTCTGTGTCAGTTGAGATTGGAATCTCAAAGGAAGAATCTCAATGGAGGGCGAAGTTGCTCCTTTGAATGGTTGATGCATGATTGGGCTATAGCACTGATTGTTTTTTCCCCTGATTCACAGTTGTAAGCTTTTTTTGAACTGATGAACTAGTTTTGTACAAGTGCACTGAGAACTAAAATGTGTGACGTATTGTAGTAGAACCTTGACCAACACCTTTTATTTATGTTTTATATATAATCCTGCTTGATGTCTTATTTGGGCTATTTTATTTTTACAATAGATGTTTGGGATGTTTACATATGAGAGGTTTAAGAAGTCATCAGACCCCTTGAATGTGTAGCAAGTGTATGAAATGAATCTTTGAATACCATAAAATATCAGATTTAAAGATTTTATTCAATGATTACATCACAGATACTGTCGGTGAAAGCACAAGTCTCCAAATTTGAGATTGTCTTGAATTGAGAATTTGAGATAGTCTCTAAGAGACATCTTGCTGCACACCGTAATTGAAAAGTCAATATTATGTATCTATATATATACTTGTATATTATTTGTGTATATACACATTATTACATTTACATTATTGATTAAGTAAAAAGATATTTACCATTTTAAAACATGAAGAAAAGCACCTGTAATTGTAAAACAGTTGCAAATTGTGTCACTGACTTAAAACTTGAATTGTTTTTTGTAACATACATTCTCTGCATCAGATTTTTAGTGTAAATAAATTTTGTATCATTGTAAATATTTTGTAAATTATACACTGAATTTGAATACTATTTGTAAGTTGACCAGTGTAGCTCCTGTCTATTGCGATGTAAAGACAACAAGCTGATGTGGAGGTGGAAGCAACTATATGTATCTTTACCATATCACATTTATTAAAAAGGAATAATGAACAGTATTGCTAGTATTTTCTTCAAGATTTACGCAAGTATTCAGAATGGAACAAAGAAGACGGGGAGATATATCCTGAAATAATGTTTTATTGCAAAGCTAGTCGGTGAAGCTGTCAATCTCTTTAGCAGTACAGCAAATAATTGGTTGTGTGTGTAACTTTAAGAATGAATTTGAGCTTGTGCATGTATGGATACATTATCTAATGATACTTATAGTTGCTTCCATGTCGGTGCAAAAGTATTATTGCATTCCACTTTTTCTAACATTTTCTTCTTTTTGTAGTCAACTCATGTGTATAAAGTAATCATAAATTTTAAGAAAAAATATGTGTTATATTGATATTTCCTTTTACTTATAACTCATGAAATGATATAATACTCTTGCATACATGTATACAATACACATGAGCATATTTGATTATGTGCTTATTTCTTGATAATATTACTCTAAGTTCAAGACAGAGACTGATTAAAATATATAACTTCATTGTCAGAGGGGAAGTACCGGTATTGGGCTTAAATCTGTGTGGTTCTTCCTCATCACTACTCACTAATAACTATGCAGGTTTGTATTGATGTTGAAATTGTGTAAAAGAGATTTGATAACTGGAATTAATCTGAAGCTGAAATAGATTTTTTCATTCAAAGGGGAGGACGAGGGAGTAAAATCTTTCAATATTATTTGCTAATTGCAGGTTAAACATTTTTTATCTGGATTAATCCAATCTTAAATTGCCACATTGAGGTCTTAAAATCTATTACCAAAGATTGCTCATGCGTATTATGTGTACAGAGATTGTTGCTGTTTGTAGGTGAACCATAGGTTTATTTCTGTCTTTCTCTATTCCTCTCTCATTTTCTCTCTCTCTCTCTTTCTCTTTCTCTCTCTCTCTTTCTCTCTCTCTTTCTTCCCCTCTCTCTTAATGTCATTCTGTTTGATCTTTATTGTCTTCAATGTTTGCATGTTTAATGTGTATTGATTTGTACTGTATACTTTTTTGAGATACGATTTGGGCAAATATTATCTCCAAAGGACAAGTCAGATATCTTTTGGGGGCTCATTGAGAGAGACATGATCTGGTAATACTTGCAAGTAATCCAAATCACTATCTGATTCTGTGTCAGCAATAAAGTCCTTTGATGTACCTTTACAAAAGATACTTATGTTCGTGTTGTGTAAAAAATCAAGTATTTCTCTTTACCGGTAGATGTAATTTTTTAATTTGTTATTGCTGGTTTGTGAGACAAAACAAAAATGTTCAAAAAGACATCTTAAAAAACGATTCACCCATAAGATTACCTGTGATCATTATACCGTACATCCTGTATGCTTCTGATTCTGTTATCAAGTGTCATTTTGTTGGAAATGCAAATTAATGAAAGTAAAAGATACCATGTCTCCTTGTGATTGGAGCATGTCTGAAATGGCTCCGGCACCCAGTGTACCACTTAACAATTCATGCAGCAAGTGTGTTTTTGTATTGGTAAATTTTAGCAAAGGTCATTGTTTTGATTTTGATTAATAATGTACTTGTGTTGGTCTTGTACTTCAGGAGATGTGATCTCTCATATGATTTTATTGGTATCCTGGAAAGATAGTAAGAGATCTGAAAGTGCTTAAATTGATATAGAATCAATGAATTACACATTTGGTTACTTGTTCATTGAACGCATAAAGATAATCATTTTCTTGTGGAAAGTCAGTAAATTTACGTCACCTAGGTAAAATCTAGAACATTAAAATCTTTTTGTAGTGCGATATATAATGTACTCGATAATTAGTCCCATCTTGTAGAAATTATGCCCTGTATTCATCAAAATTCTTGAAATAATGAAAAAGCAATGTCTTTTGTATTCTCTTGTATTTTATAATCATTTCAGAGCAAATACCTCAATCTATTTAATACTGCTTACTTTATGATTTGTAATTGTATGTATTCACCAATATAAAGCATATTACTGGTTTGCTACTTGTATTCTCTTTATCATGTATGATTTCTATTCAAGTATTTAAACAAAAAATAGATTTCTCTTTCTATTTATTTGCTCATAATGCTTATTAATTTTGTGACCATAACTATAGAAACACTAAGGTAATCCCTTTGAATTCTAGTGAGTGTTTTGTGGGTGTATTAACATCATTCTCTATAACAGCAATACAAGTCATTAAACAAATCTTCTCATGTGTCCTTCACCAAGCAATGGCATCTTATGGCAGAACTTCCCTTTTGAAGTTTAGGCATGATTTACATACAAAAAGTATACTGCCTTTAAAAAAAGTGGGGTAAGTGGGGGTAAAAAAAAAAGGCCCATATGATACATGTACTATTCTGTTTTCAAAGATACACAAAAATGAAGCACACTTAAGATCGATGTATTGTATTTTTTGCCATGGCTGTTTACCACATCATGTGAATGAAGGGCTTTATTAATTCATTCATGAAAAAAAATATTAATCATAGACATGGGGATTTGCTTGTCTACAGGAATCTCCCTGATTTTCATGAATCCAGTTAACATTCTTTTATTACTTTATATATGCTAGGTGATTTTTTTTTTTTAATAATTAAACATGGGGACACATCGAGAGCTTATGTATGATGGTGGTGACAATTTATTTAAATAACCTTTGTATATGATCTTTTATCTATCATGTCTCACTCTGTACTTCGATGTATGGCTCCATGCAGTTGTACTGGTTAACTTCATTTAACTTGCATTAAATAGTAAAAGGAAATGATACAAAGTGAGATTCTGTTGTGTATTTGTTTATGTTAGAACATGGAATGTGTGGTATATGTGGTCAAAGTGTGTGCTATAAAAATGATGGAAGAACCTGATGTGATATTATAAGGATTGGAAATCAGTCTTAATTTGAGTCAAAGATGCTGATACCTGAAAAGTATTTGTTTGGCTGATTTTCCACCTTTATACCATGTAAAGTGCCATGAAATCAATTGTATTAGATTACTATAAATATATATATGAACATATTACTATTACTAAAAAATGGCATCATATGAGTACCGGTATGGGTTACACGAATAGGCCCATTTGCGTAGGTTGACATTAACCTTGAAGATTGGACTTGTAGCCAGATCAAGTTGGCCATGGGATGCCGAACACTCCATACGTTTGTTTACCTTTTCATATCTATGGTGCCCCTCCATTGTTTAAATGAATATACAAATCAAACAATATGACTCGTAAGATGTAAATGACGTTTGGCAACCAGGCATGGTTAATGCTGCATCGCAAAATGAGCATTGTAGCATATCAATGCAAACATCCCACAATTTAAGTAAACATGTAGTAACACTAAAATGTGTCAATCTACAATTATCTATGGAAGCAGGGATTCCAGTTATCATAACCTGTATGTCTGTGTCAACTGACTGTCTGTTTAATAAGCATTATTTTAAAAGTTCAAGGACTAAGAAAAACTATTTGATTGATCCCTTCTGTGGTGTGGGTGGCACATACAATAATGTGAATATTGTACTATGTGATTTTTCTAAAAAAATATGTTCTTGAATTCATATTTTTATTGTCACAAAAGACATTTCATACTCTAACTTTTGGACGGTAATTTATTTAAAGGTTCCTAGATTTTAAGGCACTGCAGATTGTGATACTTTTGAAAGAATTGCAGTCTTACACAGATTCATTTTAATGTGCATATATAAATTATTTCAAGTACCAGTATTAACTATAAAAGGGGGGAACTTTGAACCAGTTTCAAAGCTTGTGCCTAAAACTTGCTATATACCCTTTACACTGTGTTGTAATGCAATATGGCAGGCCAGATTTCTCAGAATACACATGCATTTATATCCAAGGAATTGCATGGAAAACTGTAGTACTGGTAATGATGATGAATACCAGTCAAGTACCAGCCAATAATCTATCATTACAATTATTTAATATTCAACTCTTTCACACACTCCTACCAAAGTCACACTGACAAACATATTGATGATTGAAATTTTTTTAGCCATTAGGAGCTGTGCCACTTTTTGTTTGGTCTATTGTCAGTGTGCCTCTCATACCATCCAATCTAAATCGTTGACCACATTCTATAATCCATGTCCTCCTCGCTATATCACTATCTTTTCTCTCTCTGTTTTTGTGTCAATGTGCTTTGGTTTAATTCTTTGAGACACACAAAATTGAAGGAAAAAATGCTCAAGATTATTTCAAAGTTCCTGATGGCAGGTATATTCAAGTCATAAAAAAGATCACCATAACGGTATACTTTCTCTCTCCAAGAATAATGTTTAACTGTACATTATTACATAATCACACAAAGCATGACTGTACATGGCTTGCAATAAACATCAAAGGAATATAAATATAGTACAGCTTTACCATAACTTATAAACTTAATAATACGATGGCATGGAATATATGTCATATTATATGGATAAATGATACAAATCATTACTCAAATATTCCATTACCTAATGATAGGGAGATGTAGCAAAAATCTAGCAATGGACTCCTGTAATTATATGTAAGTATATGTTAAGCTTTTGTTGTCAGACACTAGTATGCATTCTACAGCATGTTCATCCAAATTAACAGCACACATGAAGCTGTAATCCTCTTAGAAACCTTTTGGCACCTAGGTGCATACACCCTCTATTGGTGGGTCATTACAATAAACATTTTAACTGTCTTTTCCATTCCATGCAGGATGTACATACACATAAGTCATATTGATAATGTGGACAGCATAGAACCAGTGATTCTTCAATTACTATGATGGCATTGTTTCTGTGCTACAAAAAGAAGCACATAACATAACGGCTTCCTCAGTATAAGATCCAGTATAAACTAGTAAAGGTACATACTAACTTTCATGTTTTTGTACATATCCAGCAACCGAAATGAACCAAGTATACCTAGGTAAACATAGAAATAGAACATCATATCTTTTTTTAAAAAGAGAGTATAAAAAGGTTGTCTCACAGATATGAACTCGTATCAGATTATAACCGACAAACAGAGAAATGCATGGTCAAGGAGCCACGATTAAAAGTAAGAAACAAGCATGCTACCTTTAACAAAGAACACAGTTTTTTTTTATTTGGACAAAACAAAGTTTGTGTATGCACTTGGCAAGTACCGGTTTGTAACAATATCCTGACAAAAGCCATAGGAGCAATTAATGGGGGTCTACCGGTATGAGCAATGCAATGTAAGTTACATAATAGGTGTTATGAAGCTTTTAGTATATAAATCAAATAAATTTATCAAAGATATAGGCTTTTGTTAAAGGTAATATGTCCCTTTTGCAGCCAACCTCCAATGCTGTAGAACTTTGCAGGAATTATGAATATGTCACGTATGTCCTATTTGTGAAATTTAAACGTCTGCAGTGTCCTCATATTCAAATTATGCAAGGAAACCGTTTACTTGCTAGACTTACTGTCAGACACTATTGAGTGACTGACTGGCTTTTTTTCTTCTTTGGTAATAACATACATGAAAAGAGTTGTAAAGCGTACATGAGCATTTGTCTGCATCAATAACCCACTTCTTGTGATGGCCAAGATTAAATTGATTGAATCTTTGCGCAGCATAAAACGTTTGACCATTCGGTACAATTGTCTAAAAATCAAGACTATTACTTTTGGGCTCTATAGCCCTAAAGTCAATTTGACAACTAATAGTCGTTATTTTCCCACTTGAAGACATTTTCAAGCCCCACCTTCTTTAGGGAAGTTCTAAATTAGTATTATCTTTCAAATGCAGTTGGAATTTAACTTTTTCATTTTTTTGGCCTGCAAATGGGACATAGTACCTTTAAGATTACAATAGTAAGTCACCGTTCCAAACTATCAGTTTGAACAACAAGGACAACATAACATAAATCAAAAGCAAAAATCAAAAGACTCCTGACCATAATAAATCAATGATCGTCTTTGTTTGTTGTTATCATTTCTACCTCATTTGATACACGTTCCATCTTTAACATATATCAGGCTGAATCAGTGCTAGATCTGCCTGAAGGGTAGAAAAGAGATTTCCTCATCACAGTTATAACTGGCCATTATGCAGCTCCAAATGGAATTTATTTAGCAACAGTCTAGTGGTTTTATGCCCATGTTTACCACTCTCGATTTCCAGTAGTAATTGAAATTCATTCCAAATCGTCTATTTCCTGAATTGTAGCCCCTGAACTCCTTGCTTCACTCAAAGCAGCAATTTTCTGTGAGAAGAAAACAAATAAAGAATGAAAATTAAATGTAGCTGCCATTAAATTAATGGTTCTACATAAAGTATTTGTGTTTGAATCTGAAAGGTGTGTGACAGTGTCAGTTTTGGAAGTAAACTAGAAATACCGCAATCTCCATTACTGCCCCATGCAAATGTATCCCCTGGCACTGGCAGCGATTTTCATGTCAACCTTATGTTTGAAGAAGGGACAAAGATCACCTCTCCCCTCCCTGAAACAAAAAGGATGACGTAGAGATTGCTACTAGTGGCCCGAACTGTTGTGAAGACTAGGGGCAGCATCACCAAAGCAATATGTGTGTAGATTAGAGTATAATGCATCTCTATAGAAAATTTTAAAGAAATCTGTCAAGAAATGTGGCATTTAGAGCGCATAATAGACAGCCACCAAAATATGACCTTTGACCCTATAACAGACGGAACGAACGTAGGTGGCAGCATCACCATAACTAAAGATGTGTACATTTTATTAAGACACACCTCCATACAACATTTGAAAGAAATCCGTCAAGAAATGTGGCAGTTAGAGTGAATAAAAGACATATGAACAATGAGGGCAGCATTGCCCAAAAGTGTAAATGTGTACATTGTACCAAGAACCACTTTATACACAATTTGAAAGAAATTCGTGGGGGGGGGGGGCACTAAAAAATATTTTAGAAAGAGAGAAAACAGAGGAAGGAAAAAAAGCAAAGTATAGACATCTTTGTCTATACAGGAAATAAGCTTGGTAGAGTAAACCATACCTTGCTTGTTTGAGGCAGTTTCTGAACCAGGAGTTGGAAGACTGGTGCAGGTAGAGTCTGATGAAGAACTTGTAATAACTGCTGAGGTTGGCCACATACAGCTACAGCATTACTCAGATGCTCAACTCCATTTTCAAAATCACCTACATGAAAGAATCAAAGGTAATCTCATAATGGTTTAAGATCTAGTACATAAGAATTCTGAAAAAGGTACATGACTAATGCAAAACTTCCCCTTTAAATAGTGTCCAATAGGATACACCAATCAAATCAATAAAACTGCCTGTGTTGTCATTATCAAATTAGGTATTTGCTATAACTTTTTCACTTATTGCCTAGGCTGTACACATGAATAAAGCACAGATTTTGTGAGTAACTTCTTTACATAATTTCCCTCACTGTCAGTAGCATATGGTGATTTTCAATAGCCCATTGTTCACAATCTGTATAATAGAATAAGCAAGTATTGTAATGTACTATGCTCTTGATCAGCACTTTCCCCATTTTATATTCTTCCTAATTCCAGATTGCCAATGGGGGGGGGGGGGGGAACTTGTAAGATCATGGTTGCACTATGCTTCCTGTCTTAGTGTCTTTGAGACTTCTTTGGGGGTTCATAAACACAAATAATTGGAAGAATGAAACTCTTTTCAAATTTTAACAATAGATGATGATAATGACAATGATAACACAACAACAACAACAAATATCATAAAAATCCAATGGAGTAGATGGAATCTTGATGGAATCTTGATATGACTCACTAACCTGATGCAAGTAACTCCTCTCCACGTTGTACCTGTTGTAAGAAGAACCTCTGAACAGCTTCAGCATCCTTCAGATCTGGAATCTAACAAACAAACAAATCTTTTGTAAGCTTGATTTCTTCTTAAATTCTATTTTAACATATAAAATATAGGTACAACATAAGAAAAAATGACATAACATAAAATACTTAATGATCATCAATCCCACAATGCCTTTTGAAGTTTCAGAATCTCAACATATTTAACTATCTTGTTCACCTTGCAAAACAGCTCATGGAATTCAAAGTGAGGTTTATTCAAAATAATTGCTATCAACCGTATATAATATACAGTATGCAGAATCTTAACATGGAGATGTGAGTTGGTCTGTATTTTGCCTAGAAACTGACTCGGCGGACCTTGGTTCAACACTGAGTCACGTCTACACATACACATAATAAACTGGATGGAATTTTGACTGCGCGCAGTCGAAAATGATGCCTCCGCCATAGAGCAATTTAAACAAGTTTGGAGTTTAAATCTCCAGTGGTTCTTGAGATATCATGATAACAATCTCAATGTATGGAATTTCATAAGTTGACCTCTGTGACCCTTGACCTTTGACCTACGTGCTCCAAAATCTAATCAGATTGTCTTCCTATGGTGATACACACTATCATTAAGTTTGAAGTTTAAATCTCCAGTGGTTCTTGAGATATTATGATATGGTGATACATACTATCATTAAGTTTGAAGTGAAAATTCTCCAGTGGTTCTTGAGATATCGCGATAACGATCTCAATGTATGGAATTTCATAAGTTGACCTCTGTGACCCTTGACCTTTGACCTACGTGCTCCAAAATCTAATCAGATTGTCTTCCTATGGTGATACACACTATCATTAAGTTTGAAGTTTAAATCTCCAGTGGTTCTTGAGATATTATGATAACAATCTCAATGTATGGAATTTCATAAGTTGACCTCTGTGACCCTTGACCTTTGACCTACGTGCTCCAAAATCTAATCAGATCGTCTTCCTATGGTGATACATACTATCCTTAAGTTTGAAGTTTTTACATCTCCAGTGGTTCTTGAGATATCATGATAACAATCTCAATGTATGGAATTTCATAAGTTGACCTCTATGACCCTTGACCTTTGACCTACGTGCTCCAAAATGTAATCAGATTGTTTTCCTATAGTGATACATACTATCCTTAAGTTTGAAGTTTAAATCTCAAATGGTTCTTGAGATATTGTGATAACGGTCAAACGGGACGGACGTACGGACGGACAACCCGAAAACATGATGCCTCCGGCACCACCTTCGGTGGCGGAGGCATAAAAAAGGGATCCATGCCCTGCTGAAGGAGATAAAAGAAGGGGGGGGGGAAAGAAAGTGAAAAATATTGAGAAAAAAAAAAAAATTAAACACCTCCCCCAATAAGAAAAAAAAGTTGCCAACCCTTTAGCAACAAAGGAATAGGAATTCAATCAAGAACACAATCAGTCTAATCAGCAAGAATTAAACTTCCACAAAACAACAACCCTTATTGCAAATCAAGTAAGCAGCATACAGATATAGTACCTCTAGTTTTTGTCCTCCTCCTGAACTTCCACTACCTGGCTTTGAACATGTCTCCCCTCTTAACTTTCTTCCTGCAAAAGAAAATACCAAATTCATGTATATATGATATATATTATTTTTCAATACTACAACTTATCAGCTATTTAGACAATAAATCCTGTAAGAGAGATCATTCTACATTTCTACAGCAAATGCCCAACATGAGCAAAGGTTCACGAGCATGGTTCTTTAAAAAAATTATAACTGGTCTTCGGATCCAGGGATAGTAAATTTTTATACAGTCAATATTTATTATAATTTTAAAACAGAACTGTCTCAAAAATAATTTAATTTCATTTCATTTTTCACTTCATTTCACTGACACTTGTGAACTAGGGCCAATAGGCAATATGGCATACCCCCAAACACGGTTAGAAAAAACGCCTCCAAATGAGCTTCAGAGTTGACTTTGGACCTATAAGATCAAAGCTGCATATTCAGAGATTTTCATGGTCGCAGCTATACCATGGAATGGCCTTGTGCGCTATTTGAAATATTTGAATATTTGAATATTTGAAATTTGGCGGGAGCACCAGTAAATTTTTATTATTCAATTTTTGTTCGAAAGCAGAAGTGTTGGCTGTGATTGTCGGCAGTTCAAAAACGTCGCTTAAATCATCTTCCCAAGGTCATGCAAGATTTTTGCTGGCTCAATGTTATTTGCAGTTTAATAGTAATAAAAATGGCAATCCTTTTGACCACTGCCTCCATGTTGAATGATCAGATGTACAGATCAATAAGAGATCATTGCTGGAGACAATGTTCATGTATAAGTGGCCATCTTGGAAGTGCTTTATTCTGGTATTCCTCCGCCAATCACAGCCTCATTACGCACATCAATGAACTATTGGTGTTGTTAATATAGTACCACAACAAACATCAGATTTTTAGTATTCAAATTGGAGGAATACTAATAATCAAAGACTCAATTCTACTAGTATTCAAACCAACTGGTTTTGAATACTAGTATTTTCATGGAAAACGTTTGTACATTCAGAATACTAATAATCGAAGACTAAAATTCCTTTGTATGGATTTCAGTATTCAAACCACAACAATTTGAATACTTAAATTGATTTTAGTGGTTATGACAATCAGATCTTTAGTATTCAATTTGGAGGAATACTTATAATCAAAGACTCAATTCTACTAGTATTCAAACCAACCAGTTTTGAATACTAGTACACTCAGAATACTAATAATCGAAGACTAAAATTCCTTTAAATGGATTTAGTATTCGAAGCACAACAATTTGAATACTTAAATTGATTTTAGTGGTTCTGACAATAAGATTTTTAGTACTCAACTTGGAGGAATACATGCAACCACTAAAATACCACTTATTTTGTATTCTGAATATTAAGCGAATATATTCAGAAGACTTATTTTGTATTCCTGTTTGGTAATGGAGGGGCTATATTACTTAGATCTAGATCTAGAGTCTATACAGTTACAGAGACGCCAAGTTCAAAGATCAGCAATGCATGACATTTTCACGATTTGTAGCGCGATTGCTCGTGCGAGGGTAGTTTTTTCAAAATCTAGCGCGCGCGTCGTGCATAAGAGCATTTTCAGGCCCTCGAAATGCGTGATGTCACGCCTAATGCGTGATACTTGGTAGCTCTGCAGTTGTAGTCTACCTCCACATGGGCATCCAAATTATATTAAACAATTCAAGAATTACTAGTCTCCAATTTTTAACATTTCCCCAAAGGGCCATTCCATGAGAAGAAGGACATGACATCAAAAAAAGAAATGTACCTCTTATGTTAATTCTTTGATTTATCACTAACCTTATGCCATGGATGTTCATAAAACATTAGGGCCTTTCAAATTCAATACAATTTTTTTTTCATTTTTGTTGATTTCCTAAGATCTCAAACTATCATCAAAAACGTACATGTGGGACTGTAGCTGAAAAAAAAACAATTTATTGCAGATTACACAGGATTCTTGTAATATTTTTTCCTGAAAATTTTGCTAAATGGAAAAAGATGAATATATTTCCATATTCTAAGGGGTCCTGTGATATTTAATCTATTACATAGGGGTGAAAATGGCCTCCGGACAAAATGTAACGCGAGTTACCGTAACGTGAGTTACCGACATATTTGCTTCCTGCATTTTACTAGTCCATTGTTTCTTATCTTTAATATTGTGATCTTATACTAGTAAGTCACAACCTACTATCAAATTAAAGTAGGAAAGATTTTGTCAAGATAGTCTAGTATGAGGAGAAAAGAGGGTCTCGTAGAATTGACCATGTCCTTTTTTTGTAACGCGAGTTACCGAAATTCAATAATCCAAGAATCTAAAAATGTTTGTTCTTCAATTTTCTTTTTTGTTTCATTCAGTTGTTCTATATCTACCCTGTCCATGTTTGAAAAAAGTATCTTGTAGATCCTAGCAGTTCTAAAGATATAGGCACATTATCGTGTCAATGTACCCATTAAGTGTAACGCGAGTTACCATGGAATGGCCCCAAACTTTCCTTGTCCTTAACTAGATCTAGGCTAAGCACATAGAACTTTAACTCCAGGAAGCTCCAACACCTGCGGCGCTGGTGTTGGAGCTTTAACTTAAGCTTACGCTAACTTTATAGATCTAAGCGCCTGCGCAAAACGTTCATAAGATATTTGTGCAATGAGCAAGCTTGCTATTTTCTGTTTTTTTTTATACCAAAATGATATTTCAGTCAAACCCTCTAGATCTAGACTATGTTATATGAGTTTCTGCCCTAATTTGTTCAAACTTCCAGAACATCCTAACAGTAACAGTTAGATCTAGATCTAGACCTAGTCTAGATCTACTAGGCTACTAACGAATCTAAGATGTTAGTTCTGGAAGTTTGAACAAATTTGGGCAGAAACTGTCTAGAGTCTAGGCCTAACATTACAGTTAGACCCCTACCCTATTTCACAATAATGCCATTAAGATGCCATCAAAGTGTCAAACGCCTAAAATCAACCCACAATCATGGAAATAAATGAATAGCTACACTACTAGTCACTGGTATGTATGACCGGAATCAACGGCCAAATTACATGACTGACCAGAAACACCATCACATATCATCTCCATACCACACGTGGAAATATATTTTTTATCTCACGGATCCACTTACGTTCTTTAAGTTTTTGACGGAACAATGGGTCACTCCTTCTCTTCCTATCGAAATAAATACAGTACCCAATAAATAGAGTACCGGCTACACCAGCCACAACACCTGCAGTAGTTCTAGATATTATTTGAAACATATTTTTACTTGTCCTTCAGCTTGTTTTTGGACAATTTTCAGGCCGACGAAATTCGCGAAATGACCTACAAGGTACACACTGCGCATGCGTGGCAACCCTTGGGGTCATAGCAACATTGTAAACGAAGTCGGTGAATCAGCAATCCTTTTGCCACATTTTGGTGTTACAAAACTGTTAATCATTTGAAAATGGTTTAAACTATCTCAGAACTGATGAAAGGATATATTCTTCGAACAATTTTGTGTTTTCTGGTAAGAGAATTTTTCAAATTTGTAAGTATTGCCTCTAAAACTCTCTAAAATCCATCTCGACATGATTTACTCATCGCTCGCGCTCGCTTGTTGCAGACAGTACTGCACTGCACTGCGCTGCACTGCACTGTGCAGCTAGTGGCTGGCCTGGCAGTCAGTGATGGATGATGAGATCTGAGACTTTAGTTTTATAAGCTATGTCTAAACGAGTATGAAACTATAATGGGGAAACCGTGCATAAGCAATGTACTTTGTTTTCAAAGAAGTAACAGTTAACCGTCTGACTATTGTGCCCAAGTCCAAGAAATATAAAAAGGGCCGCGGGCGCTGGTCGGAGAATGATGATCGTTCGCATAAAGATGAGGATATCCTCGCAAGCACGGACAAAGAATTAGGATGAAATAAGGTTCCCGACCCGTGCGCTGGCAATGCAAAAAAAGAATTCTGCATCAATTAATTCCCCCTGTTCACCGGCCGTCTACTTTTGCCCGTCTTCCCGAGGATTTGTTGTTCATAACATAAAGTCTCTGTAGACCTCTAACTTAGGTACAAAGTAGTCTAGATGTGAAATGCATCAAGGAGCATCATCCCAGAATCTGTTTTTTTGCATCGCCAACGCGCGGAGTGGAAATAAGAATCGTCCGAGAAAATGCGGACGATCCTTATTTTTTAGGACCTGTCTGTCCACGTTTAAGAAGACGATCCTCGTTTATGCGGACGCTCTTTATTCTCGGACCAGCGCCCCTACTGTAGACTAGTCATAATAATGATGTAATGTATGCGCAAGAGCGCACCTAGTTTCACTAGCAATTATTGCCAGTGAGCCTCTGTAAGGCAGTACTCCAGCCCGAGTCCAGGCCAGTTGCACTAAAGCCTAGTATTAGTAAAGGCTGTAACTATAATATAATTATAATGTGACTGTCAGTAATATTTATCATAAAAATATTCAAAAAGGTGGATTCAAATTATCCATGTTTGCCACATAATCATGTACAAGAATGGTTTCATCTCAGTTGCCATGGTAATTATTTCTCCTATTTTTATAGCTACTCTCATGAAGTTTCCCTGCTGTTTGGTATATGATATGCAAGTAGAATGAGCTCCATACATCACAGTGACTTGGTAGAGGTTGGAGAAGATGGAGCAATCATCAGAATACAAGATTTACTTGACGGCTGGGAACACATTGTTTATGCTCAGCATAATGGATCACCACTTTCCAACAGTCATCCAGCATTCAGGGTTAAAATTGTGCAATTAGGTAAGTGTAAGAACTGAACAATAAGTATAAGAGAAATAAAGATTTGCTTGATGTAGTGTCAGTAATAGAAGAACAATTAGATCATGCATCCACTAGATCATAGAGTTTGCTTGTAGATTTTATTTAGTTGAAAAGTATAATCTTTCATGAAAAATCTGTGAGGGAGAAGACATCAAGTAAATGCCCCCTTTTTCAGAATTTAATGTGTATTATAAAGGAGAATATATACTTTGATCACATGAATCAGCTTCCTAGTGAAAGGGAAAAAAACCTTTGTCTGTAGATAATGGGATTGTGAAATGGAGTAAAAAAGAATGTTGTCCATTGCTTTATAATCACTTGTTCTCATTCCAGGCAAAGATGCATCAATTGGAATAGGAATTAGTTCCAGTCCAATTGTTCAAGAGATAAATAATGATGAAGAAGAACAGAAATCATCAGACAGATCTCGGGATGCTCTCATGTTCCATAGTGATAATGGAGCTGTATCAACACCTAATCACGAGAGAAGAAGAAACGAATCCTCTAGCTTTGGTGAAGGTAAGCCATTCATGTTATTGTTATTGTTTAATTTCCTTTATCAATGTTATATAAGAGTGACATATATGAATGAAGTCAGATATGTACAAATGATTTTCATTCAAATTGATTGTATGAGTTTTACTATCAATGACATACAGTACATGCTAATAAAAACCCTCAAGAGTCTTTTCAAATTACAAAGTAAAGTCAATATTATAGGCATATCAAAGTTATAACACTATGACCTTGTTTGATGCTAAATTCATGTCTTTCAGTAACGTATCTGTTTGTCTTATTTTCTTGTTTACAGGGGACGTGATAACACTTGTCATAGAACAACTCACTGCATATAAATCATTAGTTTGTGTTTGGAAGAATGATAAGATCCAGTGTCGGCAGTGGGTTACAATACGAGCCGAGAACCTCTATCCTACAATCAATGCCTGGTGGGGCCCAGCAGAGCTACAGGTGGAGTGGCTTAGTTCAACTGTACCTCAGTTATCCATGGTAAGAAATGGCTTCAAGGTGTTTGTCCCACAGCTATGTGTATACACTCCTCATCATTTAAATATGTTAGTTGGGGGAAACATTCAGTCAAACCAACCACATACAATCAGTCTACAGTGTATTAACTTAAGGCGTTCTTGAATGTTTTGGTGAAATTATGTGAAATAAAAAATGTGCATTTTATATTATACAACTTATACAAATAATGAATGGTTATGAGTTCAATAAACGAGGCGTCAGCCGAGTTGAATAGAATTAACATTAATCTTTCAATGAATGAAAATATTGACACTATTGAACGATTGAAAAACATACATTATTTGTTTTATACAACATTGAAGAATCATGCTTTGCTCCTTATATTAAAGATAAATTAAAGTTGTAGTCGAGCCTTCTCGATTACATTCAGATTGCCTTCGCGTCAGATACACGCAGGGATACGTAGGGATACGCAGTCGCTGCATATAACCAAAAATGCACGCCTGTGCAATATAACATCTATTGAATATCATGTGACCAACAATCCTCCAATCAAATGACAAGGATCCACGTGGGTGTTGTATAATATCAGTTATTCTGAGGACCCGTAAAACTTTTGAAAATAATCATTAGATATTCTCAATATTGTATATGATTATGATAAATGATTAAGAAAAAAGATTGAGCTAGGAGAATTCTGTTACAGTATGTAACTTAATAGAGAATCAGAAAGAAAATGTTTGCATTGTGGAAAGGGTACCTTTTCTAAAATTATAGAAACCGAAGAGAAACCATTTAGCTACATAATTGTAAGTACTAAGACACCTGTCAGATATGACTCAGTAAATATGATGATATTGTATTTATCTTTTCTAGACTAACCTGAATCAATGGATGTCATCTAGTAACATGAAGGTAGAGGGTGATAAACTCAGTGTCTCTGATGATAAGAAGGGAATCATCCAGTCACCATGTGCATTCCAAGAGGGTAAGTTTAGCTCTCCTCCTGATGGCTTTTTGGCCTACAAATTCATTATACATGTATGTCAAATAGGTCAAAAAGCTACTTACTAACAGGGCTAAAATCAAATTCAGGGTTCCATCAAGGAAGTGAAATGCATACCGGTATATTTTTTTGGTTAATTTTTTCAAAGTAACACACGATATTGCTTGTATAGTCTGCTTGTTGAATAGATTGTACATTAAATTGACATTAATGTTTATTCCTAAAAATGTTTTCATTTTCAGGTTCTAGTATGTATTTTGAGACGAGCCTAGAGTCAATGGGTGAATGTGAAGCAGATGAGGAGCAAGAAGGTCCGCTGATAGGACTGACGTCATCAACCTGGTCAGGACATGAAGGGTTACCTGGAAAATCAGAGTATTCAATTGCTTATGATACAGCTAAGGGAAAGATACTCAATGGTGGACATGCTTCAAAAGGTATATTTCACACCAGATATTAATTCAAGTAGACCAATTAAATTTGAACTGGTTTTGTACGAGTAGTTGAATTATATCTTGTCCAGTTGAAATTGAATTGGTCCTGCTTAATTTTGTCCAGTTACAGTGTACCAGTTGAAAGCTTACTTTTTACTAATGACGTTTGTTTAATGTCATTTGTAGTTTCTATAAAAATAGATAATTTTCATAGAAGATTGCTTTCTTCGTTCTTTTTATGGTAGTTGTGAATTAACCAATAATGATATTCATAAAAACATGGTAATTAATTTAGCTGAGTTAATATGTATAGGGCAGATAATCAAAAGGTTCACCCAGGTTTTTTATTCTTGAGTAACTGTACTCTACAATTGACTGCTCATTTAGTGGTTTGATATTTCTAAACAATGAAAAAAGTATCAGAAGAACTAGACCTCAAGAATGAAACGCCACACTGCATATGCTGTACTGTTAAATTTGATGTTGTGATGTTTCGTTAACAGGGAAGAACCTAGGCGAGACTGGGAAGTGTAAAGCAGGAGATAGGATCGGGTGTGGTCTTCTCCTTTTTGAAGCAGATAAAGCTACGACAGCTACCCAGATGGTGGTAGTGTACTTCACCAGGAATCAATCTGTTGTACATCATTGTAATGTTACACAGTCTACAGGAGGTTTCTACCCTACATGTGCATTTGTCAGTAAAGGTGAGTCAAAAGGATTCCAGTGAAAATTACAGTTTTTTAAAAATACCAAATGCTATATCCATTTGGATGTTAGAGTTATCATATTGACAGCACTTGAATATCAGTAGTGAAAAATAACTTTTAGAATTGCTCTATGTTCCTGTAAGATCATTCGATTGTTGCTACTGCTATCATTTGAATTTAATTTTTCTACCACAACTGTGTTGAAAAGATCTTTTTGGTTTCCCTATTTAGATGCCCTGTATTCTTACCACATGTCTAAAGTTAAAGCAAAATGTTGTTTTTATTCTTTTTAATGCAAATTTGAGATTTGCAAATTATGCTCTTGCTGTCACATACATACCTACATGTTATTACCTTATATACTAAGTCAAATTGTTTGTTTTCTTAGGTTCCAGTGTTAGATTGAACATGACTGCTTCTGTACCAGCGCTTCCAGACAAGACAGATTGGTTAGCGAAAGCAAAGAGAGCACTAGATTTCCCTGGACTGGGAAGTTTTGAGGGTAAGCTAATTTCTATCTAACATGTATAGCCCAGAACCTACAACATGAGAAAATAATTACCAGAAAGATTAGTGCCTGTTATCAATGTATCGTTGATATTGTTATTGATCAACGTACTCACTCAAAGACAAGATACAATGATTTTTTTTTTCTTCACCAAAAATTTATTTGTCAAAATATGCAATTTAAGTAGCTAATTGCTCACTCAAGCATAGCATATTTTTTGTTTAAATGTCATTTGATCAAACAGACATTGAGCTATCCACAGAAGTGTAAATTATCTGAAATATTTGGAAATATTTTTGGGGTGAGACTTTTTAAAAATCTTAACCTTCTTTGAGATATAATATATATTGACCCACACAATTATAAATACATACAGTCTGATCAATGTAAAGTAAAAGTACATGTATGTCAGGCGTTCAGACAGTCAGTCATGGCATCAATCATTAGAAGTTGGGTATTTCATGTTTTTTTCTTTCCTGACCAATCAATCTGCAGCTTCCGTTGAAAGGGATGAGAATAGAAAGCATGAAGAAGGAGTTACCCAGGGTTACTTCCGTTTCTCTGAAGCTGTTGGTTGCCCAACGAGTGATGTTATCAAACCCCACTCTGAACTCAATGATGGAAAGCTGCTACAGCTACTCAAGACAATCACACCTTCAGAACCTTACTTCACTATCAAGATAGAAGAACTAGGTAAGTGAAAGTAGTTCTTCCACTTGACTTCAAGCACATTATTGTGAATAAGAATTGTGACCCTGTTAGGCTGTACCTACATGCTCATATTCAAAGCACTTTTATCTCTATTTGCCTTCTGTTGAGCCAGATGTAATTATTGAGTACCTAATAATTAAGAAGACAGTTTAATCATGTTTGTAGTGCTATGTCTGGCAGATGAGCTTAAACCTATTGTTTTATGAAAGAAAAGGTAAGGTTCTGTCAGGGAGATATATTGCATTATGACCATTCTTTCAGATTTGTTTTCACCACTTTATAAACATATGTTGTGTTTTGCTTGTCTAGATAACAAATTCATGTGAAACTCGGACCTTACTTCCTGATTTTGTTCTAGTGCTGACATAAAACAGCAAATAGGAATTTAGTGCATGTCTTGACTAAGCCTTGATATGATTGTACCTTTGATTACTATTTGTTTAGATGATGGCAATAAAGTTTGTGTAGGAGTTAGCAGAGGAGGACAGAGTTGTGGGAGTATACCTGGTTCTCTCATAGACTCGGCAGGTTATGCTTCTCAAGGTGAAATACTCATGGGCAGTGATGGACACTTTACAGCTGAAAAATTCAAGAAAGGTTTGTAGTTCCTTCTTAGAATACAAGAAAATCCTCTTTCACATTCTAATTAACCGAGTTTCACTTAAAATGAAAATCATGTTTTTGTCTTGTGTTTTAGTTTTTAATGTCTGTCAAGCCACTGATCATACAATCTATAAAACCAGAACTTGCAAGATATTATTTTTAGTCATGACGAGGAAGAACTGTCAACTTCTTCTCCTTACTATTCTTTTATCATTTGTCAAGATTGACGAAGTCTATTTAACATTACCGGTACAGGGATTTAACAAAAAAACGCTTCAATTAGTAATTTGTAATCACATTTCTCGTTCTCGTTGTAGGTGATGTGATTGGTGTGAATGTGCAGTTCCTGGACCTGACTAAAGTTGTTCAGTTCATCAAGAATGGAAGCTTGATGGGTCAGAGCATTATCAAGGGAAGCAACAAGGATATCTATCCTAGTCTAGGATTTCGAGGTCTACCAGCAACTGTACATGTGACGTGGCCATCCGCACGACCTGACCCACCACCTACCTTCTCAAAGGTCAGTACTTAGGGGTCATATTGGAAAATTTTAAAGGTAATTGACCCTTCATAGAAAGTTGACAGTCATGATAAGTGATGATATTTATGGAGAACACCCCTTCCTGTTTTGTAGTCAAATCACTTACTTCTATCACTTTTCTTAATTCTAATTGTGGAACAGATATTGTTATTATTGGGAGACATGTACAAATGCATTACCCATAATGTATCACATACAAAAAGTCTGTTTGACCATTAGAATTGAAAATGGGGTTATCGTACCAATAATACAATGCTTGTATTGACACTGCTGCTGTGTTTGTGTGCACTTGGGAAAAGAACAAGATAAGAGAAAACCGGTGTATTAATGTTAACAGTTTTGTAAACCACATAAAAGAGTCCTGAATGTGAAATTTTAATATATGACTTTTTAATCTTTTTTTGCAGGACAACTTTGAGAACTGGCTGAAAAGTCCTGGCATCTTGATGAATGGAAGTAGACTGTGCTGTGAGAAGAAAACTCGGGAGCTTAAAAGCAGCATACTTGTTTCACCTCAACCACTGTGTCATGGTATGTCAATCATTGAGTATTTCCAATTAAAACAAATATGTCATGTCCAAAATCTTGTGGAAAATTATGTTTGAAGTTGGAAGTATTTGTTTTTTTAAGCACTGCTTTGTGATTTTATGAATGCCTGAAAATGTTGTGGAAAAGAAGACAGATATCATTTTGTTTGGGTTTTTGGTTTTTGACAGCATGGAGTTACTATGAAGTACAGATAAACTGCAAGAAGCTTTCTACTGACTCTCAGAAGGTATTAAAGGCTCCTTCCATTGGACTGACTAACTGCATGAGACCCTCCAAGTACAAACATATCATCAATAACAAAGAAGCAAGAGATACCCGCTACTACTGTCACACCAACTCCATTGGCTACATGGACTACCTCAAACATGAAAGTAAGTTGAAAGGCTTGTGTATCCAATGTTATTGGGCATGGCCAAGGTTTTTGGTCATTTCCATAAACGGCCAAGTATCATTGAAGCATAATTAAAAATACCAGTTTCCTTGATATTTGGTCTTATCCAAGCAGTAAAATGGGGCTGTAGTCATAACGTATGGGACATGATACCATGGACTTTGTCTCTTTATACCGTAAATCTCCGTGTATAAGGCACACTTTTTTGCCGCCGAAAAAATTTGAAAGTCGGGGGTGCGTCTTATACACAGGTACAGAAAAAAAAAGTTTTTTTTTTTTTTTTTTTTTAGTTTCGATTTATGGCGCTATGCCTGGCAATGTCGCATATGTTTTCTATGTTTTCTATAACAAATGGTGTACCACAAGGTTCTATCCTAGGTACTCCATTATTAGAAAGATAGAGGATGCTATTCATATCATGCATGACTATTGATGTTTGGCATAGAACACAGTGCTTCTGCTAGGTGATGTGAAGAGGCTGGTGTGGGACACTTGGTATCATGAAGCCTTAGACTGTTGTTACTATTACTTGTGACAAGTTCACAACTTCTACTGTACCTCGATGTAAAATGAAGGTCCTTCCCCGCATGGGTTTTCGGCAACAAAACAACAACAACAACAAAACAAAAAACGATTTTTTTTTTTTTTTTTTTTTTTTTTTTTTTTTTTTGCCCCCAAAATAGGGGTGCGCCTTATACACAGGTGCGCCTTATACACGGAGATTTACGGTTAGTGAATCCCCCATTAATCAGAGCCATGGGAGAAGTCTTACATATTTTGATAAACTTTTAAAGCCACACTGCACTACTTGTAGCTACTTGCTCCCTCTATATAGAAAACAATGCCTAATCGGTGACTATATTGGTCTCCCATTATCCTCTTTTTCTTATGTTAATTGAGAGCTGAGTTGATGAGTTAACCACCTGTCCGGTGATCTTGCAAGGTGGTCTAATCCCTCCTATAATCTAGTACAGATAAGCTTTAAAGAGTTAAAATATGGAAATTGAGAATGGGAATCTTTGTCCTCCTCTCCCCCTATTCAGTGCTCCCAGTGAAGAGATTCATAGCAAGTGGTGACCGGATTGGTTGGGGCTTGATGTACCCAGCCTCTTCTAAGAACATTCCTAGTGATCTAACCAGACAGATTGTTATTGTGTATTGCTGCATCAATGGAGAGATCGTCTATCACAAACCTATGGAGCAACCCGGTGGTGGTCTCTATCCAGTTGTAACCCTCTACAGATATGGTGAGTAGCATCTAGCAGGGATGCAGACAGAGTAGTTTCTTTGATAAAACATTCTCAAGCAGACCTGTGTGGGTCCATCAATTAAACCTTACTGTAAAGTAATCAAGACTCAACAACCAAGAAGTTACTTGTCAGAAATCTTGAGTCTGACTGAATACTGGCAGGCTATTGAAAGAGATTTATGATTCGTTCATTTTAAAGGACCATCTGGCTTTGTCTTACAGTGTTTTAACAAGATCATATGATGTAGAGCTCAAATCTTTGAAGTAAACAGTTTGTGCTACATCTACACCAATTCTACATTGCATTACATCAGATAAGCAAGTCAGATTGAACCCCGTAGAGAGAAGATTTATAACATGTATTTCTCATTTCTTGGTGTTTGTAGGGGAAGAAGCTTCCTTGCTGATCGACCAGACTCCACCTCGATTCCCTGACATGTTGAGTTGGTATGAAGAAGCCGACGCCTTCAAGATGGAGGTTGATAAACAACGTAAAGCTGCCGGTGAGTTTACCATCTAAATGCTCATGTCTTGCATGTCCTATCAGCTTGATTACAGTTTTCATCGATGATGTCATCAAAGATGTCAGTTAAACTTCCATGCAATGTCATTTATTCGCCATTCAACAACTATGGTGGTAAATGGTACCCGGTAGGATGCGACCGTCATTGTTGGTCAAACAGTTTGAGGGTCAAGTAACGCCTGGCTGGAATGCTCCCCAGGGAGTGGAGATTGTGCACACATTGTGTGCGGGCAAGTATTGCATCCAATTACTGGGGTAATTATATATCTGTAAAGTGCTTAGAGACATCATAGATGTATTAAGCACTATATAGAAAGCAGAATTATTATTATTAAGTTATCAAATGAAATCTTTCTATTTTTACTAACAATTAAAACATTCTTAGCAAGTTCTTTCCCCTGCCTTACACTTTACTTCCTCTCATGAATGCACAGATTTGTCCTCCTCTTTGAATTAGTTTAGAGAATTACATCATACGGTTTGTTCCAAAATGCCTTCCTTATCAAGTCGTCACATATTTAGGGTCCATATTTTATGGTGTATGTGATGAAATGTTTCAGAACAATTTTTTTATTAAAAGCTGTGTGTGTATGTATGTACGGGACGGTTTCCCGTCATGACGTTTGTCATATTTTATCAAAGATAGGAGTACTTGTACTGGTTGCAGTTTGGTTTTATATAAGGTTTAGAGCTAGAGTCATGGTTAGGGTTAGGTACTATAGTTTTAGGTTCATGCAGGGTAGAAGTTAAGGATATGGGTCATTTTTTCTAAAAAAAACATTTTAATATATTGTGTTGACTAGAATCAGTAACATATTATGAAGGTTAATAGTATTTTAGTTACAACATCAAGGTTATAAAACATCAAATGTAGTCAGTGACACAAGGTGTATTATTTTGTGTTTTACATTCACAGAATTTGTGCTATATCTTCCATACCTCATGCGCACTATCTTGCCCTCAAAACAAAAGTTTCGCCGAGGTACGTTGAAACCAATCAATGGAAGGCCAAATGATAGGATTGGGTTCTGCAAGAAGCTTTATTCAAGTCCAAACTGAAAGTTGTGAAAAATTGGGATATAAATCTTTCAAAGAGGATTAACCTCTCTTCTTCATTACTCTAATCAAGCTCTCACTAACTGCATGTTCTTTTGTGGGAAAAAAGGAAATAAATTGCTGATTTTGAAGATGGATTCTGGAATCTAGTTTATGATTGATTAATGAAATTAATGGATTTAAATGTAATTTTCAATAGATAAATGACTGTAAGGTTATTTCTGTTTTTAAAGGGCATTTGTATATGAGGATAAGTGTAAACCGTATAAAATAATCACAGTTGATCAAAAAGTACATAGGCATGTAGATAGTAGAAGCCAGTCCTTTCATTTGACTTTCTAAACAATTCACTAATCATGTTAGATATTTTATTATATTTAATCTTTATTGGTTTGATCTTAGATATAGACAAGTTTAATATGGACTATTCAATTAAAAGTTTTTCTTTGTCAAATCAATTCTTCTGTTTTACTCACATTTCCTACGTACGGTACTCAATTAAATTTGTGTACCATAGAATTTCTCTCAATAAAACACCTTTTTCCGTCTTTTTCCCCACTAATTTATCTCATGAATAAAGGCCTAGTGTGTTACAGTATGGATGTATTCTATATAAGGACATATTAAATGTAATTTTTTTTCCAGGAAGTTTGAACATTATTCCAGTGATGTATGTGTACACCAAAAGTATTTGCACATTTGTGATATTATTATCATTAAGGTTAGTAAGGTGAAATAGATTTTCATTGAACTTACAAAAAGAATATTGAAGCAGCATACTTTAAAGGTGGTTCTGAATTTTTTTTTTAAAGTGGCAAATTCAATGTCTTCAGTTATGCAGGACATGATTACTTTGAGAATAAGTAAAAAAGCTTCTCTAAGGCCTTTAAGAATTTATCTTTTTCAAATAATTCCAAAGAACTTTCTGCCCTATGATACATCAAATGTACATGTATTTTTTAAAATTTGTTTACAGGTCAGTACAAGCAGACATCAGCTGATAGACGAGCTAGACCTGCAACTCCATGTAAGCGACCTGACAATCATCTGAAGAGAAACACTGTCTATATTCACTGTGATTCAGAGAGATACAATGAAGCTACTCATATACAAGCCAGGTATGTAGTATCCTCTCATCATCAATCATCCAAACAATCCAGCTATCCATGACAGTGTTTCACTTAGATCGGTTTAAATTGGTATTGTATTATCAATGTTATTTCATAGCTAGTTAATTGTGTTCTTGTTTATATTTGCAGAGCAGTTAGCCTTTTTGACGCACCAGATAAAACATGTTTCTTCCTTTCAGTATACTCAGTGCTTGAAGAGGGTCCTAATTTGTGATTGGCCATGGCATTGCATAGCCTTGACACGATTTGGAAATGTCCTCATGACTTCAAAGATTTACATAGATTTGGTTATTTATTACTCCGATATAGTGCCTTAGTTCACATAAATATGCTTTACTTGTTTCATTCCAATTTCTCTTATTTTTTAGTCATAAATTTGTCAACATCTGTTACTCTTTGTGGAAAAAAAAAGATTTCACTATTGTTTGAACAACATTTGTATGAATTTGATGCACAGAGAGTAAAAATAATTTAGGCATTTCTGTTTGATTTCTTGTTATTTGTCTTGTACAGACTAGACACAAAGGGGCTTGTAACAAGACTCCTTCCTGAAGACAAGCTCAACAGCTCTGACATCACCAGTCTGATCGACGATCACGTCTCCTCCTGCACGTCGGTGGTCTGCTGTATGGGTCCAGAGATAAGTCAGACCAAACACATGGGCAAAGTCCTGGACCTAGCCCAGAAGAGATCCAAACCAGTGTTACCCTTCATACTGGAATCAGTCAAATGGCCTCCAGAGGGCAGCCTTCAAAAGGAGTGGCAGAAACTTGTCATGCATAAGATTGGTGAGTCATTTGAGGATTGGACATTGTGGCTCAATTTCGAGCATAGACAGTATCAAGTGATGGCCTCAATTTGGCAAAATTTTCAGATATTTTGAAACATTCATCAGATATCATGGTCAAAATATCAGGCACATTTTTTCCTCTAAATAATATAAGAATATTTTTGTCTTTCTATTTATTCACTGCTATTCTTTGATTTTATAGTTCCAATCTCTTTAGTCTAGTTATTTTCAACAAGCTTCATTCAAATTTTCCTTTTTGTTTCATGCACTAAACTTTACCTTAAGCCTACATGTAATTCAAACACAATTTCATTTGATTATTTTTACAGAGACGAGCGGAGACTTTGACTGGGCCATAGAACAGATTGAAGAGAAGACATTGAATCTCAAGGACAAAGGCTACAATGGTAAAGAGATCCGGGTTGTTGAAGGAAAGGGAGCCAAGATGCTCTATTCAGATGCTCAGGTGAGAAGCTTTAACATGACCTTTCTCTGACATATCAACAAATATTATTGTTGCTGAATTTTGCATAAAGATGTATTGACTTGGTGGGAAGCACATTCAATGGTTTCAAGCATAGTGATCATCAATCAGTTGGTGTATGGATACAAAATGTACCTGTTTTCTATGTTCTCTTGGTTGATATTAGTTTAATCATGCATATTTTGTATGGTTGAGGATGCATAAAACCCTACAGAAATGAGCATCATGGTATTAGTTCATAAAGCTACTGATAAAAGTAAACAAAATATTATCTTACTGTAATTGGCAGAAATAATATTTCATGATATCTCTCTCTCTCTTTCACTTTTGTGCCCCATCAGAAAGGAAACAAGACGATCAACGAGAGCAGTGATCCTAATGCTCTCAAGAAAGCCATAGCCGATGCTGATCGTCATAAGTTGCAGTCGATAGGTAGCGATGACTTCCCAGAGACCAATGGTGGGGGTGACCGTGGGGCTACTGGAGGAGGGGGAAGGTCATTCTCTTTCACCTCTCTCAAGGAACCAAAGAAGACGTTTGATGACGGGCCTAGGAGACCACATTCCAGTCATGGAGGGCGTGTCAATCAGTCAAAGACTTGTATTATACTCTAAAAGATTCAAAACAGTTGTTGCTACCTTGTTTGGCGTTCAACAATAAGGGATAGAGCAACGTCGATCTGGGGCTGCTCGGTGGCTGTCGGGCTCACGATCAATTGGGCAAAAAGAATTTCCGTTTCGGTTTAATAAAATTTGGAGTGGACTATTAGGCTATTATTATTATCATTATTATTATTCTGGGCCCTGTATTACAAAGAGTTGATATCGATCGTAACTTTGTTCATAAGAGATAGGAGATTGCAACTTACAATTGATTGGAGGACTTGCGTTTGATTTGGATCAATCGTAGCTCTTTGTAAGACAGGGCCTAGAAATTCTATCCATTTTCTCCTACGTCCCTGTTGATATTCTTGAATTGTGTTTGGCAGTACTCAAATTGGGTTAGACATGTTGATTATCCTTGAGTTTGCCGTCTTTTATTTTAAGGATTGAAACCTAGATGCAATGATTTGATTTAGTTTTGTTTATCAACCCAAAGTGGCTATTAGAATTCACTTATTGAAAAAAATCTGACAGCATTTTTTTATACCAAGACCAGAGACTCTTCTGATGTGGGATGAAAGTATTATTTAATCCGAGCATAATTGTGCCATATCCTTGAAGACATTTTTTTGAATTTAACCACCAAAAGTATGTTTAAAATTCTAAAATGCTGTCGTATTTTAAAATCATGTTCTTGTGATCAGATTTAAATTAACTATATCCCATCTCTTCTTCCCAAGATAGGATTAGCTGCAATATTGTAGAGCAGCTAATTAGCAAGATGTGATTATGAAGTGGTAATCCTTAATATTGTATCTTGCAAGGAGAACTGTCTTCTTCATTGTAGTAGAATTGAGGCTTCTTCCAATCTGAATCTTCTATTTAAGTTCTAGTTTTTCTTGTGCTACCAGTACACTGTACTTGTCAGCATGCTTGTTACAAGCTACTTCGGATCATCTGTCAAAGGTGATGGATCAAAACATCAGGCAACACATAAAACAAATGTCAAGTTTTTTTTCGGGGGTGGGGGGGGGGGGGGGGATTGGCCTTGATTTAATCTGATACTAGGTATAAACAGGGAAGTATAGTCTCATCTCCCTGGTATTACATCGTTTTCAATGATTGAGGTATAATGGACAAGAAAATTCTAAAATGTTTTGCAAATGGAAAGGTAGGTATGCCATATGTGTTGTCTACTGACAGCCAGTATGTATGTATTAATGTCTAAAACATGATGACTTAACGCCCTTCTGTCTCTCAGCAGATGTCTTCATCTTGACTAATGTGCATGATGAAGTGTATTCTTTTATTCACTTCCATACAGTGAAATATCTATGGAACCTCATGCATTTATTGAGTGCAATGATATCAGGTCTACAGTATGTATGTCATAGATCACATCAGTAAGTTAAATGTGTATTTTACAAACCTAACCCTTGAAAGGGGGTGCACAAATATTGCATTGGTTATATATATAAATGCGTTTGTATGATGAGAGATATTGCATTGAAATTGGTGTGCATAAATCGTGTTTAGGCTATTCAAGCAGTTTATTGTAGTACCTCGGTCACACTGCCACACCAACTTAATGTAAATTTTTTGTTGGTCTGTTGTAGGTCTTGTCGGTGTGACTTGGTTATAAAAGTTATTTTTATATTTTGAATCGTCTATCCATCACCTTGAAACGTTATTTTCTGCTTCTAAGTATATAGACTGTTTCCTTGAATATTGGACTGCAAACAGCTTCTTCTTTCATTTCTAGAAATTCAATGCAGGGTTTCAACTCTGCAGTCATAGTTGGGGCCTCATTTTTATCTTGGCCCTCAAAGGCCACATCATCTGTTGAAGGGAACAAAGATTGCCATCGCAATACTTATTTGGGAGTTTCAAAATGATGCATGAAAATAGAATATATATATATCTATATAATAATGGAATTACTACCGGTATTTGTTGAATTTCATGACATAGCCATGATTGTGCTATACAGTGTATGTGCATACATCTTCAAGTTGATCATACACTGTAGAACAAGTACAATCTCTCATAATGCCGTATCAATAGACTTTTGCAACTGTTTTGTGCTATAGGTCTCTGTAGCGAGCTTTCAAAATCACATATTTATTAACAAACAACTTACATATTATTATTGCTATAATGATGAAATCATATTGAATTTTCTCCAAAGTAAATTATTTACTAAAGACTAAAGCCAAAGATGTTTTAAAAAGCTTGATTTGACTATACGATAGGACAGGGAAAACCTCACAACAGCTCTAAAGTAGCTATCATAAATTTGGTTCTTTCCATATTAATATAATTTCCCCTTTGTTGATGGAAAGATATTTCCTTTATTCCTGTACTTGAAAGAGAGAGAGAGAGACATGATTTGCACATATGTTTTCAATATGATGATTTATATAATCTTTAACAGTTCATGTCAGAAGTTTAGTAGAAAGACCAATCACTGATGTACATTTTTATATTTCGTGACTTTGTAATTTATATTCTCTTATGATATATAATGATTATTGTGGAACTTTGTGAATATTCATGTTCTCTGTATAGATATATAGTACTGTAGTAAGAAGAAGCTTCAATAAATTATGAGTCTTTCACTGTATAAATTGTCAGATTATATCTTTTATTATGGTACATACAAGCACCTATATATACAAAGCTTAAACATATATACATTAAATACAAACAGGATGGATCACATAGTTTGAGAGTTATGATGCCTATTCCTACTGTAATAGAGAGATGGAAATGCCCCAACTCACTCAATTTTGAAACAAACATGGACGGATTTGACGAGTTGATACAGCACAGAGAATACATTAACCCACACACAAGCCAAATTCATGCAATTTCCCCACTTATATAAGATAATATCTTTAAAACATCTACATGAATGTATAAAGTGCATGCATGCTAAAGATCTTCTTCAATATTGGAATACTTCATCATTCAATGGGATGTTTCCTCTTGTACATGTACTTGCAATTATTTGAGAACAAATGCTTGAAGAATGATAGATGATGATACAATTCTTGTTTGATGCATTGGGCCTGTTATTAAAAAGATTGTAATTGAAAGTTACTCTATTCAAGCATACTTTTTGGATGAGGATATCGTAAAAAATACTTGCTTTACAAGAATTTTTATTTTTAGTCTTACCATGCATGAAGATTTTTTTATAAATTTGAACACTTGTGTAATCAAACTTAATAAATTCCCACACAGCAAAATACATAAACCTCCCCCAAAAGATACATGGGCACGCTCATAGTTTAGTGTTATTGTTTTTCAAGACTTTCATATCACCTTTTCAGTGACAGATGAGAGCATTTAGCAGTTATTACCCTGGTCATTGGATTCAATTAGTTTACACTCGGGATGGACTCTCTTCACTTAGTTTATATAGTGTGCCAATTGCTCTCTAAGTTAGATGCGAGGACCTGAATCATCTATAACTACTATGCGAGAAAACCATGAATCTAGGCTTTTCAAAAGGATGTAAAGCGTGTTCTTCATGACTTTTTCCATACAAAGTTAATCTCGGGCTTTGTCACAAACACATCCAGTGTAGCAAAGCAGTCACTCACACAACATTTTTTTCTGAAAGAGATAATAATTCTTACTGATTCGGTTTCAATATGCACCTATCAATTCCAAGGCAAATGTTCATGTCTTTTCGACAACAAGGCAATCCTTATTTACAGCATCCATTAAACAAAAGAGAACTCCAAATCGCGACTGCGATATATTACGACTCCTTTGTGACGTCATCGTTTGGAGGGTGTATTTCTTGATGCCGTACCCCCGCTGCGTCTACTCTGTGATTCTTGCTTCTGACGTCCTTTCCGCCTGTCACCCTTCGCTGAGGATGGTGATCCTGATCGATCACCCTTTCGTCTTCCTTTACCTCTCTCTCCTCCCTTCGTTGGTTTGGGATTTAATCGTGCTGATCCAGATTAAGCAAACAAAAAGATGGGGAATGCTTTAAACTGCTTAATAATGCTTTAACGAACAACCTCGATATATAATCGCTTAAGCGATGTCAGATCTTGTTATTAATATTATTATCATTACGTATTGTTGTCACCTTAGCCTTGGAAGGGAAAAGAGCGAACTAAATCTTTAATTTACTTGCTGATATTCTATTACAAATCAAAACAGTTACAAATTAGGGTGGGGAAACTTTGAAATCAATAAGCTAATAAGCTGATACGACAGAAAAGAAACTTCTCAGTCAATAAGTTATTAGGAGACAAAATCCTATACCTAGCTATTGTCAGGCTGTATACATTGTCCCTGGAGAGGAAACAGTCATACGTGATAGATCATCTAGAAAAACACTCTCAAATTATTTGTCAAAACTCGGTTTTGTAATTATTTATCACATTAAAGATGTACCTTTAACTTCGTTTGAAGCACAACAAAAAGTCTGACATTGAATGATTAGCATTCCAAACATGGTTGAAAAAAGGCCTCTTTCAAAACAAGTTGCAAATGCGTTTGGGAAGCCGAATTCCTTTTTAAAAGCACATATCTTTTGGACTGAGTACCGATTCCCCAGTGAAACATACTCTGCAAATGAAATAACTGACGATTTGAAATCAGAACTTATATTGGGCTAGAGCTCATATGGTATCCCGTAACATCAGTCAGAAATTTCTTTTTACTAGAGAAATAGTACGAATTCGATGGCTAAGATGGTTTTAAAAAGTTTACATCTAGAAGATACTTACATAAAAATTCTTTATCATCGTCTATTCCTTGTAAGAGTGGGATGTATGTAAAACGATCATCGTCACCTTCGTCCCCATCTCCTAAACGTAATGAAAAAATATGATTAACCCTGGTAATAACAAGACAATGCTATCACTACCAGAACATATACAAAACTACGAATGAATATACGAGCACGTATTTCAAATTATATATTTGTTTCCTTATCCGTTATCCTTTTGTTCTGTAAACCTTATTCTTTAAGTAGCGGCTCAATGAAGTTTCCTAGTGATAAATACAAATACAGCGATCGTGGATCTAATCAAAGGCAATATTCATAGTAATTTCTGTCATTTCAGCATTCCGCCAGTGCATGCCAAAGCTGGATTAATTGTGCATCTATTTGTTGTATACTAATATATAAACACAGTGTTTAATTATTTCTTTGTTAAAACATGGTATGAAAGGATATATCACATTTGTATTTCCATGCTGTCGAGAAGTATTATTTACATGTATTACACTTTCCAAACGATAATGCTTGATCCTCAGTTAGATGTGAAAACTTGAATTTAATATGAATATGCATTGCATTTTTCTGTTCTCATATCCTGAATATAAAGGAGACATACTCACGTTCTACTCTGACGAGTATAAAAGAGCCCCTGTCAGTCAGGAAGTTCTTGCCATAATCATCCAGATGACCCGGCAAATTGGCAACAGATCCGTTCTCATCTGACAAATCTATCACATCTAAATGAAACGAGAATAAATATAGTAAATCATCCTCATTAATACCAATTAGTGTCTAACACTGTCGCAAATACTTCCGACAAGACAAACCTCAATAGCCTTGTCTATCACCTATCGAAATCACCTATTGAATTGTCGAACACTATATATACAATATGTCTTACGTAATCAAAACATGATTTACATGGGATTTACAGTAAAACTGCATGCCCTTGACTTGATTTCTTAAAAAGTCTTTGCAAATGGTTTGTCTATAAAGAAAAAATAACAATCAGGTTTTGAAGATATTTTTAGAGACTGCGCCCACCACTATATTAACCTCATTTAAAAGAGAACGATAAGAAGAATAAAAACATCGGTTACCATGGTAACAACTTACCATCCTCGTCACAGTTACATCTTTCTCTGATATTGTCCAGTAAAATCACGTTTCGGCAATTAGGGTTGAACAATTCACTCTTGTCATCTGCAAAAGAGAGACAAATGTTTAAAGGAAAATGAACAGAAAGCATATATACCTCGAAGATAGTCGTGCAGTAAACACTAGCCATGACTTCATCATATAGAACTTAACAAGTAACATACAACAAATACACAAATAACAACTAACAAAGGACCCACTAAAGTAGGATTTCAAGTAGATTCGTTTTTTTCATTTCCGGTAACCAAATCATTTTGCATTACAATGACCAAAACAATGTCAAATATATTTCAATGCTGACTTCTGTTATATCATAATGTTTATTGTCTGTCATTGTTTATATTATGTGAAAAGAAATGAAAAATAAATTCGCTCTGTATACAGCTACTACTACTTCTACTACTACGAAGGTGAATGTTTTCTATTCAAGTGTCCTCCATCAATCCCTTCTATTCTTCTCGAAATGTCAACATTTCCCCTATCCTTTCCACCTGAGAAATTAATTTTAAGGAACTATTGAGCCCCTTGTCCAACCTTTGTAACAAGTTGAACTGTGTAAAAATAGAAATAAAATAAGAGAAATACATAAAATTGAACAGAAATTGCACCAACAATAAGAGAATAATTGTTAATGATTGAAAGCTGAGATCAATCAATTTGTCGTTGTTGTGAATTCCAAATCGGCAAATTAGCCATTCAAGACAGGAAACCCTCGTAATTATATTTTTGTTTGTTCATATTCAAGGCACAATTAAATAATTGAATTTATTACTCAGACTAATCAATATATAATTAATTTTTAATTATTTTTTTAATTAATTTCTAAGACTAATTTCTCGTGGTATATCTGACATCAAACTCCCATCAAACTTTCAGCAAGATTTTCAGGCCCCTTCCGTAACGTATATTTTGTTCTTTGAACTCTCAGAATGTCTTCTAAAGTCCTTTCAAACCCATGAACATCTAAAGCCCTTACATATAAAAATTATTATACCTTCAAGAAGCTTCAATTTTGTAATTCATGCGCTTCCTAGGACACGAACATTACTTGTACTCGCTCCCAAATTAAATTAATTTAAACTTTAGATTAGACAGGGGATTACCCTTAATCAAATGAATGTAGTATGATCATTCTTACAAACTATAAGCAAGGACGTTCACATTTCCTGTATTACTTGTTAGCGTCGACACATCGTATACTTTCGTATACAGTCTCACAGTTGTATGAATACATGAAGTGACCCTAAGGATCAAATTCTAATAAAAAGACATACCTCCTGATCATGTTTGTCTGCAGGTATAATTACAATTATGTGAATGTGAATAGCTGAAAAGGTAACCTGAGGGTACTTTATCGAATAGAAATTCTTCTCATACGTCCTTCTCTCATTGTTAAAGGTAAAGACCAGTATTGGAAACGCCCCAATTTCAAAAAATGAAATGGAAGCTCTCATTACCAATCATGTGAAAGAATATGTTTTGACTAATACATGATGATACAAAATTTGCCGGGAAACCGCCTACTAATTCATATATTTGGTAAATTTGTTTCTCTCATGGTCTGTGAGAGATATAGGGTAGTCCCATATACACCTTTCTGTGTATAGTGCTTGTAACTTTACGAAGAATGGGCCAAATTTCTTATCATTTTGATGATTCAAGAACCTTGCAGATGCTAGATGCTAGATGATCAACCTTTTCTGATCGATTCCACAACGTTTCTTTCACAATGCAATCGCATGACCGTAACTGGTCTTTACCTTAATTCAACACAAGATTTTTTTTATAGAGGGTGACTTAATGAGAACGTGACTTGACAAAATGATTATTGATTATATCAACAAAGTATCACGAAATGACTGAAAGTGCGTGTATCTTGAAAGTTTGTTTCTTTTTATTCCTTTTAATGTGCCGACGCATTAAGTTTCCGTACTATTGTTATCGTTTCATCCTTTCAGATTAATGTTCACCATGTTGGCAGTAGATATTGCACTACATTATAGAGTAATAAAACTATTTTTTATAGAAACAGGTGTCCACCATTGTTACCCTTCTTTTGAGTACTGTGAGGAACGGAACAAGAATAAATCCCCATCTATTTAATCACACCAAGGAGTTACCAGCAACTTCTTGATCAAACTAAGTAGGAGAACCCGATCAAAACATATTTATGTATACGAGCGGGGTTCACATTTTATATATTGTTACGTGCACACTGTATCATCAGTTGCTATTGAAACGATTGGTTTTCTTGCATCAATATGATTAGTATATATTTAGCCCTGAACGTTTCCTCTCGAACCAAATACCGATCAATCTCTATTTCGAAGAAAGCAACCCCACATCTTCAAAACTTGATTTATTAGATAATGACAACAGCTATGACAAAATATCTATATAAATTACTATTATAATACTAATATTATTTGTTTTACTATCAAATTAATTCTCTTTGCGCTTGTATAGCATATAGATAAAAAAAAAAATAAGTGAAAGTGTGATAATAGATTACAGTATACGCGACTACAACCAATTACCCCTTTGCTGTCGTATGATAAAATAGGACAAGGAATGTGTTTTCATGCATGTATAATACAAACTGTTGTCATGACAACAATCTTCGTACAGAAAAAAAGTAAAGAGTTTCTTAAGCTGTATAGGCCCATACATAGACCAATCTGCCAAATACCGTGGGTATCAAACTCTTCCGGTTAACTTTTTATTTGGTATAAATCATGAGAAGTGAAATCATGAACAAAAATAACAGCAACACTGAAATGAAAGAGATTAGCTGTACTGTAGATACTCGATTGACTCATGTGCTACATAATAGAAGCCCGTCAATCTATAAAAGTGTTTCTAACATTATGTTTGCATTCTATTGTTCCGTCACAGAATAGATAGTCGGCTTCTCCAAAACATTTCCTATTGTATCTTTTGGCCTCTATCTGCTCAAACAATCGCCATGTTAAGCCCCCCCGTTACGCCCCATTCGGGGGTAGAGATATCTTTTCTTAGTTCAACTCGAAAGCAAACACATCCATGTAAAACGAAATGGCAGGAGAAAATTTCGGTATTGAAGTGTAACAAATTCGTCTATTCTGTGAACTTAGAGAAAGGGAAATTTTGTGTCTATTTTCTAATCGGTAATTATGATTCAGATACAGTTAATACGCTTAGTAAAACATAAAGAGTAATGTGAAATGGAAAAATGCTGTACAAATGTAAATGCTTTTCTGTCTTTGTCAGTCCATCTCCCCTCTCTTTCTCCCTTTCTCTCTATCAGTGTCTCTTTATCTCTCCTCTTACTCCCTTTTCTTGCTCTCTCGTTTTCCTCTTTCTCCATATTCCCCCCCCCCCACTCTCCCCCCTCTCTCTCTCTCTCTCTCTCTCTCTCTCTTTCCTTTCTTTTCCTTCATTTCTCTCGCCACTCAATTTCTTTCCTGTCATGTTTTGTGTGTGTGTTTATAAGAAGAAGACCATCAGAGACAACGCATCAGTCATCGTATAGTTTACGACGAACATACTTGATGGAGGTGATAAAGCAAAAGCAGTTAAAAACTAGAATGAAGTGCGAACTCGTTTTTTCAAATGCTATGAGTAAATGTGTGACGTTGTCATGACAACACCTTATGCTGCACCTGTCAGAAATAGTTCGTCTTTGTAATGGAATATTATGACCGGAATGTTATGACCTTGGGTTTAGGAAAACGGAACATATCAGAGTGCTGCATGACGCATACTCATATATCAACAAATACTAGTCCTTTCAGATCCCAATATCATAACTAGACATCTGAATAATACAAACGATTACATTGCTTTAACTGCTATCATTACCAATAAATGCTACTTCCTTTGAAAGATTTTGTATCGGTTCTCAATCAACAATATATCCAATACCTTGCAGAATGCCGCTTGTGAATCTCAATTTTCCAATCCTTGAATGAATTGTAAGTACATAATTTGACATTAGACAAGGATTTGGAAAAGTGAAAACATGGGCCTACATGCAGCCATCATTATGATACATAACGGTACAATCATTGCTTAGTGTACGTAATTAATAAAACACTTGATTTTAAAAAACCATTTGCCACTATTCTTAATATTCAAGATGCCTTTTGTTGCAAAACAAATTATTTATAACTGTAGTTGATTATCGATTACATGGAAAATATGAATGCATGATTAGAGGACCAGCATACAATACCCAACCCATGAATATTAATTTTTGGAGTAATTTCTTATGATCAAAATCCGCTCATCACTCAGTTTTCAAAGAAATAGGAAAACATACTGCAAGGTCGCTCTGTATGATATTGCTTCCCACTCAAGATCATCAAACATAACTCATATTGTAAGCTGAACAATGATAGGGCATTTATATGATACGAATGATAGTTTATATGTGCAAGAAGTACTGCTCATATGCAGTTCTCTTTCAATTGAACTGGCTGGGTTACCAAGCAATAATACACAGTGTTTGTCATGAAAGGATTTCATCATGATGCATTTACTGAGCTTTATTTAGTGGAAAGAGCAATAGAAAATTAGGTAGACATTGTAGCAGGTTGCATTGTACTTATCAATAGGTATATTGATTAGAAAAGGATCACAGTGATGCAATAATCGAAGCAACGTTATAACTAGGAGCACAAGAATGAAACTCATCAATTCAGATCAATAGAGACTAAATACACATATATCTTAGATAATCATCTACTATCTAACAGTATATGAGCAGTACACATACAATGCACTATATCAGATATACCTGTATATTAAAAACTGGTATAACGCGTGCCTAGCAACGTGGGAGAGACAGTGGTATGTACGGTATATATTGGTGTATACACGGCTCCGCACGCTCCAGTAATCCTGTGTACAATACGCCTTATCCATGAATAGAAGTATATGCATGTAAATCCGGTAGAGGTGAAATATATCCAACTCTGCTAAACATGCCAGCGATTGAATTCGAGAATATAGCATTGGAAACAAACTTACCTCCAAACCGAACGGTTATAAACATGGCGACAAGTGCAACTGACAGAAATTTGTGGATAAGTTGCTGTCGCGCCAAGTACAGATTCACGTCTGCTTGTGGATTGATAGAGTAGGCTTTGAATGAGTGGAGTGCGATCGAAGGTAACTGTGTGGTGGTGTTTTGATGAACCCAACCCCGCAGGGCATGACCCATTCATACGATAACGACAAATCGAAGTCAATCCGTTGCAGTATCTTGAATAACAATAGAAAAGAAGACTCATCATCTCTTGCTAAAGGATAATCACAATTTCGCTCACGCGGAACGAACCTAAGAACTACTAAGAAAAAAAGGGCCCTGTTTTAATTTTTCAAGGATATTTTTTAAAGTCTGGCTTAAGTGTTGACATGGTTGACACGCCAAATACTGTAAGTCTATGTATAGGTCTATGTATGTTTCGATCGCAAAACTTTCCCTTATAATAATCGTAAAAAGAAGAATTCGCGATGACAAGCTTTTTATAATTATATATAGCACTCCTTTGGAAATCATGTGACTGCATGCAGACTCCCCCAATTTTATATCGACAATAATGAGGTAGATGATTATAAACAATAGATCAATCTTCCGTGTCAGTTACCTATAACAAAGCTTGAAGTACGTACAGTTAACTCCTAAATTATTCATACCCTTTGTGAATTTGATGTTTTTATGCGTTTTCGGAAACTCAAGAATGAAAGATGGACTGGTTGAATTAGGAACTTGTTTGAATACGTATAGATTTAAGCTTTAATATGTCACAGTCTCAAGAAACATGAATCGGGACAAATCAATTTTTCAAATGCTCCATAAATTACGAAACTTGGTAAGGGTATACAACATTAGTAGTTGTTATCTGTTCCTAAAAACTACTTTGTCATACTATAAACTATACATCAATAGTTTGTTTGACAAAACGAAAAGATTCGACAAAATAAAAATATATTCAAAAATATGAAAAGACCTTACAGATAAATATCCAAGGGACTTATCATCAGCAAACACATCATGCCCTTCCTTATCAGATCTCTGCCGTTGTTCTTGCTTGAAAAAATGTAAGATCCTTAAACCAAAACACAGTCAAAACACAGTCACTAGATCTGAATCAATTAAACGGGATAGTGTAAACACGACTTTGTATAGACTTCTCGTTCATTGTTTACACTCGGTTGTTTATAGGTCCAATAACTAAATAATAGTGTCTTTACGATTAAGATCTCATTGTAAAATGGTTCTTATCTCACTCTTAAAGATGGGACGCGTATAATGAATCTCAATGCATTAAGGCTGCGTGTCTCCGAGTCAGTGGCGGATCCAGGGGGGGGGGGGGGGGGGGCCCGGGCCCCCCCCCCCTTGAGAAAAAAAATCATGCAAAAATCACGCGATTTTTACCTTTTTGGGGGGTTGGGCCCCCCCCCCCCCCCCCCTGGCGCTCAAGGGAGTTTTTCGGGAGCAAAAAAAAAGAAAAAAGTTGGGCCCCCTCCATTAAGAAATCCTGGATCCGCGCCTGCTCCGAGTTATGATCGTAAATATTCCGCTTTTTGTACAGTCACTTATCAATCTATGTGCTTCCAAAGTGCTTTCAAAATATTATGATCCCGGTTTTATCTCCGGTAACCTATATTGGGGCATTGGTTTCGTTAATAATACATTTTGTGTATCAATATTACTACCGACCTTTGTATCATTGTCGATTCGATTTTATTTTCTTAGATAACATTTTATACCATAATGACTGTTAATGTTGCTCTTGGCGTTGGTAAATAGTTAAGAACAATCACTTGACTATGATGTTTGAACTTCATCGTCTAGATCAATACTGAGTCTCCTTTTCCACATCCTACTGTCCTAGTCTGCATGCAGACTGTGTTTGGACACTTCAACAAAAATTCCATGGTACCTTGAAGCTGGCCTAAATTTGTTGGCCAAATTTTGAAAAGTCTATACCTGTACGTGTATTTTCAAAATATACAGGAGTCTATTTTGTGAGTTGAAGCAAGCGCAGCGTCTATCGGCTTCGGGTCAAGGGGGCAAGGCACCGGCAGGGAAAGAAGGGGTAGAGCCCCTGGAAGCTCTTGGGCGTTTTAAGCGTTTTCAGCGTTTTAACTCCAAAAAAAAACTTGAAAGAAACTGGATGCCAATTCTATCTACTCCATCCTCCTAATAACTATGGTATTGTGCTTACACTTACCTTTTCTTGTTACAGTCGGCAGAGGTTGATTAAAGTAGTTTAGTTTTTTTTTCTCTTTTATCTATATGTGTTCCCCTCTTGTTTTTGTTCATTGTTTATATCAACATGTGAATATGACTATATGGACCTCTGCTCTTGCAGCTGAGTCTAGAATGAAGTCTTGAACTGAATTGAATTGAATTGAATTGATACGTGTTACGATGTAGTTTTCCCGTTTCCCGGATCGCCACTAACCAAACTCCTATCATTTTACTTATATCGTGTTTATTCATCGTTTCATAATATACCTTGAATACTGTCGTATTTCATCGAAATTACATAACTCTCATCTTTACCTTATTCTCTCTTATCTCTCTCAACCTCTCTCTCACCCCTCCCTCACTCTGTCGTATCTCTCTCTCTCTCTCTCTCTCTCTCTCATCTCACTCCCCTTCCCCTGTCTTATCTCTCTCCCCCTCTCTGTCTCTCTGTCTCTCTCTCTCTCTCTCTCTCTCATCTAATCCCTCTTCCTCATCTCTTTCTCATCTCTCACTCTCGCGCGCACTTCTTTCTCTCTCTCTCTCTCTGCAGTCTCAAGCTCCGCAATGCATATATGAAGTTGAGTGAGTGTGGGTGGGGCGGCGACGGGTTTGGGCGGGGTTAGGGCGTTTCATTATACATGATCGTACCTAAACTGGGGAGTTTGTGAGATGGCCATCTCAAATCAGGCGGGAAATTTAAAAAAATAATTAAAGATGGGTCATAGAGATGCAAAGTTTGGAGTGTGTCCGAGTTTGATAACGTCTATCGGGGGAGCTTTGGGGAAGGCTGTGATGGTGGTGTGCTAAACAAATTGGAGGAGGTAGCTGGCATCAGTCGTCATGCAGCTAGCTTTGCCTGTCGTCAGCGTAGCCTGCGGCCGGTAATTTTTAATACATTATACAGTCCTCTACTGCCAGAATTAAAATAAAATCTCGTTTCAATGTCTCATTCACTCACTATAGTCTTATTCTAGTCATTTCCAGTCTGTAAACAACTTTTTAACATGCGTATTATGATGGGCAGGGTTTTACTTGTTTAAAAGGGCCCCTACGTTACACTATGGAATTCAAAGAATCATTCACATTCAAGTCTAGTGAAAGCATTCTAATAAAGGCTTAATCTTACATCTCGCCTGCATACCCGAGCGGAATCATCTAGTGCTCAACAAAGACACGCAGGCTTGGGGAGAGAGCTCTATTTAGTTCTTTTATTTGTTTATTTAGTTATTTGTCGGTTATTTGTATTCATTTTGATATCAGGTATATTGAACTGTCTGTTTCAAATACAGTCAAGAATGATGTGCTTTTTGTCCTAAAACGAAACTGTGGCTAACGCTACTGGCCGTAGGCTACGCTATGTCTTAATCTGTACTGCATTCATGATTCCCCTCTTGCCAGTTTTGAAACGATTTTTTAAACAGATTTTCCCCAACCTTTTGAATGAGTGATCATTTACTTGTCATGTAACAGGGCCTTGTAAACTTGCATGAGGAAATACAAAAGGTATTTCACGTTCTCTTGAGAGCATCCCACCATATTTAAAGAAAATATAAAACATTCTGATAGGGGATTAATTACACCAAGCTGGTCCGCATTCCCGGGAAGAATTTTCCAGTGTTAAAAAAAAGACACCAGAGCTTTGGCATAGAGCTCCATGTAGTTATTTATTTCTTCATTTATCTTTTTATTCTGACAGGGTATACCTATTGATAACAGGTATTATTGGATGCTCTCTTTCAAGTGCAATCAAGACTGCCGAGCCAAGATTTATAGACTGTTTCTTGTCTTAAAATCGTTGGTCTCTATAAAACATTCATATTTCTTTTTCTTAAATTCTTTTTCCCATTTTTTTTTTTTTTTTTTTTTTTTTGGGGGGGGGGGGCTTCATCAGCCCCAAAGCTCCCCCCGAATGCGCTAGTGTTTCCCCTCCCCCGTATCCATCTCCTCTCTCCTCTCTGTACCTCTCCTTATTTTTCCACCAGCGCGTTCATTATTCTCTCTCTCCCTCTCCCTCTCTCCTCCTTCGCCCTGCCTATCTCTTTCTCCATCTTCATTATCTCCCCCTCTCACTCGATTTACGTCCGTCTTTATCACTCTTTCTCCCTCCCTTGCTCTGTCTCTGTCTCTTTTTCCTTCTCCCTTTCTCTTTCTCTCTCTTTTTCTCCCTCACTATTTCATAACGTTAACTTGGTCGCTATATTCCCAAACAATAAATAACCACTTAGGCTCAATATTCATTTTACAGTGTCAATTTGATAATAAAGTACACGTAAACATATATATCTGCTTTGGTGGTACAAACATCAATGGATTGTGCGACATACTTAAATTTGCATATACCAAACGTGTAAGTGCAGCTTCGTGATAAATTATGATTACAAATATATAGTCATGGTCCATTTGGAAACTGGAGCTCCCGTAGTCACAATAAAGGCATTATGGACATCTGGCAGGATTTAAAGATAATGAAATACCAAATAACATTTATCGAAAGGCCTGCTATCATTCAGAACTAAGTGCACAGGATAATGACGAGTACAAACATTACTAAATATTGATTATTTTTTATGATTCTGATATAAGATGAATAAGGGGGTAAGATCTGTAATTTCGCATTTGCCCCAAATTAAAGTCACGTATTCGCAATTTAGAATTGCAAACTTTCACTCTTTGACAAATCTTATATGTACATGTAGATTTTAAATAAGTGAGAGTACATATTTCAGGGTAGAACCAAGCAAAATTCCCAAGTAGAAAGTTTATTGATGTTTTAACGCAATTCACATTTAGCATGTGAGGATAATAATGGCTCTGATAATACCATTAATTACAATAACCAATCCCCTCACACAACATCACTAATGATAACAATGCTAATAGTACTGATGGAAATATACATAAAAATGGCAATGTTGCTCAAATTCTACTGAGGTCTATGATTGAATCCATTGTAAAAAAAAATCTGTGCTATATTCTACTAGATAATAGTAGATTCGCCATAAATGCACTTTTTCAACATCAAAATATACCCAAGGCACGCCTTTCACACATCATGTCACATGCTTAGAATTATGAAATTTTTACAACAGCATCAATATGTTTCCCACCAATCTACAGAACACAATCATGTTCTGAAAGAGAAAATCAGAATTTAGACACTTCATAAAAAGTAAAATTGTAAGTTTCTATTTTATCGCCAATTATAGAATTACTAGTCTTTCCAAAGTAACCTAACATGTATCGTCTGTACTTGTATAACTTGTGCGTTACTTTCTTACTCTAGCTTCACAATATACATTTTGTACAAAAATATAATGAATAATCTGTAAAATAGCTGTATTAGTTTGGATACTTTTTGTTGTTTTTACGACAAAACCTTAAAACACCTTAAAATGTTATAAGCATGTAAATATCCTTTCCACTGAATTACAAGATAAGTGATAATTTTTTTTAGTATGCATGTTATTATTCAGAAGGGCATGCAGGTCCCTCCAAGTCACAGGTGATGCCGAATGATACTAAATGATACTCATAACATAATACTTAAGTATCTACAAGTTACAGAAGCCGTTGTTTATCTTCGAATATAAATGGGAGGGTGGTGGAGGCAAGTCGAAAATGTCTGTGAACAAAGCAAAAATCAGTTAAACACCGCGATGAAATTTCGATAGGATTTCTTCTTGTAGCTAAAAAATAGCACCCCAAAAAAAAATCATTAAAATATTGTGCGAGTGCGAGTGCGATTGCGAATGCGAGTAGATTTCATACAGATTTGCAGAGAAGACCAACAAATTCCAGCCGATTTGGGTTTTCTTTGTAACTGCAGGGCTTACAATTATTATTCATATGACCATTCTAGATTCAAGATGGATACAGATAACATTTTTAAAATCCGTTCGAAGTCATTCATATAGTCTGCTCGTAAGGCGTGCGGTGATTTTAAAAAGGCTGTATCGTCAACATGAACTGCTGTATTAGCTCCTCTAGGAGGTCATACGGTGAATACTCTGACCGTCAACATTCATCTTCGTCAACATCACGTGGTGTGTTGTCATCTGTTACAACTCTGACTTTGGAAGCCTCCATTGAATGCTCAGCACAAGGCACTCCTGTCGAATTAGATGATGACCTCCACGCAGACAGGTCAGGGGACGCTTCCGCTCCATATACTGTCCCTGGAAAACCTTGACTTTCTACGGCTGGAGAAGGAGTTGCCTTCGTGTCATGTTCATCGTAACTCGTCGCAACATAGCCAGCGTTTTCTACACCAACTTCCACATCAACGGCTATGGATTCGACAGTTCCAGCGGCTTGGCCATTCTTACCACGATCTGCAGTCGTGGCAGGTTTGGTGTGTCCACTCGGTTTTTCGTCCCCCATGAAAACATCACCTGATGTGCTCTCTTCTTGTTTGATTGTATACCCAGGCGTACACTCATCATCTTCATCAGAATAGAAACATCCATGTATGTAAGAACAGCCACAAGAGAGACCACAGCACCAAACACCACACATGTTATCATCCGTGTCCTTCAAGATGGCATTCAGGTCCTTCGTGCCCTGTAACTGCTTTTTGAGCTAAAGGTAGAACGAGATATTATGATATAATTACGAGTCAGATGCAGATTCAGAGAAAATGAGGGAGAGGGAGGAGAAGATAAAGGTTTTACATTCTACTGAAGAATTTTATACTTCTTCATCGTTTATGAATATCTGAACATAAAAGAGCTAATAATTTTTTCGTTTGCAAAATTTGAACGGAAAATTAATCATAATAAAACAACGTCTGGTGACGCTACGGACTGTTACTAATGAGAAAAAAACCTATTTATTGAATTGTTAACTTATATTGTGCCTATTATAAAACTACACGCTTCTCCGAATAGTATTAAGTCTAATGGTGCCATGTGACTAGCAATGGACAACCAATCCAATTTGGCCTCTTTCCTTGTGATAATATCCTATATAGAGCCGACCGAGTGAGGGACTAGGGACTGACAACCAAACAAGTTTAGACCTTTTCCTTGCGATAACACCCTACATAAAGCCGACCGAGTAAGGAACTACTGTACCAACGGACAACCAAACCCGTTTAGACCTTTTCCTTGTGATGACGCGCCGCATAGAGCCGACTGAGTGACGGACTAGGAACGGACAACCAAACCCATTTAGACATTTTCCTTGTGATGACACGCCACATAGAGCCGACCGAGTGGGGGACTTGGGACTGACAACCAATTTGGCCTCTTTCCTAGTGATGACACGCCACATAGAGCCGACCGAGTGGGGGAATTGGGACTGACAACCAATTTGGCCTCTTTCCTTGTGATGACATCCTACATAGAGCCGACCGAGTGGGGCTAGCAACGGACAACCAAACCAGTTTGGACTCTTTCCTTGTGATGACGTCCTACAGGGAGCCAACTGAGTGAGGGACTAGGAACAGACACCCAAACCAGTTTTGACTCTTTCCTTGTGATGACGTCCTACAGGGAGCCAACTGAGTGAGGGACTAGGAACGGACACCCAAACTAGTTTGGACTCTTTCCTTGTGACGACGTCCTACATCATAGAGCCGACCGAGTGGGGCTAGCAACGGACAACCAAACCAGTTTGGACTCTTTCCTTTTAATGACACGCCACGTAGAGCTGACTGAGTGAAGGACTAGCAACGGACAACCAAACCAGTTTGGACTCTTTCCTTGTGATGACGTCCTACATCATAGAGCCGACTGAGTGAGAGACTATAAACCGACAACCAAACCAAATTTGCCTCTTTCCTTGTTAGAAAACAATATAAAATCTTACTACTAAATAATTATTAATCAGCTCAGTTGTTGATTTTTTTCTTCTTTTTTCTTCTAATTTTATATCTGAACCCTCTTTCATTGTTATCTTGTTTTCCTTTCCTTTCTTTTCCCCCTTTATATATTGTTTTTCTTCTCTCTATTTTACTTTCTCTTGTCTTATAGGTAGTTAAAGTGTTTGTACTTTGCTTATTTTACTTAATTTATTGTTGAGTGCTTATAATATGTTATATTTCTTTTTGTATTGTTTTACATTCTTTAATGGGCGATCCAACTTCACAGGTTTTCGCAACCTTCATGGAAAGCCCCGCACATAATCTTTGTAAACATAGTTAAAATTTACTGTTATTTTGTATATTTTGATTTTATATTGCGAAATAAAATTGAATTGAATTGAATTGAATTGAATTGTGATGACAAGCCACATAGAGCCGACTGAGCGAGGAACTTGGGACTGACAACCTATACCAGTTTGGACTCTTTCCTTGTGATGACACGCCACATAGAGCCGACTGAGTGAGGGACTTAGGACTGACAACCTATACCAGTTTGGACTCTTTCCTTGTGATGACGTCCTACACCATAGAGCCGACTGAGTGAGAGACTATAAACCGACAACCAAACCAGTTTTGCCTCTTTCATTGTGATGGCATCCTACATAGCGCCGACTGAGTTAGGGACTATAAACCGACAACCAAACCAGTTTGACCTCTTTCCTTGTGATGGCATCCTACATAGAGCCGACTGAGTGAGGGACTAGGCACCGACAACCAAACCAGTTTGGACTCTTTCATTGTGATGACACGCCATATAGAGCCGACTGAGCGAGGGACTTGGGACTGACAACCTATACCAGTTTGGACTCTTTCCTTGTGATGACACGCCACATAGAGCCGACTGAGCGAGGGACTTGGGACTGACAACCTATACCAGTTTGGACTCTTTCCTTGTGATGACACGCCACATAGAGCCGACTGAGCGAGGGACTTGGGACTGACAACCTATACCAGTTTGGACTCTTTCCTTGTGATGACAACCAACAGGGAGCCGAACGAGTGAGGGACATGATTACATGACTATTTAATTGATGACCGTATTTAAGACGTTCTAGAAATATACCAAATTACAATTTGTGAATGAAATGGTAATAATGGTTTTGTAATGTTTAACAAACAATCCAATAATGATCATCTGATCTTCAATTCTTCCTTATCATTGGTTAACGCAATCACAATAACAATAGTGATCAAGTGCTTGTAGCGTTTGTGATAAACGTAATCACGAAATAACTATTGACAAAAGATCAGAAATCATTCAAGACTTTCAAATTATGTTTACATATGGCCACTGAAGCTACAACATGCAAGATCCTATAGGATTAATTTCTCCATACCATGTCAACTTTGTCTTGTAACTTCTGGTTATCTTTATCTGGTGCACCTGTTGATATTACCGATAACTCTGGTGCATAGTCAATAGCTGTGGATGATTTCATATCCATGGACTCTAATCCACTTGTTCGATTCTTCTTACCCGTAGCGTTCACACCCAGTGGATCCTTGTACACTGTAATTATCTGATAGATTAGGAATGGAAAGAAGAAAGATTGGCTTATTTTGAAAACTGCATTAGTTTGTACTCACGTATATGTGACTGCGCGAGATAGATTCACAGACGAAATACAATTTTCAAAACTTATATAAGTTTAAAATACCCGAATGTACTTCACGTAACATTATCCTGAAGACGTTCAGTGTATTATCGAATCGAAATTCATACCTTCAGAAGAAAATAGCAGTTGTTCTTCTATAAGAATTAAAGTTTTCTATATAAAAGCATCTTTGAATAATCTAGATTGTTTTCAAAATCTCGAGTAATCGATACGGCATTATTATGACTCTCCTTTCAAAATCTAATACCTTGGTCTTGTGCGTCGACTTTTCATATAGCTTACACCTTGAGCTTCCTGGGTCTGAAGTTTCAAAGATGTGTATTCAATTTCTTTCACTGCCACCACATTATTTAACAACATCAAGCTATGAGCACAATGGCTTTTCATCAAATATATGATCGATCAGTCATACATTAGGCGTTAATCATAGGCACTTTACATTCAAATGAGCTAAAACGAACTATTAAGTTGAACGACACCCATTGTGACTAGATTAGGGTACAGAACATCACGATGAAGGAAAAAAGACTATACGTAGTAGAAATATCACCTTTGCTATAAAGACGACATCCAATGACTTCGTGGTACACAGCAGCAAAAGGAAATAAATAAATATTACTTTCGGTAGAGATATTACCTTTGGTATAAAGACGACACCCAGTGTGATTGTGTTACAAAATAACACGACGAAGGAAAGGAAGATAAAGAGAGCTGCCGGTTCACTTCGTAAGGCATAGCTGACACCAACTCCTATTGCGCAGAGTATGAATACATTGTAGACGCTGATGCCGATCAATTTACTGTCGTTTAACGCCGGTATCTTCACCTAATATAGACAAAAAATACAATAATTCAATTACTATAAAACATGCATATTATTTGTGAATAGATATTTTTAATACATGCTGATAGCTGACATTACATCACCTAACATAAATTTTGATTAATTTCAGACCAGAGTAGGATGGCTAATATTGCCTGAAACAAAGCTGAAAAAGATATTGGCAAATGGTATGGGGTCATTCTCTATGTAGTGTGTGAACGTATATTGCAATACCTCAATGTTGCCCAAACACCCACAAGATTTGTCTAAACATTTGTCTTCTTCCCTCTTGATGCAAACCTACCTTTCTTGTTTCCCACGCCAGGAACGTACCGAAGAAAAGGAGGATTCCCTTGTAGACATACATGACAACAAGCCAGTAAGTCTGGTATTTAGAATGGCAAAACGTGACGTAAGGTTGTAGCATTACCAACTCATCATCAGGATCATTCTAAAGAAAGATTTTTCGAAGAAGACGAAAAGCAAAAGACTTCATATTAAATAAAACAAATCACCATGCTTTGAAGTGAAACTTAATACCTGGTAATTTTACCACCCAACACTTTGATTTCCAAAAACACATTGGAACGAGGAGGTGACGACAAGATGATATCACTATGTCAGATAACTCTCGGGAAAACCCTGTTGAAATTGTTCAAAATAATAATTTTTATCAATTTTCTCAATTTTATAATATTACTGTTTATACTCGATATTAACGAAAATATTGAGAAGCCTTTGTGATCGACGTTTTGAAATACAAGTCATCGTAACACTTGTCAATAAGCTGAAGAAAAGCGGATTTTGAAAATGGAGTAGTTGAAATGAACGATTTTACTATCCAAGCTCAATCCCCACACGAATTCACTTTGAACATGGATCTATGGACACAACATGTATCGTAGGTCAGAATGGCCACACTCCGCCATAATTATCTTCAAATCTAAACTACGAGCGATATGATCACGATTTTCATATGATATATGTCTTCCTAAACGTCCCATTGATCAAAGAGTTTTTTTGAAGTTTTCACAATCGTTTTCAAGTTCCATACTTCGTTAAGATTTTCTCTTCATACGAAGCAGCAAAAGGTCAATGAACAGACAAATTTATAAATACTGTATATACTTCAAGTTTTGTTTCGACATTATGTACACCGCCTTTCGCCTTAAATAGTCACCCGCGATGTACTGCACATTACAGTGACTGTCTCACCATCAAAAATAGATTCCTGATGTCAAGGACCATCGGATCAACGATCTGCCAGACGAGAAGGATAACAAAGTCGACTGCGACGAGGAAAAGGACGATGAGGTAAAGCTGCGTGTCACGAATCACCTGTATTGAAAGTTTAAGATATTGTTGATAATTACCTTTTTAATAAATAGTATTACTAATTTCTTGTTTCTATCACGAGTAAATTTAAAGATTTGTCGTTGTATGATGACGTGTAAAATAAGCTTCAGATAAGCAATCAATTTCGGTAAGAGGTCATTTGATAAACAGTTAGATAAACATTTCAAAAGTATAGTTTTAAAGGTGTAACTTGCCTGTTTTAAAGGCCCACTGGACTACTTGTAGCTACTTGCGCCCTCTATATAACAAACAATGCCTAATCTGTGACCATTGGTCCCCCATGATCCTCTTTTTCTTATGTTAACTGAGAGCTGAGTTGATGAGATAACCACCTGTCCAGTGACCTTGCAGGGCGGTCTAATCCCTCCTGTAAACTATGGCAGATAAGCTTTAAGGTCTCAGTAAAGATTTTTTTTAAATTAAAAAAAAACCTATATACATAAGGGTACTTTGTAAACTTAAACTTATACTTCAGATCCGTATCGTAGTCAAGTGGTTTAAACACTTGAAGGTCGTGGGTTCTAACCCCGGCACGTCAATAATGTCCCTTAGAACAACATTTATCTGCATTAGCCACTTTCCGCCAAAGTGAGGTACAGGCAGCAAAGAATTCCTTGCATGCTTTGAGCACCGAAATCGTAGCCTAGATAAAGACGTTGTAACATTGGATCGCACTGAGCACATTGCATGGTGCCCATATGTGAGCACTATTACAAGTATAATCTGAGAACGGGACTTATTAAACACATACTCATTTTCTAATCTTAAAAAAACACGACATCTTGTTGGCAATACCCGTTTTCTCAGTATGATCTCAAAAGGGTAACTTTTGGAACTTATTCGTTTTCTCTTTATAATCTTTAAAAGCGAAAACTAGTTATTCTGATAAGTTTTACTGTACGATCACAAATGTATCTAACTTGTTAAACTTACTCGTTTTCTTGGCATAATCTTAAAAGTAGCCACACGATGTACCCTCCAGGTTTTGCTGAACATAGCACCGAAAGCTATCACGAATCCAATGGAGAGAACCCAATTCCGAAGCTGACAAAATAATCAGATGACAAACAAAACCAAAGAGAAGAGTTACTCGATAAATATTGTTAAAATATCTCTGAACAAAATATTCAATGTTTAGTCTGAAGATTTCAGGTAACTTTAGACAAAAACACGTTAAAACACTTATTTTGTATCGAGTTAGGTGTGGTCAATCGTAGGTTGGTATGGCTTGTAGCCTTTAACCACTGGACTAAATAAAGTCAGCTATTCTAAGTGCATCCGAGGAATCGTTTTACACAATAAATGTATTTTGTAATGCTTGTTTTAATATACTGAGAGGTAAACTAACCTGGCATATGGTTTGATGGGAATGAGACCCCACCAGGTTTCCGTCTAGTCCATACAAGAAGATCCATGAATACATCATGACGCTACCCAGTATAATAAGATTATTCAGGTTAGGACTCGATAACTTTACGTATCTGTAGGATAAAGACAAACATTAAATTGGAAATGAGAATTGTGCTGTGAGAAATCTTGGAAATGAGACAAGTCTATAATGTGGAGCACCGGGGGTGTGGAGTCTGACAGACATGTGCGGTTTACAGGAACCCACTGTTATTATGATTTATTATTAATACTAATAGTAGTAGTAGTAGTAGTATCGGTAGTAGTAGTATCATTATTAGAATTATTATTATTATTATTATTATTATTAGTAGTAGTAGTAGTAGTATCATCATACTCTTCTGAAACTGAAAAATAAAGAGGTGGCCTTTAAGTTTTACATCTATCTCGGCAAGTCCAAAGTTTTGGTCATTCGGTGTCCCGTACATTACTAAGTACTGTGGGGTTATGCAAATTAATTGACATCAAAATAATGTGTCATTTTACGAAATTGGTCTGACCTAATCTCTAGTAGGTAAATTAACCGAATACAGTGATCAGATAATTGTGCTAAATATGTTGGCACGTAACGTATTGGACAAAAATAACTTCTTTCATCATTTGCAAGTACAGTCTCGACAGTGATACATTCGTGCTTTTTCGTAAGCCGCTTGGTATTGGACTCATACACAAAAGGCTTCCAGTATAAAAACTCACAGGTAGATGGATATGAACAACTTGTTCAGAACAAGTAATGTCCCTGTCGTGATTCTAACAATGCGAAGCATACAAATAGCATATATCAAGACTTAATTCATGAGCTTCATTCCTCTCTGATTGATAATGAAATCTGCTTTTAAGATATCTCTTAAAGACTCTATTTCAATTGAATCTTTAGAGTGTTATCTTTGATAAGACATTCTTAGATGTGACTTGTGACTTATACAAAGACAACTAAGAACAATACGGTGAAGTAATAGACCTTGCAAGGCTCATCTATATTCATCAATTCACAAATTTATTGTTTATTACTACTATTTTCTTATTAGCTGGTGCTTTAAGAAAACGCCACAATGACTTCATTAATCTTACTTACTTCTGATTACGGAATTTGATGTTGAAAGCGAGAAAGAAGACAGCGAAGAGAATACCAATACACGCGAAAATGCACAAGATGATATAGAGATATGTATCAATGCCCTCGTAAATTTCCTTGATCACGATGATAACCTCAGGGGTACTATCAAGTGGTGGTTCACCAGTCCCTGAATGATGAAAACAAACAAACAAACAAACAAATAAAAAACTTAATCGAACAATGAATACATATCAGTTCTGTAAAAAAAAGTTACCTCGAAATACGAATGTTATCAACATGAATAATAATCAAAAGTCACAATTGTAATACTACGTTTCTATAAGCTCTTTACATTATATTCATTATAACCTCTTCAGTTCATTGTGCAAACTTGCAACTAAATGGTCTTTTGTGATTTTAGTCTGTTTTGTATTTTAAAGAGAGGTGTGAATGACTGCGCCGCACAGTGGGCCAGAACCGCCTCAAAGTGTGCCAAAATTAATTTCTCATTGAAGAAGGTTAATGAAGTTCCTGGTTAAAGTATCTTAAGGGTTTTCGGACCCATAGAATTCGATGGGAGTATTTTCAAATCCGTGTGACGTCATCAAAATACTGTTTTCTGATTGGACAAGGCAAATATGCATTGTAACACATAGACAGATTCATATTACACTGATTAGTGGAACTTTTAAGGGGTTTCTGGACCTAAGAAACACAACTGGAGCATTTTCAAATTTCTCTGACGTCATTAAAATACTGTTTTCTGATTGGACAAGGCAAATATTCATTGTAACGCATAGACAGATTCATATTACACTGATTAGTGGAACTTATAAGGGGTTTCTGGACCTAAGAAACACAATTGGAGCATTTTCAAATTTCTCTGACGTCATTAAAATACTGTTTTCTGATTGGACAAGGCAAATATTCATTGTAACGCATAGACAGATTCATATTACACTGATTAGTGAAACTTATAAGGGGTTTCTGGACCTAAAAAACACAATTGGAGCATTTTCAAATTTCTCTGACGTCATTAAAATACTGTTTTCTGATTGGACAAGGCAAATATTCATTGTAACGCATAGACAGATTCATATTACACTGATTAGTGGAACTTATAAGGGGTTTCTGGACCTAAAAAACACAATTGGAGCATTTTCAAATTTCTCTGACGTCATTAAAATACAGTTTTCTGATTGGAAAAGGCCAACATGCATTGTAACACATAAACAGATTCATATGACACTGACTAGGGAAACTTTTCAGGGGTTTCTGGACCTAAGAAACACTATTGGAGCATTTTCAAATTTCTCTCACGTCATTAAAATACAGTTTTCTGATTGGAAAAGGCCAACATGCATTGTAACACATAAACAGATTCATATGACACTGACTAGGGAAACTTTTCAGGGTTTCTGGACCTAAGACGCACAATTGGAGCATTTTTAAATTTCTCTCTATAAAATTGTCCGGCATCAACTATTTTTAGTCCACTATTTTCGTATTTACAAACTACTTGTTTTCTGTTTATTGTATCGGGTTTCCCTTTCCATATGAATTTAAAGAATGAGACATCGATTGATTTCAGAAGATGTTCAAAGGGATTTGGAATATAATCAAATAAATTATTATGATTTAAAAATATGAAATACCCTTGAACGTTTTATAACGTTTTTGCCATATCTCTATGTATGGGTCCTTTTGCTTCTCATTACGAGTCACTGTCTGGAGAATCATTGTCTTGAATGACCCGAAAGTCTTTCAGCATCTCTTGGACTTCACGTGGCAGGGTTCTTGGCTGTGGAGTTTTAAGTGATAAAAGACTGATGGCAACATCGCCTGTAATCATAAGACGGTGGAACACGTCACTCATATTGTCTACTCTTGATGTCTTTCTTGCAAATTTCCTTCTGTATACCTTGTTGTCCTTGTTTCTGGCTTCTTGAGCTTCTTCGCTCATCATCCCGATCGGTAGAACTGAACAAGCAAGAATGGTAGAGCCGTGAAGCAGCAGTACATGCACACTCACAGGCATTTTATACCATGGGTAGAGTTGTACATAGATTTCTGCTGTTCTGCGACAATAGTCTCCAAATCGTACTGGATTTAGAGAGGATTTGCAAGAAATTGCTACTAAGATCATGTGAATCCTATGTACTAAGTTCAAATCTAACCCGCAAATGTCAGCAAAGGTGTCCTCCTCTTGGAATGCTCTGCGTGCAGTGTTCCCATCGTTTGTATTTCCCGATCCTTGTTTCGGTTCATCTACTTTAAGACCCATTTCCTCTTTGAAGCGATCGTGTATTTTCTTCTTCTGAGCAGCGACGACAGCTTTGTCATTTTCAGTTGAAACACGCCACTTTTTAATCGTAATTCTGTAAGCAATGTGAATACACATCTCAAAACATCTGATCCATTTATGTAGAGGTGAGAGTCCATAGCTATAAGCTTCCTCATTTGACGCGGAGGGAAGTTTCTCTATGTCATTGAACTGTTTGGGAGTAGCCCCACAGACATAGCATCGCATAGATGACTTGGTTTCTGTCAGAGCATTCACGACTTTCTGATCTACCATGGTGAAGTGCAATTCATAGTTAATCTGTATGGTGTCGTTCCTATTTAGATCTGCTGCCAGCTCATAATCAATGTCCAAAGATACATTCATAGGTTGCAATTTCTTGATTTCATCTTGAACAGATCTATACTCTTCCTGAGAGAGTTCAGTTGTTTCTTTCTTGAATTGAAGATGAATGGGTCGGCAAAATCTTGACGAAGAAGGAACCGGATTTTGCCACAGAATACTGTCTTTTACCTTCAATTGCAGCGGAACTAGAGTAGTGCAGAATATGCTGCTGTCATCCAAAGTACCTGCAGTAGAAAAATAAAATTATTATGTCAGAAATGAATAATTGTGTACAGCAAACATGAATTCAAAATTACTTTAAAATTTCATCAGAATGAAACTTAAAATGTTATACTCATACATCATGTACGTCCAAATGTATCTATATTATCCCAACATTTGGAGGCTTTGATTATTTATTTTATCAAAACATAAAATATCATTGCTCATAAGAAATATATATAATTATCAGGAAATAAATATTAATGGAAACCTAAGCTTGTTTAATTGTTGGAGCATTAAAACCATGTGTTTTTATTTTACTTAAGATATGTCCTTTTTTTATTTGTTTCATGAATCAGCTTTAATGCTGATGTTGGTCTCTCTGATAAAAAAAGAATAAACGCATTTAGCTCTGTAGGGTGGAAAGAAGAAAACACGTACCTGCAGTAGACTTCTGTTTGTATTCACTGTGGCCTGATGAGCCGTCAAAGCCCAATTTGCACACCAATTCACAATTGAACTGTTCATCTTCTTCTAAATTTTCAATGACTCGCGTGATAGTGTCCTTCTGCTCCTGAATTATCCGAAGTGCAGTGTGGTCTAAGAGGCTTTGTAGGGGTACTTTCCCAGAGTCTTCCGTGACTGAGATGTCATTGGGATAACATTTTTCCTTAGCTTCCCTAATCTCGTTATACGGTGGATAAATATCAGCATTTTTACCTTTTGCAGCAAGTCTGGTTGTTTGGTATGCCTGTTTTGTCATTCCTGTTTCAACTAAAAGTGACAAAGCTTCTTCACTTGAGAATTTTAATGGTTCTTTCTTTTTTTCTGATATCAGTTTTCTTATTTTAGCTGGTCTTGATGGTGTTAGCATTGCGAATTTCAACACATATTTCAAACTTGAATTTTTCTTATACACGCCTTGAGATGCCGCATATAGAAGTTCCTCTGGTTCCCTGTCTTCTAGAAGGTGGTGTGCTTTTCTTTTTTTAGAACGATCTGAGAGAGTGTCCCAATTCTTAGCTGGACGTCCCACATTGGATGCGCCCTGTGACGTGCCTGGCAAGTCTGAAGTTGGCTCTGTTTCTGTCCCGGTATCTGTGCTGTTTTGCTGTGCAAGAAATGTTTCTACTTCAGTATTGAATGTCAATGTCTGATTAAGCCAGTCCTCGTTTTCTTTCATGAAATATTCCTGGCGACGACCACACTTGTTCCATTTCTCTCGCATACGATACAGAAAGCGTCCAATAGTCTTTGACAAACTCTTGAGAAGTTTTTGTGGGATGTTTGACTTGTTACCCAAATTATGATATGCACATAATGCATCAATGGATGTTTTGGATGCCAGTTTGATGTCTGAAATGAAGCCAGCTGAATGCACAGCATGAAAAAGCTGTCTTCTTAATACCGCCATCGTTTATTTCAATCCAAGTTCTCCTAGAATGATATCATATATGATTGCGAAATGCATCAACGTGTGAAAGCAATATACACTACGCTACACGCTCTACACTCACGTAACCGTTGCCATGGTTACGCGGACGAGCGTTGAATCGGCTGTGCGTAAACAGTACAAAATTGTACCGATTATGCCTAATAATAATCGATGGACGTGGGGAGAAAAAGCGCCTGCACATGCAGAGTCGCAAATTATGGCAAAAAGAAATACCATACATGGAAAGCATAGGTTTGGGCGGACATTTTGAGATTAACATCACTGCGGGAATCGGCCGGAATCCTAATTAATATGCTACTTTTATATAAAAATTGCATTTTTCCCCTTTTTTTGTGAAATTAAATGCTCATTTTTCCCAAAATGAAGCTTCCATAAATTTGGTCATTGTATTTTCTAATTGGGTTACCAATAGGCAAGAAGTGCACGCAGTATCAAGTTGATTGCTTTTCCCTTCATACATTCTCAACACCTAGTGTAAAGTTACCTTTTTTATCATTTTTGAAGCAACATATAGATTTTCCCATGTTCGCAGGGGTATATGACACTTTTAAAACTCGCTAAATATTAAAATATGGGTGGAAAAATATTCTTTAGAATGTTTTCTTCCCAAAACGAATGAAAAAAATATAAAAATTCACATTCGCCAATTTTGAATTTTGGCACACTTTGAGGCGATTCTGGCCCACTGTGCGCCGCCGTGTCCGTTTTGAGGAACTTGATTCAAAATTTGACCAGTCACTCAAATAAGAATTTAAGAGTAATAGTTTAATCTTTATACCATCTAGCTGTCAGTATACAAAAAGGGGTATTATTCGGCTGCCATATAATTTGATCAGCTTAAGTTTCCTCAGCATATTTTAAAAACAGAGGAAAAGAACATTTGTTACTTCCCTTCCAATTATATTAAGTTAATCTGAATGATGCATAAATGTTCGAAAATATTTCGAGAGCTCAATGATATATCAAGGTTCCAGTCAATACTCCGAAGCCTTTGAATAGCTTCTTACCTGGCCAAAAAATACCTCTTGAATTCCAGTCTAAGACATCTCCTGCCGTATCATATAGTCCTAATCGTTGCTCTAGAAATACTGACAGAGAGAGAAAAGGAGGGTCGTGGTAAAACATTGAATAACTATGAAAACAGATAAACATTATTTTATGGCTGGAGTATGTTTCACATGGCAGACAGGCAAATACACATAAAGCCTGGATAAAATATTTTGTATGTCAATGTTCAAAGACAAGAACTCGCTTTCAGCTCGACGAAGTGTGATTGGCATAAATATCTGAATTTGAATAACACTCGTCTTTCACGATCAAATCGATATCAGAATCAACAACTTGTAGACCTGATGTAATCATCTGCTCGAAATGCATACAATCACAACGGTCCATTATCTCACTCCCCTGAGCAGACTTAAGGTTCTATAGGGAAAGAGTCAGCATGCGATGTTTTACGGCGGATTTGCCGCCACGGCTACTCGTAATGTCAAGATAACCACTGTATTGTTACCATGGTTACATGGTAAAGTAGCTTACTGGTTGGTTGAGAGCAGATGAACGGGTAGGTCTGGTTGCAGTCTACGATGAGGAGATTGCCATCTTCGTCAGCTTGGTCGAGATCAATGACCATGCAACCACTTGTTAATGATGACGACCATGAGTCTGTCAAGGCTTGTAATTCAGACTGGTTCAACGAGTCGCTTACGTCATTAAACTGACCATCAGAGTCAACATACAGACCTATGTACCTGTGTGCATAAGACATTGAACCATTGTTATTGTATTTGCGGCCAACTACTACTACATGTACTACTTATACTGCTACTACTACTACTACTACTATTACTACTATTACTACTACTACTATACTACTACTAATACTACTACTATTACTACTACTACTACTACCACTTCTACCACTACTACTACTACTACTACTACTACTACTACTACTACTACTACTACTACGAGGATGTTCCTCTCCAGTTGTACACATTATCTTCTATCTACTCTTTTGTTTTCTATTTCATGACATGACTTGCGTTCATTTTCATATTACTAGTGCTGATTATAGATGTCATTTGCTATTCATCTTGCAATATATTTCTCCTATATCTTGTTCCTCAGCCTTTTTGATCTACTGCATCGAAATATCACCAGGAACTTTATGTGTTAGCTCACAACTTCTCTAATTTGAGTTGACTCTGTACCTCTGTGTGGTTTGTATGTTTCTCATACTTCCTAAAAGGCATACTCATTTATAATCAAATGTAGTATTCATCTTAGATATTCAAAGATGTCAATGCGTTACCATACACAATCGTATAAAAGAAATTAAAGTGAAAATTGAGTAGCCCTACGACATCGTACCATTTGGTATTCGTCATGCCATCTTCGGAAACGATGTCGATCAGGTCCTCGATTGCGTCCAGGGAAGGAGTAAATAACGTCCTATCACCCAATTGGCTGCATGCCGAACTGGCCACCGACCACGTCTCAATGTCGGTGTTTAAAGTCAGACACACAGATTCGATCTGAAACTGGTCGTTCGTGCAGCCCTCTGGAATCGAAAGGAGAACAAAAAAGCACAAAACTATAAATACAGTATTCTTTCTCAACTATACCTATTCTGATTTGATCTTAATTGAATGGAATCAGAAGTATCATTAAAGATCCATGTAACCTTTGAATATTAACTTTAGAAAGAAAAGAAACAAAAGCGACATGTCTGGTGACTTTTAGAAAATAGGTGTAGTTTCAAAATATATTAGTTTAAAAAATGCATTAATTTGAAGCATAACTGAAGCAAAAGATACACAGTCAATACCTTAATATTTGGCTGGAAGCAAAGGCACCACCAGCCTGTCCCCTGAATTAACGAGTTATACGGGAACTTAAAGAAGGTGACGTTAGACTGGAGACCGAGTACAGTGGTTTTATACGATGCTTGATGGAAGCTGTTCGATGCAAAATCAACAAATTTATTGCCGAAACCGACGCTCAATAATGGTCATAATTATCTGGTCTTAATGTGATATGAAATAGTAATTCGTTTGGGAGAAGAGGAAGGCATACTATACTTACGTTGAAGTTGTTCAATCTGAGTTATTCCCACTCTGTCTCCACTCTTGAAACTCACTGGCCCCTAACAGAGATAAATATAAGAAATGTAAATGTATGAGTTAAGAATGCAATATCGAATACATGTCGATGTAGATGAAATGTGGATATATATTACAATAGGAAAAAATATCTCGTGCTAGAGGAAATATATGTACATATATTTGTTTTCTCTCCATCTATTAAGAAAAAAATGCTTATGTTATAGTATGAAGAGTTATTGAATCAGAATTTTTCATTTTTCATTTAATTTTTGAACGCAAAATTATTCCTTTCTTGTAATGGGTATTCAAACACATCGAGCCACGTGTTGATGAACATAATGTTAAAGATTTTTAGTAACTTTCTCTCTCTCTCTCTCTCTCTCTCTCTCTCTCTCCCCCCCCTCTCTCTCTCTCCCTCTTCCCTTCTCTTCTCTCTCTCCCTTCCCTCTCTCTCTCCCTCCCTCACCCCCCTCTCTCTCTCTCTCTCTCTTCCTTTCCACTTTTCTCCCATCATCCCCATCTCTCCCTCCCTCTCTCACTCCCTCTCCTCTCACCGTAATACCGGTGAATTCCGTTTCATTCAGGAGACGAAAGAAGAGTTGAGCCATCTCTTTATCCTCGTATGTAAAGTTTTCCAGTCTCCTAGGAACGCCATCTTTGAACGTCATATTCTTCAGCACCTCTACAGAACGGTTAAACATGAGAGCTACGGCCCAAGTTGCGTCGTATCCGAAGGGCGCCAGATTATTGAAGGTATAATTCAGATTAGCGTACCGTGGGCTGTCTAGTCGCTGTCGTATCTCTTTGGTGTACGTCTCAGCAGTCTGCATGGGAACGGGATACATATGATAATATTTCTGTTTATATTGCTCCAAAAGTTGAGTCTGATCAAAGGAGTAAAATGTTGTAAAACACTGGAACAACCGAAAATTAAAAATTTGATAAAACAAGAAAAAGACAGTGAAGCAAAATTAAACGATATAAACGAATACGAAGAACGAGAGTAGGAGCGACAAGAATGGTGAATAAGTGACTGTGTTCACTGTTCACATGAACTTGACTTCTTTGTAAGTTTGCCAACAACTTTTCATGAAGAAGAAACTTTTTCATATCTGTGGTAGCAATAATTATGTCGACAGAAATTTAGAACAGGAAGTTAGTGTATTGTCGCCCATACTGACACATCCCCTCCCTCTGTAGCCCCTGGAGTCTTTCCGAACATGCCAGAGGTTATTAGATCAATCCATTCGGAATTGACAATAGCGGTGACAAAAATGGCTCCGTCTTCTCCAAATCAAAGTCGGGATGTAGTCCCTGAGGGATCAATAATAAACAAATCATCTCCGTTTTTCTACCATGAGGTGTTATTATCATTCATTAAAGCAGCTACTTTACGAATACGCAACATCGTTTGGAACGGTTTTTAAGAATGGGCATTATTATAATCTATCTATAGCAAGGTCGTCGATAATGTCAAGGGATATATTATTAGTTTGTCCATGAATTGGAGACTGATCTGCGGACGGACAATTACGCGAGTGAGATATCAACAATTCTCTTGTCTTTCCTCATTAAATGGGACAAGAGGCTTAGATAATAATGCTTTTAGTCCAATGAACACACACAAAGCAAGTATTAATTGCCAATAATTTCAGCGGAATAATTGCCCACGTGGTACAGGTAGAGGAAGCGTTGTGAAATTTTGATGGATTTTTGTTATCTCAGCATTCTATTGAAACTAACACGTTTCGATATACGATCAGTGGAACTATAATGACACGTTAGAGAGACATAGTGCAATACCAAAATATACAAAATTACCAAAAATAAGTGTTGTTATGATCGTGACTTATCGTTCATCTATCTAATATGGACTTTCTATTTGAGAAATAATCACTCGTCATTCAACAAATTACTCGGCATACAGCTGCATCTGTATTGAATCACTCACATTTTGATTCAAACTCCTGAGTGTTCTGTTAGGTCCCTAGTCAATTAATGCTCTCAGGCTTCGCTGCGTAGAAAACCACTGACACATATTACAAGTGAGGAGAATCACGCGTTTATTTCTTGATTCTTTATTCATCAGAGTAATGGAACCAGTATGCGATTTCCTCTAAATGAAGTAATCAATCATCAAAAGACTATATTTGAATTAGCATGATCAAAGCCTGATGTTTGAATTGGGACGTCAGAGAACTGCAATTAAATACAATTTGATCACGAGGTGATGTGTTGTGAGAAACAACTTATCTTATCAATAATTAGTCTCTGAATTTGATAACAAAATATCTCATTGATTTTGATGAATTCCAACAACTTTCATTAATATTTTTTTTTAAATAAAACATATTAAAACCAATTAAACAATCATAATTATGAAGCTATGTCGACTTCAAAAACTTCATACCGTTGTCCACGTATCACATTGTTAAGATTTCTAGAAGATTGCATTCATGAGTAAATATATATGACGCTTCTAAGCAGGGCTCCCACTAAGCCGAGTTGGAACCTCGAGTTGTGGCGAGCTGGCGCGATCTTATGGCAAGCCGTTTTATTATTAATTGATATCAATAAATCAATTCTTGTTATCAAGAAATGATTTAATGTTATAAAGCAATGGTAATTCTTGATATCAAGAATTCGATTTCGTGATATCAGGCATTCAATTTAATTCAATTCTTGATATCAAAAAATATGTTTTAATGATAAAACGGCTTGCCATAAGATCGCGCCAGCTCGCCACAACTCGAGGCTCCAACTCGGCTAAGTGGGAGCCCTGTTTTACATAAAGAGTTAAGCAGGGCTCCCACTTAGCCGAGTTGTATTAGCGAGTTATGGCGAGTTGTGGTGAGTTGCCTCAAAGAGGCACTCGCAATAAGTCGCGAACAATTCGGTATGGCTTAGCGTAACTCTTTACAACATTCCTAGACTCTCCTCGAAGTCGCGAGCAGTTCCAAAATTTTGAACATGTTCAAAATTTGTCCCCGATTCGTTGTAATTCGAGGTGAACTCGCCTACACTCGAAATATTCACGCATTACTCGTAACAAGTTCGCGCTGCACTCTTCGTAACTCGTAGCAACTAGCCACCTTATGAAGAGTGCAGCGCAAGCTTGTTACGAGTAATGCGAGCATATTACGAGTGTACGCGAGTTCACCTCGAGTAACAACGAATTCACCTCGAGTAACAACGAATCAGTGAAATAAAGATTCGTTGTAGCTCGAGGTGAACTTGCTTAACACTCGTAATATACTCGTAGCAATTCGCCACCTCATGAAGAGTGCAGCGCGAGCTTGTTACAAGTAATGCGTGTATATTACGAGTGTAGGCGAGTTCACCTCGAATTGCAACGAATCGGGGAAATTTTTTGAACATGTTCAAATTTTGGAACTGCTCGCGACTTCGAGGAGAGTCGTGGAATGTTGTAAAGAGTTACGCTAAGCCATACCGAATTATTCGCGAGTTATTGCGAGTGCCTCTTTGAGGCAACTCACCATAACTCGCTAATACAACTCGGCTTAGAGCCCTGCTTAGAGTATAATAATGCAATGGAAGGTTTTATTATGCTGTATTGAAAGTAAACTTATCACGAACGAAGTATATTCACTATCTGTATTTTTTCCCTTTTCTAATTAATGATACTTTGTGATTCATGTTTCCTGTCGTCTGAATTCTGATTATTCTTTATCTTCAATTCTCTTTCAATTATCGTACCTATCTATTCATCTTAATTTCCCCAGTGTGTCTAATTCTCCTTTATATACATCTTAATCCTTCCCCTTTTCTTAGTGTTCTTAGCATCACCAAGGTCTTCAGAAGAAGGACAGGTTTACTTACCAGACCAGTGATTCCCGCTTCTTTACTTGGGCTAAGCTGTAAGCTCTCAGTAGCGATGTAATACGATCCCTCGACAGCTTCTTTCATCTGAGAAATAGTACAAGTTACATCGGGGTCGGGAACCTGGTACCAACCATCGCTATACCAACCGATCATGAACCAAACGAACCCTTCTCCTGTTAAACCCTGTTTGTAGGCCTAGACAGAAGTATATCAAGAAATATAATGTAATTACCACATGACACAGTGCATACTAATCAAGATAAAAGACTCTCGTTCGTAACCATAGGCACGGCCTCGTCTAAGTGTACATTATTTGAAAAGCATGTTAGGCATAAGCATTAGGGCTTATTACGTAAATCTTTATGAATCAGGAAAAGCTTTGTGAATTACGTACACAACCTATCATTAATGATTGACGTAACTACACCATATGCAGATGATAATATGTGTTATAAAATAACAGAATGGAAGGCGAACAGAAAACTGAAGTTGAATACACGTTTGGGAACTCATATTTGATTGGTGAAAGAAAAATATTATTTTTGAATATAAATGTCCCAACTTAATGAGGAGCCGGAACATTTACCAACTCGTTCAGAATACCACTTATTATAGAGCTAAATGCTAAACAATGCTGATTTATACTTTTTGTTTACCTCACAGAAAACCCTTCGTGCCATGTTCTCATACATGTTTGCAAGGATGATCTTAGCATCTTGATTCTGCATAGGAAGGAAGGGGAATACATTGATTATATTATCGATACAAAAGATACAAAGGCAAGAGATAATCATTATCAGAAATGTATAATATTTCCTTTCAAATGTTAAACTTTGTTCTGACTTGTAGATAATGAAGATATAGGCGATTCTGACAAGGTTTTATAAATGATTAAGACAAACAACTAATAACACAATCGTAAATTTTTTTTCATTTTTTTTAAAAACTTCAGTGCTATTTCAATACCCTATCGTACATCCCCTAGAATCAGGGGCAATGACAGTTTCCTGCTTAGATTTCGAAGTTATAATAACATTATGTATTAGCCTAATTTCGTCCCATTCCTTTTCAGAATAGTTTTGTAACGGGCCACAAATACCACTTCATTCTTTTATACTTAATGCATTGCCTTTTAAAATCATATCAATGATTTTAAATCGGAAGCTTAAGTTAAGCTTCCGGTCATCATGACTATTACTATACAACATGGCTGCCGCAGGTGCAATAGAAGGTTATTTACCACTCCTAAATATCAGCTAATTTGTAAACCAATCTTTTCAATCAATATTTTCAACTTATACTATCCCCGTAACAAATGACAAGTGAGGTTTCGATGAAAAGCCGCGTATAATGAACGTATATTTATGGAAGATATTCAGCTGATTTCTTAAGCTTTATTCGAAAGGTATTCCCTCGTGACGACGCCAAGTGGCTTTTTTGGAGCTGCCCTAGTAGAAAGGAAAGTATGTGCGTGTTTATATATGTGGGGCGGGGTCGTATTGACTTTTAAACAAATAAGGAATCAGTAAATGTTTGGATTTACCCCCTCTCTCTTCCCCGTCATACATGTTTGCGCATCTCCTTATGCAACTCTGTGCTTAATATTGTTCTTATTGTGGTGTATGTGTGAGTGGGAGCATGGGTGTGTGTGTGTGAGAGGGAGGGTGTGAGGGAGCATAAGGTTGTGTGTGAGAGGGAGGGTGTGAGTGGGAGCATGGTTGTGTGTGAGAGAGAGGGTGTGAATGTGTGTGTTTGCGCATGGTTGTGTGTGAGAAGGAGGGTGTGTATGTGTGAGTGGGAGCATGGTTGTGTGTGAGAGAGGGAGGGTATGAGTGGGAGCATAAGGTTGTGTGTGAGAGGTTGTGTGTGACTGGGAGCATGGATGGGTGTGAAAGGGAGGGTGTGTATGTGTGAGTGGGAGCATGGTTGTGTGTGAGAAGGAGAGTGTGTTATGTGTGTGGGAGCATGGTTGTGTGTGGGATGGAGGGTGGGTGTGTGTGTGTGTGTGAGCATGGTTGTGTGTGGGAGGGAGGGTGGGTGTGTGTGTGTGTGTGTGTGTGGGAGTATGGTTGTGTGTGAGAAGGAGGTTTTGTATGTGTGTAAGGGAGCATGGTCGTGTGTTAGAAGGAGGGAGTGCGTGTGTGTGTGGGGGTGCATGGTTGTGTGTGAGTTGGAGTGTGTGTATGTGTAGTCCTACATGTCGAAAAAATGACTAGACGAAAGTTGCTCAACATGTTTTTTTCAAGGAAACCGCACCCCAAGAAATAACTTTACTTATTCTGGGGATTTATTATAGTCTTGTCCATTTTTGTCTACAATATTCTCCCACCAAAGTCTATGGGAGAAGCATAAAGCAAGAATAATGTACAGTTACTCAGCATGACATGGGCATCACCGTTTTCTTGATAACGTGACGTACTATGTGAAGTCGTTTATCAAGTAAATATATTCAAACTTATGGATGCTTCCTTCCCAGGTGTGTGTAGTGATGAAGCATTTCATTTACCTGCTATTATCCTTTCTACTACAATCACCAGAACGCAAATTGCTTAAATAAGTAGGTACTCTTCTGGGGTTAAGGTTTGTAACAAAATTAAATAGATTAGTCAAGTCTTATATTTTAGTATTTTGAAATGAATTAGTTACAATGCTTCTCCTTTTATTTATTCTTCACCAAGTGTAATTTTTATCTTCTCAGCTATGATTTTTCCTCATTGAAAAGTAATGTTTTTGTTACTGATTTTGAAAGTCTTTCCAACTAAAAGCTTGGTGCATGATACATGGACAACTTTACTTGGCACGTCACGTTTTCAAGAAAATGGCAAGAATATCTTCGTTATGTATCTCTTATACATTTTCGTAAGGAATATTGTACATCAACGGGCAGGAATACGTCTCCTTTTTTCAGAATACCTACATACTTTAGGTGAGGTTTCCTTTAATGTGCCCCGGCATTTCCTCCAATGACTCTATAGCATATTCACTCTTGGATGTACCATTATATTAAATTTGTCAGTACCGTTAATATCAAAATAACAATTTGCACCAATCGTTGCTGTAGAGGTATTCTTAATATCACGAATCTAATAAAGAGGAGCAATTCATTTATCACATTTACGGAGTGAAATGGGAGATTCATGATATTAAAAAAATGACGGGATACAAATAGGAAAAGCGGAATAGGTGAAAGAAACTGGGTGAAACGAATAGAGAGAGGGGGGTAGGCAGAGATAATTACAGAGAGAGAGAGAGAGAGAGAGAGAGAGAGAGTCAGAGAGGCAGAGGGAGAGAAAGAGATGAAGACTTACCTTGAGATTTTCTACTTGATTTCTTGGGTTCTCTGAGAAGCTTTCAGAGGTAATGATGGTGATGTTAGCTTGTCGCAAAAGAGTAAGTAGATTATCGATCGCCTGGATCAGGGACAAAGGGCAGAACAACTTCAGAACAAATTATTTCGTACTTCCAATACCATGACAACGTTCTCGCAATACTATAAATGAATTATATAAATATTATTGAGTTACATAAAATCCACGAATATTTTAGGCTATGAACTGTTTTTAATTTCTCTTTGGAGGGCAATCTTTGAACCCCTTTTAGCGTACGTTGGATTTTAACATGAGCTTTGATCACATGAACAAATTTCGTTTTTTAATTTTTTTTTTTACAAAATAAACAAATTTTATGATAAAAGTTATTGATTAAAAGCGACATATATTTTGACTTGATTTATTTATTTATTCACGGTAAAAGCCCAGTTCAGCTGTAGTGTTTGGCTGTTTTACAATGGGGCCGTGCATATACAATACAAATACAAATTAATTATAAAAACAAAACCATATATCATATAAAGAATAACGAAATAGTAAAATGACTGATGACAAATCGAGTAGAGAGAAATCATATGAAATTTGAATGCCTGTATACGTAAAAGTGAAGTTTGTTAAAAGTTGGTAGAAATAAACATATTGTAAAGAAATATCAAAAGGATTATAACCAAGACATAAATATGATAAAATATGCTGAAAAATGATATATAAATTATATATTATATTGAAATAAAGTGAAAAAATAGTAAACATAGTTAGATTCATTAAAATTATTTTTTTAAAGGATATAAATTAAATACGGGTTTACTGATTATTAACATTTAAAACATTTATTAATACGATAATAAAGCATTGTCAAGTTGTATTTAGGCACAACAACAAAAATTTAATTATATTTTAAACCTATATACAAGGATAGTAAAAATTAGTAAAATATTAGTAAATACAATATACAATTTAAGGTACCTTTTCATCCCACTAACTATTTCTGTAACAAAAATTAAAATTTGTGGAGGGAGGCATTTATTTTTATTCAGCAAATTGCCTCATTATTGGCGTATACAGTCCAAAATAATCAAATTATCTTTAAAATTGTAGAACACGTTCACATGATAAAACCAAAATGCTATCAGATCAATTCTATCGATTGTGTAGTTAATTCATAAAAATATATATAACGATTATGATCCCGATAATAATTGAACTAGTCCATTTTCCTTAATTTACTTAATTTCACTGATCATGCTGAATTAGCTGGTCAAAAAATTTCCATAAGCAATTAAAATTAATTGTATACAGTATATAAACATGTATCTATTATATATTTCATTGATTAAATAAATTTATATTTCAAACGATTACACATAAAATAAGATGTGCTAACGTCAAACAATAACAAAGGAAAGATAATGACAAGACAAGTCTGCAAAATAACTAAACATTGACAAGGGTTAGGACATGCAAGTTAACGAATAGAATACAAACAAACTTTTTCTCTTAACTTATCCAGCGATCAATTAACGCGTTTATAACTTAATATTACTATCTATGATTCATACCTGCTTGAACATCAATGGTCATAACCTAGAAATCTTAATGTTACACTAGTCAGAATAAAGCTGTTATTGAGAAAATCGATCAATCATCATTTATCACCCTACTCTAAGAGAACCAATATGTATATTCAACACGTGTCTTGAGTATAGTTATTCCTCGAGTAGATGGAAATATAATATTACGAAATATGGTAATGTTTAGTTACAATTGAAAATCTTGAAAAGAAAAATACGCTTATGATTGACGACAATGTTTATATGTCTATTTACTAATTTCTCTTTGCAAATCATTAATCTAATGTCGCATGTCAACATTGCAGAGACATATTTAAGATTTAAAGATAAGTACAAAATTAAAACTGCAAAAATAATCCCAACAAATATCGATATGGATAGTACATAAAAGATATAGAATATGAAATCATACTCGGAAAATAGTCATTTTTTCAAACTGATGTAGGTTGCGATTCAATGTGTCTTTTATATTAGTTTACGTATGATGCATTATTCAAAAGGGCAATGGACGGATATCATATCAAATATTAACCTCATCTTTCACTTTCATTTTGAGTATTAAGCTGCCCTCCATCCTTTCTTCCTCTCTCTCTCTCTCCCTCTTTGATTTCACTTTCTATCTCCCACCCCCTCTATCTTTCGCTCTTTCTCTTCCTCCCTCTTTGCCTGAACACATGGTTTCTCCATGAACCCATCAACGTTTATTTAATAGCTCCATACAAAGCTTCACCCACAAAATAATGAATGATTTATGCAAATTGCGCTCACGTAAATGCGAGAAAACTAAGTAATAGTGAACTAATGAGAGTGAGTGTAGAATCCATATTACATTTGCCTGTTATCCATGTCGGTAACACCCATCGGCATTTGACTTCTCTTTTACTTTATTTCCACTTTTCACACACATGAAAATCAAAGTGCAGGTGCAGATATAGAGGTAAACAGAACTTTTGAGGATTCAAGATATTAGGACAAACCCAGACAATTTACATGAAAATACATATTATTGCAAATTATGTCCTGAAGTATGTTAAACTTTAACTTTTATGTGTATTTTACTTTCTTTCTTGAATTACTTGATGGTCGTATCCCCACAATTATACAATTTTCACACAACTGCGCCAGGAGTATCATTTTTCATTATTATTAAAAGAAAAAAATCAAAGACTTATCTCATGTAATGAAAAGTTCCTTAGATTTCTAGCTTTCAAAAGTCCTTTTGGGTAATTTTGCGTTATACCTAAATAACTAAATCATCCTAAATCATGCAATGGCGACTTTTTATTTATTTATTTTTCGCTATTTAATGTAATTCAATCATATCATAATCTACTTATGTTTGACATTTAGAGTAATACCTTTTGCCTCGACAGAATAAAAGTCAAAAAGAAGTTAATAAATCTAGACTAATGATTCAAATCGTTATAAAGAAGTCTTTCAAACGCGTAAATCATCTCTTAGTGCTATAAGTATACAAAGAAAGCAGACAAAAACACATGCAGCCATATATTATGTCGTTAGTTATATCACAAAGATGAATGTATTCTTTCTTTTCGTCGATTTCAGCACTGAATCGTTAACATTGACTATTATGCACATATCGCATCGTAATAGTTTGACACACGCAAAAGAGAAAAACAAAATGACAAGAGAGCGGATGAAAAAGCTTCCAGCATGACACTGGTGGTGTAAATGAACTCCACGACTCCTAACAAATCATACAAAGATTCATTTCTTTCTTGTGATGACTTCGTCTTTCTTAAGGTGGAGGTCCATTATCATACATTTCCTATAATCACAGATATTCATCCCTCAGGGGTAATCGTTCACATGACATTTCCAAGTTTCTATACGTCCCTCCCTCCTCCTTATGTTTCCACGTTTATACCCTCTCTCTATTTCTTACTCGGTTTTAACCTCTCTCTATCTCTTTCTACGTCGCCTCTTTTGTTTCTTTCGTGCAGCGTCCAGGGACGGTCTGAAACGATGTGAAGCAAACTGAGTTTAAAGTTTAATCATGGGCAAAAACACTATAAAAAAACACGACATATTACTTTTAATATTTTTCCGGAAAATGAAAGAATATCACGATCGCAATTTTTCTTTTGCAAAAAATTGACGCGAGGCAATTCTAACAGCTTTGTACAACCTATTGAAAATTGAGAAAATCCAAAAACTTATTATATAATCCAAACATAATTTTTACATGCAATATTGGATGTTGCATATGGGGTATTAATTTGCACTTGATTTGATCATTACACCTTTTGTGAGGTGGTTTTAAGCCGTTTTAAGAAGGAGAGATTCTCTAACCGCAAATATTTATCAATATATATATATTCAACCAAGGTGAATACATTGACATGTAATATGAACAGTCAGTTGAACCTGTAATAATTATGTCTGCAATGTTCGATATGACATTGTGCTGTGTAATGCGAGATTTGCCCTTAAATTGGGGGATCTGTACCCCTTCAAAACACTCCGTGAAGTTTGATATGTTTCCCATATTTGGCGGCAAAATCAAGGGAAATACAGGGACGATACTTCTACTCGATCTACACACCGGAATCTGGAGACTACTCAAATCATAACATAACGTTATATCTTAAAGAAAGGGTGTTTTTGTCATTGATAAACAAGGTGCACCTTTCAAAGTAGTGTCTAGCTTGTGGTCTGCGCTAGTGTATAGCTTTAATGTAATACAATTACTAAACTATATAAGTTCAGATACGAAAATCTAACCGATGGCCTCCTCACCCAGTTAGGAGGTAACGGTGGCCCGAATAAGTTATGGGGAGGGGGTTCCAGCCACCTTGCCCCTTCCCCTCGTCTGTGTTTTATCTGTAAATCAGTATTCACATCATAACCTCTCTATTGTTTTTTCCATGTTGCTTAACTATAAGGACATGGTGACATACCTCTCCATTTATCCATCAATTCTCGCTCCCTCTCTCTCTCCCCCTCTCCCCCTCTCTGTCTCTCCCTATCTCTCTCTATCTCTTTCACTCTCTTCTCTCCTCCTCTCCCTTTTATCATGTTCATTTGAGTTCAATAGAGCCCTAGCTTCCTATCCTCTCTCAATAGCACGAGTTACTTAGAACCTGGTTATTCAGACAATCCCTCCCATCTTGTTTTCTTGTCATCATCATTGAATGCATCCTTTTCCAGATCACTTTTCTTTTTAATCTCCCTAATAGCATGATGAACACTGGCTCATTTCAAATTTTATATTATTAATATCAATATATTTATTGTTATTGCGATATGATAATGTACGTTGATAAAATGAACCAGAGAAAGGGTGTCTCAAGAATAGGGAAACAAGTTGATCTTCTCTATTATTCATTAAGAAAAGCCTGCATACAATTTCGATGAAAATAATCTTAAGTGGCTCAACTCAACCTTCCCTCCTTCTACCTATCAACGACAAACGAACGTTTCCCGTTCATTTGTGATCACGTTTTTCACGTTTACCGTGGGTGTACTTGTTAAAATGTCGCACTATACAAACTAAGATTAAATTAGCACTCGTAACAAAAAAACTTCTTTTGTCATGAACTTTATAATAGCAGTCGAACAAATTAGATTACCTTACTAATTAATTACAATCAACCAAACAAGATTGCACGCATGGTTCATTGTATATGACAATATCGAACTCTATATAGAGCTAGTTGCACTAAATCCATTACTCTGCCTCAGGTTCTAGTTGCTTACCGGTACAACCCATTAGGTTAATCGATTTGTTTACACATTCTACATGTGTTCCCATCAGAATACAAATTAAGGTGTGATAACAATACATATATTTACAATGACACAGACATTATATCAAATAAATCACAGAATCACATTTTGTTTGTATTACTTGTACCGTAATGAAACAGCTTTCATTTTCCAGTACTCGATTAATGTCAGTCTTAACCCAAATACATTCGAATATCTCTTTAGAAGCTGTTTCTATTAAAAAGACGAATATAATCACAGTGTTTTCCTTGAAAAATTCACTAACTTACACGGCCTCAAGAAGAAGAAGAAGAAGTCAACAGGTGCGTTGATGAATGTATGAAATCAGGCGTGCTTAATATGCATGTGCTAGTATAGGTGTTATAGGTGTTATATCGTGCTTTGAGGTACTATAGTATTATAGGTGCTATGTACCCAGGCATGTATGTACCCGTAGGTGCAATAACAAACACAATGTTATTCCTGAAATGTGCTTGTAACACGGTAAAAATATCGAATCCATTCCTAAAATACACACAAACAACAGTATAATAGCACCGTTTGGTGCTTTTAACTATTCCTTTTTTTTTCTAGAACTTTGACACGTAATGGAAGAAAAAAAATAGACAGGGACAGTACGTAATTAATGCCATGCACAAATCGAACACGGTTAATAGGGTGGTGTGTGAAAGGAAGTACATGCTGGGGTGAAGATACGAAACACGTGAGACACCGACGCACATTAAGGTGGTAAATATGAACTGTCTTACAAGCGAGAAAAGCTCATGATTCTCGTGAATAGTGGCGACCCTTGTCCATCCATACTCCTTGATGAGACGTACCCTAGCAGGGTTATACATAGAATCTGGCATGTAAGTCCGATAGAACAATGGATACTTATTCCTGTTTGACAGGATTGATGACGCAGCAGCATACGACATCTAAAGAAATATAGGGATGAAAATAAACATCTATACGATTTAACGCGAGTTATAAGTATACATATTGTAAGTTCGACTTGCCTCAACACAAACAGAATAAAGCCGCCAAATATCTCACAGAAAATCGATAAAGGTACCACATATCAACTTCATGACCCCCCCCCCCCCCCCCGAAGAAAAAACTACGACAATTTTACTTTGATTTCTTCAATCCTCAGATATGGGATTGTAAATTATGTGCAGATTTATCTATTTTATATCTAACACGTCTTATCTATTTTAGAGGCGGGGAGAGTTGTGAACGGATTGAACACATATTGATAAATCACTGAAGGCCCATCAATTCAATGAGATATGTTTCGTTTACAATGCTTTAGCGGCTTGATTCTGCGTGTGTACAAGCATGGTATATTATCTTACTAAAGAGAAGATTTCATGATTTTCATGGAGCGTAGCCACACGTGTCCAGTTAAACTCTTTGAGGATTCTAATACGTGCTGTGTTATACAATGTATCAGGCATATATGTCCGGTAGAATGTAGGATATTTCTCCATGTTGGATAACGCAGGTGACGAAGCTGAATAAGACATCTATATAAAATCACAAAAACATAGTAACTAATATCACTGATTGAAATAGGATTATCGAATATTCCCGTGTTAACTTACCAATTTTTATTTAAAAAATCTTCCCAGCTTCCCAAAAGTAGAAAAAATGAAACAGATCGAACGAATAAATATAATCGCACAGTTCACAACACGGACGCGTTGACGATGGAAAAATAATATTTGGGAGACTACTTCTTAAATTAGGGCTAACTTCATAGAAGAGGCGTGGTGGTCTAGTGGATAAGTCATTAGACTTTGTAGATCACAAGGTACGAGGTTCAAATCCAAGCCCGGCATTAATGTCCCTTTGCCACTCTCCACCCAGGTTCAAAATGTGTTTGTGATATGCTGGAGCGCTGGTTACTTTGGCGGCTCGGCTATAACTAGGGTAATAATTTATAAGTGCCATTAACGACACTGCGTGACGGGTATGAGCGCTATGCAAGTGCCCATTATTATTTCATATTTTCAGTAGAAAGAACATATTAGCAACAACAACAAATGTCGACTTCCCTTTAAAATAGGCTTACCTGGGCCTCAAATGCCTTATATTTAGCAATAATAAAATTCACATCTTTCCAGCGTGATAATGTTTTACCATCTTCTCTTGATTATATGCTTCAATGTTGTACCATCTGAAGTCGATTAAACGTATTCACATTCTAAAGACGATGACAAGTTTGGTTGTGACTTGATTTTCGTCTCTACAATACAATACAAATTTGCAGCTTTAATTGTGCATTAATTTTGCCAAACATAATTATGGTGCGTGTATGACGGTTTCTACCCAAACTCTCATGCTTTTATGATGCTGCGTTCTCTTAAAGGTGAAATTCAAAGATAATCACAAATATGTCAACTAATGTATCACTAGAAACTGGTAAGCTAACAGATGACCATCGTACAAGTTTTAGGTCAACTACATATCGGGTGATTTATAAAAAATACAAATAAAACAACCTCCGTAGCATCTGGGATATACGAGAGATTCGCCGGAAAAAATAACGATGTTATAATGACGTCACTATATGGACCAATACTGCCCAAGCAGAAGACATCCCATAAAGAATGAACATAATTGCAAAGCTATTATTTGTCGAATTATAATGAGTTTAGTATATATAAATGTAATGGCATGTCAAACCATTCAAAAGGGGATATGACCCGATTCTGATAACTACAATCTTTTGCTTGTAAATACACAGGATAGGGGTTAACTTACAATCAAAGAAACCAGACTTTCAAATTGAAAACCCCCCGGAATGATACTAAGGACGGCATTTGTTCCCCTTTGGAACACCGAACATACCGCGGTGTGTGCAGCTGAGTATACAATGGCGTTTTATTTTGTTTACAAGCGACAGATTCCTTTATTTTTGTATCGCTGCATTTGTCATCAAAATAAAACCATGTGCGGGGTTTAAAGTGAGGCAATAGGATATACATTTAGCTTGACGGTAGTGAAGTAAGAGAAAAAACTCAAGAGAAGATGAAAACACAGGCACTGAAAATGTGTAAGATGTCATGGGACATCGTCTGCTTGTGCAAATCATGTCCATACTGTGATCTCACACATCTCAGCAGCGTTCGGAGAGCTCGTCAGGTGCTATGCCGGGGCTGTATTTAAGCATTTTGTAATTTATAATAAGCATTACTTCAAATATTTCCAAGCATTGAATTTTGATAACCTTGTCGAATCAAAGTTTCAACTTTGCAATAATGAACATAAAATTAGTTATTAAATTCAATGAATATCTACTTTTAAAAAAGAAGAAAAGAAACGTAAGTAATTAACTTGGTTTTCTCGAGTTGAATCAAGGATTCGTAATATGGTTAATTAAGGCTTGGTGATAGATGACAAACAGAATCATTAAGCTTCCAATCGTGACAAGTTTGGTTGTGACTTGATTTTCGTCTCTACAATACAATACAAATTTGCAGCTTAAATTATGCATTAATTTTGCCAAACATAATTATGGTGCGTGTATGACGGTTTCTACCCAAACTCTCATGATTTTATGATGCTGCGTTCTCTTAAAAGAGAAGAAAAGAAACGTAAGTAATTAACTTGGTTCTCTTGAGTTGAATCAAGGATTCGTAATATGGTTAATTAAGGCTTGGTGATAGATGACAAACAGAATCATTAAGCTTCCTACCGTGACAAGGTTCCAGTAGTGTGCTGTGCCAGCTACGGCTTGTGTAGCAGTTGAACAAGCTGGACCAAGAATCATCAATTTCTGAGGTTCTCTGAAGATCTGATCAAAGAGGATCTTGGTTCCTAGACCAGCATCACACTGTCAAAAAACAGACAATAAAAACTGATTGAATGATAATTGCATAATGTTACCTCAATAAAAAAAGATATGATTAGAAGCCTGCTCCTATGGACATAGCTGTAAAGGTAGCACAGTATCGGTCAGGGTTAAACATTTGGTAGAATGGTTTTCGCTTAGTGCATGTTTGCAGTTGGACCAAGAACAAATCGAAAATCTTTCTTTTTTATAAAAGTTTTTTTTGAAGCACACAAAAAAGGACGATAAATAATTAAATGGTTAGGTCTTATTTATTCAGGGTAGCCACGTGATAGTCATATTTTGCTTTCTCTGCTAGCCCTGCAATTATAAATTCCTCAGCAAATGCCGTGGATCTGCGTGGACCTGAGTGGATAGCGGCTAATGTGGATTAATGTCTTACCAAAGGACGTAAGTGCCGAGCTGGTATTCGAACCCTCAAGACTTACATTAAAAGTCAAGTGTATAAATCATTCTACAACAACACCTTCGCATGACATAGGTCGGTGTTATCCATCCGGATCTACATCTTAATTCCTGTTTTGACTTGTTGTTCCCAATTGATTTATGATCATTTATGAAATAAAAATATTTCTCTCTCTCTCTTGTCTTTTCTTTCTGACTTCCTCTCTGATTTCTCTCAGTATTATATCTGATTACCTCCTTCCTTTGCTCTTTACGTTCTATCGCACATTCTTTCTCTCTATTCGCACTCTCTAATACCTTTCACTCTCTCATACTACCTGTTACCCCCTCCCTCCTCCCCCACTCACTCTCTCTCTCTCTCTTTCTCCCTCTCTCACTCTCTCTCTCTCTCCCTCTCTCACCCTCTCTCTCTCTCTCTATCTCTCTCTCTGTTTGTGTATCATGTGTGCATTATACATGCGACCTGGCGTGTCTCTGCCCAAGCTATAAAGGCTCTTTTGATAAAACCAACACTGAGAACCATAATCATGCACCGAATATGATTAGATCTTTTCAATAGACACACTAATAAATCACGCGGTGCAGATTACCCTGCATCACTGCATATACATGTATTGTAAATTAATGTACTTGTAACCGTGACCAAATCCAAGGAGATTATATTTGCATACAGGTCCCGGATACAGGTATAATATAGTAAGGGTGCAAATTGTACCTTCGTATGGTATTGTAAACGATTATAATCGTATCGGAGATTACAATGTTCTTACGATCAGTAACAAATATTACACCTTCCAACAGGTAAGGTAAATTGAGTATATATACGTAAGTGTGAATTGTCGATGGTGGCACTCATAATCGTTTACAATAATCATTCATATGAATGAAATAATACCAGCTTGTTTGCACATGTTACATATCTCAATGATTGATACTTCTCCATAACTATTTCAAATCATTGTAATTAGATATGTGTTCATCCGAAAACACACTTCCCTGCGTGTATTGAGTATATTTATTACAATTTGAGTGATTGATATCACAATAACAATGGAAGGTATCATGGTATGGTCCGTTTGTGTCTGTGAATACATTCGGAATGAGAGCAATAAATCATTTTTTGAAGTTATTCATTCAGGGATGAGCAAAGTAGAAAAATGAGTCATTTTCAAATTTACACAAAGCACTTGAAAAACGAAAGAGTATGTCGATGGGCAAAGCATCTATCCTCGAGTTTGATATTTTATTTATCAATCCCATGAAGGTATTAAAAATGATTAATAAAATGTTTTGGGCTTATGGGTTAAAAGATGAAATTAAAATCACACAATAGAGTGATTATCAACAGGTGAATTCTGCATTATTAATAACTCATTATAAAATCTAGAACTACAAAGCATGACTGCATGTACTTATTGGACCAAATAATTGAAATCAGCATTTGAAAAGAGATTGATCATGTTTCTCACTATGTCATAGATTATTAAGAGGTTATGAATAGACTCCATTATTTCTAAAAAGCGACCACGGTATAGGCTCTTGCTAATTAACGGCCACCACAGGCCTTCCAACTCCATATTCTTCATCTGGAATCATGAGGATGGAATCGGTCTTACTCGGTCTAATAGCAGGCAACTGATTAGACAGAAAATTCAGTCTTCTTCGTTCGGGGATATTGTTCCGCTGAGCCTATACATCTGGCTTTAAAACCGAACGGCGAGAGCGTCAAAAGACTTTTTTTTAAAACTCCTTCTAGCCGACGGATTTTTCTGCCTGGCAATCCCTTTAGGGGGATTGTATGGGAGTCCCTTCAATTCCTTTCGTGAATTCCCTGTTTCTTTTTCCATTTTCCACCCCGTGTGATTGTGTGTGCGGGGGGGGGGGGGTGTGCGTGCTCCCGTGCCCCCTTGCTACTCTCTTTAAAAAAGGAGTGAATTTTCACTCTATTTTCACTTTCTTGGGAGTGACGTCCGTGATCACTTGTTTAGGAGTGAAAATCGATTGATTTTAGAGTGCTCTCTAAGAAGAAAAGAGTGAATGTTCACTCTATTTTCACAACATTTTCACTCTCCAGAGGAGTGACGTCCGTGATCATTCGATTTTTTTTAGAGAGTACGCTACTGTCTATGCTACTGTCTAAACTTCCGCTATATCTCATTCTCACCCGTCCTCTATTTCTCTCTTGAATGGCCAACGTTGTCAACCTCACATAATATACTAGGTTACGTTTCCACTTGTCCTGACGATTTTTTCATTACATCCGCTCCTCTTGATACGAAAATCAATTCATTCTTAAATTATGTAAAAGACGACGTAAAAATGCACTGAAAGATTCATAAGTATTGACAACCGTGAAAAACAAAGAAATGTTCAAAGAGAAAGAACACGTTTATGTTCTATAATCAGAGTTCATGCCCCAAAAGGGAAATTTCTTCTTTTGTAAAAGAAATTCCTCTTTCGATTAATTCTTAACTTGTAGTCTTCTTTAATTTTCAATAGTTTAATGACTGTATGTAAGGCAATAAGCAAGAAAAAACTTTTGAGTGTCATCCTTTAGTGTCATGGATGAGGGGTTCACGTGCATCTTAAACGATAAGACCTCCTCAGCACACATTTGTTTTAATTAAATCCATTGGGAACGTAATTGCCATGATGGTATTATAATAGGCAATTATCGCGTAAAAACGCAATTCATTAGGGATCTAAACACACACGCACACTCATTATTATGAATTGTTTAAATTCATATTACCATGGAATTTCACCGATTTCCTGTTCATCTTTACAAGGAAGATAAAAAGGACGGACGATTAGAGACTATAATGAGCTAGCTAATAACCTGTCATGCACTGCCCTTGTAACTAGTGTCAATGAAATATAATTGGATATCAAGAATGTAGCTGTCTCAAATTGCTATCAGAAAACAATCATCTCGAAAATTAATTTGACATGAAACTTGTCATAATGTGTCCGCTAGTACTACCTAGTAGCAAAGATTGCTTTCTAAAGTTGAATGGGTTGTCATTCAAACGGTTTAGTTTTTGGTAATAGTAGCGTATAGTACTGTAACGTATTGTCGTGTAGTATTTTCAAATATTGTTGAAGATATTACTAAATTTAGTGATTATCGAATAATATGTAAGTCGGAAAATACATTTTGGATTGGTGAAATTGGTCATCATAATGATAATGTCGATATGTATACGCCATAATGTGTATTTCCTATTGAAAAGCTCACTGCTTATATCATTTAAGTAACCATTTCATGATGCTCGCTGTACATGAAAGGAAATATCCCCCCCACCCACCCGAATCAATGAAAAAAGATGATGGAAAGTGGAGTGGAAGAAAGTGACAATTAAAAGGAATATAGGCTACATGTGTCCACGATGCTACGTCTATTTTTCCATTAGGAGCCATTATTTTTTTCATTCTCTTTTTAGATTTTTATTCAAACGTTACATTTTTTTTAAACGATGCCATCCTTGACTGAGTCGGCCCTTTCTTCTCTATATCGTTCCCTTCTTTTGGACTGCTTTTGTGTCTCTGTGTGTTTAGGTGTGTTTGCATAATATACGTGGTTGATACCTACATGTAGTTAATGGTCGTTTTTTTTCTTCTTCTAAATATACATATACTTTATAAATATATTTCTTTTGCAATTTAATCCAAAATTGTGTTTACCTTGATAGGGGCTTTATTTACAAGCACAATTTGCTCCTCAGATGTCCTGCTCTATTATGTATTCTGCATTTATGATTTGTATTTTTTGTTATGATGCCAAATAAATTGAATTATACACTTCTTGCAATTAGGTAATCATACTTATTTTTATATAAATTATATCAGTGTATAGACCAACAAATTTCAATATTGTGTGGTCCAATGACCATCAATTTAACCAAATTAATTCAACTCAATCATCAATTTACGATGCAAAAAAAAATATATAATCACAGCAAGGGGAAGCCCAAAAACGAAAATTAAAAAAAAAAAAATTTCTTGACTAATCCGTCAGTTTCAGGTTGTTATACTATTGAGAGGAAGAATAAAAGGGTTCTATATTCCATGAATATCAGTGCAACTAAAAACTCCCATCGGGAATAATTTGCATAAATTGCTGCTAATAATTAATTCGATCGCTGTCCGTGAGCTTTAAATTGCTGTCTAATTAATGTACGCCAATCGGTCACTTCAACTCCACCTGTCTCGGACCTGTCTGTCTCCTTGTCCAGCAAACTAATGAATAATTTTCCTCTTGAATAGCCCGTGGGATGGACATGCGGCTAGTTCCTTTCATTTCCGTGGCTAACCTCTTCCAACCACACAAAACAATGTTACTATAGGGGAATTCAAAAGTGTTAAAACCAATATACATGTATATGTTGTCATTCCCAAGTGCTCCCAGTTAGGGTAAAAGTTAGTGGTTTTTGATGCCTACTTTTGTGTGCACTTTACACTACAGTCCCATGTGCCTATTTCTGATGTGTCCTAAACAACATTCCTCGCAAACATGCACTAAGTTATTCAAAAATAATCTTGAATTCAGTACCTAAACTTGTAAAATATGCATTACA